GAATTCCCAAAAGACACCACCACCGTCTTAAAGGAGCTGCTCATTTTAATATATTCTTTCTCGGCCAGATACTAAACTCGGGCAACATTCATTGATGTTGTTCCTAAATTTTTTTTCTTTTCAAAAAAACTAAAAATTCTATATGAATATAGTTTTAAGCTGAGACCAGAATAATTTCGCCTCTTCCCACAATCAAATTTCATTTACGTTCAATTAACTTACGTATTATTCCCTGGGTAAAGTTGTTCAGGAAAAAACAGATAGTCTGCAGAGGGCAGATCGGTAGAAGATAAGGGACGTGCTAGGATTCCATATTAAACTTGATCAAACTGTATTGTAACCTGTAAGTCGACCTTGTCCTACAGGAGGATAGAGCCTTTCCTGTTCATCAGTGCCGGCTTTTTTTCGATCGAATGTTGTCGTATTTCGTTATGGTTGGTAGTATGTCACTGAGTTATAGGTTCCTCCCTTAGAAGAAAAAATTGACTACCCAAGATGATATTAGGAAGCCGTGGGTGGTTCCGTAATCCTCAACTGGCGTAATCCTCACTGCAGCCTTTTTGTTTATTGTAATTTTCCTTGGTTCAATTGTCTCGACTTTTCTTTAGAGAAGGAAAAGGTTTAAAATGTTATTGCTGCTCAGATCCCGGAGTTCACATGTTGCGATCCTATGCTGACACTCTCACTGCTGAGAGATTAAGATAAGTTTCTTGGCCAACATCATTTAAAGCGACGTGATGGATTCTGAGATGGGAGGATAGAGAGGGTTCGAGTAATAGGTTTGGGTAGGACGAAAGTTTGGAGTGGAACATCAGGAAGCGGAATGTTGAGGTCATTGTGGATGGTTAGGTAGCTGTGGATGAAATGGGGTTTTGATATCCCTCAAGTAATGCAGCCTTTTGGCTTGTTGTACTTTTCCTGTTTTTAATTTAATTTATTCATCTTTTAAAGATGAGAAAGCTGACTGTTATTGCTGCGATTCTGTTTCCCACGTCATTTTGGTACCTTAGGATGCTCTTATTCAGACAATTCTGAGTTTCCTTTCATCCCTTTCCCAACCGAGAGACATTGTTGCTGTGCTCCTCAAGGCTCTATCCTTAGGCCCATCATGTTCCCTCATTCTTGTATATTTCAACAAAATTCCTCGCCCTATGAACGTAAAACTGGGTCTTCCCGCAGACGATATCGCTCTCTATTTTTATCTTGGAGAATAGATACAATATCGTTCAGGTTAGATAACGCACGAAGTTTCTGCAACAGTTGGAAAATTCAAATTCATCATAATAAAATTGAGGCAATAGTTTTCAGCAAGCGTAGACCGTTGATGTGTAAAAAGATCTAAATTGAAGGTGTAACTATGTCTGAGTTGGTCAAATATCTAAGGGTGATATTGGACCGTAAACTCACTTTTACTCCCCCTAAAGTGAACAAGGGCTATCTGCCTAATTTTCATTTTTCCCATTTCTCTGTCGCCTGCCAATAAGCTTCTCCTGTACAAATTGGTGTTCAAACCGATGCTCCTTTGAGCGTGCCCTTCTTGCAGTCTCAGATGCAGGACGCATCTGACGCAGGAGGTTACCAGACGGAAGGTTGTGCAGACCAAGTTTCTGAGATTTGCGGCAGACTCGCACCGATGTACCTGCAAATCGGAACTGCACAATGCGACAAACAAATTGATGGTGCTGGAATACAACAGACAAACAACATATACTGGCCGACCCTGAAATGTTTTCCACAATTGCTGTTTACGTGCCCACTTGTAAACAGTATGGTTAGATTATATGTGACATTGACCGGAAGAAGCAAATAAATGACCGCTTTCCAAATCACCAAATTCTTCACATTACCTTCCTCGCCTGTTTTCTCTCTCCATTTGGTTGTTAATAACTCTTTGATCATTCTCAAAAACACGGTTGCTTTTTTATGTTGACGACCGATGTCCTAGTGGTTCAAAATTTCCAGGTGTATACGACTTTCATTTTTCCCGGGATATGCAGTGGAAAGAGAAGTATGCGATTGGAGGACAGCTGAGATTCCCTTGTGGGTATTCTAGAACTACTAACGCACCTGGTCGTTTAATTTAGAGTTTAGGACTATTGTCTTTCTACCTTTCTTCATAAACATACGGTTTCGCACCGCCTCAGAAATATTGTTATTTCGATATAAATGAAACGTGACATTGAGATGTTAAAATTTAAAAGATACAATGCATAATACAATATATATATATATATATAGTCTAATTTAAGATGATGATATATCATAAATATCCTTTATTTGGGCCAATATGTATCAAAATATATTTGCATTTTCTTTTAAATTTTAACATCTCAATGNGAAGAACATACAATTAGTTATCTATAAAAAAAGTATGTAATAGAACTAATAGTGAAAAATCACTGAGTGCCAGCAGCCCATGGCATGTTTTCTCCGGGTGCAGAGCTGGCATTAGTGTTAATGCTATGACCGTGAAAAACCGACTGTATATTGGTAATATATTATGTATAGGCTACAAATAAATTTAAAAAGTAACCTTTCCTTTTTCCTGAATAACTCCCCATCCTCAGGAGTTGTAAATTTCTGAAAAGACTCAAAAGCTTGATGACAGAACTTACTACTTAATAGTTTTCTTTCCTTTGAGATTTGGCTAAGAATGCGGGCTTTCATTAGGAAATATTGACATAACTGTTATATTAAACAGATAGAGCTAATTAATGTTTTAATTGTATTCTTATCTGTTAGGTATAGAATAATCTGCATGTTTAAAAATATATTATTCATTGCGTTAATTCTGTGTTAAGCTTATTCTAAAAATTAAAAGCCCAGTTTAAGAATCAAGAAGTTATTAGATAACTCTGACACAGGTATAACTTGATGGCCGGGTGAGGGGAGGCTATCCTCTGGACAGAACCGAGGATTATGATGTATTCTCCCACGGGGTGAGGCCCTCAGGGAGAGCTCGAGCATATTTCTCATTAAATACAACTTGCACATTCGTGCAGTAATTACCCATGAGACCGACAGTCTTTCTTAGTCGAGACGAGTAAATTTAAAGAGCATGAAAAGCCGTACCAGGTGGGAGGAGGGTGCGACGTCCTCACGACTACTGATCTTTTTAAATTTTTTAAACTTACGAGATTGAAATTTTATGACGTTTTCTTAACTCGAACATAAAAGAAATTACACTATCCGTTGCAATGCGAGTGAAATATTAATAAACGACATTAAGGAAAACATTTGAATGGAACTAAAATTGGATCATGAGCTTTTAGAATCGTGTGTAAATTTTTTGCAGACTTCTAGTTTTTTAAGGCAAACAGCACGCCTATTCTATCTTAGAATTGCGACTGTTTAAGCAAGTTTCCCTACATCGGTTTGTCAGTTAACATAGTATGGCATATTTTATGTCAAGACACTAAAATGTATTCTCTATACATAATTCCAATTTATTATAAGATTTAAAAAAAAAAACATGGAAAATGTCAATCTCGAACACCCCTCCAGTACCCATCTTTCTTTAAAACTTATCCATATAAAAAAATAAGATGGACGATGTCAATCTTGAATTTATTGCAGAAAAATATGGCTTGAATTTGGAATATGCCAAGAATTGAATAACCATTTACTATGTTTGCACCCATCTTTCCTTAAACATTTAAGTGCCATCCCATTCAATTTTTATACGATTTTATTTTCATACTCAAAGCATATCCATACAAACAAATAAGATGGGCGATGTCAATCTTAAATTTATTGCAGAAAAATGTATGTTAAATTTGGAGTATGCCAAGAATTGAATAACCATCTACTAAGTTCGCACTCGTCATTCTTAAACATTTAAGTCCCATCCCATTCAATGGTTATATGGTTTTAGGTAAAACTTATCCATACAAAAAAAATAACATGGACGAGGTCAATCGTGAATTTATTGCAGAAAAATATATCTTAAATTTGGAATATTCCAAGAATTGAATAACTATCTACTAAGTTCGCACCCATCTTTCCTTAAACATTTAAGTGCCATCCCATTCCATGCTTATACGATTTTATTCTCACAGATAAAACACCATAAAAAATAATTTGGACGATGTCTTTAATTTGTTCCAGAAAAATATGGCTTAAATTTGTAATATGCCAAGATTTGAGTAAACATCTACTAAGTTTGCATCCGTCATTCTTAACCATTTACGTGCCATCTCATTCAATTTTTACACGATTTTATTCTCACAGATAAAACTTACCATAAAAAATAATTTGGACGATGTCTTTAATTTGTTCCAGAAAAATATGGCTTAAATTTGTAATATGCCAAGATTTGAGTAAACATCTACTAAGTTTGCATCCGTCATTCTTAACCATTTACGTGCCATCTCATTCAATTTTTACACGATTTTATTCTCACAGATAAAACTTACCATAAAAAATAATTTGGACGATGTCTTTAATTTGTTCCAGAAAAATATGGCTTAAATTTGTAATATGCCAAGATTTGAGTAAACATCTACTAAGTTTGCATCCGTCATTCTTAACCATTTACGTGCCATCTCATTCAATTTTTACACGATTTTATTCTCATAGATAAAAACTTATCCAAAAGTTAATATTTCCCGTTGTGCGCGGTTTTCATAATTTTCATTCGCACACACACACTTCTAAATGTTCTAAGTCTTTAAAATTATAAGATACGGATTTATTTGTTGCAAAAATATTCAAAATGGACAGGATGCTTGTTTATCAGTTATAAAATTTAGCCAACTATGAGGTTAGTAATAAAATATCGTAATGTTCTCCGAGGAAATGTTACAAAATTACGAGGTGGTCAGACGTGCCCATGCATATTACTGTCTGTCCGACCTGAAAGTGCAAAATGAACGATATACAAATTTTAAGTTCCGAGGATGTTTTAGAGTCATACCAACTACCATGTGCCCCAGCAACACGTGCTGTCTCGAAATTTTTCGATATATCGTAGATATCAATATACTAAAATTATTACTTACGTTTTAGCGATCTCGGCTTGGCTTGTTTTCTTCTGGACATTTTTTTTTCAAAATCACTTGTCGCGGAATGAAAGAATGTTAAACGAAACCGGTAACACCATGGGTCGCGTCGTTTAAAACGGTGTTTGAATAAACCGGAGGCTCGACAATTTTCTCTGGCTCGACGTAATATTTTACGAGAGACGGCCGAGACCGGCACCCTGTGAACGTTCTAGCTTCCGGTTTGGAGCTGTAATGTGATAAAACGAAATTGTAACTGTACGGACGGAAAGGGTGCGCATGTCCTCCCTTCCTGCATCCCCCGTGGACACGGACCCTCAGCCAAAACACCCCCTTCAAAACACGGCTTACAACTAGGTAGACGATGACTGTGATCCGTATTTAGACCAAAGAGTGTCTTATTCAACATAAAAAAGAGTAATTAGTTAATTACTAATTAAATAGGGTACACTCTTTGTAAAAACCTCTTTCGGCACGCTTACGAACACACATACAAACGATCCAAAATATTGAAGGTATAATTTCCCACTTTGATGTGATATGTAAAATACATAACCAGGAAATGCATTATCACATAAATATTGTAAAGGGATCAATAAAACAACATTGAAAAACTGTGCTAAGAACGTGTAACCAAAACGTAAACTGACTAAAACCTCAACACAAGGATCGATGATAAAAAGTAGCATTAATAGAACGAATTGCCAGGTTTACATTTCTTCTTATTCCGTGATTTGTATGTGGTCTAATCCGTTAATTGAAATGATCATTATTTATTTTTTATTATTTTCCGAATATAAAACAAAGACTGCTCTTTTACAAACTTGAAGAGAATATTGTTGTTATCAAAAAAGTATTCAAATACTCAAATAAACATACATTAACGCACAAACAAGCGAACACGCATAATCAAATTAACCCACACTAACACATAAATAAACAAACAACCAAATACACAGAAGCATAAACCCCACACTAATACACAAACAAAGGAACAACCGAACACACAGAAACAAATAAACCTTTACAAAACCGTCGAACACATGCAGAAACTAATAAACACACACTAGCAAACAAACAACCGCACCCGACGAAACAGATAAACACATAGAACAGGCAAATACACAAAAAGAAACAAATAAATACACAAACACAAATAAGCCAAAAATCAAACCCCACACAGACAAACAAACAGCCGCACCCCTAAACAAATAAATAAACACACTAACACACAAGCAACCGAACTCCATCCAAGCTACAAGCAAAATCACCACGCAAACAAACAACTAAACCACTAAACACATTAACACACAAGTAACCAAACCCTCAGGGGGCTGCGGTAGCCGAGTGGTTAAGGCGTCAGACTCTCGGCTATTAGATCCCGCGGTCGTGGGTTCGATCCCCACCGTCGCCTCTGGACTTTTTCTGACGCCTAAGGGGACCGGTGGCCGCAATTGAAAAAAATTGACACGGCACTCATCAATGGAAGGGGCGGGATCGGATCTCAGCGACCCTGAATTTGGTCCCAACCCCCTTCAAAAATGAGTTTCTTCGATGGAAGAACACCGGTACAACGGGGGCTCAAGTTCACATTTGTGTTGCGAGCCCTCCCCCAAAATATGGAGCCAGGGATAAAGTACAATAAGCTGTACAGCTCAGCTGCAGTACTCAGGAGGGAACTCCTCCAGTCCCTGGTATCCATTGAAAAAAAAAAAAAAAAAAAAAAAAACCCCCAACCAAACAAAAAAAAAAACCAAACCCTCAACCAAACAAAAATTAAAACCACCACGCAAACAAATAAATAAGCAAACCCCTAAACAAACAAACAGCCAAACACTCACACAAACAAATAAACGACCAAACCCCCCCCCAAAAAAAAATAAACAGCCAACCACCCACACAAACAAATAAACGACCAAACTCCTAAATAAACAACCAAACCCTTAAACAAACAAACATCAAACCACCGCACAAACAAATACTCCAACAAACAAACAAACGAACCCACAATCAAACAACCAAACCACTATACACACTAACACACAGGCAACCAAACAAAAATTAAAACCACTACGCAAACAAATAAATAACCAAGCCCCCCAAATAAATAAACAGCAACTCCAAACACACACGATAAGTCTCCTGAGGCGCGAACATTATTATTGTAACTTAATGTAACCAAGTATTTTGAGTCACAAGTGGAGAGAGCAACTGACTGTATTGATATACATATTAGATGCCATTAACACAAAAAAAGAGTGAGTACTTGAGATTATTAGTTGGTTTCTAAGTACAAGTCACGGTAGCTCAAGAATCGCCGGGGGTAGTGATCCGTAGGACGCGAGGTCGAGTCAGCTGGTGACACAGCATTTTTAACTCTACTAAGCTTTGCATAATAATTGGTCAATAGAACCAATTAAAAACATATATTAGTAAATTACATAGCGGAAGACTTAAAGTTACAAGTTTAATTGCAAAAAACTAATTATTAAGTACAGAGAGAAAATACGAGGAGTGAACATAACCACCGGATATTATTAATGTTTTATCCCCTTTTTTTAATTGTATTTCTTTATAGTTAAATAAAACATTATTATTATTATTATTATTATTATTAAGTACTTAATCTTTTTAATTAAGGTTTCGGTCGAAATTAAAAAGCTAGTGTCACGAGCGGGATTCGAACCCACGACCTTCGGCTAAATATGACCTACTCTAACCACTTGAGCTATCATGTTTTTGATCCACCGGACAACTCCCCATCTCAACCTACAACCTTTCGAATTTTCCCTCTTTTTGCTATTTTTCCGAATGGATCGAAGTCACGATAGCTCAAGTGGTTAGGGCAGCGGCGTATTTAGCCGAAGGTCGTGGGTTCGAATCCCGCTCGTGACCCTAGCTTTTTTCCATTTCGACCAAAACATTACGTAAAAAGATAAAGTAATTGAAAGAAGTAATTTGGTATAATGGATTATTATTACGTTACGGAATGAAATGATGAATTTGAACCGTGGCTAATGGAGTAAACGTCAAGTGTTAATTACGTAATTTGGACGAATCTGAAAGCTGTTTCCACTCTGTTGTGAATGCCCAATCCTCAGCTATTATAATATTTTTTATTTTGCATGTAGTATTAATTTATATAATCGTTTATTGTTTGTGCTTACCTTTCTTGGGCACAGTGATTCTGATAGACGGTCAAAGGACTATTGCCATGTCGATGTTTTTTTTTACTTGTAATGTATATGAAATTATATATACAAACATGGGTCGAGAGAAACTTTCTATCCGACCATCATGTCTTTTTAATTGTGCGACTAATGATCAACACATGAGTCAATTGTCAGTTGAAAACGTCCCAAAATGTTCGAATAAACACTGACGAGTCTTTTCGAAAGCTTATTAGAATGTAGAAAACAATACGCAATTAATAAAAATTCCCGCTGGATTTTTTTTTTAATCTCACGGGAAAATGCTCAGAAAATTACATTTTTATCCGAGGGTTTATCATCCGATTTCATTCAGGCGTCTAATAGTTTAAAACAGGCCATTCGCGTGAATAAAACGATCAAGAACATTACGATGAAAGGTTTATTGTATGTTGTTTTCCGAAAATGATCAATAGTAATCAGAAATCTCACACAGTTCAACGACTGAACGAACAATTGACAGACGGATCTATCGTTACAACAGGACAAATTCTATCCAACGGATCTTATATTTTTAAACATTTCTTTTGGTTAAAAAAAAATTGAAACGTAATTTGCAACATTTTCGAGGTAAAAGTTGAAACTTAAACGCGTTCGTTAATTGTAATTCAAATTGTTCCAACCTTTTTGTCATTTTATACAAACTTCACCGCCATGGAGCTGTTCGTTCGGCTGGTGATGAAATACCACTCGGCACCTTTCAAACATCTATTAAAGGGGAACTTAAATAACATGTGAATTCTTAAATTGGCTGCCCTATAAACAAAGGCACACTATGCGAGCCTCATGGCATATTTAGCAATTCGATTAGGCTGTTAACTTACGTAAACAAGCAGGTTTCGTTAATTTGGATTTGTGAAAGAATTTTAGAGACAATCTATTTCCCAGGAAAGCCTAGGCTCAAATAGATCAGATTCAGATCTGATACGATAGGCATGTTAAAACATAGTTAAATATACACTGTAAGACAAAAACCGGATTTTTTCTTAAAAATTTGCTTTTAAGTCGAGAAGATCTCGCGCCAACGACAGACTTAGCTCTAAAAACAGTCATCAGAAAGCTTTGTGATACAAGCCTAGTCTCTAGGCCCGCATCAGTTGCTCTACTGCTGGTGAAGCATCGAGTAGAAAGAGTAGTCGCAAATCAGCACCTCGCTTGCACATTTGAACAATGGGGGACTGCTTGCCTCGCTTCATGTTCCAGGCGTGAGTCCTTATTCGGTATTCTATAACAAAATCGTTGAAAACAGACGGAACAGAACGTCCATCATGGAAAAGAATGATATCCCACAATGCAAAGTACAACACGACCCCAACACGTGAAATCTGTACCACTGCAACAGTGCTACTGTCTCTCAACTTATGTGCTGCGTCGCATCGCAATGTGCGTTCCATTCATTCTCTACGGTACAAAGGTGGACTGGAGAGGCGTCGAGTAGAAAAGCGACTATTCACTGGTTTCAGAGGCTGCTCTCTTCAAAGATGAATGCCGCTTTGGTTTGTGGCAAAGGAAAAGACGTGGTGAACAATTTGCTTCGTGTTCCAAGCGAGAGTCCTTTTCAAAGATGGCCTGTTATAATATGGGGTGGAATCGACGTCCATGCTTGTACCGAACTGATTGTCATACAGAATGGATCTTTGGCTGCTCTAAGGTACACTGAGGAAGTTCTTTTGGAAACTATAGTCCTATTCGATTCATTTATTGTGGACAACTTCGCGTTAAGCGAACAAACGTTGAACAGCTTCAAACCGCGCTCTTGTTGAAGAATGGGATTTCACTTGACGAAATACGATCGTTTATTTACTCAATGCCTAGGAGCCTTCCGCGGTACTCGTCAGGTAAACCAACTCACCTTATTTGCTCTTACAGTACACCTCGTACACCGACAATCTATATTTATCTATTCGATTCTAGAAAATCATTTCTGCTTTCGGAGATTGGTCGACTATCCTTCATCTTGTTGTAGACACCATTGCCACCGGTTGAGGTATCTCTGAATATAAGTCATTAAATGCTTCTGTGGAAGATCAAGAGCAGCCACGAACCACCTCATATCTTATACTCAAATTTACAAAGTGTCACTTTTAAATTGTCCAAAACACTTATTCACTCATTTATACGATTTTGGCTGGTATCACGCTGGGTAGCGTACTCGTTCTCCACTACAGAATTCGCACTTCACTTTTGCCGACACACCAATCTTCATCTCCAATAAAGATGCCGTTACAGCTTTACGAAAATTACAAAATCATTTACACACACGCAAATCCTGGCTCTGCCAGTGAATAATATAGGAGCTAAATACTAATCTACACATTTACACTTTACAAAAAAACTCTCGCCTCTATACTTCAATCTTTTTCCAAACGTACAACTCGGACTTTTCGACCAATGACCTATCTAGTGTACAATGAACTACCTTCTCACATTCTTTCTACTTCCACCACTCCCACTCCACCACACACCGGGCCGTTCGCGCTGTAGACCCATTACTACCACTTTTTAGTTGAAGCTGTACTGCCCTGGTTTTCTGAACATCGTTCAAGCATTTGAATGTGTAGGGCACTTGAACCTGCTGTGGAAAATTAAGAGAGTACTTTCTTTTACTTAGTACCTCCGACCGATATTGTAAAGTTCATCAACAAGGTAAAAAGTAAGGTCATGAACAACAACTTTATGCTAACAACGCTGGTGTTCCTCAAGGAAGTGTACTGGTACCATTACACTATATCTTCTATACCTTATACCTCCTATACCTTCTACACAGACCTTGCCCTTTACCGCAAAACCTTGGTATTCGACTATGACAAGGCTGATCCTGTCATAGCCTCCAGCTCTTTCCAACAGCCTGGAACCACGGCGTCACGCTTGGAGAACCAATTTCAACGAAAACAAATTCCATCTGTTGACACTTTAAACAAAACTCTTCCTACAGACTGCTATAGCAGAATTAATATTCCATTCAAACCATACGCGTTACTTATGTTTATGCCTAGACGAACGGTTAATTGAACCACACACTCAACTAAAATGAGCAGATTGTAAAAGGTATAATCGGGACAGCAAAGAACGCCAACCACTATCGTATTCAATCCTTTCAATTCAAACTTGGTTCGTACTTAAATGCCCCCTTCTATGTCAGTAAACATACCATTCACACCGACCTAAACATCACTACGTACGTGACCTTGCCCGATACCTCAAATTCCATCCAGATTATTTCCTCACCCTATTCAATTAATAGATAATATATCCTATCTATTTTATAATCTTCAAAAATTAGTTAACTCTCAAATATTCAATTAGTTAGAATCCTTAAACTTACTTGTACCTCTTCAATCTGGCTTCTCAATTAATTCGGCTATTTTAAAAATAACTACCGATGTTTATATGGACCCAGGTAAAATTATTATTCTTGTCCTTCTTGATTTTCTAAAGCCTTTGACATCATATGATTTCTAACCCCTCTAATACAAATCCACCGGTTTTAGTCTCTCCATTCTTATCTCTTCCTACAACCGAAGAATTCCCTATCTAATTCCTTTCGCTGAGCCTCAACTCTTTTCAACTTTATGTCCCGTCTTTTTGAATACCGCGTGCCCCTACAATTTAAACCGAGGATGATTTTCTGTTAAATTCTCCCCTTCGTGTTTAATTTAATATGTTTCATTTATTTTTATGCTATTACATTTAATCATTATTTACATACATTATATTTATTGGTCCATTGAACAAATTACTTCTTTCAATTACTTAATTTTTTTATGTAAGGTTTTGGTTGAAATGAAAAAGATAGTGCCATGAGCGGGATTCGAACCCAAGACCTTCGGCTAAAAACGCTGCTGCTCTAAAATTGTGATACTTATACACGATACTTGACAGGATAGCTCAAGTGATAGAGCAGCAGCAGCTTATTTAACCGAAGGTCATGGTTCGAATCCCGCTCGTGGCACTAACTTTTTCATTTCAGCCCAAACCTTACATAAAAAGATTAAGTAATTGAAAGAAATTATTTACGAAAGCCGAAAGCCCCAGAATAAAATTTATTTTCTTCTTCTTTTATCCTATCTTACTCTTCCTATGAACCCTCCAGCAGGATGGCGATGATGTCCCATGGATGACCGACACAGTCTGGAGCACTAGGTACGTCATAAATCCACACACAGCCCTAAAGACAATCAATTCAATAATTTTGTCAGAAAACCGTTAAAAATTTGTAATTGGGCCCTTAGAGGATGGAGAAATAGCGAAACGCGTCTGACTGACCAAAACGGCGAAGAAAGGTGGACCAGTATGATGAGAGTCGGCCGTACACCCCCTATACGACATTTTATGAGGAACTACTAAATATTAAAATTAGTGCTGAGGGAATTCAGCAAAATGCGTACAAATTTGGAAGGAGGCGACGTGTTCGAGAAAAGAAAAAAAAACAAGAAAATAAATTGGCTGATGTGCATTGGCTGCGCAATAAAACTTGGCCCTGAACACGAACGGCATAATAACACCCACAAGAATTTATTACCAAGGTACAACATTTTTAGAAATTCTGCTACAACTAGCTGTCCGGCGTGGAAATGTCCCTCTCGTTCGAACTGATAGCACCTTGAAATGGTAGCACCCAATGTCGCCATACCTTGCTTTAAAACGGATTAAGGTTCTCCATATAAAAAAGAAGCTTGCCTCGATCTCAGCTGACCTAGTGAGTAAAGCAATAGCTAATTAATTGCTCGTTTAATCAAATCAGTGTCCCCTGAAATTTCTGTTGTGTGCTTTGATAAATGTATGTACATTTCGAAATAACCTTTTTATTTCCTGTAACGATTACTGTTTGAAAATTATTGATTTTTAATTATGATACTCGTAAATATGAACTTGACCGTTCTTCAACTGGATGACTAATCCCTTCCTTCCGAATGCCGCTGGCAAACCCCTAGCTCATCGGGCTTCATTCCACTTTTCAAGTTGGAAAGTAAACCTGGAGTGGGCAAGAGTACAAAAAATGGATTACGATTATCCTCTAATTCCCACTTTCACTGTTACAAGGTCGGCGGGCTGAGATATTCGTACCGGCGTCCTTGAATGTCCTTAGCCTTTACACAGAAATAGGTAAGATATCTGAAACGTGTCCTTAAGCGGGCGCACGCTGTGTTTTTTAAAACTCCCGTGCTTTTTCACGCCTAAATTTTTCACGTTTGGCGACTTAGCTTTTTTGTGTCATTCCCTAGGGGGATCTTTCCTTTTGAAAATCCCGGATTTCTCAACACCTATCGATTCACTGTAAGCATATTCAAGGTGAGTGTCGCAATAACGTCATTCCACAATTTTGGACCGATAAGATAACGAGAATATTTTAATTTTTTTATAGCACTAGTGAAATAACTGGGACCGGTCACGTCTCCGAATCATTTTTGTGTATATTACACCTTGCAACTCTTTAAGCAGCACTAAGCCGAAATATTTCTATGATAGGCAGACCCAGAAAAATAGTCGTTCTTTTTAAACAACACACTCAAACATTTTGGTATGGTTATGTTAGGAATTAAATAGGGTTTTAAGAAATGGTCAGGTACCCATCCTCTCAAAAATTGAGGCACGGGAGTTGAAGTCCTCAGGGTGAATGTTAAGACTGAACGGTCTTTAAACTTAGGTAAACATGCTACAGTTTTTCAATCTTAAATCATAGCAACTGAACACTGCACCAAAACAAAAAGACTAGGTACATATTCCAGGAAGATAGCCTTTTTCTAGACAGCCAGGCGGTAATTAAGGACGTAGACTCATGCAAGGTAAAGGCAAAAAGCGTTTGGAATTGTATTGAATACCTGGCAGAGGTCAGTGACACCAATGACCACTTGGATCCCCGGGGATTCGGTACAGAATGAGAAAGTGAACATGTTGAAATGAGCCAATGTGAATTCTCTAAGCCTCGAAGCCTAGCACCTTGCCAGAAAAAAATACACCCAAAAATGGATCCTGAATGAGTTCAAAACTTGGTGGAGGAACACCCCAGGTATAAGGCTTGGGAAAAGATTCATAGACGGGCCATCAGAATGACTTACAAAGGAATTAACTGGAAGGTACCCGCAATAAAATCAGGATTCAGGTAGGGCTCCTGACAGGGCACTGCCGTGTGAGAAGGCACATGCACTGAATAGGAGTACAGAAGAAATACTGTGCAGATATCGCCAGGAAGAAGAGGAGACCGTAGAACACATTCTATGTTTCTTGAGGGTCTATGTAGGTGTAGATTCTTGCAACCAGGAGTGGAAAACCCGCAAACAAGATCCTACACCTTACAACTGAGGTTGACCTGAAGCTGGCCAGTGAGTTTAAAAAATGGAGGAGCACAACAGATCTACTCAGGTCGACATGCGGAAGGTTTTGTGGCATGTCTGTGGAATTCACTCATTGGACGCAAATAACCCAAGAAACTTCTAGCAAGTTTTGGAAGGAAAAAAGAACAAAATGCATTAAAGGAAGAATGAAAAAATATCGAAAACTAACAAGGTTCTTAACAGGGCACTGCAGACTTGGTATTTGAATAAGATTGGTATAATCCAATAAGGCACGTGCAAATTCTGCAAAGAAGCTGAGGAGAGGCCAGCCCACCTACTAACAAACTGTGGTGCTACCACCTACTAATTGCCCGCAGGAGGAATTTTTTTGGGATGTAGAACCGTAGAAGAAAATGAACTACCGAGACAGGGCCTACTAAATTTCTTGATGAACTAGGGTTTAAGATGTGCTATAGGAACAGAACGTTGGATACAATAGCTCTCAAAAGAAGCAGCATATTACACACCCCGAATATCAAATGTATGTTTGAAAGTAGTGCTTGCGCTTAAAAAGAAATATTAAAATAGATTGTTCTAGGTTGATTAATTTTTGAAACATGTAGTAAATACAGTAGTACTCTCGAGCATTTATATTTTATGCATATTTATTTATATAATATAGATATTACATAGTATAGATTTTAATGCAACATGAACTCCCTCTCTAAGTTAAACTATTTACTCAAGAACCATAACTCAGCTGACTAGTGCAATACAAACCTTGATTCCTAACAGTGTACATTTATTAGATGTAACCTTAAATTATCCCGTCTAAATAATGAAAATCACTCCGAGAATCGCTTGTAGAGAAGTATTCCCAGTTGTCCTACGATGAGTCCGAATATGAAAACAATCGAGTTTACGAACAGCGGTCCACAGAAGGTCATCCTCATTCCCAAGAAGTGTGCCAACAGACGATGTTTTTTCGTCGTGTACGGTGGGTAGCGTATCCTGAAACAAGACATAACAATTAATCTATTGTTCAACTATATTTTTTTCACATCCGTGTTCAAAACCTATGAGAGAATAGATTTTCTGCCATTACGCGAACGCAAACCAAATATTCAAAAATATTTGTCGGGCAATTGAGTATCCGTTTTAGCGAAAACATGCTCTGTTCACCTTTTGTCACGCTCTATCCGGTGATAATCATTCAGATGGATATATTTCAGTAAAAGTATAGAATAATAGGAAGGTGGGAAATAAATAAAAAAAATTTAAAAAACGACAAACCGCTGATGTCATCGCCGGCCATCTGCGTATTGACTTATTTTCCTGGTCTTTCTAGCATGTTTTCCAGCATTTGAGCGTCTAAATAAGCCACTGACTCTACTTTCATATAAAACTAAGTAGATATCCTCAAATAGTAACCTTTCATTGTACCTCAGGTGGTCAAATACAGAATAGATAGAAAATATACAATATAGATATATACATCACCACCCTATACAAACATAGATGTATGGTCACATTCACTCTCTCCCCCAAAGTACTCGAAATTCCTCGGGGTGGAGTTGAACCCACTCCATTCTCACTTACTTTTTCTCTCCAGACGTCACACACTCACTCCAGAGTATTCGATATTCACTCTAATAAATTACAATCATTCCTATAAATTAACATCCGATAGGAATATAAAACACATATGGCCCCATATTCAATTCCCCAGAGTACAAGAATGTAGAAAAAAATCCTAATGGTGAATAGAGTACCACTTTTATCTCAACTTTGACCAATTAAGTGTCCGAACTATTTGAATATTGATGGCCCAAAAAGCTCCGTGTGGGGGTAATGAATCCTGACGGCATTTTTTTTTATATGGGTCTTTTTACAAAATCCTTTTTAGGCCCATTTGCATTCAACATTAAAAAATACAACAAGGTAATAACTAATAATAAAATAAAGTAGCTAAAGTTTGGCCAATTTTTTTTTCCTTCGAAAATCTAAAGTTTAAGATATATCCCCCAATTTTTTACCGATTTCATCTAAACAAATCAAAATGTTCACTAAATAAGGTCTAGTTTCAGAGAGTGTCAGATCTAGACGTTGCCGTTGAAACAATATTTATTTTCTACTGGAAGCTACCGACAATCGAATCGTATCTGCCGTCAATGTACTCTTAGGGCCGAGAGGTACGCAATAATCCGACATCAGCTTTCTCACTTACTCATTCATGCAAACGCACAACCACATTCATACAAATTGTTTAACAAAAATATATGCTACTACTATTTATACAAACAATATTTAGAGATTAAATATCGGGAAACACCCCCGTTTCCATTAACAATCGTGCCCAAGGACTGTTTTTATCTCCGGTGCTGGGCCTACTCGCTTCTCATAAGGAGACAAGTCCTGGCCCTCATCGAGGCTAAGTGTAACACATTGAGCGACCTTTCTCTACAAGCGGACACCTACGGATTTTCACCCAAAAGCGGGTGTCCGTTGACAGTCGGGTATGGTCGATCCTCAATCGGGTTAGCACGATCCTTTCTTTTCGGTTTAGAATAACTTAATATAACAATTGTATTTGTACAATGTATGTAATGTATTAATTAACATTGCATTTGGATATTTTTTTTGATTCATACCTCCATATACGATCCAAAACGGCGTTGTAGCCCTTCACGACGCAACTCTTTTTGTGGGTGAACGTGTCAAATGTGTATTTGCCATGGTATGCGCCAATCCCACTAGCTCCGACTCCGCCGAACGGCAGGGAATTTACTGCAAAGAGAGAAAAAGCGCATAAATTACTAATAATCATTCAAACTCGAACATTTTCACAAGTGAACGAGAGCACCAACGTGGCTTTCGAAGCGTGCAAGTAGAGGTAATAACAGTATATTAAATTGTAACTAAAGATTCCGAAGAAATTTCATGCTCCACCTGACCGACAACTCGGCGTTTGCTAACTGATATTTAGCCGGACTTCCGAAACTACGTAAGAAGCGGAAGGGCCATCCCAGTTTGGGTAATTCAATGACATAATTTATCCGTTCCGTCAGAATAACGTCATTGGGTAAACTTTCAAAGGAAAGGAATTGAGACGATACGCCACGGTTTTCCATTAAGTCCACAGGCAGTAATCATAAGTTGGTTTAAGTAGTTTTGAGGCGAACTGGCGCAGTCTTGCAGGACAGTCAGGCCCTACTCCCCAGGGATATTCAAGTCTCTGGACGACTAAGATACTCAGCGGCCAGGGGGACAAAACGGTGCACCACTTATACCACCATCTACTGTGTGGAACTTACCACTTTCCAGCCACTTGTTTTGCCAAAAGTGCTATTCCTTTTCTCGTAAAGATTTTCTATTAGTGGTCCTATCTTTATCCTGGTCGAGAAGGATCTGCAAGACCATATTTAGGCCCTGAACTTATTCTTGGGATAACAAAAACAAACACAGAATTCTCCATCATAGAATGGATGCAAAAAAAGAAAAAAGGAGACGTGGATAAACTCTACGGGTGCTAGACACAATAAACTTATGATAAAACAACCCTCACCAAGACTGGCAAACTCACTGCTACAGTCAGACAGGGCAAAACTCGTAGGAATGATAGGACTATTTACGTGTCACTGCCTCACTGCCATCTGATATATATTTAATGATAACCGCATTTGTAGGATATGCAGTGAGGACGAATAAACAGCCACACATATCATCGTCGAATGAGAGGCAACCACTCAATGGAGACATAACCTGGGATGCAAAGAAAACCCAGGGAAAGAAATTGTAGCAACGACAGTCAATAACCTAGTTCGCCTTAAAAGAAGGATCGAGTCGATAGATTGAACTAAGGAACTAGGAAAGTATAGTAAGCCAGAAGGCTGCAGTGCTTAAGAAACAACCCCCCCCCCATTCCAAGTCTCCTTTCATCATCATCAACATCACCCAATATCCATTAGTAGAGACTCGAATCTGTACGATGACATTTCTTTGAATTCAAAAAGACTTGCTAAGTCGAAATTTATCCATATCCTGTAGATTTTCCTACGACCAGTAACGTTTGTCCAGCCGCAGCCAACTGAAAAGTAAATCCTCTAGCGATGTAAAGAAATGCTGGAGCAAAAGTAATCTAACCTTTGGAAGTTTGCACAAATATTTTTATAACATGGCAATCCGTACCATGTGTACGTACTAGGCGACCCAACATGCTGGCTCCAAGTCTTACGTCTCTCAGTTGCTTGCATACTGTAATGAATGAACAATTGTTCAATTTAAAATTTGCTGGAGAAGTGGAGAAATTTCTGGCATTATACAATTACAAGTTGATAGGAATAACCTTAAATTTGTATTCTTTTCACTGTAAGAATCTACCCACAACTTTCTCACATTTTTATGATCTGTAAAGGGGTTATAATAATATTGCGTTATGATATAATCATCATTACCGGGGAAGCAGAGAAGCTCTAACATATCAAGAGCACGGTCGATAAGTGGCCCCTGAAGGATGTGACACGTAGAAGAAGGGTCAACCTCACCCGATTGAGAATAGGCCATGAGAGGTTGACACAGGAAACGTACTTTCAAGTCCGCGAATGAATCCGGCATGCAAGGAAAGGTTGCTCGATGTGTCCACCGAAGGTTGCAATTCTTTGGCTTTATTTAGAGAGCATGTAGGAATGTCACCCGATATGAGAATCGAGCTTGAGCACGGCAGCGAATGTTTGGGTCCCCTGTTCCGATTCTTGGAAGAAACAGGGTTGTTTTATTATATTTAGCAGTGATAGGTTTGTGTACCTAACGTGTGTTGAGAGTGAGTGTATTTATTGGCGTGAATGTGTAGTATAAGAGAGCTGAAGGCGGAATATTGAGTACCCCCATCGATCCTCAATTAGGTTAGTTTTGTAATAGGTGTAAAGTGTAATGGAGGAATATCGAGAACTCCACCATCCTAATTGAGTGAATGTGGTGTAAATAGGAAATGTATTTAAGGATGAGTGAGAGTGTGAATAGGTTTGTATTTAGGAACTTCATGCGTTGGGTGCTGAAATGGCCTCGTTGTTGACAGCATCTATGTGGCTGGATGGACAAGACCGAGATCTTACCCCGGTCTGCCCACAACCGGGTGATTGATTCTTGAGTCCTGCCAGTAATTGGTTGTAAATGACAAAAGCTGGAATTGTCGGTGCACTGCTAGAAGCGATCAACTCAACTCTGCACATGTGTACATGTGTGCATACATGCTACTTAGACTATTCTTACTATTAGAATCACTAGATATTTATACGGGATGAGGACACAATGAAGAGCACTTCTCAAACAGGCAATATAAATCTGGCTGATTTTCTATTGGAAGTAACTTGGCAATAGGGGCAACTCGAGACATGACTGTATAAGATGATGGGCTACTGAGTCGTCCAGTTGCTTGGTTGTCTGGTAGTTGGAGACGAGATCTGCGTATCCCTGTATGAGTAGGGCCTCAAGATTCTCTCCGATATGGGTGTATTTAGTTTTTACCTGACCTTAGGCGAACATTTTGAAAGATCACTAAAACATTTTGGAAATTGGCTACAATTCATCAGTGAGGGTCAAATAAGCCACATTGGTATCAGCTACTGTTTTACCATTTATATAAGTTTGATATAAAAACTGTCATCAAGGTAGTGTTATTGATGGTATTTGATCGTTACTGATCATCTAATTTTTCCTCTGTTGAACTGTCAGTCGCGTTTCGGCTATATTCATTGTTGGGTCTAGATGATGGGAGTAGCCAAGTTTTATAAGGATATGAGAGCTGGGTGGTATGTTTCCATGTCTTTTTTTGTTTCGGTTTATCATTGCGATTGTCGGTCCTTTGATTGATGATGTGAGTTGTTAATATGTGAATTTATGTTTGTCTTTTTCGTGTCGAATGTTTTATGTTTGTATATTTCAATTTTTTCGAGTGTGTTCACTTTTCGTCCTTTTTGTACATCGTCGAGTATTTTCATGCTTTTCCGTTTTGTTGATGGTTCCTGATGGTTTTCCATGAGGTGAGTCGGGTCGTTTCTTTTTCCGTCAAATGATCGTAAAGGTATTTTTCGTCCTATCTGCTCGATATATTTATCTATCTCCGCATGTTTTTTTTCTGCTAAGGTTTCGTCGATTGGCCACTGCGACTAATTAGTATTAGGCTGTTGAACACCTAGCGAATTAGCAAAATGGGGTAACATTTTTTTTAAAGTAAAAACTTGACATTAAGTCCTCCGGGTTAACGGGTGATTTTTTTAAAATAAATAATAACATGAAAAATGTTTTATAGGATCTAGCAAAAGTTAAGACAAGAATTTTCAGACACTAGTAAAATAATTCAATTTTTTTAATAATATGGTTAACCTTCGGACCTGAAATCCATGACCTCTCAATATTGAGACCGTTTGAACCAAGGATTGTTTTTTATATTTACAACTATTCAAATAAAATCCAAGCAATAATTTTATGCACGACCTACTTCAGGCCCCTCTGCATGTCTGCACTTCTTTTCATGGTCTTTCACGCGTATTTTTCAACCCGCGGCCCTTTGAGCGTCTCGATCTGTTATTGACTCTCTACTATTGTGCGAAAACTAAGTCGATATCCGAAACTGCTGCTAACCTCTCATTTGTTTCTTAGATTGTCAACTACAGAATTGACATAAAACATACAGACCATTGACTAATTCTAAACTATAACTGACTCGTGACCAACTGACCAAAGTCAACTCAACTACTGACTGACGAGTGACCTTTGAGTAAACCCACCTTTTGTAAACCTCTCCATACACGGGACTTTCTTCCCCATGACTGTACCATTTTGTATTACTTGAGCTTTCCTTGGGAGGGGATTCTCGAGCTTCCAAGGAAGACACAAAATGTGTTGTTTCGACTTTTGCATATCTAATCTATCCACATTCTAATCGTTCAGTACAGCTAATACAATAATCTTTAGACAATAAAATAAGAAGAAGAAGAAGAAAAATAACTTTATTCTGGGACTGGTGTCCCCTTAGAATAATTTACATGAGACAAAATATAATAACCTTCTATGAAGTAACATAATTAAAAAAAAAAAAAAAAGGAAAAAAAAGATAGATAGAAATCGTGGCACAATGTATGCCAGTAAGGCGGGCCAGAAGAGAAAATTACGAGGTATATTAAACAAAGACAAAAATAATAAATGTTATCGTGAGGTCTCTGCTTGGAGGGAGAGGAGGTGATTATAAAGATGGGATTTAAATGAGGAGAAGGAGGCAGCGTGACGAATAGATAGGGGAAGGGAGTTCCAGAGTTTAGGGGCTCGGATCAGAAAGGATCTTTCGAAGGTATGGGTTGTATGTTGCGGAAGGATAAGGTCGATTGGGGATGAGCGGGTTTTACGGGTGTGATGTGAGGAGTTGAATTGGAGGGATTGGATGATATAAGGAGGACGACGAGTGTGGATGGACTGGAAAAGAAAGCAACCTAGGAAATACTGGGCACGGAAGGAGGGGAAAAAAAAATACTAATTAGTTACACAACTAATTAGCTATACAAAAAATATTCTTCTCACGATATATATTTAATATGAAATCTAACGTAAGTGGATAGCTCCAAATAGTAGCCTTTCATTGTACCTTAGGTGGTCAACTACGGAATAGATATAAAATATACAATACAGATATATACATCACCACCCTATTCAAGCATCGATGTATGGTTAAAAAAAAATTACTTTTTCTCTCCAGACGTCACACACTCGACCCAGAGTAATAATTATAATAATTTGATGTTGTGATATGTTCAATCTATTTAATTACAGAATTACCTCCCTAAATAACACAAATAATCACAGAAAAAATATTAAAATTGCACAATCGACAAAAAGGTGATTAGTCAATTGGAAAGGAAATAATTGTCGATAAATATCTTAAGAGAGATCTTGTCAGGACCGGTGAAAAACAACTGAGAAATAATTAGCTTGTTTGTTTGTTTTTTAACCACTGCGTTACAATAATTGTATTAACGTATATTGATTAGCTTTGTATAAAACCAAGCAAATAACCTTAAATGTAATCAAAAAGGACCATCTATTAATAAAAACGCCAAATCAATTCAAACTTCCGTCAATGTTGCAAGCCCCTCTCGCATGGGCGGTCGATGTAAAGGACAAAAGGACAACGGTTTCGTTCCACCGATAAACATTGGATGATCAAGATTTCAAGAATGGACCTTCTGATTAATGTTTTATGAAACAATCGATTTCACTCATGATTTTGTATCCCTTAGACAGACAGAATGAACAATTTGTTACAAACATATAACAACTCATGTTTACACCTTGTAAATTTCATTAGAACTCATTAATATTTATGAAAGGTATCGGTTGAGATAAAAAAGTCAGTGTCACGAGCGGGATTCGAACCCACGACCTTCGGCTAAATACGCCGCTCCTCTTTTTCATTTGTCGCCGAGAATCAAATAGATTACACAACATTGGAAAAATGGCAAAAAGGAGGGAACTTACAATCGCTGGATTCGTCTGACGACGAGAGATACCTTTCGATATGAATTTAAAAGGTAATGTGTTTTTTAAGGATCACTAGTCTAAAAGACAAACTTGTATGCGATAGAATACTAAATATATGAGAAGTTTAGGGCCGACAAACAGCTGAGGTCATCGCCCGCCCTCTGGGTCTTCGTACTTTTCTGGTCTTTCGCTCATATTTTTCAACATGCAGCCATTTGAACGTCTCAAGCTCTTCCTGACTCTCTTATTTTATCCGAGTCGGAGGGGAAGTATCGTCCTCACCCAACTAGATCATACACGGTTGACACACGGACACCTGCTTTTGGGACAAAGCCGCATAGGTGCTTTTTATCCAGAGAAAGGTGTGACCCACATAATAGAAGCCTGTCATGCCTTGGTTCCACATAGAGAGCGTGTAGGCATGCCACCGGAATTGAGAGTGGTTCTAGGGTATAGTAGGGGGTTTATCAGTCTCCTGTTCCTGTTTTTAGAGGAAGTGGATTTTTTTTTTTTATATAGTAATGATAGTTTTGTGTCTCCATCGTGTGTTGAGAATGAAAGTGTTAATTTTTCGCTGCGATACAACTTAAGACTAAAAACGTTAAAATAATATGTTTTTCTAAAAAGTTCAATTGTAGGTTCAAAATTAAAACATTTTAAATTGTGTGGAGCCCTTATGTTGTAACATAAAGATCAAACTTTGGCCATTTTTTTAAATAGAGGGTTCGATTTTCTTTATTTCCTCAAATATCACGATCCTGCCTACTGTGCTCCGTCTGCGAAAAAGAAGACTCTCCTTGAAATTTCAATAAAGTGACGTCAAACAACTAATATTCTTTTTTGCCTTGAAATCCTCACGGAATGAAATAAGAAAAAGACATTCTTGCTAGTCAAGCGACCGACTCAATTACTCAATTTTAGATTTTAATCTCATGCTCCCGGGCAATCTACGAGGGAAAATGAGTGGACGTTAATTTTCAAAAAACACAAATTGTAATTGAACGGAGTCTTTTCTGGAAATTTAATCCAACATGGCAACAAAACAACGTAGAATTATATATCTTGTTCGATAGCCGTGTGTGGGGGGGGATGCGTGTGTGTGGTGTGTGTGAGAGAGAGAGAGTGTGTGTGTGTGTGTGAGTGTGTGTATGTATGTATATATATAACATGGTATATAAATAAATACATCGTATTGGAGAATTGCGTTGTAAACGACTCAAGGGTTAAAATGTTAATTGCAGCAATCTGACCCATGAAAGGCGTTTTGGTCCTTGACTTTGGTTACATAAATGCACGGGAATCTAGTAGACGTTTGTTGTCGTTACCAATTATGCAATTACTGTTTGGATATGACAAATTGTTTTTCTTTTAAACCTGAATAATTATTTACATCTAAGATTATTCACAAGGATAATGGATTTACAAATTACAATAAAATGGTATGATTAAAAATATGTGTGCCCCAATGAATATACACCAGACTTGACCCACCTATGGCATAAATCACCGTGTCGTTGATGCAAATCCCACCGGAGGAGGTTCCAGTAATGAATTGCTTTTGAACCTTTTTGTCCTGCGAAAATACATAGCATGCCAACGGTAAATCTCTGTAACAGGAACACGGACGGGCTTAAATGTATGTAAACTGTAAAATAGAAAATTTCTTTACCTCTCGTTTATAAAGTTGACGGCATCCTCGACAGTTTCGACGTTGTAAATGGGCAAAATCGGTCCGAAAATCTCATCTTCCATTACTGATTCTTTGAGTTTGACGTCTGTTAGTACTGTGGGAGCGATCTTTCTGTCTTTTTCCCTTATGTTGCCACCCACGACGATCGTTCCTTCCTTGAGCAACGAGCAAAGCCGCCTGAAAGAGAAAAAAATCCCAAGTCATTCTGCTAGAAGTCCGAGTTTTGAATACATCATTACTTGAAATGGACTTCGTTGATTATACTGCAGATATCCTTCGAGTCCAACGGTTTCTCGCCGAAAAATTCCTCGATGCCTTTTTTAAGTTCCTCGACCAGTTTGGATTGGATGTCTTTGGAGCAGAGGATGTAATCGGGCGCGATGCAAGTCTGCCCGGAGTTGATGCATTTGCCCCAGAGAATCCTTCTCGCCGCTATCGATATGTTCGCAGTCTTGTCTATAAAAACTGGGCTGAAACAGCGATAGAAGACATTACCCCCCTACTACCACATATTTGAACAATACCTTATTATACTACAAAACAGTATGGAAGAAACAATAAGAACATCATCTCAGAGGTCATCTGCAACCCTAGTTGGTATGACACGTCCTCACAAGCATGCGCGCGCATTTGGTCGAAGACGAAGAAGGGAACGTTAAGGATGTTAATTAATTATTCTTAAGTAATTAATTATTCTTTTCATCTAAGGTTTTTGGTTGAGATGAAAAATTAGCGTCATGAGAAGGATTCGAACCCACGATCTTCGGCTGAATACGCCGCTGCTCTAACCACTTGAGCTATCGTGACGTCGATCCCCTCGGTCAGCAACGTCCCATCTCACCCTACAAACGTTCGAATTTTCCTTCTTTTTTCCATTTTTCATCTCAACAAAAACCTTACATTAAAAGAATAATTAATTGGAATAACAAAGATGGTCAATTATGGCCACTAAACAAATATGGATTTTTCTTAAGGTTTTAGATTGGAGGAATTGGAATAAGGTGTAGCCCCGAACCACTCTGTAGGTGCACATCAGACGAGTGTTTTGTTGATGGTTTGTTTTTCAAATTCAAGTGGATCGAAGGTCGAGTCTGAGTAAGAGTATCTCTCTTATGTACTTCTGTACTATGTCAATGGTATGTCATGCAGTCGTAATGGAGGACACAGGACTTTCGTGTTTTCCACAATTTCCTTCTTTTGCTTTTAATCTCCATTTGCACTACCAGTCCAAAAACTTATCCATGTTAAATCGGATCGATTTTTATTCAACAGGATGGTTAGTATTCTTAAGGCACAAGATTCAGTACTTGGAGAAGAATTTTTTTCTATTTTCGTCAATTTCAGTAAAACCAAAAATGTAAAATTTCTAGAATACCTTTTCCCGCCCATTTCCAAAGTGACCGGCGTCAGGTGTTCGTTCGCAGCGGCTCTCACCAGTTGTCCAACCCTTTTCGATCCGGTGTAGAAAATGTAGTCGAACTTCCGTTTCAGTAAATTCTCCGTGAGTTTCACTCCACCGAACAAGACGTGGTAGCAATCCTGGAAATCGAGAACACCATTAACCTTCTGCCTCAGAGCAATGTAGCTTGGTCTCACTTTGTCCAAGTACTGGGGAATTATCTTGGTCAACGCTTTAGACGTCGCCGGAGAGTTTTCCGATGGTTTCAGGATGACGCAGTTGCCGGCAGCTATCGCGCCGATCAGCGGCATCAGAATCAGGTTGACCGGGTAGTTCCACGCCCCGATTATCAAGACGACTCCTCTTGGGTCGTTCACGATGACCGCTTCGTCTAACAAGGTAAGAATTGTTTTCGGAGGCTGGAAATAAGTCATTTGCTTGTCAAATGTTGCAATTATTATTCCAAACTTTTTTAAAAATTTTATCCAATATCTTGACTAGAAATCGGAACTGAAAGTTGATTTTTGTCTACTGCCACCTTATCAGCGTATTTTTAATAACATTTTTCATACTTTACATTTTTGTTAATAATATAAAGTCTACACTTTAAACTTAGATTTAAAGTTCGATACGATCTCATAAAAATAATATATAAATTTGTTGTGAGATTTCCCTTAGCTACCTGCGAGATTATGAACCTGCTGGCCTTTCCGATTGTAATATGTTCTATTTTTGGATTTATGTAAGCCCGAATGTGCACATGTGCAGAGTTGAGCGTATCACTTCTCGCAGTCCACCAACAATACACGTTTTTTTAATTACAATAAATTACGGGCAGGCCTCGAGAATCCCCGGGTGTTGGCAGTCCGGGGTCAAACCTCGGTCTTATCCGTCCAGCCACCGAGGTTGGGCTCCGAGTGCTGACAACAGCTAGCAGCACCCAACGCATGTAGTTCCTAGATTCAAGCCCATTCACACTCTCACTCATCCTTAAATACATTTTTTTCCTATTTCACTCAGGATGGTGTAATATTCGATATTCCTCTGATACCCTTTACACTATATATCTAAGCTAATTGAGAGTCGATGGGGTACGCAATATTCCGCCATCAGCCCTCTTACACTAAACATTCACTCCAACAAATACATTCACTGTCAACACACGTTAGATACCCAAAACTATCTGAACTATATATAATAAAATAACCCTATTTCCTAAAAAAACAAGAGCAGGGGACCCAAAGATACGCCGCGTGGTCGAGCACAATTCTTATATGGGCGCCATTCCTACTTACTCCATAAAGGAATAACACCCTTCAATTGTGTGGAAGACATTGAGCAACCTATCTCTGTATGCCGGCATATGCGGGCTTTGGCCTAAAAATAAGAGTCCGTGTGTCAACTGCTTTTTTCAAGCATTCATTCTAAGTCGGGTGAGGATGATCCTTCTTCTGCAGTTTAAATTCTCCGGGGGCCACCTATCAATCGTGCTCTCGACGCGTAAAAGCTTCTCGAACGACCCAGTGCTATGACACCGCCACCATTTCTTTAACATATTCTTTACTTCTTGTTAAACGTCGGCGGGTCGGATCGCGATAGTACCGTCTGGAGTGTGAACCGTTCCTGCTTTCGCCACCTCGTCTGCATGTTCTTTCCCTCCCAGACCGCGTCCAGGTACCCATGCAATCACTACCGATTTTCCGAGGCGCTCCAACTCAGCGTTTCTTTCGAATAAAAGCACGACAATGAGATCCTTCGAGAATCAGGGAATCAGTGCACACTATTGACAATGCAGTCTATTGACAATGGCGTGGTATATTTCGAATATTAATTATGTTAAAGGAATATAAATATTAATTTTTTGTTTTAAAAATATTGTTTTTCTACTTTCGAATGTTCAAGCTGCAGACACGGTACACAATTGTTTTCCTCTCACCTATTCCATAATGCAATCATTTGGAACAGCCAAAAAAAAGGAAATATTTTGCCGCTCTGGTGGTTGGATGAACAACAAAAGGAAAGTCACATGGTGGGACATGGCTGACTTCTCTTCGATGCAAGCGGTGGCCACCACGAAATGTTTTTACGATTTGGTTGTAAAAAATTGTTAATGGTTTAAGTTGTATACCTCGGCCGTCCTCTTAAAGGGCAAAAATTAAAGCCCTTCAAAATCGGATACACCGGATGTAATATCCAACTATAGAAAACCACATATGCTCTTGTTTCGTCAGGGGCGATTAAATTTGGTTTAATAGTTTATGCCAATCAATAGGTCCTGAGCCCATCTGTGGCATAGGGATACACATTATCAATGAGTTCCTTAGATAAAAGAACGAAATGAAAATGAGGAAACAGTGGAATTCACATACTGGATATAAAAATTCTAAGAATAACCTTCTAGCAAATTTTGGACGGGAAGAAACGACAGAATCATCAAAGGAAGGAGGAAAACCTTTTAACAGGACACTGCAGACTGAATGAGAATTTGATGAAGATTGGTTCTGCCAAGAAGCAGAATTGACACCACCGGTGTGCTGTAAGAACAGAACTGGGGATACAATAGCTCTTAAAGAGCGCACTAAATTACCCACCCCCATCTACATCTAACTTATGTCAAGTTGAAAGATTATTTATATTGATCGTTTTACACAGGTTTTCAACTTACTTAGTGTGCCTGGTTAACAGCAAAAACTAGAAAAAATTGAATAGTTAAACTTTTGAAAAAATTTATTGTCAAACTTACTTTAAGAAATGCAAAGAAACTGTAGTTATTGCAATGCTTGAAAATAAATCTTATGCTACAAAAAACTGTTTACATTTTTTTCTAGATTGAGTAGTTTTTGACACAACCAAACACGGTTGGCACCCTATGTGTAGTATGTATAGCATGTATCTATGCCAATTTTTTTTTCTTTTATTCTGGGTGATTGGTTATCCAAATCTAAAAGTTATCGTTTTGACCAGAAAAAAGTTAAAGTAAAGGCAGAAAAGGTGAAAGTATAATAATTACATGACGTACACTGTATGGTTCCATCCATGATTTTAGATTGCTGAGCGCGTTTTTCGCTTCGTTTATGGTAATATCGATTTCTGTTAACGCCGACTCGAATACACTCTGAAAATAAGATAATTGTAAAATGTGATAACAAAAAAGTGTGCATTCGACTTTGTATTTTTTACCTTGTTTAAATCTTCTTTCAAAGCCTGATAAAACTCATCTCTGTGGACTTCGCACATGCGAATGATGTTCTTCAATTGTTGCTTTCTAAATTCGTAGGGTTTCGATTTCCCTTTTGCGAACGCTGTACGCGCTTTCAGCAATACCTGTAAAACATTTTTTTTTTTTTTTCAATTGAGATCTAAATTCACCCAAATCCATATCAACTTTATAATATGTTTTTACGTGGCCGTGGCCACAGCACTAACACTAAATCCAGCGCTGCACCAGGAGGACACGTACCATGAGAAACCAGCCAATGCTGGCACTCAGAGTGAGGGATTACGGTTCAATGAGGACTCGAGGATATCGTCGATTAAGTCGACTTGTCGCGTTCTCGGAATGGAAATGTTTAGAGAGGGCTCAAGCAGTAGGATTATGTATCGAGAGGTTAGTGCGTAACTTTAGGAATCAGGAACGGATCAGTTCGATGAAAAAAAGAAATGTTGAGATCATTGTGGATAGTGAGGTTAGTGATGTAGTAAGGAACTTTGGATGAGTTGCCTGAAGTCTTTTGATTAGAAGGGTGGGATACGCTGTATGTTGGATGGCTTGGCAGAGCCCCAGAGTCGTATGACCAAAGTGGTTGCAGCAAAGCCGTATTAATTATTTATCCGTTATTTTAATGTACCATCAAAACGGATCTCGATCCTAGAAGTCTTAGCAGTTGTCCAAGTCCAAGTTGTTTTCTTTTGTCCAAGTTAAGCTGTTGTCTCAGAAGTCTTGTATGGGAATTCCACGTCAGTCTGCTGTCTAGGTATGGTCCTAAGTATCTGAATTGAATGGATGTCGGTATCTCTTTGCTGATTATGTAAAGTGAAGGACAAAACTTTTTTTCAATGTGAAGGTACGCTGAGTACATTTTGCTTCATTCAGATTTGTCCTCCACTTGCACCAATCTTTGATGAGCTCAAGGTGTTCTTGGCTGTTGGAGGACTCGGATTCGAGTTAGAGGACTGAATTGCGGTTTCGACCACGTAGATGGTGACGATGGTATGGGGTAGGTAGTCAGCGATAGATGATATACAGGATAGGACACCGGTTTTTTTGTATCTGTATGACTTCAGAGAACTCGTTCCCGCACCTCACTCAAAAACAGCGGTCGGTTTGAAATGTATTCAGGATAAGGTAATAAGGAGTAGTTAAAACAATTAATTTTCTAAGGCCAAAAACTAATTTTTGTATTGTTTTCTTTCCGATGGGGCCGCCAAGAATGCTCCCTTGTGAACAGTGCTCCCTTATTAGTAGCCGAATCCGGGTGCCACATTGGAGGCGGTGGACACCCAGTGGGAGAGAGGAGATTGGGAAAGACGATCTTTGGGTGTATTTCAAGCTTCGATAAAAGAGGACTTCCTGTGATTTTTTTTAGAGATAGACACAGGACAGGGCGTCTTATAACGAAGCTTGAAATACACCTGATGATCGTCTTTCCTTATCTCCTCTCTCCCACTGGGTGTCCACCGCCTCCAATATTATGGTATCCCGATTTGGACTCCTCATAAGGAAGACAGCACTATAATAAAATTGATAGTAACTTCACTAATTTCGAGGTCCGCTTGACCAATTAATACATTACAATTAATTAAGGTTTTTAGTTGAGATGAAAAAAACTAATGGCACGAGCGGGATTCGAACTCACGATCTTCGGCTAGATACGCCGCTGTTCTACCACTTGAGCTATTGTGACCTCGATCCACTCGGACACCAACTTCCTATCTCAAACTCAAAACTCATAAGGTGGGGTAATTGATAGTAACGTGTAATTTTCTGTAGTTGTTTGAATTTTGTGTTAGCTAGTGCAAACAAGGAATGCTTTCGTGCTGGATAAACGAGTTTTTTGGCTGAACAATTTCGTGTCATCGATTTTGCGTTACCGTTGCTTGCACATGGTTTAGGTAAGGTTAGGTAGGGTTATGGTTTGGGACGGGATAGGTTATGTTAGACATTAATTTCATTGACATTTAAGAAGCGTTAAAGTAGTTGATACATTAATTATTATTAAACAACAAACAATCATTTTCCTCATATTATGGTGTTTAATTTATACATGACCGTGAATCAAGAAATGCCATATTTCATTAAAACTTTGTTCAACTAATTTGATCGATTTTCAACACTGGCTGCTATTCGTATTTTCTTATTGTATATTTTATTTAAACAATGATAAACTCATCAGAAAATATATGTAGATGATTTATGTGGAGTGTAAAGTGAAACGCTTAAGATTTTAGGGGGGGATAGGTGTCCTGTTCTGATTTTATTTTGGTCCAACGGGGGCAATAGCTTGAAAGTTTTCCGCCTCGGGTCTTGACCTCTCACCAAGTTATTTGTGAATGGTCAAAAAAAATGACCTCCCTCGTACAATTCACAAAGGCGGGTCGGGGAAAAAATAAACAGCTATGCTGCTTGTCAATGCTGGTTCAATTTGTAACAAGTTAAAAGCAACAACCATCGCCTATTCTCGCTTTAAGCTTTTCAATGGTTCAGTATGATCTTTTCCTTGTTCGTCCTATGTGTAAGCTCTAAATGCAGCAAGGTGATTTGAAGAGAACTTGTATTATTGCGGTCCTTTCTGTGTGTTTGGTAGGGTTTTCGTTTTCGATTAGTCGTACGATACTTAATTATTGATGATCTACGTGAATGAATATTTAATTGCCTGTTGTATGGTTTAAGTTTGTTTATTGCCTATTCCAAAATGTCCTTTTTTTTAACATGAATATGTTTTTGGCCAGGATATACAAAGGTTTTTTGCGTGACCCTTTTACACTTCATAGATTTAGTCAAGATTAGCGTTAGCATAGGTAGGGTTAGGGACCGGTTAGGTTAGGTTAGCACACTGAACGTATGCGTAAATAATCATTAAGTAGATAAAATTTTGGGGAAAAAATCAAGGCATCATATGATGTGGTGCTCAATTTTTTACAATATTTCTGTTTTAATAACTTGGTGGCAAACCAAATTTGTGTAGCCCATCTTGCATATTAATTTCTTTAACAATATGCAAGATGGGTATATATATATATATATATATACACTTCTATTTCTCAGGAAAGCCTAGGCACAAAAAGCTCAGATATAGATCTGATACGATAGGCGTGTTAAAGCGTAGTTAATGTACGCTCTAAGATAAAAAAAAACCGGTTACTCGGATTTTTTCTTAACAGCGTGTTTTTAACTCGAGAAGATCTCGTTCTAACGACAGACGTAGCTCTACAACAATCATGAAAAAGCTTTGTGATACAAGCCTAGTCTCTAGAAGGCCCGCATCAGTTGCTCTACTACTGGTGCGTCGAGGAGAGAAACTTTCCAAATCAGCATCTCGCTTGCACATTTGAACATTGGAGGGTTGCATGCCTCGCTTCATTCGTGAGTCCTTACTCCGTATTCTATAACAAAATCATTGAAAACAGACGGAACAGAACGTCCATCTTGGAAAAGAATGATATCCCACAATGCAAAGTACAACACGACCCCAACACTCGAAATCGTAATGCGCGTTGATACATTCATTCCCTACGAAACAAAGGTTGCTACTACATCGTGTCAAGTCATACGCTTATTTAATTCCATGTCTAGGAGACTTAAGTCCCTCCGCGGCGAGGCTAAAGAATGTAATATGTTTTGTTTTTTCTTTTTTTTTACGAGGGTTCACAACAGCAGAGGTTATATCAACTCTCGGTGTGCCGGTGTTTTTTTAAAAAAAAGCCCATTTGTAAGTATGTCGGGTTCGAATGCAGGGCCTCTGGTTTCGAACCCGGGACCTTTCCTTACAGTGATTAGCGCCGTGTCAACGTCTAAACCGTTGCAGCCACCGACGCCCCAAAACGCGTTGTTAACAACAAAACTAGATAATAAATTGTTAGTTAAATTTTAATCATTAAATGATTTTCCAGTATATTGATGAATTTTCTTTAAAAACCATCATAATTAAATATTATTAAGTAAATAAAAATTAATTAATTTCGTACACAATAGTATACAACTGTAACCCCTTTTCTATCTGGCTTTCCGCAAAAATGGTTTACCCAATTTATGGCATGGCTCTTCGTTCAAAACGTAATTAAAAACGATATACAAACTCAGACAGATAAAGGAAAGACAAGTAATTTATCGGAAATAAATAAATAAACTTTGAAATGACAAAGGGGAAAGCCTTGACTCATTTTGACAAAGAATAAATTTTACTGATTAGTGACCGTTAGTCAATGATTATTCGGAGGTCGTGAGGTGACCGCATCTCATGACTTCCGAATAATAATAAATTTTACTTTTTTTTAGATACGTCCGGACAGCACCGAAGACAGTCAGTGTGAGTACTTCCCTCTCTTAGCATAAGAACAAAGGGAAAGATAATCCGCCTATCGGTACTGGCGATTAGAGGGGTGACACAACTTACACAAATGTAACTTAAGACAGTATTTTTGGCTTTACAAAGCCGTCAAAAGGAGTGCTTTTTCAAATAAATTAAAGTATAATTTATAACATTAATAACAGAGATAAAGAAAAAAAAGGGAAGTTATATAAATTGAATAAATCATATTTATTTCTCTACAATTGTGAAAAACATAACCATATCATTTTGCCAGACAAAAAATATACAATTTAAAAACAATAAACAATTGGCCATGTAACGTTAAAAATTATGTAACTTAAATAAATAACAAATAACTTATAGGAAAATCAACAGACGAAAAATACATATTATTAAATTAACTAATAGCACTTAAATGGCATCTACAAAATATTTTATGCAAGTGACGATCTTAAAATGTAAGCCTCTGTAAAGTCAATCGACTATGTCCAATCTTTACCATTTAAAAAAGCTATCAGTGTTTCCCCATAGAGAATTTCAAAGCCGAACAACCATTCATAATTAATTTTTTTTAATGGCTTTATGTTCTGAGCATATAGCCAATGGCAATGTTATTATGCGTATTCGTTTTTTTTTTTTGTTGTTGTTTTTTTTGGGGGGGGGGAAGGGTAGCGTGAAAAAATGGCCAGAGGCGACGGTGGGAATCGAACCCACGACCGCGGGATCCACGAGCCGAGAGTCTCTCACGCAAACCACTCGGCTACGGCGGCCCCCATATTTTTTATTAAAACTCATAAATTTCTGATCTCGTTTAAATTGGTCAACCTTAAAATAACTATGTTGTAATTAATATAACTATAAAATACATAGGTTTAGTGTGAAATAACGGTAAAGATAAATTAGTAATCCAGGTTGCTAGAAAAATTAAAAAATTTTAATTTACACTTGCAAGGTTTTTTTTCTGAATACTCAAATTTTTATGTAGAAATGTATGATGTTTAGTGACCAATAGCCAATGATTATTTGGAGATCGCGAGATGCGGTCTGGTGTGACGTAGGTTTAAAAAAAATTTCTTTATCGTGCTAACGTTTCGATCTTTATTGAGATCATCTTCAGGGCTTGTGATTTATTGTTAAAATTTTACAAATACAAAAAATGATGAATGTGAAAAAAATGAATTTATACAATGCTAGAAAATTTTAGATAAAAAAATGAATTTTCTAGCATTATATAAATCTTTTTTTCAATCTAAATTTTTCTAGCATTGTATAAATTCATTTTTTTATCTAAAATTTTCTAGCATTGCATAAATTCTTAATTTTTTTCACATCCTAGATGTATTTGCAATATTTAAACAATGTTTATAAATCCCAGGCCCTGAAGATGATCTCAATAAAGATCGAAACGTTGGCACGATAAAGAAAATGTTTTCTTAAAACCTACGTCACAACAGACCGCATCTCACGATCTCCGAATAATCAAATTTTTATATTAGCTAAGGTAGGTTAGGGTTCGAGACGGGTTTATAAAAATAAAAAATAATAATAATAATAGTGACACATTAGTAAAAAGATAAACCCTTTTCGAGAAAGGCGTTGATTGTGAGATTTACCTCCTGTGCAGTTTGCGGTGTGTCACTATCAAACAAAAATTTTTGATTGTTGGTTTATTTCCGTACTTGGTGGAATTGCTATAATTAATGATGTTTTTCTTTTACAAACACATGCTGAACGACGGGGATTTGTAAGTAAATATGTATAAATATATTTTCCAAAAAAAGCACCTTTAATGTATACAAAACAATTATTCTTACGCTATCTTTAAACTTTAATTTTAATTCGAATGTTTAGCTCGTTAAGTTAAATTAATGTACATTATAATCGAGTGTTTTTCCAAGCCTTCGGGTAGATAAAGCAAATAGTTCAATCCAATTTTTTTAAATTTAAAATCATTTTGAAACCAAGTATATGATGCGGTAAAACGACTACTCACCCCATCGATGTCTTTATCTTGCGACATGGTATCTGAAAAATGATAAGACGATCAAATTCAGATCAAATGAATCCTAACGTATTAAAAATATTAATCATAACAACAGTGCTAACATTGTTTAAAAAATTGTGCCATTGTAGGGATTAATAACAGATCGAACACACACACACACACGCTTTATTGAGTGAAAACATATATTTAACTTCTAAATTTAATCACTTAAACCAAATTTACACTTACAGTAAATTCTGCCTTGGCTTTTGGTCCGTACGACGCTATTGCCGCCGTCAGTTTAACCCTCAAACTAACGACTGAGGAATCGAATTGTATGTAGATGAAGTATGTTGCATATATACATATATTTAGATAACAGTCGAAATTCGACTTCGATAAATCGTCACATCCCGGATCGAGTTGCCCATTCGGCCGACTACGCAAAACTGATTACCGCGGCGTTATCTTTGTACAAGAATTTAGCGTCCAGAAATGAAGAAACTTTTTCTACGATCTCACACCAGGGGCATACAGCTCAACCTCAGAGAGGAACGACTTATTTTGCAGACAATCCGAGCATAACATGCGACATGATGTCCTTCCTAACGTATCCGATTGCTCCGAATTCGCCAAGGGACTACTCAGACTCCTTCCTGTGGAAGCGGTGTGCCGCAGAGCATTATGCTCAGACCAATCATATACTCCCGTTACACTTCAAATATTCCGATTACAAGCCCTACGAAATAGCCGTGCTAACCTCCAATTGCTCTGAAGGAGCTCCAGGCACATATCCAACCAAATGGAACAAATTTTGGCGGTTAAAGATGATCTTTCTTCACCTTCCATACGAAAAAAACCTCTCACAATATTCCTCAAGTCTGACGTATACAACTTACGGCTCTATCTAGACTTATGCCTAACCTGCAAACGACACAATAAAAAGGAAGGAATCAAACAGACGCTTCGGACTTCCCTACAAACTGCTGGCACGCAAATTTAACGTATCGACAAAAAACAAAACTGACAATCTACAGAACAATTTGGACGTATGGACTAGAATTGGAGGCATCCAAATAATACAGTTCTTCCATTTCAAAACCATGAGAGCCACAGTCAACGCTCACTACTGTATCTCCAATACTTCCATTCACAATGACCTCATAATAACCTTTGAGGATCTCCAAGAATTTTCATCTTAACACATCACTTCAATCCATGACCAACAAAAACCATTCCGTTTATGTCAGCGTCAGCTGCCCCGGTATCTCTCGTCAAGGCTTCTTATTTTAATCAGCCTTCTCTCTTCGAAGGCTGGCGATCCTCATCGAAATCTTTGCTTTTGAAACTGCCATCAGAACCAAGTCAAAAGCCTTCAACCATGAGTTTTGTCAACGACCAATCATCTCTTTCCTTCAATTCAGTGACGCTAGATTCGAACCGGGACCTTTACCTTACAGTGATGAGTCGCCGTGCCAACGCGTTAACTGTTACAGCCACCGACGCCTCAGGAGGACCTCTTTGTTGGAAACTATTTGCACCGATGACATCTTGAGCATGCGTCTGTATAGAGTCAATGCCTCTGTATTCAGAGTAGTTATTCGTATTAGCAGCAAGTACTCGGACTAGTCCTTGCTAAACGTTGGGAGAGCATGCTCACTCCTCTCAAGATGTTCAGTCAGTGCCGATTGTAAATATAGGGACTGCGGTAGCCGGGTGGCGACAGACTCCCATCGACTCCCCTGGAATTTCTGATCCTACACCTATATCCATTCATCTATTGCTAGTTAATATGGGGAAAATCAACTATAAAATCTTTCTTTCTAGGAAAAAGGTACGTGTTGGGTCTTATTCATAAGAGTTCCACAATACAACTAGGTGGCAGTGGAGTAAAAGCTGGAGTCCCTACTTGACCCCCCCTTACCCCTTCTTACTTTAACCTAGCCCGTTCTCAACCTACCCCTAACCCACGTGCACTCCCTGGTAATGCGAATTGCGAAGTCGTTGACGCAAAAAAATGTGTGTACCCGAATTGCAAAAATGTCAACGTGGTAAAAATTTTAAATAAATTTAAATTTTGAAATAAACGACACTTTTCGAAACAAGTCTTCAAAATCGAGAGACTTCCTTGATTTAGTTTTAAGAATGGTTAAATGATCATTGTTTATAAACTTTCCTTTTGACTGGAATAGAACGTTTGATCGTTCTTCTTATTTCTCAATCCATCTTGGCGTTCAATTGACAAGTGTTGCCGATTGATATGTGAATCATCGAAATGTGTACGCGGTTCACATGGTCAAAAGATACAGCTGATGATAGATAGATACTTTCTAAATGAAACGATCATTAAAAGATCTGGCAGGAAACTGTCAGACGACGGGGATGTGGATGGGGGAGAGAAGCCATGTAAGTACTGTCCAAGTAGAACCCAAGTTAGCGGATTTGGTTGGATGGGGGAATTACCTGACTGTTTATGCGCACTGGTAGGCAGGTATTTCGTCTAAGTGTGAACGTCACGTGCCGGCTCTTTTGTTCATTTAGCTTGATGTGCCATCAAGTGTACTAGTCGGTAATGAGGTCCAGGTGGTCTTGGGCTGCTTTTGCTGCAGGAATATGGTCAGAATGTGAGGAGAGGATCGCGGTGTAGTCCGCGGAGGTCGTAATGTAGGTATATGGTACAACCTTGTTAGACTCCACAACTGTTTCAAAAGCATCAAATGCAGACGATGGTTGTGCATAGGAAAAAATTAATCGACCTGCTTAGCGTTGTGATTTTTCCAAAGCCAATCGTAAAATTCTTCTTTCCACCGTCAGACGTCTCTTTAATTAGTTAACAATAGAAAATTCTTTCACAGCTAATATGTTGTTTTGTTAATAATTCCGAAAATATCCTGGAATCTTTTCTTGAAAGACATTAGCTCAAATGTGCTCGTTCGTCATTACTTGCACACTGATATCTTCAAGTTAGTTCATTTAAATAAAATATCCATTTATTTACTTTTTAGGTTTAATAATAAATTAATGAAAAAATAATATGCTAAATACTGATGATTATGGATTAAAGCAGTTCGCAAAGTACAAAGTTGCAACTAAGTCCAGGAACTAGATCAAATTGTAGTTTTATCTTTTTTGTGTTGGCCAATTCCTTCTGGTACCGACGGCTCAAAAACGGATAGAGGTACGGGAGTTGGAATCCTGGGGATATATCCGACGGCCGAACTGACTTTAAACCTAGGTAAATTTACAGTTTTCCAGTTTGAAATTAAACCAGAGAAATAAAAAAAAACTAGAAACACATTCTAGTAAGACAGTAAGGCCTTATCCTCAACCTTGGTTAAGGGAAAAAGCGTATGTAATTGTATGAGAAGTCACTGACACCGATGACCTTCACCTGGGATGGGGCCCTGCATTCGGGACAGAGGCAACGAGAATGTGGACATATTGTACAGAAAAGATGGCAGTATGGATTCTCTAGGCCCGAACCCTACTACGGCCACAAAAAAAGTATACATCCAAAAATGGATCCTTAATGAGTTCAAAATCTGCTGGAGCAACACCCCACGCATGAGGCAAGCGATGATATCCATACAAGGGCCATCTGTAAGACATGCAAAGGAATTAGCTGGAAGGTACCCGCAATAAAATCAGGATTCAGGTAGGACTCCTGACAGGGCTCTGCCCTGTGAGACGGCACATGCACTGAATAGGAGTACAGAAGAAATACTGTGCAGATATCGCCAGGAAGAAGAGGAGACCGTAGAACGCATTCTACTTTTTTTGAGGGTCTATATAGGTGTAGATTCATGCAACTAGGAGAGGAAAAATCGCAAACAACATTCTACACTAAGGAGCCGGTGGCAAGGCTATGGATGGCTATGGTTGATGAACCACCCGGGCAGTGAGTTATACAAATGTACGATGGAGCACAATAGGTCTACTAAGGTCGAGCCCGAGGGATGAGCATCGATAAAAAACATCAATGATCGCATTAAACTTCGGAACCTCACCATCGATGTTGGTACGACCATCGGCTCTACAGGCTACATATCGATGGGTTTTTTTTGTGTACTCACTACTCAAACTACAAATTATTTTCATATGTATACATTATTTTTGTGCCACGTTAGAAACGTAAGCTAATTTTTCAAACTTCGCCATTTCAGAACCTTTATTATGAACTTGATTAATAAAAATTATGTTTATTTTTTTAATAACATTTATCAAGAATTATTTTTGCTTTTGGTTTCATTTATAGTTGTATATAGATCTCTCGGTCCTTTTTAAATAAAAGACGTATATTGTTAAAGTATTTTGTGCTTGTGAATTTTATTCAAAATACCTCTCTGTTTTTCTTCCACATCCACAATCCACCCAAGCCCAATTCCTGTCTCTTGCTAAAAAAAAGTAAAGGTTTAACATGCACGAAACTAAAATCAACCATATCCTTAATTTACTAGAATTAATGTATCCAAATTTTACAATGAAACACTACCACATCTTCTCCGGAATGCAATTTAAAAAACCTAGCTTTAAAGCCAATTTATCCTCTAAGCGATTTCTGGTTTTCGAAATAATCTGTCCAGCTTTGGAAAATGATCGTACAGAGGGGACAGATGTGCCACCAAGGCAACAAATTGAACAACTCCTGACAGGTTCTGATAGGTCGGTCACTTTCGTATCAGAAGAATATGGGTCATTTCCTATTCACAAAAGTGGAAATTAGGAAAAACTGAAAAAGTTTATAAATCATCGACAGCCCACCATCGATGGACAAAAAACATCGACACAGTAACATCGGTGTTGAAAACATCTTCGGTCTACGTACCATGGATGTTTTCTAAACATGCTCATCCCTAGGTCGAGGTGCAAAAGGCCTTTTAGCCACCTCTTTTATCCCTATCCCTATCCTTCCTGTTTGTGTTTAATAATCTGAGAGATTCGGTCGAGAGAGGTCCTTCCAGAGGATTCTCACATATTAATTTCTTATTAAAACATTTTTATTTTTATTTTTAACAATTCAATTTCACACGGTCATTTCAGATTTCTTCCGTGTACTCTCTATTTGAGGTTATATAAAACTCGCTGTTGTTCTTTGCACTGGGTATTGTTTACGTTAGAAATGTTGCAAAACCGACTTGACTAAAAAAAAATAAACAGAAAAAAAACAGAATTGACCGAGCTGTGGCCGTAACCGCACAAGACTGGCACAAGGTTCCAGAATAAGTGGCAATCTCAGCCGGTATCCATTAACGACGAAACGGTATAAAATTTAACACGAGTGAGTTTAAATTCGGGGGAAAATTCCTTGTTAAAATTTTTGACCTGTATCGAAATGGGAGCAATTAGGTTTTTATTAAAAGATGTGATTTGGTTAAACAGGTTTTTTTTGCCTTTTCAAACCTTCACTCGTCCTTGTGAAAAAACCTCAAGCACATGTAAAACAGTATCACGCGTCGCTACTTTCTTAATAAGTATGGCTATCAATTTTTCGATTAATTGATGGTTTGTAAGATTCCTCGAACCTAACATGTTTTAAAAATAATGTAAAAATAAAAATATGCCTTGTGAGTTTATTTATTATTTTATTTATACGAAGATTTCGGCCTATTTTAATGTCATCATCGGGGCAAAACAATAATTAAAGCATTCATTCCAAGGAAAAATCTACTAAAAATTTAATTATGTCATATACATCTTTTATATGTATACATCTTTATGATTGTTTGCAGATAATAATAGAATTTGTTTTTTTTTTGTTTTTTTTTCCATCCAGACTTTCAGAAAAATATTAATTGGTCAAGCGGACCACGAAAACTAGTGAATTTAATAAGTTAAAATGAAGCATATCTTCACTAAAGCTCTCCATGGCCATTTCATTTGTCGCCGAGAATCAAATAGATTACACGACATTTGAAAAATGGCAAAAAGGAGTGAAAAATTCAAAAAGGTGGGGTTGAGATGGGAAGTTAGTGTCCGAGTGATCGAAGTCACGATGCTCGTATCTAGCCGAATCCCGCAAGTGACACTAGCTTTTTCATAGAAATGATAAATGATGGAGTGAGTGTGGTGTTCAATACTTTTTAAAAGGATAGTTCCTACTCACAGTAAGTTAGACTTACTGTGAGTAGGAACTATCCTTTTAAAAAGTATCAGCTTTTTCATTTCAACCAAAACCTTACATAAAAAGATTAAGTAATTGAAAGAAGCTATTTGGTTAATATAATGATTTAATAAGTAAAACGAAGTATATCTTCACTAAAACTATCCATGGCCACTTCATTTGTCACCGAGAATCGAATCCTGATTACACGACATTTGAAAAATGGCAAAAAGGCGGGAAAAATTCAAAAGGTGGGGTTGAGATGGGAAGTTAGTGTCCGAGTGGATCGAAGTCACGATAGCTCAAGTGGTAGAGTAGCGGCGTATCTATTCGAAGGTCGTCGGTTCGAAGCCCGCTCGTGACACTGACTTTTTTATCTCAACTAAAAACCTTAATTAATTGAAAGATAGTAATTATAAAAATAGAAAAAATGCGTTTGTAATAGGATGAAAGGAGTTAAAGTCGAATTAAAAATTTGTTTAAATTATAAAATCAATTTTTCAAAATTCCCAAAACCAGTGCTCACTTTCTACTATTTCGAACGATTCGTATCATTCCATTTCTTCGTTCAAACGGTGATATATTTTGAATATTTTTTTAAAACACAATTTATATATTTTTAAAAATTTGCCTTAGTGTGAATTCAGTCCGTTTTAGAGTGTAAGAATATTTATTGTTTAATGAACATCGATAGCGATGCTATTTCACGACCGGTTTCGTCAAAAAAAAAAGAGCTCGTTGTTGCCTCGTATATAAAAAAAATTTATATTATAAAATCAATCTTTAAAAATTCCCAAACCAGTGTGTAATTTCACCTTTTTGAAATGATTCGGATCATTCCATTAGTTTGTTCAAGCCATGATTTATTTTGAATATTTTTTTAAGACAGTTTATATATTTTTTTGAGTAATTTGCCTAGTTTGAAATTAGTACTTATTAGAGTGTAAGAATTTTTATTGCTTCATGATCATCGGTAGAGATGCTATTTTACGACCGGTTTCGGCATAAAAAGAAAAACTTGTGGCTACCTCGTATATAAATTGTTTTTTATATTATAAAATCAATTTTTCAAAATTCCCAAAACAAGTGCTCACTTTCTGCTTTTTGGTGCAATTGGTATCAATTCATTTCTTCCTTCAAACGGTGATATATTTGAATTTTTTTTTTTAAGACAAACAATTTATATTTTTTAATAATTTGTCTTAGTGTGACTTTAGTACGTTTTAGAGTGTAAGAATTTTTATTGCTTCATGACCATCGATAGAGATGCTATTTCACGACCGGTTTCGGCAATAAAAAGCTCGTTGTTATACTGGAATATAAAATTTGTTTATATTATAAAATTAATTTTTAAAAAACTAAAACCTTTCTGTACTTTCTGATTTTTGAGTTGATACGGATCATTCCATTCCGTGATATATTTGGAACATTTTTTTTAAGACAATTTGTATATTTTTTAATAAGTTGCCTTAGTGTGAATTTAGCACGTTTTAGAGCGTAAGAATTTTTATTGTTTAATGCCCATCGATAGGGATTCTATTTCACGACTGGTTTCGGCATAAAAAAGAACTCGTTGTTGCCTCGTATATAAAAAATTTTTATATTATAAAATCAATTTTTAAAAATTCCCAAACCAGTGCGTAATTTCAGCTTTTGGAAATGATTCGGATCATTCCGTTAGTTTGTTCAAACCGTGATTTATTTTGAACATTTTTTAAGACAGTTTATATATATTTTTTTTTTACTAGTTTGCCTAGTGTGAATTTAGTACGTTTTAGAGTATAAGAATTTTTATTGCTTAACGACTGTCGATAGAGATGCTATTTCACGACCGGATTCGCCATAAAAAAGCTTGTTGTTATATCGAATATAAAATTTGTTTATGTTTTAACATCAATTTTTAAAAAATCCCAAAATCAGTGCGTTCTTTCTGCTTTTGGAGTTGATTCGGATTATTACATTCGTTCGTTCACACCGTGATACATTTGGAACATTTTTTTAAGACAATTTATATTTTTTAATAATTTGTCTTAGTGTGAATTCAGTCCGTTTTAGAGTGTAAGAATATTTATTGTTTAATGACCATCGATAGCGATGCTATTTCACGACCGGTTTCGGCAAAAAAGAGCTCGTTGTTACCGCGTATATACATTTGTTTATATTATAAAATCAATTTTTAAAAATTCCCAAAACAAGTGCTCAATTTCTGCTTTTTGAGTTGAGTCGGATTAAACCATTCGTTCGTCAAAACCGTGATATATTTGGAACATTTTAATTAAGACATTAATAATTAAGACAATTTATATATTTTTAATAATTTGCGTTGTTTGAATTTAGTACGTTTTGGAGTGTAACAATTTTTATTCCATCATCACGGACGATAGAGATGCTATTTCATGACCGGTTTCGGCATAAAAAAGCTTGTTATTATATCGAATATAAAATTTGTTTATACTATAAAATCAATTTTTTTAAATCCCCCAAATAGTGCATAATTTCAGCTTTTTGAGTGATGCGGATCATTCCATTCCTTTGTTCAAACCGTGATATATTTGGAACATTTTTTTAAGACAAAAAATTTATATTTTTTAATGATTTGCCTAGTTTTAATTTAGTACATTGCAAAGTGTAAGAATTTTTATTGTTTCATGACCATCGCTAGAGATGCTATTTCACGACCGGTTTCGGCAAAAAAAAAAAGAGCTCGTTGTTATAGGGAATATAAATTTGTTTACATTATCGAATCAATTTTTAAAAATTCGCAAAATCAGTGCGTTCTTTCTGCGTTTTGAGTTGAGTCGTATCATTCCATTCGTTCGTCAAAACCGTGATACATTTGGAACAATTTTTTAAGACAGTTTATATACTTTTGATCATTTGCGTTAGTTTGAATTTAGTATGTTTTAGAGTGTAAGAATTTTTATTGTTTCATGACCATCGCTAGAGATGCTATTTCACGACCGATTTCGGCAAAAAAAAAGAACTCGTTGTTACAGGGAGTACAAAATTTGTTTACATTATAAAATATTCTGTGTTTAATTAGTGATTACTTTATTCAAGTGAGGTAGAAAATCCGAAATGCCTTTAATGCTAACTACTGTATTTGTTTACACCGCAACAGTCTTTTTTTTTATTAAACCTGAATGTGCGGTACAATTTAGCAGAACCGGTCTTAAGCGAACTGAATCGACACAAAATAAAGTATTGGAAATATCATTTAAATAGGAGATTTGTCCAGACCTTTGATTTTGGCGGGATTCAATTCGTCCGGCGACGGAGGCTTTTTGTCCACGGTGACAAAGAGGAGAGGCGAGTCCATGTTCGTCGGTGTTCGTCCTTCTGCAGGTGCGTCGGTGGTCCTGTGTCCTTCCAAGTTTGCTGAGCTTCGTCTGGAACCGAGGCACGACCGACTCTGGCGCGGTAGCAGCACGGCCTCCGCGTCCGTTTCCACCACCAGCGTTGCCCTTGCCATCGACCCTCGCCTTCTTCTCGGCCAAAAAAAAGTTCTCTTTTGTCTACGATCTACGTTAATTGTTTGTTAACCCGACAGCCCACCGCCACTTCGATAAAAAAACGTTTGATTATAAAAGCCTTGTCATTGTGCTTTAAAAGTGCTTGCAAAATGCATTTGTCATGTCACCTTGTTACTTCATATAGTCAGTATTTATTATGCCTGATTATCATTGAAAATCCATTCTTTTTTATTTATGTACAGGGTGACCGATGTTATATGCTCCGCCAATTTTTTTTTCTTTTTAAGAAGGCAAATTTATATACATAGTTTTAAAATTTTCAAATGGACAAATTTGTATTTTGTTCATCTGCCTGTTTAAGTTGTAAAAAAAATATATACATATATACACTGATGGACGAATTTAACGCACCACTCAATTTATTTACTTTAAAATTAAACCCATTATCTTTCTACATTAATTACAGATAATTGGATCTAACTTACTCAGTCAAAATAAACAGTAAAAATGCTTTGTTTACTTTTGAACTGATTTTCATTTCACGGTTGATTTTCATTTTCAGAGTCACGGTCATAAGATTATTGGAGGAACGATACAGCCTGCAAGAAGTCGCCAAGAGACTGACAATGAGTGTAAATCACTGTACAATAGGAAGCGTTCATCGGCGCTTCAGAGGGACAGGGCTTCACATTAGAAAGCCAGGACAGAGTCGACCTTGGTCTGCAGATGAGAGAGACGATAGATTAATCCGCTCAGGTGAAAGGTAGGACCCATGCTGTATGGTTCCTCAGGTGGCATTCCATGGTGGGTCGTTGATATTCGGGGAGGCATTTCCTGGGACGCCCGCACCGAATTGGTTGTTATGCGAGGAAGATCTTTAACTATACAGTGGTACTTTCAAGATATAAGCAAAGAGCAATGTAGTGCCATTGCCCACCAAATCGATGAGAGATTCATGCAGGATAAGACCAGGCCCCTTAGAGCACGTATTGTGCATGAGTCGCAGGTGAGTGCTCGATGTGGCTAGATCCAGATTTGAACCCAATCTAACACATTTGGGACCAACTCAACCGACGAGTGCGACGGCGAATCCCAGGGTCTACCATCCTAGATGAGTTGGAAACGGCTGTTCTTTATGAATGGGAAAGAATTCCTCAGGATTTTACCAGAAATATGTGAATGCAAAGGCGTTTTACGGACGTGATTCGTGCCATAGGCGGAAATATTCGGTATTAAAGTAGAGAAAAAAGTTTCTGGGCCTATAATTGCTCTTAAAGATCCTCCTCTGGCGAGTTTGTTTGATATGTTCATCATCCAAAATTCGTTTCTGTCGTGAATCCAAGATTAGGTTGATGTTTTCCCAGGTTTTGGGCGTATTCTATTTTGGATGACGCATTTTTACATGCTAATGTTTTTAGGGCCACTTGGCAGTCGGACGATTAAAAAATTTTTGTCGGCGTAACATTTTTTAAGATTTTCAATGGCAACAGCATGGTTAGGGTAGTAATCTTATAGGGAGCTTGGATAATTCTTCTAAGGACTTTTGAATGGAACACTTAGAATGGTTTCTCGATACCCCACAGGTCTGCTCCTCGTGTCCAAATATGGTTTTTACAGTCTAGTCTGATTTTGGTCCCAAACCTCTTCTTTGTTTTTTTTTTCCTATTTAAATGCCATTCACTTAGGGTGGTGGAGTACTTGATATTCCTCCATCACCCTATACACATATTATATAACTAATAATATTGAGGGTCTATGGGGTACTCTATATTGCACCTTCGCCCTACATACAAAATACATTCATTCTCAATATACACTTAGAAACAAGATATCTATAAAGTATTATGCACAGTAAAACACCCCTGTTTCATTTAAAAAACAGAACTAGATACTGCTGTGCTCAAAGAAAATTTCCATATCGTATGGCATTTGTATAGGTTCTATGTAAGGAGCCAAGGAGTGGGACACATCAAACAACCCGAATATGTAGGCTTTGGCCCAAATATGTCTGTGTGTTAACCTTGCATGGCCTATCCTTAATTGGGTGAGTCTATAAGTCAGACCTATTGGCAATACTCTTGATACTGAAGAGCTGCAGTGCCAATCCAGCCCACCAATACTGCCACTTTCTTTTAATTATGTTTTTTTCTTGCATTTTTAGCAGTGCCAGATTACAATGGTTTCATGGACATCCCAGTCCGCCTTTTTGTTACCCTCCAGATCTATGTGTCCAGGTAAAAGACAATGATCACCATTGAGACAAAATAAAGTTATCAATTGGCAAATTTTCCTATTTTCTGACCTAATGAACCTTTGGGACCATTTTTACCCTGCCTACTTTTTCTTTTAGGGATGGTCATCCATCTGTGTAGCATTTATTTCTATAGGTATTCACAAAATTGGATGCAACTTATTGAAAAATTGATTTTATTTTCATTTTTTTATTACAAACAGTAACATTAATAAGTTTTTATGTCAAAAACTAAATATTTTGTATAATTATAAAATATGAAATATACTTTAACAATTTAAACAACATATATCCTTATATGTTTTTACAAAATATCATTTAAAATATGACTTTTTAAATATGACTGAAAACAGACGTTTTGTATAATATACAATACAAAACATCAACCACATTCAATAGTTCAGAATGTGCTTTATAGTATGGAAATAGACTGAACAGTTAGACTCTTATAACTAACATTTATAACGTATGATAGTGCAACACACAATATTAAAAACAGACTTCTTGAGCATTCTTTTAAGATCGACAGTAACATACTATCAGAAAAAACAATTTGGCAAAATATTTTTTTCTTCACTTAACAACAGACTTATAAAGCACTATGTTCATGTTAATAAGTTCAATCACATCATGAACATTATAACTAGATTAATCTAGTAATTTGATGTATACCTGGCCATTGCTGAACTTCAAAATAATAATAAATGGTAGCTATGGTAACTTCATCGACAATACCAAGTAACAGGGGGTCTCACATCAAATTATTGAATTTGTTTCACATATTTCTTACAAATAGTTACAAAAATTGAACTTTGATTATTTTAATGCTGTACACTCATTACGATGCATTGTTATAAAAAACCAGTTTCAAGTTTTAAAATAGGTTCCAGCTCCTAGAACACCATCCTGCTTGAAAAAAATTTAGTGCGAAATGTAATTTCTGTTATAATGGCCAAAGTAAAAAAACTGAAGTCACTTTTATAAGGATAGTATGTACTTGTAGAAAATGAATACATATTGTTTTCCGTGTAAATGGGTTGCAATGCATAAAGAGAATAAAGCAAAAAAATTTACCATTTGCGGGAAAACTAAAAATTTCACAAGTGAATGTAGAAACCCCTGAGAAAATAATGTAAATGTAATGAAAAAAATGTAATGAAATTTTACAATTTTTAATCATTTTACAATAAATGAACAAATTATATTTAAACAAGTAAATACTTTGTTCAGATTCAACCTTCAGGTTCAGGTTGTAGTAATTATTTGAAATTGTACAACTTAACATAAATTCAAAAAAATAGCAGGATAAATTCTGACAACATGAATATTAAACTTTAGATACATTAGAAACAATGCAAGTCCTTTACTCTCTTCAATTAACATAATTAATGCCCCTTATATGAGTTAAAAATGCACAAAACTAATTTTAATATTATAAACATAACATTTATATCAAATTTAACCAACCCGCTTAAAAATTATTAAATTCGATGCCATTTTTAATTTGGTCGAAATGAGATTTTTGGTGATTTGTTTAATTCATTCAGATTCAATGCTTTCTTCCATGAATTCTGTCCAACAATCCGAAAAATAAATCATGAGGCAACCCAGCACTCAATTGTTGAATCTGTGTAGTAATCAGGTTGTAAGTGTCTTCTTCGTAAGTGGAGTAAAGTGCTGGGATTCCCATTTCAATGAATAACTCTTTAATTTTATCAATTTTCTCCTGTTCGGGTTTGCCATAGCACTCCTGCAAAAAAAAAAAAATAAATAATATCAGCTAAAGTTTATAAATAATACAATTAGTGGATTATTCTTGAGTAAATTTGTAAAAAAAAATTCCGTTTTTTTTAGCGCTGTTGTAATCTATTGCAAATGGTTATAACTTTAATGCAAAAACTTCTTTTGAATTAAAAGAATTCCTGAAAACAAAAGAATGTAAAAAAGATCACATTCTTGTTATAGAGATACTGTATCAATGTTCACAATTCCAGTCATAGAAGCAATTAATTTAATTTTAAAAAAATGGAAATGCATACAGTTGCATTCTAAGCTGGATTATGACTTTTTTTCAACATTCTAGAAACATGAATAAATAATTCCTTTTTTAGATTTAACAGAACTGTGTATAAACAAATAAAACAGTTACATATGGGAGGATTTTCATTAATGCAATTTTCAATAAATTAAAAAAAGTTCAAAACAAAGGATAGACTTCATAAAAAATATGTTCATGATACAAATCTTTCAATACACAGAGGTTACCAGTAGATGGAAGAATGTAAAAAATTACAAAAAGACAAACAGTTTACTGTGGAAATACGACAAATTGGAACTTTACCCTTTTTAAATATAAAAATTAATAAAAAACATAATATTAAATAAATAAAAAACTTTAATATTAATATTTATAAAAAGCCAGAATGTTCTGATAGAGTATTAAACAATTTTTCATCAAATTCAATACATCAAAAATTAAACATAACAAATATGATACAAAAAATATTTAAAATAAGTATTCGATGCCATAACATTTTAGATATGTATATACATGGTGTACATTTTAGATGGCCCAGCTGAATTTCTCTTGAGCCAATGATGCTATAAAAAATAATAATTTAAAAAAAATACGTGCGTAATATTTTTTTAGTCTAGTTTCAAATTTTTACCTTTTTTTGGACAAAAATTATACAGGTACCTCAGGTCCAGTTCTACTTCAAAATTTCAAATATGACCCTATATATTCTGACACATAATTTTAAAGGATTTTTTACGCTGAAAACAATAGTGCAATCGGATTTTAAATTGGTCAAAAAACAATTGACAAAGTTATGGCAGGCAGTGTAATTTCGACTAGGAGCTGACTATTTTACTGTATGTGCGCGAAAATCTAAAAAAAAAAAAATCCTCTCAGAATTGTTGCACAGGTTTTAGGTTTTTCAAAAAATTAAAAATTAAATTTTGAAGGTGAACTGTGCCTGAGGTACCCTGTATAATTTTTCTCTTACAAAAAGGTAAACATTTGAAACTAGACTAAAAAAAATTAAACATGTAGTTTTTGTTTGCTTGATAGCCCCATTGGTGCAACAGAAATTCAGCCAGGCCATCTAAAAAGGACACCCTATATACACGAAAAATAAAAATTAAAATTCATTATTNATTATATAATAAATAATCAAAAATAAACAATGTCTTGGTTAACTTGTTGACGATGCTTAACATCATAAGAAAGAACATTTGAAATATCATGGTCTACTGTGTAAATTGTAACCTTCAGCGTTCCATGAAACTGGGCATGTAAGTTACTTTTATTAATTGTCAACATATTATTTTTGTTTTTTTATATTTGATGAGTTCAAGCAGCACCCCGAAATTGATACTTGTATTAAAAAATAAAACTACTTTTTATGAAAAGTGTGTTTTTGGTTTTCTCTATCGGTGGAATAGCGTGAGTCAAGATAAAAAATAGATTTACATACTCTTAGATATTTAAGCAGCAATAAAGGCACTAAAAATGTATGCTTTAAACTCTAAACTTGTCTGGGAGTGCCTAAATTGCCTAATGGCTCTAGATAAACACACGGTTACTTTTTAAAAAAAAAGTTACTAGTTAGTTCTGAGAGATGGATTTATAGAATGAAATGAACAAACTAGCCAAAAAAAGGGGCAGCCCTCCCACCCATGGGACCAGAACCACAACCAGATGCACCGGAATGAGTGCTTATGTTGGATCTGGAAAAATGGATTGAGAAAGAAAAACTCAAAAAATCTCTCAAAAAGGAAGGCGAAGGAATTCCTCTCTCTCGATTAGCACGCAGTATTTGAAGAAAATGAAAAGCCTCTATACCAGCCACTGCCCTCCTCCGCCTAAAGAAGATGAACAAAGTAGAGACAGAAAGATGCCGACTCAGTCAGGGGGAACCAGACATGTCAGCACGTTTTCTGTGACAGTGAAGTATTAGCCCAGTTAAAGTATAGTCACTTTGGTACGGCAATTCTCACAACAAAAGAGGTGTGCAAAGAGACACTGAGGAAAGTGCTTATAGAAAAAATGCAATTTACAAAGGAAAGGATTTTTAAAATCTTTATTCGACCCAAAACCTTAAATTTGTTTTTAACAGCATTTTCTAATTTACTGATAATTTGGAAAGTTTCATCTTCTACTTCCGTATTACAAGAAAAAATGTGGGAATTTTCCATTGATGCACTCAAAACATAGATTATTTTCAGCTGTGTTATTATATAATAATTATGTTTCATCTTTTGATTTCCTTCTCTTTTGATGCTGTCTATGTTCATCAAATAAAGGTTCAAGGCTTTGACACGCAAGTTATTGAGTTTGTGGCAACGTTTTGTAGGGAAGAGAGAAAATTCATTGGAATTATTTTTGCAGAATGCATTACATCATGGTATATGTTGTTTCTTTCCAGATTTGAATTTAATTTAACTATAAATTTAACTCAATTTTTACATATCTTATGTCTACTTAAAAAAAAAAGGAAAATGACATTAGAAAAATATGTTTAAGCTTAGCTTTCCGACAGATTATAAACAGAAAATTGCAAAGTTACAACAAATAAAATTTCAGTAGAAAATTCTCCACCAGTAGGAGTGGGGCCAAGAAAAAGACCGTATATTCGAGAAATCGTTATAAACAGTATTGTAGTTTATGAGTTTATCTGGTTTTACATAAACAAAAAAGGCTCAAAAGAACAAATTTTTTTACTGAACATATATGTTCACACCTTACCTCAAACAACTTCCTTTGGCTTGGGGAAGCTCTTTGTAAAGCAACTGCAGCAAGCCATGTACATTTACCATGTTTAATATCTGTCCCCTGCTTTCCCGTCAATTCAATATCTCCAAAAACATCCAAGTAATCATCCTAACAAATAAATAAAACTATTACTAGAATTTTTTTTATTACATGTATATGCTGCCAAATTATATGTGCAAAGAAATATAATTGGAAGGATTGGTAATGCAAAATAACCACATGGATGGTTTAAAAAAAAAACTTTTTGTGAAATTAAATACCTGTACTTGAAAGTAGTGTCCCATTGCAAGTAATACAGTCTTAGCTTGCCGATGCATTTCCTTGTCAAAGATCCCTGCCTAAAATAAAGTAACATTAGTCTGTAATTTTTTACAAGGTAATATCAACACTTACTAAATACATTCCAATTGCAACTGGAAGATGAAACGTATAGCATGACGTTTTATATGTTGTAATAAAGTTATAACGGTCCATATTAATCTTTTCAAATTGTGTCCCATCCAATGAGGCTGTGTTTGTATCAATTATTTGGCCAATTGTTGTATTTAAAGTAGTCTACAAAAAATATTTGAAAATGTAAATACCATCAAATGTCTGACAAAAACATTCAAAAAAGAACAGGATGATCACTGATGATCAGTACTGATGAAACAGCGGACAAATGTAATAAAAACTGGCCAACAAGATTATATATAACTCCTTTCCACTTCTTGTCATTTTAAATTATAAAACTTAAATTTGCTTAATTTATGATTTTTTTTCATAATTTTCTTATTATTTGTGTGTACAGTTTGGGATGTTAGATTTAATAAAACATTTTTAATTTCAGTATTCAGTATAGTTAAAACTACTTTTTGTATACTTATTATATTATTTTATAATATTAATTTTTATTTGGGTTTACATATTCGATGTAGGAAAACAAAAATTAATAAATGTTTTATTGATGCCAGTTCAAATTATCAATAATTTTGCTACAAATAATGCACAATATCAATAATGATCTTTCAAACCTCATGAAACAACTCCATTATTGGGATATAATGTGGAGTTCCATTGAGGTGCTGTTTTAAAAGTTTGTAAATGCTGGATTCTAACAGAAGAGCATCATTGAGAGCCTTTAAACCAACACCAGGCACTTTATACCAACAAGGTCTACCTCGCCTCGTCTCAGACTCATCAATAATATCATCCAGGACGATGAAAAATCCTTGAACCTGCAAAAGATAATAAATAGCTGTTTAAAACATTGAATACAAGTTAGATTAAATGTTATGAGTTTGATTTTATTTATTTTTCAAATATAAGAAGAGAGCATGTTTGAGATTTGTTTCTTCAGTTGTACGTAACGATTTAATGATTAGAGGAATAACAGATTGTTTTTTAACCATCGGCCTGTAGCCCTGTGCTGAGTGCTACAATTACTACAATCCCATCCTTCTATTTCTAGCCAAATGGGTCATTTTCCTCAGAGAATTTGTTTATCAACCCTTCACAGAGCAGGTCCAGTTTCTGATTTAATTACCTCCTTTACATTCCTCAAATTTCCTTCCCCAAATCCCATTCTGTTCCACTTTGGGCAACACCATTTTCTACCTATTTATTATATTATCTTCGATTTCTTTTGTATTTTACTGCCAGGGCCCATCAAAAAGAATTAATTATTGGATGAAAAAGATAATTTAATTGGGAATGAAACTGTTAATAGTAGAGATTATTTCAAAACTGATGATCACACCAATGAGTCTGAACATGAAAATGGTGATGTGTTTTTTGCTTTAGTTTTTTTTAACATGGATATTGTTTTTAAGCTGAATGCACAATTTTTTGAGGTCTTTTTTCCATCATTGATTTTGCATTATATTGAAGTGTGTATAGTTGAGCTAGATTATGTTAAAAATTGCTTGACTAAATTCAGTTAGATTAAGGGTAGGGTTAAGGTTACCTTAGATAAGGCTAAGTTACATATCCATCATTTTTTTTTTTTTTTTTTTTTTTTTTTACGAGCTGAGAAAATACTCTGACTATGACTGGAAAAAATTCAACAATATATGAAGACAAGCTTAAAAATCAAATCATCATCAAATATAACAAGAAAAATAAAATTTCAGCTCAGTATTTTCTTAGAAAATATCAAATCGCAAAAGGTAACAAGATGCTGAAGAAAAAAAATATAAATGCAATTTTACCAGGTCCAAAAAGTGATATACAAATTCAGCAATGTAACATGTTTCTTGAGATAAAATTAGCACTAAAATTGTACAGATTACTAATGTATGTTCATATTAGTAATTGCTGTGGATACTACATCCTTTTGCGGCCGATGTGGATTTGTTCAGTATTGCCCAACAAACCAGTACAATATATTTTTTTAATTCATTTTTAAAATAAAATAAAAATAAGTATTTTATCAACTTTTTTATAAAGTTTGTTGTTGGTTTTCTCTGTTATGTCTGGTATTTCATTTAAAAATTCATAACTTCCATAAATTGTATCCAACTTCAACATTATTACAACCGTATGAAAGTTAAATTTCTCTTCTTTAGGGTCAGAAATGAAGTATTTCAACATCTAATATCCTTATTGTCTAGCTGATGCTAACTAAAAAACGCTTCCATTAAAGTAAGCCAAAATACTTTCTTCTTTTTTAAATAAAATCAGATTCATTTAAAACACCTGGTTAAGCCTTAAAATGCAAATTTTCATGGTAATTTTTGGGCAGAATATAATAGTTTAAATTGGTTCTAAAAAAATTTATATGTTATTAACAGATTGTTTTAACTTATTTGCTTTTTTTTAATTAATAAGAATAAAAAATAATGGTTAAAACCTCAATTTTCCATCTTACATTGCTAATTAGTAAGTGGAGTAAATACGATAAATCCTGTCATGTCAGAACGGCTTAAGGTTGTTTTTCCATAATTAATTAAAATTACAAGGGCTATGCTGGGAATGTCATTTAGTATATATATAAATATTATATGGCAATGAAAACAATATAGGCACATAAAACCAGATTTCTAGTGTCGTTATACAGAGTGCAAAGATGACAGCTTATTTTCAAATAGATTTCTTCGTGTGGTCTGTGGCATAATGAAACTAATAATTTGATCTTTACCGAGCATTTTCGCCTGCCTATAATTGGTTGGTCTGTCAGGCGTACTTCAGCATTTTGTCATATTTGTTCATTATCAAATACTAGTTAACATTTTATAAATAAGAATATATCCTGAATTAATTAATTATTCAGATTTTCTCAGATTTATCATATTAATGTGAATATTAAAAATATTAATGTTTTTATGAACAATGAATGTGCAAGTCCTCATAAAGATAAAAGTTGATTACAACTTCAGGATTTGTATATACAGTAATACTCGATTATCCGGTAATGGCAGGGAGGGTGCCCATGGAAAATCAAAAACTCCGGATAATGGAATTCATTTTTTTAATGTGTTAATTAAAAGGTAAATTAGGACGATACTTGAACATATATTACTTTTATTAATATGTATCTAATGTAAACAATTTTGATTTAAAAATGTTTGATTTTTTTTTCAAAAATCGTAAAACATTTCCAAAAGGTCAAATTTAAAAATAGTCTTTCCCTGTTGACAAAGAGATACTAAATGACTGTGACACCGATTCGATTCTAAAAATACCCCCTACACCCTGCAACAAGCTTCGAAAGCAGTGAAGTTTTCTAGAACAGGTGCGTTCTGGACAGATATTCGTATATATAAAAGGGTTTAGTGTGTCATTTCAGAACAACAGGGCCATAAATAATGTGTTCAATGTAAACTTCATATGCACAAAAGGTGGTATTTTTCAAATCGGAAGTGTCTTGTTATTATGCGAAATATACCTGTATACATACTATATGTATTCAGAGACCCAGGGCCCGGATAATGGAGATTTTACTGTATATAAATATTTTGTTTATGAAATATTTTAACAATACTGTTGGTGCACTTGAAAATGTGTAACTGCTTTAAAAAATATTAAATCTTATCTTCTAACGTGTGAATTGTCATCAATGAGAAAATGAACACACACTTTACAAATGAATAAAATACATCCATAAATTTACATTCATCCTGCGGACAATTTTATTTTAGCTTCATTTTCAAGCGTGATGTGCTGGTTAGAAAAAGAACTAAGATTGTGTTTAGCACAACAAAAGAGAGTAAACAAAGTGAGTCCCGTTTTATCAATCAGAAAAAAAAACTAGAATAATAAACATACCATTTCAACGCACCATCCGAGAATCTGTGATATCCTAACATTTTCTGGAGTTAAACTATTAGGGGCTAGAAATCTATAACTATAAACGACTGACATTCCTCTGAGATTTTTTCCTGAAGATACGTTATATTGAAGTACCTATTAAAAACAAGATATCAAATGTTAACAATTCATAAATTCATATTTTCTGCAATGTAGGATACAAACCTTTACATACCAATTGGACAATTCGGGTAAGTTTTTTTCAAGTTTGGTTATATCACGTACAATATCAGGAAAAACAGCCATAAAATCTCTCTTGTCATCTTTTGATATTATTTGATGGTCAAGAGAAGAAAGCCGCCTGGATTTATGACAAAAAAAAGTGATACGTTATTTAACCTAAAACACTAAGCATACATAATATATGTAATATATGTAAGGCGATATGGGATTTGTAGCCGACATAAAAAAAATTCAATAATGTTGGAATCGATAATTACCAACTCTTTCCCAGCTGGATTCATGCATTTCTAACATTTAATACTGCCGTACATACTGCTTGTTATTTAACTGGCTTAGAGGATTTTAAAAAAGGCAATTTTTCCCTGTGCTTGTTCATTGGGAGCAACTGAAGAAACCATCACATCGCTTTTAGTTGGAAAGTATAACCGTATGATTTTACTAATTAGTTATACAATTTTAAAAAGAACACTTCCATTAATGAAAATAAAATCCATTAGAAGTAAGTACAGGAGTAGAAATGCCACCCGAGATAAGAATTGAGCTCGAGCACGGCGAATTTTTCAGTCCCATATTCCAATTTCATGAGGAAACTGGGGTAAAATATGTACTGGGGTGTATATATATATACACCTTACATAAAACCTTTTGAATTTTGAAAAATGGCAAAAAGGAGGGAAAATTCAAAAGGTGGTGGGGTTGAGATGGGAAGTTAGTGCCCGAGTGGATCGAAGTCACGATAGCTCAAGTGGTAGAGTAGTGGCGTATCAAGCCGAAGGTCGTGGGTTCGAATCCCACTCGTGACATTGACTTTTTTATCTCAACTAAAAACCTTAATTAATTGTTATGTATGAACTTATGTACACATAGTTCGTTTTTTTCCCCCAATAAGAATTAATTACACTTAGTTGTTTTTCTCTGTTTCACCATGTTCCCAATCTCTTCTCATACCCACTCACGTCTAGGCTCTACTAGGGGGAAAACCACGAATGTGTGAAAGCTCACCTAACGAGTCTACTGTATACTAAATTTAGTGATTGGTGTTTTACTGTTTTGTGAAAATGTATTTATATGCATGAATGTGGGTGTGATAAAAGAGTTCAAGTACCCCATCGACCCTCAAGCAGGCTAGTTATTGTATATAAGTATACAATACACCCTTTGTTATTTATTGTCATAGACAACTATACGGTTCTCCATATGCATGACAAAGGGTGATGAAGCGATATCTAATACTCCACCATCCTACCTGAGTGAAAGTTATGTAGTGAGAGGATTTAAGAACGATTGATAATGAATGTATTTAAGTTAAAAGTGCATGCATTGAGGGCTGAAATGACCTGCGCCTAGTCCTTAATGAGATCAGAAAGGCAGCACTAGGAAAAACATGAATGACACATGAAGAGCCATTTAGTTTACTGCTGTGTGGAACAAACGACGGATGGAAAAAATTGTCTGATTTCTGCAGAACAACCTGGAGATACCGTCGATTTTCAGTTACAGATTTCTAATTCACTTTATTACTTGAGTATATAAACTATGCCATATATATTTTAGTACTTTCAATTTATTTCATACATTCAAGGAATTCATTTTATTTTAGATTACAAATTCTGTTTTGCCATTTGGTTTTTTTTTTCAGTTCTGACTCTATGTTCACGTTTTTTGCTTTTATTATTTTCCTTTCTTTTCTGAATTTAATTTTCTATTTGATTCCTTTTCAAAGCAGACCTGAACTTCCAGCAGATGGCTATGCCATGATGTAACGTTTATTTTAGTCACACAAAAAAAAGGCATACAATTGTGTATTATTGTTCAATAAAAGTTTTTTCTTTTTTCTTATTGTGATTGCTCCTTGAGCCTAACTTCGACAGTGGTACAGATAAGACCAAGGTCTGACCTTGGCCCAACATAACAATGAGTGGGTGATAAAAAAATGGCTTTATCAAGAATGAAATTTTGTTGTTACGTATGAGCTATTCAATAGCTCTTCTAAAAATAGAAGAGAATATTACGAGAGTAGTTATCGACCAGCAGTAAATCAACGATAATTTTTTGAGGATTAGGGATTGTTTTAATTTAAGAGTTACTTTTCAATTGGAGCACATTCCTAATCCTCAAAAAATCATTTATAAGAGAATGAATGTATTAATTTAAATTATCGTTCCACCCTTGCATGATTTATACAAATACAAATCTAAATAGTGGTACTGATTCTTGACTGATTTTGTGAACAAATTTATTGATAAAAATCAGGTGAAAGTTGATGAGGAATGTAGTCAATTGGAAACTATGTCGAACCGACTGACACTTGTTCACTCTACTGACTTTGTCTCAGCTTGGGTGAGGAAGCGCTCATCAACCAATCGACGCTCCACTGGTTCGACATAGTTTCAGTTACCACATCGCTTCCCTTATCAATAACTGTATGTCTTGAGATTATTTTTATTGTAAGGAAGCGGATATTTTATCAGTTCTTCAGAAAATAATTGAAACCGGGCTGAAAGAAAACATCCAGTGGGTATGGTTCAGACAAGTTTGGAACACAACTCGACCATTATTTCTATACACGTTTAACAAAACCGTCCGACAAAACTATTGGGCTGGTGCAAAAATAATGCAGGTTTTGAAAAGGCAGTCAAAACTATTTTTAATTTTTATAAAATAAAGAAAATTTATGACATATTTTCCATCACAATCTCTTTGCAAACGTGTAATATGCACTTTTATTTCGTTGACATAAAAAAATTTATTTCGACACAATAAAATCTTGGAAGGCGTTTTCGGCTTCACTGCGTTCTCTTAACATTTTACGCCTCAAAAAATGATAAAAATGCCTAAATAAATTTAAGTCTGTAGGCGAGAGGTTGGGTGAATATGGAGGTTGTGGTAAGGTTTAATATGCTTAAGTTTCTGCAGTTGACATTGTGACATGTGTCCTGGTGTTATCCTGAATCGGCCCCTTACGATGTACCAATGATGGACAAAGACATTGCAGTTTCCCGTCCATTTTGCCAATTGGCAATATTTCTCTGTTCTGAGAGTTTCACAATAATTCAAGAAATTATAGTGAAAAACTCCAGCAGTACACAATCAAACAGTCACCATAATCTTTTTTGGGCAAAGGTTTAGTTTCGGGAAGTATTTTGGCGCTCCATCCTTGTCCACCAATGACCTGTACACCCTCTGTTATTGAACAGAATCCATTTCTCATGGCACTTGATGATTCGATATAGAAATGGATCATTTTGGTGGCGCAACAGATGAGAAGTGCAAATTTCTTTGTGGTTCAGTTAGTTCGTGCGGTATCTACTTGTTGAGTTATTTACTTGACCAATTTGCTCCAGATTGTGAACAACAGTTGAGTGTCAATACTAAGCTCTTCAGCATTTCCCGCATTATCTTAGGTGAATTTTCTTCAATCAACGTTTTATGTTGGTCGTCGATCAGAAGACCTACCACGACCTTCCCTGTCTTCGAGATCATAATCTCCAAGAGAAAATTTCTGCGACCATCACTGCACCGAGCATTCGCCCCAAACTGTAGTCATGTTACGCGCAGTTGGGGCCGCACTTCGACCAATTTTAAATTTGTACAAGTAAATTATACAAAAATCTAGTTTGGGCATATTTAATTCCCAAAATCCTCACTCTTATAAAATTCAATATAAACTAAAATCCATTTATGTTTAGTGGTCTGATTGGCCATATTAATTATTTCAATTATTCTTTTTACCATTTTACTTTATTTCTATTAATTGTTCTTTTTATGTAAGGTCTTGGTTGAGATGATAAAGACAGCATCAAGAGCAGGATTAGAACCCACGATCTTCAGCTTAATACACCGCTGCTCTAACCACTTCATCGTGATAGCTCAAGTGGTTAGAGCAGTGAAGTATTGAGCCAAAGGTCGTGGGTTCGAAGCCCGCTCGTGGCACTAATTTTTTCATCTCAACCAAGACCTTACATAAAAAGAACAATTAATAGAAATAAAGTAAAATGTTTTATATAAAAGATAACAGTTGGAATTATTTATTATAATCCATAAATTGGTTATAATAACTTCATTTACCTGACAAGCACCTGCGAAAATAAAACAAATTATCAAAACCTGCATTAATTTTTCACCAGCCCAATAATTAATTCGTCTGAAAATGCGGTACTTTTTGAAACGATTGTCATTACCTGTGCAGTTTTTGGCCAGTCGAGAAATAGGCAAAGTTGAATTTGTCCGAGGCGGCCGGGAAGGGCGAAGGGCCGTTGAGGCGGACGTTCTTCAAGGGACCGGCTGAATAAAGGGAACCCAATTTGAGCAAATGTCTCGAACACATATTTTCCGGAATTTAAATGCTCAGCATCTATTTAAACGGAAGAGAAACCCTTCTTGAATTTAAGCGTCGGGTCAGGACGAGATCGTTCCAATTCCGATACGGTTAGGGCGAACGGTAAAAACGGCAATCCGCGCTCTGCAGTCTGCACTCTACAGTCCACGATAAACAAGCGACAAACGGACGTGGGCAGGAACTGTAGGCCTCGCGGCTGGAAGTGCGAAGTAGGGGGACTTGAGTTCCATTCGACTCATGATGTTTCAATCGCCGTCGTAAACTCCCTTTACTTGAAGCGCTGTCATTTAAATTCCGGCTCAAAGTCTCAAACCACCTCGAGACGAATTCGTCGCATTTATCCATATCCGTTGGACATCGGCACGTTAAAAGTCAATGACGCACTCGACCGTCTGAATATCCCCGTTCGAAATCCTTTCCTACAAAAAAAATAAATAATTTCATCAAAAACGCAAAACGACAGCTAAATATTTCTAAAAAAAAACCAGTGAAATGTTTCATTGAATTATTTTCCCATGGCCTTTTGAACGTCTGTTGCTTTGATAATATTTATTTGCTTTATGCACAATCATCCTTTTACAGTACACTTTTTTTTTTCTAAGGCGAACAACCACTAGCTACCACTACTAAAGCTGCCAAATTACATTAAATTATTCATACATGAAAATTACAAACCCTCAAGGTGCCGGTATTTTTTAATTTTCGGTAATTGTAAGTTGATGTTACAGTAGTATAGACATTTGATAAACAAAATGTTTTATTGTATAAGTGGAAAAGACAAGGAGGAATAGGTTGTTGGTGAGGAGCTCTTGGAATGGATGGATGGGAACGGATTATAGTTTCATGAAGAACTTTGCATCAAGAATATTTCTCCTGAAATGGCAGATTTCCAGATTCAGTGTATAAACTATGTACCAATGGCACCAATAGCATGGCATATGCATTATGTATGCTGTCAATTGTTTTTAACGTTCTATCAGAGGCAGAACTAAATGCGCAATCAATTTTTGATCAAGCGATGGAATTGTAAAGTCTTACGAGAACTTACAATTTCTATCTTCTATCTGCTACCCACGAAAAAAGTTAATTATTTTAAGGAGGTTTAGAGATTGACTGCCTTTAATTGTTAATGATTTTTAAGTGTTCAGCCCATTTTAATTTCCTGTCAAAAATTAGATCTAGATATTTAACAGAATTGGAGAGTACAGGTGTATTATTTATTTCAAGGTCTGGTAACTTAACTGGTCTACGTTTTGCGAATATTGTAGGTGTAGATGTATTAGTCGGGGTGTGTAATATACTGCACCCATTAAGAGCTGTTGTACCCCCCTGTTGTATAGCACACCGGTGAGTCCTCCAAGTTCATCAAGGAATTTGATTAGTAGGCCTGGTTTCAGTGGTTGAATTTCTTTTATGGTCACACTATAGGTCCCAAAGCTCTTCCTCCTGTGGGCAACTGTAGCACCATAGTTTGTTAATAGGTCTGTTGGTGTCTCCTTTGCTTCTTTGCAGAATCTGCAAGTGCCTTATTGGGTTTTGCCAATCTTCTTTAAATGTCCGTTTAGTTTGTAGTGTCCTGTTAAGAATCCTGTTAGGATTCACGGTTTTTTCCTGCTTCCCTTGAACATTCCATTACTTCTTTCCTTCCAAAATTTGTAAGGAGATTCTTGGATTGTTTGTGTACAATGAGTGAGTTCCATTGTTCCCTCATTTTCTTTTTATCCTTCTGTTTGAGGTACTCTTTGATACCTCCTGTGGGTTCCTATGCCACAGAAGAGTTTGGGTATAACAGCCCCTTTTCTTGCAAGGTTGTCTGCTTTCTCATTCTCATTGCCTTTTACTCCCACATGTCCTGGGACCCAGCAGAGGCTGACTTTGTTCTGCGTACCTAATATGTTTAGTTTAGTTTTGCAGTTCAACACCATCTCTGAACTAATGGTGTTTGAGCTTAGTGCTTTGATGGCTGCTTGGCTATCTCACATGATAGCTATACTCTTGTTTTTGTACCTTTTTTTTTTTTTTAATTGAGTACATCTCTCGATTACATAGACCTCAGCTTGGAAGATATTTGCGAACATAACTGTGACTGTTATTGATGAAGATATTTCGCATCCATTTTTATTCAGCGATTTTGTTTAGGTTGATTTGTAATAGTTCTTGTAGATTATTTACATTTATTCATCTACAATAGACGACAAGATGAATATTACATAGCATGAACTGGTAGATCAACACATTTCAAGACCTCAAATACTTTGTAATAGGGGATATGTAACAAGATTCATTAATTATCTAAGATGATCTTGGACTAGGACTAGAATAATAGTTGTACTGCTAACTGGACACTGCAGACTCTGAAGGCATATGAATAGACTGGAAGTGGTAGAAATAAGCCTGTGCAGATATTGCCAAGAAGAAGACGAAACAGCGGAACACGTCCTCTTTTGATGGGAAGGTCTATGTAGGCTGAGATTCCTAATTCTGGGAGAGGAAAAGCCAGGGCATGGAGGATACACATGGGAGCCCTTGAGAAGATGGAACAACATTTCTAAGCTCTGGAGAATGTACTAGAATTTAGTAAGAAGTAAAAACAGTTGGTTTTTGCTTTTTATCTCACTCAATCACTCTCTCCCTCCCTCACTTATTCTCTTGCTCTCTCTCACTCTTTCTCTCTCTTACTATCTTTCTCTCGCTTTATCTCATTCGCACATTCTCTTTTTTTAAATGTAGATTCGACGAATTATCATTCTTTTGCACTAAAAGGTGAGAATATGTATGTTGTATTGAAACTAGAAATTTCCAGGCTAACCAGACGTTTTGCGTGGACGGACTGTCATGACGTCATTGTTAGAGCTTTGCAGTTTGCTACGTCCTTCGTTGCTCGCCTCGTCGTGTAGCTGACTGCTGAGTGCTGATTGCTGATCGTGATCGCTGGTCGCTGATCGCAGATCACTGGTCACAGATGGTTGGCTCACGGTCGTCCAACGTGGTCCCTCGACGGGTTCAACACTGAAAACCGTTCACAGACAAAACATGGCGACTTTATGATTCTGACAATGACGTAAGGGTAAGACATTATTTTCCCCTAATCTCTTTTCACCATTTGGTAATTATATACATTTTTAAAAATATTTTAAGCTTATAATTGTCTCGAGAATGTACTTTCTCTTTGACAATGCCAGTTTATGATCTATTCGATGTAAACGATGCTCAAATTAAAACTAGAACGTTCATAAAAAAAATAATGCATTATTCGACATGTGAGGTCATTATGTTGCAAAAAGTGATTTTAAAGAAAGTAATATTTTCATTTAAGCAGAGTACAAGCGTGAACTGTCCTGTAGATTTGCACTTAGTCAAAGGGAGAAAAAGAGGAAAAGAAAGGAATACAAAGTCATCGGTCTGCTAGTTTGTCTTCAGGGCTCCAAGTGTCACATTTGACTAAAGGGTCACCCGGTACCCTTGAGGCTCTGTCATTGCATCAGCACAGGTTGCATGTGGAATGTGAGATTAGGATTGGGTTTGGGGTAGGAAAAAGGGTAAGGTGTGGGGTGTAGGGATTAGGAAGTGACAGGTCCAGCTCCGGTACCTCTGTACCCCTCTTTCCATCTGTTTAAATAACAAGGTACACCAGCTGTTAGAGATGCATAGTACTTGTCTGTACCCCTCTAGATTTAGTAGTTCTGCCGTTAGTTTCTGCGATGGTGCTTTGATCAACCTTTTTGCATGCCTCTGTCCTGGGCTACATTCCAATTGAACGGACGAATTATTTTGAATCTATGCTTTGGCAGTTTGGTATGCCACAAAAGGATTCATGGCCAATAGGTGTCCTCATCATACTTTCCTTGGCCAGTTTATTGGCTTCTTCATTGCCCCTCTGCACTGGGTGCCCTGGTACCCAGACATTGGTAATTTTGTTGTTTTCCCCAATGCCTGACAGAGCCCTAATGCAATCCGAACTTTACCATTATTGCTGTAATTGCCCTCATTGCTGCCTGATTGTCTGAGTAGAAGCCTTTTAATCTCCTTGGTTCAGTGTTCAATAGTCGTAGTCTCCACTTGAAAGGCAGTGGCATATTGCCCAATGCTTATCCTAAATTCTAGTCCTTGGTTTATTACCAAAAATACCAGCTCCTGACCCACTCTCAGTTTTAGAGCCATCTATTGAACAGTATGGTCGGCATTAATTAGGATCCCTTTCTCCCAGTCTGCTCTACCAGGTATTTTAATTTGAATTGTTTTCTCAAATCTGAATTTAGGGGATCATAGCATGAACAAGCACCCCCGGAACTATGTCTGCCTGATGCTCCCCCCCAAAACTTTAATTGATTCTTGTTGTGCGACTAGGCTATTGGAGCCTGTCCCTGAATTAGCCTTTGAATTGTGGCTCTGGCCTGCTGAAAGATGTGTAGTGGTAATAGATTCAGAAGGACTTCCAGGGCAGTGGGGGGGGGGTCATTCTCATATGGATACTCAGATACGCTAGTTTCTTAGCAGTACCGAGGACCTTAACCGCCCTTAAACTGTAATGTCATTGTCCACCAAACCACCGATCGATAGGCAATCATAGGTCTAACAACCGCTGTGTATAACCGTATGGGTTTTGTCCTTTATACAACTTATACTTATATACCTTTATTTTATAACTAAAATTGTGTGAAATTAACTCAATTTTTAATGTGTTTTTAATTCATCCCAATTGTATTCCACTTGCAGCACCAATTATTTTTATTATATTTTTTATTCTGTGTATTCAACTAAAACTAACCTTCATCTTATTTTTCAAACCTTTTGCCATTGTGACAATTCCCGATTAATTGTTTTAAATTTATTTTCAGGTGGGAAGCAACGTCAAAGCATTTTTAGTAGAGGAACCAGATACTCTTGGTAAGCTAATAACTATATTGTAAGTCTTTAGTTACACTATATTCTGAATACATTGTGAGAAGTACGGTAAGAATAATCCCACTGTAATATTAAAGATTTCATATGCGAAAACTTATTTTTTGTCCCTTCTTCCGCTAGAACCTAAAAGATCTATTCTGGAATTGACCTTTCTTTATATCCATACCCCGGAAATTGTTCAACTACCTTAAAGGCCCCTCTTCATTGGCACTAGGTGTTATCGCCCTTCCAAATGAGTTGTACCGTTTTTGGGCTAATGCTTTGCAGTCACATAAGGCAGTTTTGTGCCTCAGTTTTTCCTATTTTTTTAAGGTTGGTGGCCAAGTCCTATTTCTTCAATTCATCCCTGCTATGAGAGAGAGTTAAGTTTTTATATCCCTGGTTGAGATGTTAAGAAATGTTTTTGATTGTTTTGCACCTGGTGAATTCATCCATTGTGCAGTCAGTCATTCCTTTCTCTATACATTTGTTCAGTTCCACTTTTAACATACTTTGGGGTTTGCCAATGTGTGGTTCTGATCCAATGGGTGTGATGCCTGCACCTTTTGTTTGTCAGTCTATTTGTCACCATTGATCCTCTTATGTTAAACATGGCTGATGGAATTACCGACGCAAAAAAAAAAAAAAACCTCATGTCCCAGTGTCAACAATACCTAGTTGCGTTTCCTCAGGAGTGCATATTACATAATTCTATTACATGGAGCTCAGCTAGAAAAATTGATGGTGTGGGACATAGATAAAGGGAAAATTTGGGCAGTTAACCCTTGCCTCAACCCCCTGTTCCATTTTGGATTCATCTGTGTACGATAATAAGCCCATCTATTAGTTTCAGGTTTTCATTCTTCCAAAGGTCCTTTTTACTAAGGTCTGTCAAAATTTTCTTTTAATTTCGTCAAACATTATTGCAGTTAATTATTCGGAGATTGTGAGATGCAGTCTGGTGTGACTAGGTTTTAGAAAAACATTTTAGGAAAACTGGATAAGAGAGTAAAGTAACATATCTATGATTGCAAAAAAAAACAAGCAAAATCCTACAGCACTCACTACTATTTTGAACACAAACACAATTTTGACTTCAACAATCCAAAAATATTACACACAGAACAAAACAAACACAAACGTAACTTTTTAGAAATGGTTTAAATCAACAGAGATAAACACAGCATCAATTACAGAACAGACACGTAAACTCAGTCGTAGCTACGCTAATGTTAATCAAATTCAATATCGATAACATACATCATCACATCACATAAAACTATAATAGAACATATAAAACTATCATCACATTCCACACATCAAGCATTTCTACACAGTCTAATTTTTCAACAATTTAGCTTTCCTTTCCCTAATTATCCCTGTCTATATAATCCTGAAAGGATAATCTGGCCAAACCATTACCAACGTTTTTCCCATTGTCGGCTCCTTTCACCTCAAAGAAGCCGACTCCTTATACAAAAATGTCTTTCTATCCTGACTTCCTACCTCACCCCTTCAAAATCCAACATATATAATCATAAAACATCAATATCTCACTGGCACTCTCAACATGACACGCAATAATGGCACAATTACACTGAAAACAAACACTGAGTGAGTAGAAATACTTTGAATATAAAAATATTTTTTGCATGGTATAAATTCACATTTTTCCACATCCTACATGTATTTGTTAAATTTAAACAATGTTTGTAAATCCCGGGCACTGAAGATGATCTCAATAAAGATCGAAACGTTGGCATGATAAAGAAAATGTTTTTCTGAAACCTACATCACACCAGACCGCATCTCACGACCTCCGAATAACTATCGACTAACAGTCACTAATCACCACACATTATTGTAGTTATTTCATTTTTTTTTTTTTTAAAGATTTTATGGTGCTTTCTTAGTTTCTTTACGCCTCCTCTACACAAAGGCCCACAATTGGGTAAATGGTCATCTTCAGTGGTGACCAGTCCTTTGGCAATCTTAGGCCATCTACGTCCATTCACACACTGGTCGATGATGGGCCATTGTACAGTGTACAGTACCAGGGGGTAGGAATTTACTGCACACCTTATTTGCACCGATGAGTTCCTGTTGATGTGAGAAAAAAATTGTCCACAAAAGCATCCCTCACCCCTACCATCACACCATCGGCCACTGCACACCAGTCTACCCCCAGTAATGGTGATACCTCATGGTGACTGATGGACCATTATGTAGCAGAACCTTTAGGTCAAGTTTTATTTCATTTTGTCCTAAGGGCCTGTTTGCACTTTTGTATGCCATCCTCTAGAACTATGTAAGCAATGGCAATCTCCGTATCTTTTCCATTGCTGAAGTTCGGTTCCCCATTGTTAGGTTTTTGTTCAGAAATTAATAATTTAAAGATTGTAATATACATTTTTCATTTTCATGTACAGAACGTGGAATCATGGAAGCTGTTTTCAGTGATGCCCAAGAAAATGCCAAGGTTATAATGAATACTTGTCTAACGGCAATGAAAGCACAAGTATACGACAATAAGGCTTGCGTAAATTCATCATCTGAATTAATAACAAACAAGTTAATAGATGAGATAGTCCTTGAAGTGATCGCTGATTACCACAAAACAATAATTAAATGGTGCGATGACGATGGCATTTTCAACAAGAAGAATTCTAAAATTGATGAAGAATCGTTGACCAACGGTGATTCACAACCCGTGCATATAGGAGTTAAAGTGAAGAAAATCATATGTCCAAAATGTAGAAAACAATTGTATCCAACAGGATTCGGCCGTCATTTAGAAATATGCCTTAATGTCAGCAGCAGCAATCGCACTCTTAGAAATGCAACAAAGCCTATCTACAGCTCCGTTCCTTCATATGATGATAATTACGATACGTGGAATTCAAAAAGTGAAAAATCTAAAAATTTAAAAAGGATTGAACAGAAAAAGAAAAAAGACATTTCAAAAAGAATTAAAAGGAGGGAAGGACATATTAAAACGAAGCATGACATCTGCAGCATAGACTCGGGCATCGAGTTAGAAGAAGTAGATTCCCAAGGCTCGAAAAACGATACTGGAAATTCTTGCGCCCCCTCACCAGCTGAGTCAGTCTCAACGAGTAAGGGCTCTTCTTCAAAAAAGAAAATCAAACAAAAACAGAAATACGGATCCAAAGGCTCAAAAAACAAATTTGACAATTATTCCATAGACCTTGGATCTTCAAGTTCCTGAAAATGTAAGTTGAATTTTGAAACTCTTGTTTATTGTAAAATAGTTGTACAATTTAATATTAATTTCACTAATTTCGTGGTCCGCTTGACCAATTAATTAGGGAAAACTCATAAGGTGGGGTTGAGATAGGAAGTTGATGTCCGCGTGGATCGAGGTCACGATAGCTCAAGTGGTAGAGCAGCGGCGTATCTAGCCGAAGATCGTGGGTTCGAATCCCGCTCGTGCCATTAGCTTTTTTCATCTCAACTAAAAACCTTAATTAATTGTAATTTAATATTAATATTATTTACAATTATTAATGCAGTAATAGTAACTAATTAATTCGGTAGGGGGACATAGGAGCACTGATTTTAATTAAACCTATTTTGGTGATTCTAGGTCAAAATATATAATACATGTGTCCAAGTGTTCTTGCGAATGGGTTCTAGAAGCCGAAGAAAAAAGAATTAAATAAAATATTTTTTAATACTTTTTTAAAATTATCAAGGTGTATTAGTTATTATTATAGTAGAAATTTCAGGCTTGGTACCTCATCTTCTGCTAAAAATTCCAAAAAACAATGATAAATTAGCGTTCAATTCTATAGCATTACAAAACATTTTTTTTTCCTTAAATAAATTTAAATGTATATAATCTACATTACCTGCTCATTACACTGACTTTTTATCTCAGCCAAGACCTTACATAGAATAATTAATTGAAAGAAGTAACTTGGTCAATTGACCACTAAAACATAAAATTGATTAAATTTTTAGTAAGTAAAAGAAGTATCACTTCACTAAACAGCTCCCCGTGGCCACTCCATAAGTCGCTGAGAATCCAATCCTGATTACATGACATTTTAAAAACGGCAAAAAGGAGGGAAAATTAAAAAAAGGTGGGGTTGAGATGGGAAGTTGGTGTCCGAGTGGATCGAAGTCATGATAGCTCAAGTGGTAGAGTAGCGGCATATTTAGCTGAAGGTCGTGGGTTCGATCCCGCTCGTGACACACTTTTTTTTTATCTCCACCAAGACCTTACACCGAAAGTATAATTAATTGAAAGAAGTAACTTGGTCAATTGACCACTAAAACATGATGGATTATCATTTATGTTTTACATTATTTAACAAAATATTGGTTTATTAGGTGATATCCACAAAACCTTTTTTATTTAATATATTAGATATCTTTTATTAATTAGCAATTTTTTTTTTCAGAGCTAAAAAGGTCCTCTCTCAGTAGAGGACCAAGCAGCAAGTCTTAAAATAGGCTTTACTGGTGAGGAAACACAAGGAAAAGAATATGTACTTAGTCTGAAGCACATTGCCACCCATGGTTGTTAATCTGAAGAAGATAACTAAAAATTTGTATAGGCTGTTCAGAAATTAGTCGCCAGGAGTCTTTTATCATATTGATAAGATATTACTGTACATAAAATTTTACTTCATTGGATTTATTAAGCCTGAATCGGAATTTAAGTTGTAGTGTAAAAAACAGAAATTTTAGCTTAATTAATTGTATTGAACTGTCATCAAATTTTTATAGTAAAAATTTAAGACTGTCATTAAGGTTTAAAAGATCTATTTATTGTAAATATAAATTTTAATTACAATTTTTATTTTCATAGACATCACATTATTTCTTATGTGGGCAATTGCTAGTGATTAGCATTTTAGATTGACAAATTTGCGTGTAGTTTGTGTAAAAAATGCTCTAATAGATTTGAAAAAGTATTCGTACAAGTTATTGTAAATATTTACAAACGATTTTCTATCAAATGAAATCATAGTTTCAGTGTTTTTCATGTTTTAACTCAAAACATCCCACTTCAAGAAGTATACTTTTTCTTTTTGTTAGAAGCATATTAGGCTAAATATAGTTCCTCATTTTTTATCATATCTTAACTGGAATATTCTACTATTATTACCTGTAAATAATTTAAATAAAAATTAATAAATGGACATCAATTGTTTTTAAATTTTATAACCAATTCGTTTTAATGTAGACTAGTTTATTCCAAATTAAATCTAGATTACTATCAAAAATATATTTTTAATTTAACTTTTTTTTTTAAGTGTGTGACTTGAAACACCTCATTTTTTTATTATATACTGTAAAAATTTTCCATACAATCAAAAAAATTAAACGAAAGCTTGACAGATTAGAAAACTGTGAGATTTCTCCATGTTATCTGCGAGGTGATGGTTGTGAAATTTGGTCGTTATCATTTTCATCTTACTATCGTCGCCAGGTTGGTCAGTAAAACCAAAAAATGATAGGTAACGGCCAAATTTCATATTAGAAAATTGTGAAATTTCTCCGTGTTGTGTCCAGGGTGATGGACCTGAAATTCGGTCACTATCGTTTTCATCTGCTTATCCTTGCCGGGTTGGTCTGTGGCCGAATGATCACAGTAACAACCAAATTTCAGATTAGCAGTTATTAAAACTCCTGTCGTTACACTTTACGAATAAAACTCATTAGATAAAATAAGTCAAGTTTCCAAGTAGTACTGTTTAAGTTTAAAAAAACAACTGTTTTATGCTGTTGTAGTAACTGTTGTTCTGTTAAAAAATTAGCAATTGGATAATAAACATATTCATAAATAACATAAGAATACAACAAATACAGTAGACTTTTGTTATCCATGGGAGATACATACCAACTACCAACCATCACTGTGGATTGTGGATAATAGGAAACACCTTGAATTTCAGGCTTCGAAGCATTTTCTTCTATCTGCATACTAATCAGAGACTTTATCATGTGTGCTTATTGTCAATGTTATGTGTGAACTTATGTATACATATTTTTTTTTAATAAGAAATGATTTTGTCATTCAACTTTTTAGTTGATTGAAAGATTTCTCCAAATTTTTATATTGTCCGTTACTGTTTTGTACATTTTGTACTCTTCTTTGGTCAAATCTCTCCTCAAGAACTCAAGTAGGGGTCCAACCGCAGATAATGAAAGTGTGGATAACGAAAGTCTACTGTAATCAAAGAAAGTAGAATAAATCCAATATGTTTCTGTTTAAAAAAAATCTGAAAGTTAGATCGTTCTTTTAAATTTCCTGGAGCATTGCTAGTTTAAATAAAAATGAGTTTTTGCATACATATCCTTGTTTCAAAACAGTTTTAGTTGTATTACCGTTGCTTTGATATTTTAATGTAAAGTTGACTTTAGGGAAAGTAGGGAGTATGGCCAAAGGTTAAGATTAAATACACTCCTTTATCTAAATAAATTCTACTTATTTATTGCAAAAGTATTTAGAAATGTATATTGGTGTAATAAATTCAAATCTTTTCAATTAATCATTTTAATTATGAGAATTATAAAAATATAACATTTGTTTTTCTTCATTTCTTCTAATATTTTAAACTCGGGGTTTAACAGTTTTATATAAGACTTCATTTGTGATAATTTCGGACATCAGAAAACAACTTAAAAATAATTAAAATTTCTGTTTATGAAATACGATTTTTAACGTAATAATAATTTTTTTCTTGCTTATATAGATTGCTGGTTACTTGATTCTAATATAAATCTATTATTTAAAAAAGTTAATATAATAATACTACTTAATCTTAACGTTTCCCCCAAAAAAATTACGAACTACCATCATGTAGTCCTAATACAATAAATGCTATATTAAACATTTTCTGTATATTACACTTGTATACATTATATATATTATATATATATATAATTTGGTTTGTATTCTTATTTAACATTACAGGTAACACTGAATCGACTTTGTTTTTCTTAGTTACACGCCTTCAATGTAATAAAACTTCAAATATAAAGATTGATATGCCAATATCCTAGGAATATAAAACTACTATAATCAGTCCAGAACATCCTTTATTTTACAAATTTTGTTTCATAAATAACTGACTTATGTACAAACATGTAACAAATATAATTGACAAAAACTAATTTTCCAATGCTGTACACTTTTCACTTAAATCTTAAATATTTACAGAATTTTAATTTACAAGTAATAATTACATCAAGCAGCAGAGGCCCGACAGTTCGACACCTTTATTAACCGGAGGTAGTTCAGTTAATTTGGCTTTGTGTATTTTAGGCTTCACACAAGCCGGAAATAGTTCACCTGGTGGTAGAGGCTGACTGCTTTCTTTTACATTAAATTCAGTAACAGTGTTGGTGGGCAATTGAATACGATCGCTATCCCGCAATTTTTTTGATTTTGTCAACGATGATGTTATATTGATGTTGATTTTCTTGGGTTGGACCAAAGGAGGCGCTTCATCCAATTCGACATTACCATCGATCGAAGATATTATTGTAGTATGATGCGACGTTATTGCAGGTTCGGGAAGAATGACTTCTTTTTCTTTTTTAATAACGATATTGGTGAAGTCAGTTTCTAAACCATCATCGCTGTTATTCAGTTTTTCGCTATCGTCAATGATCATGGGTTTTTTCTCTTCGGTGTTGTCTTTAACATCGTCATCATCTTCATCCAAGATTTCGAATGATTCTATCGTCGGTTCAATGACTTCTATTTGCAATATGTCATCATCACTATCTGAATCGGCATGTGGAGTTTTTTCACCTGTAAAATAATTTTTGTGTTGAAGAAAAAATAAACAGTAACAAAAAAATAATTCTAGCAACAGAGTTGAAAGTAATTCAACATTAAACATTATTGGTGCATTGTTAAAAAAAAAAAATTTATATATATAAAGTTTATAATAATCTAATTACATATCAGGCATGATTGCAATTGCCAAGGCTCAAATACAAAAAATGTGTTTATATTCAACAATTAACACACCAAGTGCGCAACACAAACTGTAAAATCAGGTTGGTAAATTATTCTATTTGAGGCATAAAATAAATAAGAAAAATCCAGAAGAAAATAGCCATTTAGGTTCAAAATAATTTATTTTTTTAATTTTGTGCTACCTTGAACTTCTTCAGGAGCAGGTGGTTCAGGAGTAGATTTGGTTTCTTCCTTTTCGGTTTCTTCTACGATTCCCTTTCCACTTTCCTTAGGAGATTTTTCGTCTTCAATGCTGATGACAGTACTTTCAGTCACAGAATCATCAACAATTTCAATGGTCTCATTCTCGTCTTGAAGGAAGTAGCTACTCTCTTGAAACTGGGTATCTTCCTTGAGTAGGTTATCCTGAAAAATTGAAACGGCAAAAATAATTTCTTTGGATGAATCCGTTAAAACAAAAAATTTTTTAAAATAAATTACAAATTATTACTGATATACATTCAGTTACTTCTAATCTAGGAATCTGAATCAAATTTCTCTGATATACTATCAGTAAAATCTAACTTAAGACTGCCAACTATTGGGTTGTCCGGAAAATAATGCAGGATTTTAAGTTTTCATTAAAAAAAATCTATATAAAATATTCTGTTTACGTTTACAGGATTACTCATTTGTATGAATGTCAACACTTATTAATCCTCTTCCAAATGATATTGTTTGTTTACCTCTGTAGCATTCCGCTACTTGGAAATAATTCAGTCATCCTTATAATGTCAAAGCGAGAATTTCGTACGATTTTCTTTTACGAGTTTAAACTCGGCCGAAGCGGAGCCCAAACGGCTAGAAACATTAACCAAGTCTGGGGCGAGGGTTGTGTTAATGAGTGCACTGTGCAAAGGTGGTTTAAAAAATTTCGGGAGGGAGATTTCAGCCTTGAAGATGAAGAAGGTCGTGGAAGGCCTTCCTCTCTTAATGATGATGTTCTGCGATCAGTGGTGGAAGAAAACCCCAAAACAACTGTTCGAGAACTTGCAGAGCAACTCAAAGTCAGTAAAACGACCGTCGCTGACCACCTCAAGGCGATTGGAAAAGTGAAAAAACTCGAAAATTGGGTTCCACACTCATTAAACGATCGCCAAAAAAATCAGCGCTTTGATGTTTGTGCATCACTTCTTTGTCGAAACAAAAATGACCCATTTCTGGCCAGAATTGTTACATGTGACGAAAAGTGGATTCTCTACGATAACACTAGACGTTCTGGACAGTGGCTCGACAAAGGAGAAGCTCCAATACATTTTCCAAAGCCCCCAACTCATCAAAAAAAGGTAATGGTTACGGTATGGTGGGCTTCATTTGGTTTAATACACTACAGCTTCTTAAATCCTGGCGAAACCATCAATGCTGAATCATACTGTAACCAAATTAATACCATGCATCAGAAATTGGCAGTAATGAAGCCCTCTTTGGTCAATCGGAAAGGGCCCATTTTGTTGCATGACAACGCTCGACCACATGTGTCACGTGTAACGTCACAAAAATTATTGGAGCTTGGCTATGAAACTTTACCTCACCCACCCTACTCTCCTCCGGACCTCTCGCCTACTGACTACCATTTTTTTAGACACCTGGACCACTACTTACAACACATAATATTCAAAAATCAAACAGAACTGGAAAATGCATTTATTGACTTTATCAATTCTAAAAATTCTGAATTCTACTCAGACGGAATTAATAAGTTACCAACACGTTGGGAGAAATGTATTGAGAGTATGGGAAATTATTTTGATTAAAGAACATTGCTTTAAAGTAACTAGTTTCTTTTTTTTTGTTTAATACCAAAATCCTGCATTATTTTCCGGACAACCCAATAGTTAACTAAAAATGATTACTAAATCTTTAGGATGGGAGAGAGTACCAATTACAATTCTAGAAACAATGTTATGGTCGAGGTTGGTACATCAATTTTCATAGATGAACGGTGATGTTCACGTTCTTCATCTTTTCCATCAGCAACGACAAGCCGCTCAACCAGTGAGGTCGTCCAGAAGTGCGTGTCTGTAGGTTAACCTTGTTCCTGTAGAATAGTTTGCTTTCTTCTGTATCTAAGAGGAACAACCCTTTCAATTTATGCCTTTGCCCAGGCCACTTGAATTTCTGTTTCAACAGTGACAGCTTTCTTCTCTCAGTTTATTGGTTGATCCCTAGAATTCACTGGAGTAAATTGGTGGCTGTATTGATGTCAGCAATCTGGCAATGTTCCATGTTTTCATAGAAAAACAAGTTCTCGCCGCAAGGTGTTGCTTGATAAACCTCCTCCTCGTCAGAGCAAAGGAAAACTCCATTGGTTTCAGGGCACGGCCTTTTCAGTGGTTGAATAATTGAATTGTGCCTTGACTTTTTGTGGGAAGATGGGATCGAAAGTAGAGAGTACAGGCCATAATCTGTTTGTTGTGTTACAGGTAGTGGTAAACAGTATACTATTTCTTTGTTATATTTACATTTAGTACTACCAATTGATTCAAGTTTTAGTATAGTCTCTAATTTCGCCACAAATGGAAATCCATTTGGATAATATTTTAATAATCTGTTAAGTTCATTAAATAAATCTTTAGGTTTGATTATACTCAGATGTAGTGTCCCTATATTACAGAATTCTCTATATGCCTTAGTATATCAGAGATTAATTCGAATAATAAAATAAGCTGGTTTAATATTTATATATTTTCTAGTTTTAATACATAAATTTCCTTCATAAAAAGGACGAACCAAGATAATGGAGAATTGTTTAAGAGATAGCCACATTTTTTTTGCCTCTAGTGTATGATTACGAGAGGTCAAACACGACTGAACGTGAACTCAGTTATGAATGGACTAGTCTGGTTCAATTATGAGGCTCCAAAACGTTCTTACCAGCATTTTAAAAATTGTTGTCACTGAAGAAGATTTGGAAGATGCTGAATGATACTATCATGGTTTGTTACTTGATTCGGAGAGGGAAAACACTCCCTTTTGCTGATGCTGACCCGACACTTGACAATGACCCTGATGTTCCCCGGAAGAACCCAAGCCTTGTTGAATCTGTTGTGTCCTACATGCAATAAGTTTTTCAACACTAATATCAGTCTGTAATGTTATGTGAAAGGAACAGTCCAATCAGTTGGTACAGCAGACTAAAAAAATGAAGTCCACTTCAGACCCAAAGTTCCCAAATCCTGAAGTAGGAGACACAGTTAAGTTAGAAGTTCCAGATGTGGACTGTTAGAAAAAGCTGAAGCTCATAACATTTTGCTTGGTGTAATGGAAAACACACACAACAATTTCTTCAAAATTGGGACTAAAGACAGGTTTACGCCAGATCATAACTAACTGTTTGCAATGAATGATTCCTGAATGCCAGTAAAATCCCTTCAACACAGTCATCAGTTCGATGCGTAGCTACAACCCAAGTTCTTTGGGACAGTCAAGGGTTTTTCTGTGCAAATGTAACACAAATGGGGCTCAAAAATCATAAATTCTAGAGTTTGCAATAAATTATATACACTTTAACAAACAGCACTCACTCTAAGGTAAAGGGTATAGAAAAGTTAGAATTATACACTTTAACTAAAATCACTCGTTTTTATAAACAACCAATATCTTCTTTAGTGTATTATTTCTAATCTTATGGAACTCCATATTAATATGATGACATTAAAATAATAACTGGATATTATACATAGTAACTCATTTATACACTTTAATGGTAGCTTATATTTTTTTGTAAAATAAAAGGGAAATTTTTTTTACCTGATAATCTTTGTAGCACATGGGGTGATACAATTTTTCTTCCATTCTAACTGCCATTCTTAAATGCCACTCTTCTTTTTCTTCGTTGTAGAATACTTCAAAACGATCCTGGCAAATACAGCAGGAGGCATTGTCTTCGTCTTTCTCAATAACAACACTCGGTTCTTCTTCAATCATTTCGTCACCTTCCACTGTCTTTTTCTCTTGCATTTCAAACCAACTTTGAGCTATTGTAAAGAAAAGAGTTAATGTTTTACAGTATATATAATGTGTGTGTGTGTGTGTGTGTGTGTGTGTTATTTAAGAAAAATACCTCGTTCTTCTAGGTCTTCGATCTCTTGGTATTGAATCCAATCCGAAACGTCATAATTCCATTTTCGTGACTGTGCGATTCTGGCAGAATCCCTGTCCCTTCTATTTTGACGGAAATGCCAGTCCAAATGTTGACTATATTTGACAGTCTCCTCGGGTGAAAACCTCACACCACATGAACTGCATTGTATTCCTGAGTAAAGCCTGGTAACTAATGCAGGTTGTTTCCTGAAAAGAAAAAAGTTTTATTGTACGAATAAGTTTATAAATTAAGTACATTCTTAAATATTTTGTTACACTTACACTTTCAGAGTCTCCGGTTGTGAAAAATCTACCATCTTTAAAGTTGATAAATCTTCAGAAGATTCTTTTTCTTTTTCCTTATTCACAGCCGGGACGATGCCTACTGCTACTAACTTCTTTAAAAGCTCACTTACATTAATCATATCTGAAATTTAAAGAAAAAGGAAATGATTTTAGTTTAATAAAACATTGTCACATAGAGAACAAATTAACAAAATTAATATAAAAAATTGGTAAAAATATATTACCTGGTACTGTGCTTGTTGTAACAGTACTTGTGGTTGTAGTAACATCTGTAGTTATTGTACTAGCTGTGCTACTTTCTGTGGTAAGTTCAGCGGAGTAGCTTTGCCCAACTGAAGGAGGCGTGAATGAACCAGGCATTAAACTGGCCAGTAATTCCAAGGGTTGATCATTCCCTATAAAAATATGTCATAAATATAACAATGAAAAAAATAATGAATAAAAAGGTAGAAGAAACATTTTTTAAATTGGGGCTTCATTTCGTCATTTTATGTTTTGTATATTGTGACATATTTTAATCTTTTGGAATTATGTTTATCATACTTTTTCTATGAAACAAAGACCACATTAGGCACAACCAACATTAACAAAGAGCATTGACAATAACACTACTTAAAAAAAAAAGAATATTTTACATTTTGACTTATGAAAAAGATTAATGAAAACCATTGTGACAAAGGGAAGTTTAGAAAATTACTATATTTGCCAAAGATCACAGGGGAATTTTAACAATACTTGGTGGCCACAACGGTTATGGTACCTGACACCTGCAAAGTAAAAGTCCGTTCTTTTTTTAATACATTCTGCTGTTATTAAAAATACTGGCAGAATTCGGCCAACAACGAGGTTGGTGAAGGAGAAAGGTAGAAAGCGAGAGGAATTAGTTGGGCGCCATAGTATTTTTCAGGGAGGGAAAATACTGAAACCAGGAAAAAAGGACAGAAACTAGAAAAGAGAGGAGAGAATGAAATTAACAATGAAAAATCAAAAAATAAAAATAAAGTAACCGACAGGCACTAAGCCTGGTCACTTCCAACTGGCTCACCCGATCACACCCGGGATCACAATCGAAACCAGGGCCAAATCCATTCTCGGGGTTGTCTGGATTAATAGGAAAATAATAATAATAGTAATGAAGCCAGTGTCTCACCTTGGTGTTAATCACTGGACGAAAAGACAAAGAGAAAAACCAATACTCACCCCGCTATTAACATTTCTAAAAACATATCTTTCTGACAATTTATAATTATAAATAAATAGAAAAATATATTATGAACCCCCTAGGGGGCAATGTGGCAAGAGATTTGTCCGTTGTGCACACCTAAACCACAACTGAGTCTGTACACTTTTGAATTGAATTGTAACGATATACGCTTTGTGTAGTTATATTGTTTAGGATCACAAATAACTCAAAGGCCTTTGATTTTTTAACATACCGAGTGAAACTGTAGGCGACTTCTGTGGCTTTACTTCATCGACTTCAGTGTTTACAGAATTTATAGCGCTTGTCTTGTCTATGCCATTTCTGTCAGAATTTTGAGATGCCGTGGAAGAAGTCGTCGGCGGTGACACTGAAGGAGGAGGTGATGGCAGCCGTCCTCCTTCCATGTTGACTATATTAATATACCCCGGTTTGATACCTCTTGGCAATACAGAGAGTCGCAAATAATGTTTCGCCCCTTGAAAATAAATCGGAACCGGTGTCCCACCAAATTCAATCTGAAAAAATACGCATGCATACATTAAAAATTAACAAATATGCGACTAAATGTACAATTTGAATTACCTTGAATGGCACCCCATTGATCACAACTGTTTGTAGAGCTTCAACAAACCTCAAAATATAAGGTACTCGCTCAATTTCAAATCTGAAAATAATTATATATTATAAGCCCTATCAATGTCAATAATATCAATTTTAATTAAAAGTATCAAACTTAAACATATATGATTGTCTTGTAATAAATCAAATCTTCTATAAAATTTAAGGTTTAAAAAAAATGTCAAATAATATTAAAAATGTATCGTATCAACCAATTTCTACCCAAAACTGAACTTCGTTTACTTCTTAACTTTATGCTGTAATAAAAGAACACCAAGAAAGAAGAAATTAAGTTAAAACAAAAATACCTTTGGGGTTTTGCATCCAAGTATATGGGAAACATTTCATTTGCATCGACAATAAGGTTCACTTTGCCTGCAACAAGATCGGTCCTTTTCACATCACTGAATTTTACTTGCGGTGTAGGCCCTGGCATGCAGACGGAATGCATTCTTCCTCCAAACATTATATTCACTGGCGCTCCTCCAAAAATAACTTCATAAAACATCCCATCTATGTACAGCTCTCTTGTAGGTGCACCGAGTCTGATGCTACAAAAACGGACAACAATTGAAATAAGTATTTTTATTTACTCTTTTTCTTTTCTTAATTGTACGGGAAACAAGAGGACAATTATTTAATAATTACTTTACTTAATCATTTTAAAATACACAAAAAACATGTTTCGATTGCAACCAATTTATGTTTATACATTTTTGTACATACTCCTCAAACATAAACTTCCACGTACTATTAATCAAAATTTAAAAATAAATAAATAAAACCATAAAACTGATTCTCATCCCTTTTTTTTCTATCAACATATCTTGGTTTGATAACAACAAAACAAGTTGCAATCCATTGCATGTTTCTGGTTAAATTGGGCTCAATACGGAATTATATATTGGTACAACTAACGGAAAGCGGTAGCTGAATGGCTTGCCACAGTCGTGGGTTCGATTCCCACCGTTGCCCCGGCCCTTTTTTCACATATTCCCCCCCCAAAAAAAAACTCATATGCTTATATTACACATCTCCTTGGCTAAAATGGAAAGGTCATAAATAAATAAAAAATTGGTACTACTTACTTCACTCTTGCACCATCAACGATGAATTCCTTATATGGTGCATTAAATTGTAGAGTAAAAACTTCACGGTCATCAATGACCAGAGTTTTTGACCCAGGTTGAAATGTTATTTCTCTCGGGTCATCCCACGAAAGCATAATAATTGCGGTATCGCCATAAAATCGCACTTCTCTTGGGACGCCTTCATAAATAATATTCTTCATGGTGTCCTTTGCAATTATTTCGAGAACATGCGGGTCCGCACGTGGTAGATGATTTATACCTGTTCCCATTGCTCCTCTCATGTTGCCAAATTGATTTAGGTGGAGTGGTGGTGGTGGCGGTGGTAACGGTGGAACTGTTACCGGTGGAATCGGTCCTCTGTATCTAAACCTAGAATATATTTAAACTATGAATAAAAGCGACAAGATATACACAATGAACAATAAAATAAGGTTTTAATAAAATTTTCCATAACTGACGTTAAGCCAAATCCCAAACCTTTTTTTATGATGTTTTGTGAAAATCACACAAATGCTGCTTCGTGTTTTCTTTTCATGTTCATTTCTTTTTAAAACATAATGTACAATTTTTAAGAATTTGAAATGGGAACTTTTAAATTAATTTAGTTCACTGCTGGCTGATAAAGAAATTAATAGTAGCTGTCTAAAAACCAGATATTTTCATTGTCCGAATTTCTTTACAGCAGAAATTATTTTATTACAAGAAATAAAAAGAATCAGGATTATTAAGTGACAAACAGGAGAAGAAATAACTATAACTGAAATCTATTACTTCACACACTTTCTATTTTTTTTTACCAAAGATACTTTGTTTCTATGGATTTCAATACTTTAATTTAAATTTTAAAAGTATATCAAGCTGTGGTCTCTTTTCTCATCACATAGAATTATAATTACACTATTACCGGCCAAATATTATACATCAGTCTTGAATAAAGCAATGACCTTTTGATATTGTACACCGTTCTTTCTATTTTCACTGTTCAAAAATATAATTATGCCTTTTGTGTTTATCGATGATAGATCGACGTTATCAAGAGTGCAATTATTAAAAGAAAATTTACAAAAATGTGATTTTCAAAATTATTGTGCCATGAGTTTTAATGAATAAACAATAACCAGCTTATTCCTTATAGGAATATTTGTTCTACACAAATCCTAATGCAAACAAACAACATTGAATTTTATCCAGTATAAAAATTGGAATTTTCAAGTATTTTATTACTTATGCCGCTGAAATAAAAATCAGATCTTTGAATTTGCCATGATGACTGGGAAAGTGGAAAAAAAATTGACATATGATTAAACAAGGAAATAGATGTAACCAGAGTATGCTGGCTCATTATCAAACTGCTAAAAACAATTTAAACATGAACAACTCCGCTGTAACAACCGATAGTGTAGAAAAAGTTGAAATTTGATAGGAAAATAAACAAAATAAGAGAATGATGGGTCAAATTTTGTTAAAATCACCATTTTTTTAAAATCACTTCAGGACAACTTGTTTTGAACAATTGTACTAAAATAAATGTCCTCTTTTCAATTACTAAATCCTGTAACATCCTCCCAGCATTTATGTGTGTCATATAAATGTATTGTGTTGTTTTTTCAATAGATAATTACACCAGAATGTCAATTAGTTAGGATGCTCATTGTCAATAGTTAATCTGATGAGCTGTTACATCGTGTTTGGAAAACAGCAACTTTCATATCATATTATTATTAGGTACACATACACATAGGTTTTACTAAAACGTTTTTAAAACAAATTTTATATAACTGAATATTGTATATGAATATTGTTTACATAAAATTGCAGTACAGATGTTTTGCGATTGAGCAAATATTTCACATATTAACGTTTTCAATTTTGAAACTAGATGACATTTAATTTACAAAGCTGTTTACATTCATTTACAGATTGTTATTTATATCAGAGACACACAACTCAGACATTAATAGAAGCAATTTTTTATTTTTTTTTATGTTAATGCAAACCGTTTTTCACATTACTTGTCAACATTTATCATACATTTTGGTGCTTAATAATTAGTAATAGTGATTGTAACAAATTGTGATTTATTTATTATAACATGAGAAAAAAATGTTTAAATTAAAACAATTAAATCTAACACAGAGAGAAATATCAACTGTTTGTGTAGCTCAAAAGGAAGAATGATCATTTTTAGGCTTTTAGACACTATTAATGGAAACTTTATGGAAATAATTATGTATGTTTCTGAAAACTGAAAATTTAAGAAGAGAAACAACTGTATAATTGATTTATTGATACAAAAAAAATAGGACTAACCATGCCATATGAAAATATTTTGTGGATAAATACTTGGTAAAAATTTCCTACTTGTCTTTCATACTTGTCGTTTGCATTTAAGTAATTGATTAATAATATTTTTATGCAAAGTGTGGTTGAGACGAAAAATTAGCTTCACGAGCAGGGCTCAAACCCAAGACATCCCAATTAATATCCAAGTGCTCTACCTGGTGTGCTATCGTCAACTTCGGTCCCTGAGACACCAACTCATCATACTGTCATGATCCAGGGTAGACCGCGACACAAGGAGGAATTCAAAAACCCCTCCAGCCAGAAGGAACTCAGAAAGTGTAAGTGGGGGACAACGTAAGCAGTGAAATATCAAGATAATGCAATTTCGGTAAGAAATTTAAAACAGGCCAAAGAAATAATTTTAATATTGTTTGTTTAATTGGTGAAGGGATTTATTAATATTTTAATTTTTTTAATTAATATATAATTAGATTGTAGATAATTTACAAAATGGAGTTATTATAGCTGAAATGGAGATACACAAATTAGCTACAGGGAGCTTTCAATGAAATACGGACATGAGTTGGTGTCTCGGGGACCGATGTCACACAATAGCTCAAATGGTAAAGCACTACGGTACTAATCCGGAACTAATTTGCACAAAAATAATCAATTACATAAAAATAAACAAACTATGGTTAAGAGGATCAATAAAAACATAAATTTTAATTTAAAAATTCTTAGTTTTGAAGAACAAACTTGATTTTATGAACCAATTCACAAAATTGGGGATTTCAATTATCTTACATTTTATTTAAATTTTATGTTTTAACCACCTTTTCTTTATTAAATGGTTTATATCCTTCCATACGAAAAAAAAAATTGCTACAACAAAATTGTAAATGCTTGTCTAATACTTCATTTACTCTCTCAAATCAATCAAAAAAATGACAAGACTGTAAATTCTTACTTAATATTAGAAAAAAATGTAAATTTCCTGTTGACGCACATTATTTTTGCTAGATATTAAATTTCATGTTAATAAATGTGATCAGGAAAGATTAAAACAAAGAATTTACAAAAGATGAAATCCAAGATTTATTTACATGGATAAATATTTATTACAAAACAATTATATCTTACAATAATATTGACTATTTCCTAAAAGGGTATTAGAATATAATGCCCTAACAATACACAATAAATTCCAGAAATGCACTTATCGACAACATGAATAATTCACTTACTTTTTGTGTGTAATATAAGTAGCATACACTGCAGTGCATTGTATTGTAATCAATTTTAGAGAAATGTATGCTTAAATCACATAATTATAACTTTTCCTGTACTGACATTCAAAGGTTGGAAATAAATAAATATAGTTTTAAAAAAAAGTAAGAAAAGACCAAAGGAACCCTGGCATGATTAAATAATTATGGAATAAGTAATGTATAATACATACGGAGCTTTATTTGGTTCAAAAATTTGCCTGGTTGGATGGGGCCATCTTTTGAAGTCTCCACGAACCGGTGTTGGATGAGGGCGAGATGATTTTTGAAGCCATGGCTTTTGATTTCCACCTCCTCTTGTGGAACTCTGGTTGTCATATCTGTTTCCATACCTTCCTCGATCATTTGGCAAACTAAACATTTATTCATTTATTAATACAAATAATTACTTTCGCTTGTAAGTGGTGAGTAAATTATAATCACCGATTGACTGGCGGATCTGACACGTGTACTTTGGTCCGCTTTCTGCTGTCGGGCTTTTGTTTAGAAGAATCGCCTTGTTCAAATTCATCTCCATTATAAGACGCATCGTCGTATTTACGTTTAAAACCTACATAATTGAAATTTAAACAATGCGTATATTTTATAAAAATATATTATACAACAAATACAATTTATTCTATGAACTTTTACACAGAATATTAGTATCTTTTAAAACATAAACATGCCTGGATTAAAGTAATAAAAGGTAAGTGCTTAGATTAAATGGTACTTATCTTATTATGCAAATTATTGATATAATTATTTGATAATAATTAATATTTCAACATGCATAAACAACACAAATAATAGTAAAAGTTAGCAAACATAGTACATAATCATTTTGGCATGAGGCACACTATTTTTTTTTAATATACATTTTTTGTTATTTTTATTTAAACCATTACTGTTCTATCATTGTGTGCAGAAGGATAGCACATTATCTTTCAAGCTGAAGTCCACGCAACTGTGATTTTTAAATTTAAAAATAATAAGCAATTCAAAATATTGTGCAGAATCCGAGAAAAAAGAACATGGTCAAAAAATGTTCAAATAAAAAGTTTTTGTGCAAACTTTTTGTCGTGTATCATTTCGTTGGTGACACCGACATTGAAACATTTTCGCCATATAGCAGGGTTCCTGGTATATTGGGATAAATGCTTAGACATAATTATGTTCTGAGTAGATTTTTAAATCGAGCATTTTCGGTGTTCGAAATTGCCAATTTTTTTACACCACACAATTCACAAAAGACTAGTTCAATTAAAAAAATAAAAAAAATAAATAAATAAAAAAAAAAGAGCCAAAATTTTCTAATTATTTTATTGAGCACTCCCCATGCTTAAAATTGCAGATCTTTTACACCAAACAATGCCGGAAACAATCTAGTTTAATGTATAAAAACAAAAACAAAACTTTTTAACGTCAAATTTGCTTGGTCACCCCTTAATATACATATTAAATGAACAGCCTGTTTGGTAAAAAAAATCATTGTCAAACTGAACAAATCTGTTTTTTATTAACTTTTTATTTTATTTATAAAAGTGAAAAATAAAAAGTACTGATTTAGGTATGTAGCAAGCCTTGTGCTTTAAATCAATGCTACTTTTACTTACATTAACAGTTCCTACTAACCTGAACTATTTTCTGAATGGTCCATGTATCCAAACGATTCCTTGGGTAATTCATTTTCCTCGACGTCCATGCCAAAATGGTCTTGATTTAATTCGTCTTGCTTTAGAGCTTCTTGAAGCTTACGTTCTTCATTAATTTTAATCACCTGTTATGATTTTATTTTATGACTGATATTGATAAACAGTGAGTGTATACATAGAAAAATGGTATATAAATTACTTACAGCTTTTAACATACTATTGTACTGCGAAAATGTGATATTGCCACTATTTAACTGTTCCTCTGCTTGTTTAATTATCAAGTTGCAATTATCTGATATACACTCTTCTGGTGCTTCTTCTTCAAACTTCTCACTGTCCTTAACTGGAAACACATCATGACAATAATAACATGGCTTATTTGATCAATTATTTTGATTTCAAAACAACACGTGATTTATTTATGTTGAATAAAGTCTGCCAAAATTTATTTTATTTATATAAATGGTATAGAAAGGTGGGAATTAAAGGTAGTAACGAACCTACTGAAGCATTAAAAGCTGTCATATTTCTTGCTTGTTTTATGAATATTTCATCTTGAAAATACTGACCTTTAAGAGTACAGATAAAGTGAAAATTTAAAAACTAGGACTACATAGAGGTTGAAAGCAAGCCGTGCAGATAATTTAGTGGAATTGATTTTAATATGTGCGTGATCTCTCAAAACACCATACCATATCACTTAGCCAAATCTGACCTAGCTCATGGTGCTTGCACTTCACACTCGCGTCCGCTTCGCAGAAAAACATTGAATCAAGGATATGTAACCTAAACCTAACTTAACCTAATGTTTGTCCCCGGGAAATGTAAAATCAATGATGTAAAAATGGTCCCATGAATAAACAAAATAAATGAATTTAAAAAAAGTATCTAGACCAAAAACATTCCACCTTAAAAGGCTAGACTTCCAACATTTTGTTTGGAGATGTTAAAGGAAGTTATCAACAAAATGCTTACATTTCTAGAACTAAAATAAGCAAATATATGCAGGGAAAACAAGAAAATGATTTAAGTACATTTAAAGGAAAACAAATATGCCTACTTCCTTACCTTCATCATTTAAGATAGTTAATAAAGGAAGTTATTCGACTAAGAGTAGAACTGCGGGTTGTATTAACTTATACAATTCAAATAGAAATAACTGCCAGTCTAGGAGAGGAAATTTGTCATAGGCCGTATGAATGAATTACTAATAATAGTTTTACTAATAGAATGTATTATTTTGTTTAATTCAATTAAATTTATATCGATTTCTATGGTTTCCAACAGAGATGCTGATTGATTGATTTTGTTAGAAATCTACCAATCTAATGTCCCCTCTTCACTATGGCAAGTTGGGCCACCGTGTAGAGGGGGATGGCCTGTAATGGTTCATATTGGCAAATGTTGGAAATGGTGTTGGGGAACATTGGCTTTGGGAGTAGTCTCTCTGGACACAACAAAGGAGGCCAAGGAGGCGTGAACAATTGCGCAGTAGATAGGTGTAGTGTCCACACACTGCCAACAGTGGTCAGCCATGGTTAATGTTTTCCGATCAGGTTTCTGTCAATATTACTATTGACAAGCTAAACACAGTGCTGCAGCAGCGATTTCCTCGGTGTCGACATCCATCACGGCACAGGGAAAGTAAGTAACACCATAGGCCATTGAAGCCACGCTGGTTTAATCTTGGGCTGAGGGTTGGCCCAGTGTGTAAAAGGGCCATTAAAACAAGAAACACATAGCACGCACAACTGAAACAGTTGTGAAGGGACAGAAACTATTAATATTGCTAAATATTTAACTTATAAGGAAGATATTTAGAAGAAGACTTTTAATGAAAACATATCCCACTTTCTAGCCCAACAAGAGACTCAGGAATAACCCACCAAAAATAATATTAGGATAAGTTAAAAAAAAATAAAATACAAAAATAAAATAATATAAAAGACCATTTTAAGAGTTCAAATAAATTTATTTTATATTTCAAACAAGTTATTTCAAATCGTGGAATATAGCCCATCATGTACGATGGTCAATTGTCATCTGGAGACCAGCTCCCTGGATGTAGCATTCCTGGATTTCTATTGAAATAAAGTCTTCTATTCCAGGTTTTACGTTTTTGTCAACATGTTAAATGTGTTTCCCCATAAGGAAGTTGGCCATTGCTTGGAAGAGGCTGTAGTCTGAAGAAGTAAGGTCAAGATTGAGAAAGTATCCGCAGTGTACGAATTCCCAGACGAAATGCTTGTTTTCGGTGGCTGTAAATTTTCTTTTCATAATTTTTATTAAAGGAAATTGATCTGAGCATTAAAATAATTCCAACATCATTGTAAGAAAGACTAGAAAAAAATTCAATAAACATTTAGAACACGTGAAAACATTTTTTTTATCTCTCACCCCTGTAGACCCTTCTTAAATATAATACAACCTAATGTCAAATAAAATCTTGTAAAAGATGCCAAGCTGCAAGTTATATTTAAGAGATAATAAGATGTGATATTTACCTAAAAAAGTGTATAATTGATATAATTTTATCAACAATTTTATTAAATTGCCTAAAAAGTATAACGTAACAATATAATAAAATAAAATAAAAAAATGAAATATAAATATAAAATATAAAGAAACTGTAATCGGTTTAAGAGAATTTTTCCATAGTTGTATTAAAAGATGTACATCTGGCCAAGGAATGATCCTTGTTAAATGGTGTAAAAGCTAATTAAATTCCAGGTCAGATATTACAAAATAAAATAAAACAATTTAAAAAAATAGCAGACAGTGAAATCCTGTTTTTACAAGATTGCACTTGCTGAGAAAAAAAGTAACTCAATATTGTACTGACACATGAGTCTCACCAGTCTAATACATTCAATTTTCAACAAGCTATTTCTGTTCAAATTCTTAGTCAAAAAAATTTTGCAGAAGGGTACTATAAGCTATATATTTTGTAAATGAATTTTTACTGTTTCATTATAAACAAATGTGGTCATGTAACAAAATGTACTGCCCTAAAGAAAAAAAGGAGCAAAAAGGAGAGAGAAATTTATTTGATAAAACTATTAACCACCATGCAAATAAAATATGTCAAATAAATTGAACCTAAACAATGGCACTAATGATATATCAGATTTCTTACATAAAAAAAATGGAGGAAAAAAGGATGTACAGTTGAACTTCCCATAAGTGGACACTGGATTTTCTCAGCTCATTAAGTCATTACAGGTACATTAAGTGAAAGTAAAACATGAAATCTAACTAATTTATGTACATGGGCACTAATTTTCTCTTTCTCAAGGATTTGCACGACTCTGACCAAAACAATATTTTTTGTTTTTGTTTTTTTCTCGTTTTTTTTTTATATCTTCAAATTGGTTTGTCACATCTGAGAACTGACTAACTGAACTGAGAACTTAACCGAGAAGCCCCAAAGGCTTATGACTTTGTACTAGGCCATAGAACATTTGGAAGAGATTTACCGCAGTGATAAACTGCCTTAATTAATTAAAAAGGAGAGGTTGTGAGAATTCTCGAAACATTACTGTTGCAAGTAACAACATATAAGAGTCACGTGTCATTTGTGGAATCCTGAGTTATTTTTTTATCAGCTGTCTAAGAGACATTTTTGTTGAAAAATCTATAAACCTATTGTCTGTGTCTGTTTACTAAAATGTCTGGTTATTAAAAGTGCTTGGAAATAAACGGAATAATGCACAGAAAAAGGAAAATGCCCAGTTACTAGAAACTGGGAATGTTCAGCTCTATTTTGTACTAATAAGGCCTGAATGAAAATAGGTAAAATATAGGCTATCAGTTGTCAGGACTTGACATATTTACATGTAAAAAATAAATACACTTTTAACTTTTTTTAAATCAAAAGCTCACCTTTGTCTTCATTATAAAAAAATGGCCTTCCTAAACGATCCGTTGAATTTTTATTAAACTTTTTGGTGTAAGGGGTCTCGTCTGACTTTGTTCCCTTGTAGTTGGCCCAATTTCCTGATGTTTGTGAATGTATAGCATTTGAAGGGATGCTATTTTCTTGATCTCCTCTTCGCGATATTATGGGTGGAGGCGGTGTCGGCGGTTGAAGTGGGAAGGTTCTCAAATCAACATCTTGCGGGCCAAACAATCTAAATAAAAATACGTTAAAAAAATTAAAATTAATAAATTAAGTTGTTGAATCAATGATTACAACCACAAAGGTAATCTTTTATTACATAATTGTGGAATTGAGGCTGGCCTGGGTGCTGTGAAAGCTTAATATTACAATTGTATACTGTGAACATTTGGACTGACTAAGAATGACAAAATTAGCAAGTCAATTTTTTTCTGCCACTAAAAACTTACGCTGACACAGTTGCAAGAGACCATTCACATTCCCAATTTTACAAATTGTTTGAAAATATTATTTAAAAAATTACAGTAAACTCTCATTATCCACGCTTTCACTCATCCTCAGATGAAAAATCACTAACGAAGAATTGGAAGAAAGCATCAAATCAAAAGGAACAGTAGAAGAAAAATTTGGAGAAATCTTTCGATTAGCTCAAAAGTTAAAAGACAAAATCATAGAATATGAACGAATAGTGGGGGGGGGGCTGCAATGGTTAAGGTGTGGACACGGCACTCATCACTGTAAGGTCCCAGATTTAAATCAAGCAGCCTTGCATTCGAACCCAACATACAAATGGGCTTTTTTCCAAAAACTCCAACACATTGAGGGCTCATATAAATTCATAGTTGAAATACCCTCGTAAAAAAAAAAGAAAAAAGTAGCGGAACAAAACATCAACGTACCAAAATTGCTAACTCGAGCAATAGGCCCTCCCCAACAAAATTTCCAGCCGTTGAAACACCAGACAAAGCAACCTTCTATAACAATGTTCCTTGAGAAAGCTGAAAGAGCAAACTTCATTGACTCATCACCATCTACTTTTAACTGTGTAATTTAATTGATCTTTTTTATAAGTTTTATTTCTTTTAGGCCCTAATAATTTTTTCAAGTTTGTTTCAATGTCGTGCATAGGTATATCTATTGATGTATGTATGTACAACTGTTTCCCTGCATGGAATAAACTTCATGTATATCAATGTACATTGTATTTTTCTTAATGAACACAAAAAACCCTAAAATATATGCATGTAAGTTCATACATAACATTGACAATAGGCAAAGTTTTTGATTAGTATGCAGATAGAAGAAAATGCTTTGGAGCATGAAATTCAAGTTGTTTCCTATTATCTATTGTTTTCGTTATTTGTGGTGATGCTTGGTATGTATACCCTATGGATAATGAGAGTGTACGGAATTATTTTTTTTTACAGGCATAGTTGAGCATTATCTATATAAAAATGAAATAAATTGTTTGTATACATTGACTATACAATTTTAATACGTTCGGCCTGGTGATTGCCAACCTGCCCGATCGGTGCACTCACTTCCTTACTTTTCTTTGCACTAGCTTGATTTCCAACTGAATCGCAAGAGAGTAATTTTTGTTTCTGTATTTTAGACTGAAGAATCTTCTTTGCTCGATACACAAAAATCAAAACACCACGATACAAAGTTCTATACAGACCAAGAAATAGATCAATATTAGAGTCAATGGTTTCTCAAAATGAATACAAATATATCTCAGATGAAGAAGAAGAAAATTCGGGAACATCACAACATAACTAGTCATGTTTCCAAAAGAAATGCATTATGTATATAGTGAATTGTTATGATTTTTACAATAAGTTAGTTATTTGTGTATGCATATTAACTGTATTTAGTTTTAGTATTTAGAATAATATGAAAATTTGTATTTTCACATAATTATCGTTTTATTTGTATCAATGTTTGTTTTGTTAATATATAATATTAGTTTATTAGTCAGATTTACAAAGATTTGGGTTAAACTTTAGAATTATAGGGTTTATTTGTATTTTTTAAACAATATAAAACATTATGTGTGTGTATAATGTTATTTGTTTTCATTACTATATGCTTTATATAAAACTGCAAATTTTTTTGGCAATTTTAATGTTTGTGTAAGTATAAAAATTTGTTACAGTACCTAACAGGTGTATTTGTAAAATACTTAAATATCCTTTCACTTCAGTAACATCTATCTGTTCCTCACAATAATTCCTACAAAGAAAATAATTTTTTGAGAAAAGTTATAAAAACTGCAAATATATATATCAAACGAAGTCAGTAGAGACAGCAATATGGCCATTTGGCAAAAGGGTCATAAAGAGGGCATAAGAAGATTGACTCCATGCTGAACGAGTCGCCTCTATACTGAACATGTTAAGGGGTGAGTTTTTATAATTCCTAAATACGAGAAATAGTAACAGTAACAATATGTATACATATAAAAAAAATATAATAATAAGCCAAATGTTAACTACATTTGCCATTTAACTTGTACTTGACCAGATATATTTTTGGGTTACATTCAAATGAAATATTAATTTCATGAAGACCTACACATGCACACTAGAAAATTTGAAACTACTTACGTGTCCATCATTTTATTTTTAGATTCTAAATCGTCTATTTCAGCCGTATTAGCCATGGTTTTGTTGTGTGAAGGCAACAGCCTCAGGTCAATATCCTTGCTGTTATTAACCAATGGTAATGCACCAGTGTTTGCTGAAATTAGTTAACAGGTTATTAGCAACATGTAATTTTAAATAACTTTACATTTATGTTACTTTTATCATTAGCTGAAGTTTCTTCCATCTGCATTGAAGTATTTTCAACATGTGTGTGTTTTCTCTTTTCAGATTTAGTTTTGGCTGTCTTCTTTTCTAATTTTTTCTTATGTGAATGCATATTTGAACCTTTGAATTTGATAGGACTGATTATAGGTGGAGTGTTACTGCTATCAGAAGTTATATCGATTTCAATAAGGTCGGACTTGTTTGGAGGGGTTGTTTTCTCTTTAGTAATTTTATCGACTGATTGTGGCTTTTGGCTTTCAGAAACAGATTCGGCCACAGTCATTTCAGAACTCTGGGCTTTCGGGGAAGTGGATCGTGCATCTGGAGTCCAAGTGTTACTTCTGTAGTTATGAGATGCACCGGATGCATCGGTAGTTTTAACTTGTTTCTCTTCGTTTAGCTTATTCCTTTCGGAAACTTTCATACTTTTACTCTCTTTTCTCAAAACATCTTCAGGTTGAGCTTGTTGAGAAGAAGCCTCTTTGGACACCTCATTATTTACCGATACCTCATATTTACTTGTATGATGCGATTTCGTTTTCTTTGATTTTTTGTTCTTTTTGTTTTTAGCACTGGAGGGAGAAACTTTACTCGAAGATGAGGAAGAAGAAACACTTTGATCAAACGATTTTGGTATCTTAATTTTCGGAGGTGCAGTACTGCTTTTAACTACAGTCGATGACAATGTGGCTTTTTCATTGGATTCTTTCACCCTTATTCTTGGGTCTCTGGTCCTAAATGTTGTATTCTCAGAATTCAAAGACTTCTCTTTTTCAGATGTCTTAGGTTCATCTTTAGAAAATTTTAATCTTGGCTGTTTTCCAGAACTGCTGCTTCCAGCCTAAAACATAAATGAAAATGAAATGATTTATTGATTAATTTCCAAAATTATCCCAATACCAGGCATTTTTTTAGGGCCGGGAGGTTTGTGTACCTTAGCCTACATATAAATCAAAAGGTATACATTCATTATATAAAAGAAAAGTTGCACCAGGAAGCAAATAAATAAACAGTGTCAGCCTCTGTTCGTATAATTTGAACATAACATGTCCTAAATTTCATATAACTATACAGCACATCACCACTATTAATTTGTCAATTTTTATGGGTACTAAAAAAGCATATTATTTTCAAGATTCTTATCCAATATTCAGGGGGAAATTTCATTTTAGGAACTACATTTATTATTTAGTTGCTGATTAGTTGTAATGCTATCACTTTGTCTTCATGAGTATAGTTAAATATTGTAGCCAGTTATTAACAGTTTATTAACAAATGTACAGTGCGAACAAGGTTAAAATTAAGTGTGTAATATTTCGTGACCGTTAGGTAATGATTATTTAGAGATCGTGGAATGCAGTTTGATGTGATGTAGGTTTAGAAAAACGTTTTATCGTCCCAACGTTTTGATCTTTATTGAGATCATCGTCATGGCTCAAAGTGCGTTTTCTGTGTAGATGTGTCGTGTTGAGAGTGTATGAAAACAATGTTTTTCTAAACCTACATCACACTAGACCGCATTTCATGATCTCTAAATAATATTTCAAATGAAGAAAGTCTTGACATCTTGCCTTTTTAATACCAATAAAAATTGACAAATTAATAATGGCAATCTGCCATATTATTCTTAATAAGAAAATTTATTAATATGTTAATTACCATAGAAATGACAAAAATAATGTTATTGAACTTTCAAATTGACGTTCACCAACAATTGTTAAAACTGTAACTTGTAAAATAGAAAAATCCTTACAGTATCAAGTCTGTGACATTTCTGTATCCAGAATCATCAAATAAATATTGTATATTACAAGTAATAACAAATTAATGCACATTTCACGAAACAATTACAATCAAAATTGATGTTTTCAATCTTATTGGCTTGTTTACAACAAGAAGATACCAGGGGATTAATTCTGTATTGTTATCAACATATTTATCCACTCCCACTTCATCAGACATTCAACTGTTAATAATCCTTATAGAATATAGTTTGAAATATTAAAATTAGATAGAAGGATAAAAATGTGTACAACACCTTATATTTACACTTATTATAGCGTAGACAGGGAATGTGAGTAATTCTTAACAGATTAAAAACAACATTTTATTGTTATTTTATCAGCCTTCTGATGTCACATATTTTGTAAGAGTATCCAAGTATTGTAAGAAAACTCAAAAATTGTAAACAAGCGTTTGGCTTTTAATGCCTTCATCAGGACTACAGTCTATAACTTGAATTACAACAAATAGCATCAAAATTTTTTTTTTTAGTGTTTTATGTATACCTCAGAATATTATTAATAAATAATTTCAATAAATAAAAATAATTCTATAAAATTAAAATAAAATAATAAATAAATAGTTGTATTAATAATTTTTTTTATTTTTTCTTCGTTGTCTTCCTCGCCGATACTCATACAATATACAGATTAAAACAATCGGATGAATGTTATTTACAAAGCAAATCTTGAAAAAAAAATGTATACATACCAATAAAGCAGGCAGGCATGCAGACTGTATAAAAGCCCAAAAATACAAAAGCCGGGTCAAAATTGCAAGCGTATAAAGAGCTTCAGACATGCTGGATTCGTTGAACGCCGAATATTTGCCAAGTGGCGAGATGCTCGTTTTGACATTTGCCAAATAGTGTGCCTATGTGTATAATTTGTACAACTACCCAGTTTGTGTGAGAACAGCGAATATTTGTGCACTTTGAAGCGGACATGAAAATTAGCCGAGCACCCATCCCCAATAGGCGGTAATCAGTGAACGTTTGCTTGGCATTCGGTGAATCAAGCATGTCTGGAGCCACCTTTAAGATTACACAAGAGACACAAGATACATTAACCAAAGATCGTACAAGCATTTTATCACCGAAAGAAGAAACAAACAAAAATTCGAAATGATTGAAAGCTGATTGAATGTAAAATTTGGAAAAAAAAACTGATGTTTAGCAGCGACCGGTGAAATAGTGAAGAGCGGTCAGGGTAGATGTGTGTTAGAAAAACACCTTTTTCATTTAATTGCTGATGTTTAAACTTTTATTCGAGTCATATTCAAGGTATATGTTGATTGAGAATTTGTGTAAAAATTATACAAGAAAAATGTAGATTGTTATTATGATGTAATTCCAATATAGGTGGCAGGACAATTTATGCAATTAATTTTGTAAATTACATCTGTTTTGTTGGTTAGTGGTATTGGGTCTTTAACTTTGGAAAAGGGTGTACATTTTCACAACTTCACCCTACACTTAACAAACACGACACTACAAGAATAACACTACACTTTAACCTAATAAAGGTTGAAACATCAGCGATTAAGTGAAAAAAGTGTTTATCTGACCGCTCCTTACTAGTTCAACTACATAAAAAAAAATGATAATAATAACAAAATATTTTCCCTACCACAAACTAATAAAACACCAAACAATTAATCAATTTGACGCATTAGTTTTTCTTCTTTTTATGATTTAATGGATTTTAAGATTTGAATCACATTGTATACAATTACAATTAATTAAGGATTTTAGTTGAGATAAAAAAGTCAATGGCACGAGCGGGATTCGAACCACGATCTTCGGCTAGATACGCCGCTACTCTACCACTTGAGCTATCATGACCTCGATCCACTTGGACACTAACTTCCCATCTCAACCCCACTTTTTGAATTTTGCCATCGAATCCCGCTCGTGCCATTGACTTTTTTCTCTCAACTAAAAACCTTAATTAATTGTAATATAATAATTGGTCAAGCGGACCACGAAATTAGTGAATTTAATGAATTGTATACAATTGTTGATTCAATATTGAAAATTACTTAATAAATTTTTTTTGGCTAGTACTTCGCCTATTCCTTTTAGATGTACACACTATATAAAAAAACTAACTTCTATAAACCATGAAAACACTTTTATTTATTACTTTTTGACCTGATGTGATTGTCGTAGCAAAATATTCAAACCAATAAAGCTGTTCTAAAATTGTAGTTTTGGGTGATATCTTGTTTTTTAATCTGTCTGGTACTTGTACTTCGACAAATATGAATTAATTATATGGAAAATATTTCAAAGATTATAAGATAACATACAACTTAGTAGATTTAAGGCTATATTCTTACTCCCTCCGGTGGTACATATAATCCCAATAATCTTAGGGAGTCAGGAGCGTTAAATGGCAATCAAACAAACCAAACAAAAGCCTATCCTGAAAAGAATCAGGAAAGGGAAACAAAACCCTAATGTTCACTTCTGGGCACTGGCACTAAGGCCGACCACTTGAAGCCTTAACCCCAAAAAACCAGAGCCACTTTGGTTGCAAAAGTGGTATAGGGGAAAGGTCACTGGGTAGCACCCCATCATCAAATGAAGTGTTCCTAGGACATGTCTTAAAAAAAGTATAATTGAGGGAAGCAATGTGGAACAAACCATCCCCAACGTAAATGGTTGGGAGAGCAATGGGACATATCAGCAAGCCCTCAAAGCACTAAAAATGGCTCTGGTGTTGGAGAAATACCCGGACAAAGAGGTAACAGCAGATCAGGGCCATCCTAGCTGAGGTTTGGAGCTACAAAAACTCCAAATGACCTCAGTTCAGGAATGGGTACATTGGAAAAGGGGCTGTTCTGATAAACTGCGAGAACCAAAGTGCCAAGGAACGACTTAGGGAAATAGTACCTACTATCCACCTGTGAGAAGGGGAAAACCTCAGGGTAGGCAGGAGAAATTATACAAACTACAAGAGTAACCATGTGAGTGCCGGACCTTCGGACACTGCCACTATTCTTGGGCTGATGAAATTCCAAAACCCAGGTATTAATGGACGGTCGTCAGCCTTAAAACTATCTTGACTTTGCAATGATAATGCTAAGGGTCATCAAAAAAAGCAGTAAAGACTGATGCTGAGGGTGCTTCAAGCAAACCTCCAGCACAGAAAAGCTGCAACACTTATGCTTTATTGTGTGGCAAAGGAGAACAACATCAATGTAGCCCTTATCAAGGAACCCTGGCTAGTAAAAGGTAGAGTAGCTGGGCTAGGAGGTAAGGGAAGAAAAATCATATATGAACCATGCAACAAAACGTAAGAACATGCATTTCAATTAAAAACGAACTACAATGTCTAATCACTTAGTAGCTTTGTTTCAGGGACCAAACAGTAATTAGACTAAGCTATATGAAAGAAGGAGTCATGACAGATATGACGACAGCCTCAATCTACACCAGCCTTACGACTCATTTTGGCCTCAACCACCACAGATTTCTTATTCAATAGAGATAACAAACTGAGACCATTGACACATAAACATGGAAATAACACGACTGGATAAAAAACATCTAATGTGAACCGAAACCCCTGAAACACAAACTGGGAGAAATACGACGAGTTACTAGGGAAAAATACACTAACTACAATGGCTAACATTAAAAGAACCCACAATACTGAGCTATCTTCTACACAAATATTAGAAGCAATAATAAACTAACGAATTATATAACTCATATCATAAAGCCTACCCACAAACCACCTATAGAAAAAAAAGAGAGAGAGTGAGGGAGGGAGAGGGAATCTGCTAGTGGAACGACAAACTGGTGGCACTAAAAAAGAAATCGCAAACTTTGGAATAGAGTGAGAAAAATGGGGAATACTGAAAAACGAGTAACACTAACAGAATACAATAGGGAGATCAAAATAAGAATTGTGGAGAAAACGTTTCAAACAAGTGGAAAACATCACTGAAGCAAGTAGACTCCATAAAATTCTTGCCAAAGACCCTATAAACACCATCAGAAATTTAAAATAAAAAAATAAATAATAAAAAATAAATTTAAAAAATGGAAAACACAAACTGGAAAGGAAACGATAGAAAGTACACACTTTCCAGAATCAAAAAATATTACCAACCTGGATATAATGAACAACAGCCCATCAAAGGCTTGGATGGGCACAACCATAATTAATAAAATCAAACACCCATTCTTAGAAATGGGGACTGACTAAATGAACCTGAAAACATTCTTTACAACATCCAATGAAGTCTCAACAGACTATAAAGAAGAACTCGAGCATCAGATACAATGATATGGTGTACAGATGGCTCTAAAACAAACAACAATCAGCTGTTTTTTGTACAAGCCCAAAATATGAGCAATCAAACTCATTAGGGAAGTACATATATGCCCTGAACCTATACTTGGGATAACAAAAGCAAATACAGAATCCTCCATCACAGAATGGATCCAAATGAAACAAAAAGAAAAATGGATAAAACTCTAGGGGCGCTGGACCACAATAAACTTATGTTAAAACAACCCTCACCAAGACTGGCAAACTCACTGCTGCAATTGGAGGGAGAAGACTCAGAGGAGTGATAAGACTATTAACCGGTCACTGGTATCTGAGAAAACATCCACATAACATGAGCATAAAAACGATGTTCCCATTTGCAGATTATGTAATGTGGAGGAAGAAACAGCCACCCATATCATCTTCGAATGCAAATCAATGGCTCAATGGAGACATAACCAGCGACAGTCATTAACCTAATACTTATGGTAAGAAAGATTGATTCAATTGCACTGAGCTAGGGAACTAGGAAGGTACAATAAGCCCGAAGGCTGCAATGCCTGGGGAGTACAAACCCAGCTTCCTATCCATCATCTATTTATAAAACAATTCTCGATAAATGAAATAAGCACTTTTAATTGTGATTTTTGTAAATTTCTACTATTGTCTTTAAAAGTAAAAAAAAAAGTTCTTCACAATACACGACTAAAATAATGAAAACAATATGTCATAAATAACCAAGAATTTATTTTTAACTACAACAATCAATTGAACCTTGTTGAACCAATAAACTTTTAACATGTTTGTTATGAGCATGATTCTGGAACAACACAACACTACCACAAAGTACAATGCACCTCTTCTAGAAAATTCTTGCTTTTGAAGCTTGTAGATTGTTGGGTGTTTCCCCCCCAACTGAATCCATTTCACAGGCCTTTAGTATCACTTTGCCACCGTTACTGTCAAAGATCACTTTTCAATTTGACATTTCGGTAATTTTGCACCGTTTTTTTCCCTTCTTTTTTTTAAGAAAAAAAATCAAAATTTTTCCCCATACTAGATAATTTTTTATATCTCGTGAAATAATTTATCCTGATGGTGAATCTTTTTGTTTCTCAAAAATACTTTCTTTTGAAGGTATAATCGAGGTCAGCACGTCAAATGAATTTCTTTGTGCATCTTTTTGGCCTTTTGTTCCCTCACAGTTTTTTTTACCACAAAATTTTATTTATTTTAATAATACGCTTTAAAAACATATTCTATAGCGTATGTAAATAATAATAATAATAATAGCATAAATATAAATGAAATAATAATTTTACAATAGTGTTTAATTATTTGTAATTATTACAAATAAATTTGATATGTAAGCAATAAATTTCAAGTAATTAAAAAGTAAATTTCACTTTTTATTCATTACATTCTACCTCCCTATATATATTTTTTCATAATATACAGGCGAGCATACGTGAACATTGAATAGGTAAACAAGAATGAATAATCTGTCTTAATCCATATATGGACGTCGTTCCAGAATGGCCCGGCAAAAATCTAAGAAAAGTAAATTTTTTCTAATCAAAATTTTAATTAAGGGTAATTTATGAACCTAAATATATTTCAAAAATGTATTTTTTCCCCTTGTTTCGGGAGTGTCTATACAAATCAGTGTCGTAACGAATGTGCTAGTTTTATTGAATTCTGTTCTGACCACAAGTTTTGTCTTACAACTAGAAAAAAATCAATTAAGAGTTAAAGCAGCTCAATATTATGAACCTTCTAAGACTATTAAAACAAAAAGACATTAACCAGAGTTAATTTTTATTTTAAATTAAATTACAATTTGGGAAATATAACACTTTCATTTCCAACAGGTTAACTGTTTACTTGAATTAATCAGGTTTTCAGCTTGAGTATTTTGTTATCCTTGGCTCCAAGTAAAAGTTCGAGAGTAAACTATAAGTATTTTAGCTTCAAAGGAATTTAAAATTTTGACACATGCAACAAACAAACAAAAAATAAGATTAATTATCATCAAATTGATAATGCTGTCTTAAATAATGAGATAGAGAACACACATTTGATTTGGACAGTTGATTAAAGGTTAAAAGAATGATCCAGTCCAAGTACAATTAATCTTTACTACCGGACTTATTCAAAGTTTGCAAATTACTAAATCTACATTTAAAAAATATGGTTAGTAGCATACATGCAAATGCAATTTGAATTGTTCTCATGTTATATGAAATCTTAAATGTAGAAATTGTAATCAAGTGAAAAATAAACTTCTTTTGGAAAGATAATAAAACGTAAACTGTAATAACGAACATAAATTTAATATAAATGTAAACATTACCAGGATGGTATCATTTCGCATTATCATGGCATTCGTTTGATTTTCTATCTTTTTTTGTCTTTCTTCAAGTATAGCTTTGGTTTGAATTAATTCCAACTCGACTTTCTTCTTTTGCAGTTCTAACAGTTCTTTCCGGTGTTTTAAAATTTCTTCTTGTATAGCGCTTTCACTGGAGATTGATGTAACATCAGTCGGAACCGGGGTTGTTGACTGAGGCTAAAACAATAGTATGAATTATTGATATTCAAAACTAAAGTATTTAATCAATCAAGTGATAACAATCACATGAACAATTTTCCTATATGCCGATTCTGACTGACTCTACATAAAAAATGTTTTCTTTAAAAATTTATTATTTTTGGAATTTTTGTTTGTTAAAACTTAATTGTATTTAGTCATTTTATAAATGTCGATGTGGAACTATATTTAATTACAGTCAACATTTAATAGCCCTATAAATGAACATCAATCAGCAATACAAAAAGTTATCCTTGTTTTTATTAGGGTTGTAAAACGAAATTGAACGCTTAAAATTTTTGATTATAAAATTCATGCTATTTTTATTTATTTATTTTTTTTATTGAAATTTGTCAATAATGACATAAAATATGATGGGAATAAGATACAAAAATAGCAAATGACTAATGCACTGTTACTGCTGAACTCATGATCTTATCTTTTAAATCACTACTAGATAAACAACTAGGTTAGATACCTATTTGTGGACGATATTTAATATTTATTAGTCCCAACTAAGTCTCATCAATTTCTACATTATTTAAAATTTTTAAGTCTAAATCATTGACACATGTATTTATCAACGATCAAACCAAGTTTACCAACATTACCATCATATAATTTGTTGGAACTGCCATTTCTTGGAACATACAATTTCTAAATTGTTTGTTGTTTGCAAATATTTCAATAATGTTTCTGTGTCTGTTTAATTTTGAATACTTCAAATTGGGCCTTCACTAATTTACTTGTTCAAGTACTGAAGTAAATAAACTAATATTTTGTTATTAAAATTTTATGATTTAGTATACAATATTTATTCTCACTTTTAACGATTTCGACATGATCATTTTTATTCTACACCCCATACAACTTTGGTTAAATTTTTTGAAATCCTAGTTCAATTTGAAATATGTTAATAAATCACAAACACCAAGAATTTTTTTTTTAAATAATATGGAAGCCTGTTTGTAAGAATACCTCATGATCCCTATTAGTAGACATGCATTCACCGTCACCAACATAATTTTGTGTAATAATACATCGATAAAACTTTTAAAACAAAAATTACCTGGAAGAACTTTGGATTTACATGTATCCTCACAGCTTGAGGACTGATGGTAATAGGCCATTCAGGGTCCATAGCATTTACTCTAGCGTCTAGCGCATACAGTTTCTTTTTGGGAAAAATGTCATTCCATGTCTGTCTGAGTTTGAACATTTGTAATTTGACTTTTTCATCAACCTGCAAAACGGTGTATACAGTTTTGTCATAGTAGGATTATTTGTAAAAGAAAATGTATAAAGAATAAATAGTTTATCATTTTTTCTTTTGTTTTTGTCCTTTTTAGAAAATAAAAAATTAACCCATCCATAAACAGTTTTATCCTCTGATAATATTACTTGAACAGCACACAACCTAAATTATTCTATGATATAGGTTCTACATATCTGTGTTGAGAGGAATTAATTTACTTTATATCTGTGGTTTCGATGAAAAGTGGGTTAAGTAAAAAAGTGTTGAAAATCAAATTAATAACATCCAGGGTTGGGGACCTCTGTAAAGGCCAAACTGACCCAACCCACTGGATGGATGTAGGCAGGTCATGATATGCAACATTTCTAGAAATATGAAACTTTTGCCATCGAGGGACAAAATTGAATTAACAGGTCGCACTGAATGTCTCAAGTACATGGAAAAATAACAAAACCACTTCAAGGAGCTCGTGTTGAGAAAATGAGAAAAGCATATTGAGTATTTAATTTGCAACTCAATTTTGGGGTGAAATTTAGACCTTTAAATGCACGAGTTTTGATTTTGGATTTATCCCAATTTTCACTGAAACCACGGATATTTTGTCAATAGTGTATATTAAAAGCGTTCTGAGAAATAAATATGGAATTACCTTTGCAAATACAGAACAAAAAGTTGAAACAATGTTCTGGGTAAACAATGGAATGTAATCCCTTTTAACATTTTTTACTATAGAATCAATTAAATAAAGTACAGGTAACTTTACATCTCCTTGAACCTGAAAATAACATTATTATTAATTAAAAACAATCATGTATTGCAGCATTAGTATGATTAAGTCATTTTCACATATTGATGCAAATAAATCCACAACCCAATTTTTAAAAAACTGGATGCTGATTTCAGTAATTTGTCACTTCAAAATGATATAAAAAATTAAATTTAAAAAACTTTAATTTACGTCATCAAATGGTAAATACCTTTTGCAAATGAACTTCAACTGCTTTAACTATAATAGGAGCGTGTTCTATATAATCTTCAGCTAACATTGTCAACATGTTAATCAAAGGTTTGCTATTTACGGTCAAATCGTTGAGGGAGGAGGTATACTCCTCTGCCACGTCTTTTGACATATTTTATGAACTTTGCCCTAAAAAAAACACAAAGATTAGCGTTTAAAATGTGGCTTTTTGTATTGACGTCTACAAGATGAACTTGCAGGTCGGTTGTTTCCAATCATTTTGACCGGCCTTCACTCTTTCGGCCTTAAGCCATCTTCAGAGAAAAGCTAAAACATGTCATATAGTCGGGGGGGGGGGGGAGACCAATTTAAACATTAGGTATAATTACATAAATTTCACTTTCACACAGAAAATATGATGATATTCAATCGGCACACAATAAGGGAAACGAAAGTACTCCAACCATCTAGACAGCTGGCCTGGAGGCAAGTCATTTAAGTAATTTAACAAATTGCTGCACAGGGGGGGGTGAAAATTTAAATTCCAGCATGCAATGAATGTGTTAAAATATTAAATCAAGAGATTTATTATTAATTTATGCAAGGTGATGTATCCGCAGGTCGGTCGTTTTATTATTTATCATGATTATTATGATTTTGTTATTTTATTATAATGATGCTACAAGCTAGCGTCTTTGGTCTTTCAGACGAGTTTCAGCTTTAGCCATTGTCAGAAAAAGCGGAAACGTCATATAGTCCAAGCAGGCAGACCGATCTATAACAACTAAACTACTGATTTAAACATTAGGTATATTTACATCAATGCATTTAATTTCCATAGTAGATCCTCCCTACTATCTACTTTTAGAATCGGGAACGGATCAGATCATTTACAAAAGGAATGCTGAGGTTGTTTTGGATAATGAAGTTAGTGAAATAGTAAGTGCCCTGACCTATGCGCTAACTAAAAAAGGGATCTCAAAATCCATATGTCATTGGTTAGAAGACAACAAACAGATGGTGTAAAAAAGAAGGGTATCTATAAACCTTAACAAAATCATCATGGTTCCCACCAAGAAAAGGGCAGAGGGATTTAAGCCTTTTGGGATTTGTTCCTGGCAAATGCCCCTTCTACATCCATGAACCGTCAAAACTAAACTAACCTTATAGACTACTGTAAACACTTTGGACATGCATCCAATCGTTCCAATTAAAAGTCTCTGGGCAAATTGTCATACTATTTCACTAACTTCACTATCCAAAACAACCTCAGCATTCCTTTTGTAAATGAACTGATCCGTTCCCGATTCTAAAAGTAGATAGTAGGGAGGATCTACTGTGGAAATTAAATGCATTGATGTAAATATACCTAATGTTTAAATCAGTAGTATAGTTGTTATAGATCGGTCTACCTGCTTGGTCTATATGACATGTTTCCGCTTGAACCTTGTATTCACACCATCAGAAGGGTAAATAAGGTCCCTACTAATAGTACAAGGAAAAATTAAACAATGAGCTAATTTTAACTATTAAAACATGATTTAAAAATCAATTGGATAGCACCATGACTCAAAATTTGATATACACTCAGTAAAAATTAGTCTCCAAACACCTTCAGTGAAATAAAAGTAAAACCTTTTAAATTAAAATAATAATGAGCTAAATCGATTAACAACAACCCCAAACAAGCGCCTCACTGCCCCCAATCATGGGGCAATTCTGGATGGTATTTAATTTTTGTGGCCGGCCTAAACACAGTCTGTTTTCAGCATTAGCAAACTTCTTATAATGGGGTATGACGTGATGAATTGTCAAGGGTTGCTTATTAAGTATATTTCCTATTTCATGAAATGATTTTTCTTCATTATACAATCTATTCTCCCTGACTGGACTGCAGTATTTCCACAAAAAGGCTAATATTGTACTAAGCAAAACATGATTGGTATTAAGATAACTGCACAAAGTAAACAAAGAATCATTGTCTCGATTTGTTATTGACTCTGTTTTTATCAGAAAATTAAGTCGATATCCTAAAATGCTTGTCTCTCAGGTTGTCAACTGCATAATAGATATAAAACATCAATACAAATATATATCCACAAATATAGAAGTCTGGTCACATTCACTCCTCCAGAGTACTTGATATTCCTCGGGGCAGGATTGACCCACTCCATTGACATCACACACTCACCCCAGCACACTCAATATTCCTTGGGGCGAGGCTAAGCAACACTTCCTTTCACACTAATAAATTACATTTCTTTCAATAAATTAACATAAACACAAAACACGATACATTCTGGCGATCTGGGTCTGACGCCATGCCCCAAGACTACACACAGGTCCAAAATATTGCCTATAAACGTCAATCCGTCTGAAACTGAAAATGTGCTCAACAGTTATTTTATTCCTATTTGAAATGGGATCGCTTTCTGGCCAGGTCTCCGTTAGTTATTCTTCAATGACCTACGCACAGTCTTGTTAGTATGGCCTTTTCCCTTTTCGACCAATTCTACTTCGACCAGGAACCGAAGTTTTTCTTAACCTGCCACAATTTGGAAGGAATATTTCTATTTTTCCAAGCCCAGCAGTTTTTCCATTCTCCAAATTAATAGTTGTAAATCCGCTGAGCATACTGGATAGGAGAAGTCGTGGGGTCTTCTGGCAGCTTCTTTGACCACTCTGTCTGCTTCTTTATTCCAAGATACAAAAGGACAAAATGGCAATGAAACAGTGGAATTCACTCATTGGACACAAACAATCCAAGAACCATCTAACAAATTTTGGAAGGAAATAAACAACAGAACACAACAAAGGAAGCCAAAAAAACATTGGATCTTGTCAATTCTTATAAGGACTCTGAAGAATAAATGGGAATTTGATGAAGATTAGCATAACACAACACAGCATGTGCAGATTCTTCAATGAAGCGAGGAGTCATCAACACATGTACTAACAAACGGTGGTGACACAATTGCCCACAGGAGGAAGTGGTTTGGGATGTACAACCGTAGAAGAAGTTCAACCACTGAAACTACTTTCCTTATTCCTTAATGAATTAGGACTCACAGATGTGCTATAAGTACAGAACGGGGGATACAATAGCTCTCAAATAGTGTAATATATTACACACCACGAATATTACATGCATATTTGAAAGTAGTGCTTACACAGTAGTATTTACAACCGTAGAATAAGTTCAACTACTGAAACCGGGCCTACTTATTCTAACTCCTTGATGAACTAGGGCTCACAGATGTGCTAAACTTAAACACAATAGCTCGTAAAGGGGTGCTACTACACATCCTGAATGGTACACCTACTGACTATCCTTGTGACCCATGCTACACGACCTTCATCCCAACTACATCGATCCCTGTTAACTGTTTTATATTATTTATTGGTTTTCAATGACTTATTATACGAAATATGGATGTTGTATTTTGGGCAGTGTTCCACAGACTTTTTTTACTGAGTGTATGATGTCCAGTATTGGTGTATTGTGTATTTCTCAACTAAACACTTTTAAAATAGATTTTCAACATTTTGAAATTAACCGTCATCGGACCTATAGAAATAACTTCTTTTATTTTTTTTTAAATAAAATTGTTTTGATGACTTGTGAAGATTGTTTTGTTATTTGCGTATTAAATACAGTGGGCCGTTTATAGCAAATTCGCTTAAGGAGAAAACGACATGAAAATGTTTTTTACGGAATACTTCACGCTTGAAATTATTATTTTAAAATAAAACACGCACAAACCCAGTATTTCAGTGTCGATCCTATTACGTAAACCCTAATAGTGGTTTTTTTAATCACTATAATCCTGCCAGTGTTAAACTCGGCCCAGCTGATACTGGCGAGGGTTGGCTGATACTGGCGAGGGTTGACTGAGTCGTCCTCAAAAGAAAACACGCGTTACCTAGGTAGAAGAAAAATTAAGTAGCGAGTTTGTCGCGCTGGCTGGAAAAAGTTAAATATTTAATTTTTATGCCAGCATTAAACAATAAGTAAATAAAACGCGTTAATTTTACTCCACTTTTTAGGTTTTGCACAAGTGGGAAAATAGTGGTTATAAAGCGTATTTTGTACAGAGCGACGGTCCTTGTCTAAAATGGGAAGTTTTGAAAAATAAGGCATGAAGGCGTCGAAAATTTGTTAAATATAGTATTTCGAGGCGGCGGAACGGGCCGAAGAGCGGTGCCCGTATGAATCCGCGGCCGTACGAATCTTCACCGTGCGCATATGCAAATAAGAACAAATTCCAACTCACCTTGTTAGGCCGGGGAAATGCTGTTTCGGCGTTTAAATACATAAACGGACTAAACAATACCATAATAGCTTATTCCACTCGTATGAAATAGTGTCACATTCGAATGCGTATCGGATCCCATTGTCCCTATGGGTTTTCCGTTGCACTTTCGTACAAGTCGAACATTTAAAAAAAATCGAGACGGTTTGACGACGAGCCCGGCGATCACAGGGGGCACGGATTTAAAATTAAAACTTTCGACTCCGATAAACGCACGACAGACGAATCATTAAAACTCACTGGACGTACTTTTAATAAAAAGTGATTTTCTCTTCGTAGCCTTAGGACTGTTACGCTGGAATCAGGCTCGCCAACTGCGGTACCACTGGTCCGTTAAACCTTAAACGAGGCCAGCACGGTCGAAGCGCCCTCGCCGAAACTTCGGGAAAAAAGAGACTCGCCCGTTCGAAAAGCAACGCATTTCCTGTCGTTATGACCATCGGGGTATCTGTCTCGTAAAAGAGGAGTCATTCTCACACGAATATGATAGGCCATGCCTGGTTGACACACAGGCGCTTTTGGGCCAAAGCCTGTGTACGTATCCGGGATGTAGAGAAAGGTTGCGCAACCTTATTTAAGGTGCAATTACTTGATTCCATATAGACAGCGTACTGTTGTGCCATTCGATATGAGCAGTGTGCTTGAGCACGGCATCGTACTTGAGTTCCTGGTCCGATTTTTGGAGGAAACAGTATTGTTTTATTCTATAGTACTCATAGATTTGTAAAATGAAAATTGAATGGAATTCATTCATTGGACATAATCAATCAAAGAACCTCGTAACAAATTTTGGAAGGAAAGAGGTAACAGAATGTATTAAAGTAAGCAGGAAAAAACTGCGAATCCTAACAGGATTCAAGGACACTGCAAAAAATGGACATCTGAAAAAGATTGACATAACCATACACGGCACGTGTAGATTCTGCAAAGAAGCAGAGGAAGCACCAACACACCTACTAACAACTGTGGTGCTATAGATGTGACCGGCAGCCAATCATTATTTGGAGATCGTGAGGTGCGGTCTGGTGTGAAGTAGGTTTTAGAAAAACATTTTCTTTATCATGCCAACGTTTCGATCTTTTTGAGATCATCTTCAGGGCCTGGGATTTATAAACATTGTTTAAATTTTACAAATACACGTAGGGGAAAAAAATTATACAATGCTAGAAAATTTTAGATTTGAAAAAAGAAAGAATGAATTTATACAATGCTAAAAAACTTGTGGTGCTACACTTGGTGTAAGTGTTTTGGGACATACAATGTAATCGTAGGAGAGATCCAACAACTGAAACTGGGCCTACTAACCACGTTCCTTGATGAACTGACTCGTTTTCTTTAAGCAATCAACTCGTTTGATTTAAGCATAGAACGGGAGACACAATAGCTTTTAAAGGGCACAGTATAATACACACGTGGGGCTACCTGCAGTTACCGGTAAGTGTCACCACCAGTTCTGGAATGGTCTTGCTCTCCACTCTGCAGCCAACCAGAGTAGAGCCATATAAGTACGGAAGAAGCCGTACATAAGCAGAGGACTGCTCCACTAACGGCACTGACTTCAGACTCGTCTCCCCGACGAGTTCTCACTTCACACCTCGAGACTCGTCTCCCCCGACGATTTCTCAACAATCATTTATGGAGCACCGACAACGACATCAAGGGTCCTCGCAGGATTAGCCTTGTGCCTTGTCCTCAACACAGCCGATTTGGCTACTGGCCAACTGGTGCACTCGGCTACCCGCTATTGCAATCCCCCGGACCTCAGCCAACGGCTCTCTTAGTCACAGACCACTTCCAACGGCATACACGGTCCCGGCCTCATCCATCGTCTCAAAAATACAAAACAACCCAGGCCCTTCTCAGGGCCACCAAAACAATCAGTCACCAAACACCCCGACTAATACATCTATTTACATAATATATGTAAAGGGTGATGTTGGAATATCGAATGCTTCACCACCCTGAGTGTTTGGTTTAGCAACTGATTACCTTGGAGCTGAGTTGTCAGCACCCCAACCTCAGTGACTGGACGGAGAAGACCTAGGTCTTACTCTGAATTCCAACACCCGAGGTGGCGATTTATTGTAAATCGCAAAAGCAATTGACGGTGAATCTTTTTAAAAACACTAAACACCTCACTTTTTAAAAGGAAGCTAAACATAACTTAAAATTTGTCCCCAAACAGAGTTAAATACAAAAAACTACTATCCCTTGGTTCATCGGTAGATTTAAAATAAAAGCTTCCTGTGAGTAGGAACTATCTATTTAAAAAGATTGAACAACATACTTACTCCACCATTTATCTTTTATAGAAGATAAAATAGTGACGGTGGATTGCAACAAGTGGCTCAACTATGTGCACCTATGTATGCATGTACTTGTAAGTGCAACGAGCTTTTATAAATCAGTAAATTTATTTCTAAGATGTAAGGGAGCTTTAAGTCCTATTTGTAACTATAAAATAAATGAATAAAGAAGTATTCTCTTATCACTATGTGCAGAGGGTATGAAACCATGGGAAGTCAAATTTTCCTTTACCTCGGTTGAGGTAAGACCTTAAGTGCCGCCTGACTGTCAGAGAAGATATCTTCCTGGAATGTGTCTCTAGCCTTTTTATTTCTTTAGCCCAGTGTTCAATTATTGATTTCAGATTTTTAAAAAAAATGTAAGGTCAGTTCAGTGCTGGGAGTCATCCCGAGGACTCAGCTCCCATGCCTCTATCCGTTACCCGTCAGTATACCAATTACCAGTAGGAAATGGACTTCAGAGGTATTCCTTTGGCTCACACTTTTCTTTTTCATACCTTGTACTTGTTGGTGAAGTTGTATTTAGGAGCAATGGCATCGATTGGCACGCCATAATAAGGCCTCTATAACCACCCCAAAACGGTCTGAATCTGAATGTGGCTATAAACTTATTGACCTGTTTTAGAAACGATAACATCAGGCATTTCAAAATCGTAGACCGTTAGCATAAAAAGACGTAATAGACAAAATTAAATATCGAAAATAGTACCTATAGGCTATAACATGACACAATCGATTTTCTTAACATACTCGTACAAATTAAAAGTAGAAATTTATTGAATCATTTGAAACAAAAGAAATGCAGGAAATTTTTGTACCGTAGGCCTATATTTGATCAAAAGAGTGATTTTAATCACAAACCTACAATGTGATAGTTTAACAATTATATATCGAGACATTGAATGTGTCTATCATCGATGGCCCTACCTTGTAGCTGGGACTTGGGAGTGTGGCTGCTGATTGGGAAGGTAGCTGAATGTCAAATTGTCAACACTGTTTTGATATCTGATTGTTCGTACTGTCACTATATCTTGCCAAAAGAAAGTATTTTCAAAATTTATTCAAAAAGAGATAACGAGGATTTGGGGAGGCGATTTTGATCCCATGCCCTGGTAGAGAAGACGAGGAGACGAAATGGATCCGATGGGAAACGACGAGCTGGAATTTTGCGAAAACATCGCCCTCACTGTCCAAAGGTTCAGACCCTTGTCTACAGCCCTCACCGGTGGATTTCAACTTTTACTTACGGTAATTGTCACATTTATTCAATTTAATTAAGAAAATATTGGGGCGTTGACAAGGCGTTTATCTCTGTAAGGTAAAGGTCCCGGGTGTGGTCCCAAGTTTCAACAAGGGGGCCCTAATATAGTTGGTACATAGGTACTAAAGACGGAACAGGTAAAAGAGTCAAACTACACACAGGCAAAGCCCCTTGGGAAAAATCCAACATTTTTCTTGGCTGAAGTCCAAGCAGTTCAACTCTGTGCACAAGAGTTAATACACTGATGGACAAATTTAACGCAACACTCAATTTATTTAGTTTAAAATTAAAATCATTATCTTTCTACATTAGTTACAGGTAATTAGAAACTATCATCACAAAAAATAGCATTATGCCTTTCCGTTCTGCTGCGCTTAAAGATCGCGTTCAGTTAATCTTTCTCCTTCATTGATTTCATTTGATATTATTCTTTCTTAAGCTTTTTTCAGTGGCTCCATTCAGGCAGTTGAGTGAGTAAGACAGTGTCAGGATCATAACATTATTACAGGAAAACTACGCTAGTGCAAAATCGCCAGGAGACTGAGTTTAAATTACTCTACAATAGGAAAGTTTCTTCGGTGCTTCAGAGAAACAGGGCTTCTCACTAGAAAACCAGGGCGGGGTTAACCTAGATCTATAGACAAGAGAGACTATAGATTCATCTGTCATCAGTCACAAAACCGCAGCAGTATGGAAAATGAGATAAGAAATCCAATAAAGTGTCCGAAATGTTTCGATTTGGAAACAAAATTCAAAATTAACAAACAAGACTGGCCATCAGATTGGAAAAATTCAACTTATATCCTCATACCAAAAAAGGGAAGTACTAAAGTATGTTCAAAATGATTATTTGGAGATCGTGAGTTGCAGTCTGGTGTAATGTAGGTTTTAGAAAAACATTTTCTTTATTGTGCCAGTTTTTCAATAAATTCACCCAATAATGACACATCGACACAGAAAACAAACACTTTGAGTGAGTACAAATACTTTGGTTGAGTCTAAAATTTCTAGCGTTGTATAAAAAGATCTTGCAAGTAAATTCCAGCAATTCATGAAGCAAGAACTGCCAGATGTACAAGCTCGGTTTAGAAAAGGCAGAGGAACTAGAGACCAAATTGCCAATCTCTGATGGATAATGGAGAAAACCAGGGTTTCCTAAAAACTTTTTTTTTTTTATTATTATTCGTTACACGCCAAGTAGCAATGGTAAGAACAGATTGGTTTAAAATTGGGAAAGGAGTACGTAATGTACAACGGCAGAGTTGTATATTACCTTACCTATTCAATCTGTATGCAGAACATATCATGCAACTCGCTGGGCTTGACAAATTCAAGGCTGGAGTAAAAATCGCTGGAAGAAACATTCCAGTCTCAGATATGCAGATGATTTGATGGCCGAAAGTGAGGAGGAATTGAGAGATCTTATGACGAAGGTGAAATAAGAATTTGCAAAAGCTGGGTTGCAGTTACACCTAAAAAAAGCAACATTATGGCAACCAACTTGATTGATAACTGGCAGATAGAGGGAGAAAAGTGGAGGCAGTGACAGACTTTGTATTTAAAGGGGCAAAGATTACTGCAGACACTACTGACTGCAACCAGGAAATCAGAAGATGTTTACTTCTTGGAAGGAGAGCAATGGCAAATCTTGATAAAATAGTTAAGCACAGAGAAATCACACTGACAAAAAGGGCTGCATAGTTAAAGCAATGGTAATCCCAGTACTAACCTATAGCTGCGAGAGCTGGAAGGCTGAGTGAATGAAGATAAATGCTTTTGAAGTGTGGTGTTGGAGGAAAATTCTGAGAATGCCTTGGACTGCAAGAAGATCAAACAGTCCATACTCCAGGAAATAAGGCCAGACCGCTCTCTTGAGGGAATGATATTAAAGGCAATTAAGGCAAAACTGAAATACTTTGACTACATATTGAGAAGACATGATACCCTGGAGAAGAACCTGATGATAGGAAAATGGAAGACAAAAGGAAGTGGGCCGACCTAGGGCAAGATGCGTGGATGATATTCTGGAGGTGACAGACTCAACCATGAGGGAACTGGGGATGGTGATGGCAGAAATGAAGCTCTGGTGTCCATGAAGTCACAAACAGTTGTAGGGACTGAAGCTTTTAATCTTTCACCTTAAAGGTTAGAGGTGGAACAAGTTTCATTAGAGGCATTTCCAAGGCAGAAATTTGGTTCATACCTAGTTGCTTAAATCATTATTTTTGGGTTATACATTGATTGTAAAAGTTCCAGATGTAGTGGTGTCTTGAGAAAAAAATTAGTTAGGCATTTTTCTCTGTGTGTGCCTCAATAGTCTCCAGAAAGGTTTTGCCGGCATGTAATGCTATACTGGGAGAAATAGAAATCACAACCCTGATCTAGCGAGTTCCGATGATCATCAGTATTCCCAGTGCCTAGAGTTCAGTTGCACAGACTTCAGCTTGGATGTATGAGATGTTCCAGTGGTTTTGCTAAAGAATAATTTGCTCCCTTTACCCCTGCTCTCACTCCTTGTTTGTGGAGTAATAATAGTAAGTTTCCTAAGTACATTGTCCATTTTCTTCTTAATTTGACAGTATTGATGCATTTCCACTGCATTTGAATGTACAGTTTTTATATAGCCTCTTCTGAAGAGTGAAACTGTAGATTCACAGACTCGTTTATTAAGTGTTCTAATATATTCAAACAAGGAGTGAATTATGAAGATGATTCTCTGACCCCGTTAAAAAAACTACACTCATCTTTCTCATAAAAAGATTTTTACAGTATTTTTTCTTGGCTTATGAGAATCATTTTCTCCTTCATGATTAATTAACCAACAGCAAAAATGTCTTCTTTTCATTGTAATGTGGGATAATTCATATTTTTGGGGAATACACTATTCTAAAAAATGACGATCATTAAAAATCATAATTCATATTTTAAAAATAATAATAATATTTGAATGATAACCTGATTTACTTGTGGTATTTAATAGAAGAAAACAAGGTTATCAAATACTTATTGTAAAGATAAATCCTTAAAATGATATATTTTTTAGCTAAAAAAATTATTTACTAAAATGTTTTTATTTTTATTTTCTTTATTATATTGCAGTTCAAACTAGTGAAATGGCCCAAAACTGAACAGTCAAGAGAACAAAAAACATACATAACAATTAATAATATAAAAACATAACATTAGATAAAAAGAATTAGCCATGAATTGATAAAACAGCAATAGATAATAAAATTTCTGGCCAAGGAAAAAAATTAAATATAAAAAAAGGCTGAGTGAATTACTCTTTTAATATTTGCAAAATCTTCTTTTTGAAAAACAGAGAAAGGGTCTGCAACAGCAACATAATGATTTGATATATTGATTTATGTGCTGAACTATGTGAGAAAGACCAGATTCTGACTCATAATTCCTTATGTTGGGAACATAGAATAGCTCACAGGAATGGATTCCACACTGGGGAACCCTGATACAAATGCAGGACAACATCTTCGTGTAATTAATCTTATTGTTCAGAATCTTCCATAAGCCAAAATTCTTCTGTCTTCTACAAAGACTACACTACTTTCATTCATTTTGAACAGCAAAAATTTAGATGCCTTCCTTTGTACCCTCTCAGTCATGAGCAATCCATTGTTTGGTCTGAATGACCAAATAATACTTGCATACTCCAAATGGCAACGAACAAGAACAAGTGATTGGTAGAAGATTTTTATGGCAAATACATTTTTAAAGTTTATTGTCTGCCTTTTAATAAGGCCCAAGTTTTTAAATTTTTTTTTAACAGCTTCAAGGTGGTCATGAAAGTTACAATTGTTACTAAAAGTAACTCCAAGGTCTGAGAATTGATGTCGTCAATGGGATGACCACTAAATTTGTAAACAAACAAGTCAAGTGTCGAGTGTCATAGATGACCTTTTTCTTGGAAAATCGCAAGACCTTACACTTATTTTGATTTAATTTAAGATTATTACTGTCGCACAAAACCAGAAAGCGTCCAGATTCTCCTGCAGTAAACCGCATTGCTCAAATGGGAAGTTGGGCGAAAGATTTTTAGGTCATGAGCTGAGTGGAAATGATGAGTTGTTAAGGAGTGATCTAGTCATTGAAAAATATCAAAACAATACATGCCCCGAATGAGAGCTTTGGGACACACCAGGGTCACTAAAGACAGAGTTTGATAGAAAATTCTTTTCCTCTATTCCTTGATATAAAATAATCAATCCACCCCAGAAGGGACATCACTCACAACTAGTTTTTCCAGTTTTTTCACCAAGATTCAGTCCACTGTGTTGAAGGCCTTAGACAAATCCGTGTAACAGAATGAGCACAATGACCATTTTCCAAATGATTCAGAATGAAATCCTTGTAAAGAACCAAGTTGGTTATACTTTAGCGACTTTTAATGAAACCATGCTGTTACTGTAGAATAACATGTTTGAATGAAAAGCTTAATATGTCTGCCACTATGAAATCCATAATCTTAAGTATTATAGAGCATATTGATAGGGCGATAGTTTTCGATGTTCCTACAATCACCTTTTTTAAGCAAAGGAGAAGAAACATAACTAATCTTCCATCTTTCAGGAAAGGACTCTTCCCAAACGGAATGTAGAGAGGTTCAGACAGGGGATCACAGCATTTCAATAAGAATGATTCAGGAATCCCATCTAGACCCATGTTACAATTCGGGTCAGGGCAGCAAGCGTTTTACTAATGGCCTCAGGTTCAAAAACAACCAAGCTTAAATCCACTATTTCAGTAGAATTAAACTCAAAATCAGACCTACAACTGTTGGTGAAGTTATATTTGATCAGGGAGGCAAATTCTTGAGCATACTTGGATGGAGATGGAAATTGTTTTACTATCATGAACATTTCACGGGGATAGCATCTGCTACTATGCTTACTATTGAAAAATAACCACAACCTCTTCCACTTCAGAATAATAACAACATACTACTTGTGGAAACAATTTATTCATTATAAATAAAAACAATTATCATCGCATTTGTAATTTTTTATTTAAAAGTATAAAAATAGCGTGAAATAGACATTTAAGTTTGAATAGTATATAATTTTTATACAATAACTGAGCCACTTCTTAATTTCATAATCACTCATAAGTAATATTTACATACATGTACATGTTATGGACAAGATTTGCAATGAGTGATGACAATATGTACAGGATGATGTGCTTAATACTTGGTTTTAAATAATATTTTATTCTGTTTGTTTTTTTTTCAGATCAGTTTGGGCTTCTTAGCTTTATTTCTGCATGTTAGTAAATACACAATTGATAAACCATGCAATGATTTTGCCATTATCCTATTAAGTCAAGCAGCTTTCTGGGCAATATCACTAGTAAGTAACTATTTATGAATAGAATTAGTTTTGTCAATAAAACTTTTAATTGATTATTAATACATGATGTTTTGTCGCAATATCTATAAGTGATTCTTATTAAATGGGGTGGAGAATGGTTTAAAATTTATGAAAACAAAAATATTTGGCACAAACTTCAAATTTTAGTAACTTAGTTCAGTTTATTTTCAAAAGTAAGAGTTTTCTCCACGAATGAACTCTTAATCTTCTTTAATATGTTCTTTAGAAAATGAAAAGAAACATGGGACAATAGCAAGCACACTTTTTAATGTCCTATCAATAGGCTAGGTAATAGACATGGTTTGTTCACAAATTAATAAAAAATTCTGGATCATGGCATACTAGGTTATCAATTTAAACTCACTTGGAGTTCTATTTTGTTTTTTATTCGTGATTGATTTCACATATTTTAGTACAAGGTAAGGGGTTACAGCAAGAATTCACTTGGGGAGAATAACTAGAGCTAATGATTTCGGTACAGTATGTTAGTGATAAAAGTATTGCAAAAAGGTTAAAGCTGTAATAAAAACCAGGGGTTTACTAAAAAAAAGTTACCTTCAAATAAATTTTAAAAAATGTAAACAATCCTAGCTATAGATAAAAATATTGTTCTTTGGTCAATAACTCATTACGATCAATTAGGTCTACCTTCACTGTGTTGGCATGTTTTTCGGCTAGCAGCATTTACAAGTCATGAACAAATCAATCTTTTTAAAGTGGAAACTGTTTTTATTGGAACTCATTACTTGTTTCATTCAACAGTTACTTGTTTTTCATAATACGAATAAAATTCATTAAACAATTTGCTCTAATCTGTATGCTATAATTACTACTTATTAATTAGAGTTAAATTAATTTTTGACAAAAAATTGTTTTTATATTCTAGGTTTTGTTGAAGGTGGTTTTAAATGAAAATGTAGTTTTTTAATGTTTCGTCATCTTGTGCCATTTTTTAGAAATAAAAAAAAGTTATATAAACATTTTAAAAATCAATTATTGTTTCAATAAAGTTTAATAAATTTTTTATATTTTTTTTATTTTTCCAAGTAGACCTTAATTTAACTACAGCAATCTTATATTTTCAGTTATGGTCTGTTATACAATATACAACCAATTCATTATGATAAGTGTAATTCTAGACTTGTGTTTTTATTTATTTTCTAATTCTTATTTATTATATACATACATATTCATATTTGTTGTGTATTGTTAATTTTCAGATCATAGACCATTATTATAAGTATAGACATCATTTTTTACAACTCGATGGGCATTTTACATTTTATAAACAAATAAGCCGTATTGCCAATCTTTTATTGGCCGCTATATCAATATGTAAGTGTATTACATGTAAAATGACATTATGAATGTTTTAAAATAATATTGTACATTTTTATTATTTCAACAGGGAATGCTATAATACTCATTTTGTTGGCGATACTTTACATGGTAAAACAGGAGGACTCGTTATTCTGTGAAGGGCGAGGAAATGGTTCTCCATTTTTTTACTTATGTATTGCTGTAATACTTGAATCAGTGGCTTGCATTGGTATTCTTTTAACATACCTGGGTAGGTATAACAAATATTATTGTTTATACATATTTATATAATAAGTGGTTAGTTTGTGGACCTATGAACAGTTGAGGTGTTATTACTTCTTCTTTTCCCATATCTTTTTTTAAACTGCAGTTATTTGAGCAACTCAATCTGGTTATTGACTATTATTGTTTACTGTACTTTTACTTGTCGAGTATTCATGAAAAACATTATGTTTTACTGTGTGGTGATTAGTGACCGTTAATCGATAATTATTCAAAAATCAGACCGCATCTCACGATTTCTGAATAATTATGTTTTACTTTTAAATTTTTAATTAATTATTCTTTTTATGTAAGGTCTTGGTTGAGATAAAAAAGTCAGTGTCATGAGCGGGATTCGAACCCATGACCTTCAGCTAAATACGCTGCTTTTTTTATCCCAACCAAGACCTTACATAAAAAGAATATGTGTGGTGATTAGTGACCATTAATCGATAATTATTCAGAAATCGTGAGATGCGGTCTGGACCGACCGCATCTCACGATTTCTGAATAATGAAAAGAATAATTGAAAGAAGTAACTTGGTCAATTGACCACTAAAACGTAAATGGATTAAATTGTTAATTCAACTTGATAAATATGAAGAAGAAAAACTCCCTATTATTACTATTTTTTTAGTTCTGTTTTCCTCCTATATTCCATTATGGATTATTTGTTTTATTTGTACCTAGGCAATTTATAAAAGGCAAGTCTAGGTTCAATCCTGCCTTCCAAAAATGGCCTATTATAAAATAAACTAAATGCCAATTAATGTTAAATTTGTTGTGTTTCAGTTAGGGTTAGTAATTTCAACAGTACTAAACCTTTGACTGACATTGATCACTATGAATGCAGAATTTCGGATCCCGGAGTTGACTATGAAGTTGGTTACAGGTAAATGACATAGTATACTGGGTGTCCTAGCTTAAGATCACCCCCTCTTAAATTTTTCATTTTTAATAATATCAAAAAGTTGCAGCCCCCATTAAGTTTTTCAGTAGTATTCAAAAATTTATTTTGCGCATTGTGCATATGCACAGTTGTCATCAACTTTCTTATTTTAAATAGAAACCCTTACATTTTATTACAGATTTGAATTATACGAAAAATTTCATGAAAAATGCACATAAGCAATTTTAATGCGAGTATCAAGTATGGCGCTTGATTATAAACTATTTTTTAACGCTGAATTTGGCGCTATCAGTTTCTGTATTAGGGGTAATGCCGAAGGGGTTCGAGGGGGTTATGTAGGATGTGAGAATTCCAAAAACAATTTTCCACGGTCTTTGTATGAGGCTTTTTCATTGAATAATCTATAAATAGTAGTGTCTCTGTCAGTTTATTAAAAAAAAAAAGAAAAGTAAATGGAAAAAAATTCGGGGAAAATTAAATTGTCCAGTGGTAAAAAGACCATTTGGGGAAGTTCAACTGTATAATTTGGCTGTCGGTGTTATTTGATGTAACCTCAACTATGTTTATTTAGAAAAAGTTTCTTAAATACAAACTTATTGTAATCTAAAACTTTATTTTTTCATTTATTTTCAAGGTTTCAAGGTGAGGCTATTTCAGACTTACTGGAGAAGTATGTAAACCTACTCAATTATTATAAGTCTGCAAATGATGAACTATGCAGAGTTCTCAAAAATTTGCAAAATGTTAGATAATTGTATCATTGTTATGACAAATGTGTGTATATAAAATATGTGTGTCTAAAATAAAATTTTCTTCATTAAAAATATTTTAAATTAAATATTATGATAATTAATTCCTTTGTATGTTGGTTTAACATTACCTTACTGGTTATAATACCAGGACAAAAGTACTTTACAAAAGTAGATGTTAATACGTAATTACGAGTGTAGAAAAATATTGTGACTTTTTTATGTTATAAAATACATGGCTTTTTATAAATATATATGTGGCAAATAATATTCTTTTTTTTTTTTTGTATAACCAGAATTTGGTTTATCTTATCAAATATGTGTCATTAACTTTTATCAAATTTCCTTCATAAACAATACTGGATATGTAGCTCCATTTAGATATTGGTCTAATGAGTCGGCGAGCATATGTTGAACTGGCAGTGGGTCTGTTCCTCAGTGAAGATAGTGCAAAGCCAAAACACTTTTGACACATTGAAACAAGAGTTTGAAGCCAGACCCAATTCTAGTTCAATAATTGATTTATATGTAAAGCAAATAAACTGCAAATATTTATACGCAACAGTCAGTACTTTTTTCACTTCTAATAAATAATTAAAAGTTTTTCACTGTATCAAGAAAGACAGTACAAAAAAATTGGCTGATATGTGCTTTCACTTATAAATGTAAATAATCAAACCCTCCTCATATTTTCAAATTTATGCTAGTATTTCTCACTTCATTGATTCCCAATAATCGTGTATTAGTCATGATCCTAGAACCAAGTTGGTATTCCTCAGAGTAGTGTTCTGGCCACGACACTACCAGGTGTACATAATTGTGTACCCATCCTGTACTCGAACCACCTCCTGACTTTTGCAGACAATACAGTGATCCCCTGAAGTAACTTTGATCCTGTTGTTCTACTCGAATATCTTCCTTTTGTCCAAGATGTAACCACTCAAGTTACAAGTTTTATAAAACCCTCCCAACCATCCTTAAATCCAGAAACCCTCCTCACCGACTGTAGAAGGTTAAGGCTGTGGGATCTACTCAGTGATAGTAACTGTGATAGTGACACTTGTTTTAATAAAAATGAAAACTTCTTATTTTTTATGTAACATACATATTTGGTTTATCATTGTTACTTGTTATCGAATTAATGGTAGTAGTGTACTGAAAATTATAAAAAAAATCTAAAGGATTTCACTTTAATAAAAAATAAATAAATAAACTGTTAGAGAAAACATATTTTATTATTTAAAACGAGTTAGCTATTATTTACCATCAACTCCTTGACTTGAGCGATTCTAAAAATATGCGAAGTTTATCTTGTTCATAATATTCTTGAAGCATAGTTATCACTTCGTCTAACATTTGGCCCCCTTTTAGGAATTGTGGCAAATTGTGGAAAGTTTTTTGAATTCGATGATCCGTAATTCGGTCTTGAGGGTAATTATACGTACGAACCTTATCAGATCTTGCACTTGTTCCAACCTAGAAAACAGTGAAAATATTCTAATTGTCTGTTGAAATATATTTCAAACTTGTCCTCTGTTATTCCATCAAACAAATTATATAAAGGTTTATTTGCTGTTAATTATGTTTATTTTAATTCTAAGAGAGCACTTAAAAAAAGAAAAAGAAGTATGCTCAGCTGTTTTCCAAAATGTGTTGCAAGCATTCAATAAAGTCTGGCATGAAGGTTTCATATATAAAATAAGAAACTCAATTCCGGCTCAAACAAAATTTCATATTAATTTCACAATGTGTTTTTATTTATTTTTCAATGAAGCCACAGGGTGGTGGTGTTTTTGAAAAAAGCCCATTTGTATGTATGTCAGGTTCAAATGCAGGACCCCAGGATTCAACCCGGGACCTTTACCTTACAGTGATGAGCACCGTGTCAACACCTAAACCATTGTGGTCACCGATGCCCCTCCTAATTCCAGCCAACTATTCAAAACTGATCAAATCCTACCTTGCTGATAGGTACTTACAAATTAAGCAAGAAGAGGCCTATTTGGGACTCAAACTGATCCATGCTAGAGAGACCCAAAAGGCCCTGTTCGATACCTGCTCTTCACTAGCATTTTACTAGAAAACTCGGATGATAATAATAATACTTTAGCTATGTTTGCTGATACAGCAATTATGGTGGTTGGAGAAAGCAATTCCATGTCCGTATTTATAAATGGACAAAAAGAGAGAGAATAAAGCTGAATTTAAAATAATTTTAAAAAAATGGTACATCGTATATCGATATTGAGCTGAAAATAGAGGGTTTAAATTCAACTTGAGTACACAAGATCTTAGGTAAAAAATACAATTAATAAATACTCTGTGTGTGTTCATTGTTTCATGAAATTGGGCATTCATAATAGCTGAAGAGGAGGAGTAGGCAGACCCCAAAATGGATATTGTTTAAAAAAATAAATATTACTTTTTATGAAAAGTTTGTTTTTAGTTGTCTCCGTCTGTGGAATAGGTCAAAATAAAAAATAAATTGAAATAACAACCTACAGAATAGAATAGCAAAAACTAGATTATCACAATAAGAGAATATAGTATTTAATAAATACTACACCTCTGAGTATTAGAGGGAAAAAATTCCAAGATTCATTTGGAAACAAAACAACTTATGTAAAGTCCAATGCTAATATCACAAAATGCCTATAAGTGTACTAAATCAGTGTCGCATAGAGACTAATATTAATATTGTATGCCACAACTAATTGTTTTGAACTGATGCAAGAAAATATTTTGAAAAACGAGAATGTCCAAGTAATTTTACCTGTATTTTTCTTGACTCTCTCATAGATTGGTCATGTTCTTGAATTTGTTTTTGATAAATTTTAGACCTTAATCGGTTAAGTGCTATTTTCTTGTTTTTTATTTGGGATCTTTCAGTCTGGCATTCTATACTTATACCTGAAATAGAGAAAGACAATCGAATATAGTGCAGTACACAAAACGTTTTAAAAATGAAATGTCCATGCTGAAACTAATAAAACCATTGTCGTCTGTAGTTAACAAATTACTTTCAGCCACATCAATGAAGAACTGTAAACTTTACAAGAGTTGTATGTTTTTATAGACTTAAAAATTGAAAATACCTGTTGGAATATGAGTGATTCTAACACAGCTATCGGTTGTGTTTACATGTTGTCCTCCTGCTCCGCTTGAGCGTTTTGTCTCAATTATCAAATCTTTGGATAGTAATTCAACATCTACCTGTAAAAACAATAAATTGGCAAATGGAATTAATTAAAAAAATTATCTGCCAGCTTTCAAATTGTTATCAGTACTTATTTTAATCAGGAAGTATGCTAATTTATGTTTTTTGTTCGGATTAAAATTATGAAAGATTATCAGTGAGGATAATATCTTTTGTTTTTACATAGCATTAAACAGCTGTATAAGACCAGTCAAATAAAATAAAAAAATAAATAAAAAATTGCTAAAAATGATTGCAAGTAGTGAAGTAGTTTCAATAGTTAATCAAGGTCTAAGAGAATCATCCCACAAACACAACAAAGAAAAATTGCATAATATGCAGAATGAAAAAAAAAATAAGAAAAAAGTATCGCCCATTGTTGGGGGAGAAAAAAGGCAATATTACAATCGATGTTGAATGGCTTGATGTAGGAGATTTGGATGCTTATGCTCTTGGTGTCATACTGCATCGTTTGTTTGAGAAGTTTGTTGATCGAGTAGTAATTTTTGCCATAAGGGTATAACTGTTTTACCGGATCTCGATACCTATCCCAATGAATTAAAAAGCCTTATATACAGATCCTAATAGATAAAAAAACTTTTTTGGGAAAATATTCGAATATATAATAATTAATAACTTATTCACTTTTGCTTTATTCAATGCTCAAAATGCAGATATAAAAGGATGTGGTATTTATTTACTATTATGTACAGCAATCCATATGCTGAGCAATATCTCTTACAAATTCACAAGTATTTTTACATTAATACATGAAACCAAACGATCATGTGAGAATTTATAATAAGCCAAGATGTAATAAGTTTGCAGCAATCGTTGTCTCCAAAGATGAAGACATAAACTAAACTGACATACTTGTTTATCCAAATAATGGTAACAATTTCCTATAGATCCATTAAGTTTTCCTTGGCTATTAATGACATGAGAAGCAGTACCGATTAGCAACTCATTCAAATCAATCAAATCAAATTCACTATTCTCCAAGAATGACCCAGCACTATATCATCAACATGTATTTGAAAGTTGAAGAGAGTTAATTGTATTAAGAATAACCAAGGAAAGTTATGAACTGAACATTTGCATGGCTTAATGGATCATGTACAAAATAGCACAATCAATACGTAAACAAATTCTGATTGGGAAAAGCTCTTATTCTTCCATCTTCATTTAAAGGAAGTTTTCAAGCAATGCAACAATTTTATGCCATTTCTCGTAACATCGGTCGTCCAGGTTTGTTATACATCCATGATATGCAATCTTATGTGGCGGTGTGGGAAGATGTCAGGCGTGCGGTCGTTGTGAATCAAGACATAGAACACAACTGATTGTAGTGCGGCGGAGGAATAATAATAATAATAATAACGCCCGTGTTGTTGAACAGAACATTGAACTATCGATTCACAATACAAAATAACTTATACAAAATTACTGCCTGAAACATCTAAATTTAAGAAACAGAGCGTATGCTGTCTTCTTAATTGGTCCTGTAAATGTTTATATTGGGTTAATGCTTGTTAAAAAATGTTGTATTGTTCAATGCCTTGTTTAAGAGATAAAAACCAGCATATTAACACTATGCTCCAACATACATTTAAATTGCGATATTAATGTAAAAAGAAAAAACATAAATCTTTATGTTGTTACTCTTACCTCAGCAGGTTGTGGAAATACAGCCACTGTCGCTGTACTTGTATGAATTCGACCTGACCGTTCTGTTGCAGGCACCCTTTGTACTCTGTGGACACCGGCTTCATATTGAATAGATTGAAAAATGTTTGGTCCCTCGACACACAACGATCCATGCCTTATGCCACCTGAAATGAAGGAATTTATTAATACAATTTTTAATTTGTGCATTCAAAATCCAGTTTAGATGCATTACCCAACTCCGATGTATCTAACTCTGCTACATCACTAACCCACGATTTATAATTAAAATAATTTTGGTACATATCAAACAGGTCCTTTGCAAAAAGCATTGCTTCTTTTCCACCAACTCCAGCAGTTATTTCAAATTCAATTGCATTGAAGGTAGGGCTTTGTGGAACAAGGCTGTTAATAAGCTGCAATTTATATATGTAACATTAAAAACAATATATTTTTTAAGAAATGGTTTTATTATTGTCAGTCACACATTCTATTTACACAGTTTTTCCAGTTATAAGATTACCTCTAAATTGATAGTACTTAATTGTTCCTCATACTGCAATATCTCTTCTTTGATAGTTTCCTTCCATTCATTACTTTCTGATTCATCTGAAAAATGATAATACACTAATGTTAATTGAATAAATTGAGCTAATCAACTAGTCGTATCCTTTGCCATACAGGGTCAGACCATAAGGCATGACCCTCATCTCATGCCCACTTGAGATATGTTCCAGGGCTTTCAACATTGGGTCATTTCATCCCCAATGCATACAAGTTACAGTAAACATATGTTAACTCATAACATCATTCATTCTTTCTTATATACATAGGCTTACTTCAGCATGACGGAGTACTTAATATTACTCCTATACACAAAATAAATAACTCCTATAATATAATAAAATAAACCCAAAAGTCTAGTGGGATAAGTACTATTACACCATTGGGCCTTCCACACCATACATTCGCATAGGGCAAGCAACTAAACAAGTTACTATAATTAATGAAATCATGCATTAACAAATGAAAAAACTTAATACAAAACAGCTCATAAATAACATCAACCTGACCCAGAGCAGAAAATGCAATAAAAAAANAATTCAAATCTTGCTCCTAAACCGGCTACAAAATATTGCTATAATACCAACACAAATATAAAAAATGACTATTACATTTACTACAACACATTATTACATTACTACAAATATATAATTAAAATAATTAATATACTCCTGCTGTCTCAAGAGTTCATGAATGAAAGCAGAAGCAGGGGTAGGTGCAGTTATAGTTGCAGGTAATCAAGTGGAAAATGGAATCTAAGTTCTCTTAGCAAACCTTGCCAAAATTTCCATTAATAATACCATAATTATATTAAAATCCCAAACTCTTATATAAAATATAAACTGCTCAAAAATGAATAGGGATATTTGTAATTTATTCCTATTCTATTAGTTTCAATTAAATTAACCGATATATTCTTGTGAGGTGGATAAAGCAAAATAGAAAATACAAACCAAAAACAAACAAATGTTAATCCTCATGTTTAATAATGGATTTACTTAAGAATAGTAAGCATAAAGATTACTCGTTTTGTAAACAAACACCTTTTCTAGTCTTTTCTCCACTTTAATCCAGTTGTATTCTCTTTAACCGTGGAAAGACATCATCTTGAACCGTTCCCAATATTATTGTGAGAATGAGTCATCGAGGTCACTGGCAAGTGGATATCACAGAGGCAAATGGCGTTTCTCGAACATGGTCTCCTGGGGTTTAGCTTGATTCGGAGATACTAGGAGACCAATAAGAGGCCTGGTAGTGGATCTCAGTGCATTAAGGAAGGATAGAAATATTGTTATTGCTGCAAACTGGAACCCTTTCCATAGTGCCTGCCAGATCCTAAATGAAGTACAAGATGTTTTGGCAAGGCCTTTATTAACACAAATGATTCGTAATCATTTGTGGGAAGTTGGCCTCACATGGTAAGCCCCTTTGAGACAACCTGCAACAACAGCCCGCCTGCCACCAGCAATTCAGGAGAATATGGAGCAGCGAGCACCAGAAGAGAACACCAATGGGATTGCTGTTATGTATGTTGCTGGTATGTTTACTGATGAGTCACGTTTCTGTCTGTATAAGTGATAGCAGGCACTGAAGAGTCTACTGAGAATGGGATGAGTACAATGCCCCAGATCGTGCTCCCTTCAGTGCAGTTTGGAGGAAGTCCTGTAATGGTCTGTGCTGGAATTTACACTGGAGGACGAACTAGACTCCATATTTGTGAAGGCGACCTTACTGCAGTCCGTTATGTCTAAGAAATTATCGTGGAATACATCCCTCAAGCCAGGTTTCTCATAGGCAGGGATTTTTGATTTCTGGATGACAATGCTAGACCTCATAGAGGCAGAGTTGTTCATCACTCCCCCTTTGTCTCCAGACCTCAATCTTATTGAGCACAGGTAGGGTGCGTTGCAGAGAAGGCTTTTCAATCATCCGCAGCCAGTTGAACTGCAACAACTGAGTGCAGCGTTGCAACACCTATGGAGTGAAATTGCTTATGAAATTAGAGAAAACCTTATTAACAGTATGCCTAACAGGGGAACAGAGGTTTTAGCTAAAAAATGACATTATACACGGTGTTAATTGTTAATTATGGAATTAAAACCTTTTATTTTGTTATTTTTCAAAATACCTTAATTAAATTTTCTTTCAATAAAAAAACAATTTTTAACAGATTTTAATGCAATTTATAATAAAAATAAAATAAAAATGGTAGGGAAAGTAAATACTACAAAATTGGCAATGTCCCTATTCATTTTTGAGCAGATTATAATGCCAATTAATAAAATTAAATAAATAAGCAAAAGCTATTAAAATAGTAGCATCACCGATACGATTTACTAAAATAGTCAACATACCATAGGACCTATAAATTTTGGAAATAAACTACTAAACCATAATAAATTAAACCTAGTAGTGCATTTTCAAATGAGAAATTAATGCATAAAACAGTTGAATAGAGGCATGAACAGCGAGCACATGAGGGATTTTTTTTAAAAATTAAAATTCCTGGATGTTCATTGTGCAGTATAGAGGAAGTGCTCAAATGGCTGTCATGTGATTCTGCGGTCCCTGGTAGTCTTAGTGTATTAGCGTGTTCTTAATGTCAATATGACAGAATTGGATATACAAAATGATGATATTGTTGCCAAATGGATGAGGGACCATCACCAGAGTGTGACCACCTTCAGCTTCTCACAAACACTCGGATGTGGACTTGAGTGTATGGGAAAGAGTGCAAGGACTCACACAAATAACTTTGAACGATATGTTTCAGAAGTAAAATAAATATATTATTTCTAAGCACTCAACTACAGATTACTGTACTTAGTACTTTTATTTATTTTTTTTACTTTACAGATACAATTTAAACCTCTATAAACCCATTATACAGTGTGATTCACTACTCGTACAACAAAGTTCATCAGGTCTACACCTCAAATATTGTATGAACCATGGTCCGATTCTCAACCCTTTCACACATAGACAACACTTTGCTTTTACAACTATCTACGATTTTTGTCAACAAAATCATAGTACTTGAATTATTCATTTTTGGGAAAATTAAAAAAAAAGCATTGAAAAGAGCTTTAAATTGCCATTACTACAAACTGTTTATGCTACTGATTGCCATGTGAAACGTATTTAATTCAAGATACATGCTGAAATATGAAAAAAACAACATATTTTTACAGTTTGATCATCCTTGGTCTGCATGTTCTTAGACTGAACTAAACCAGAATCACAGACTAAGTTGATCAAACTGTGCAGGCTCGGAGGCCACAACTTCACAGAACGTACGCAGAAAATCCTAAGAACTTTTTATTATTATTTTTTAACCTGCAAGATAGACTGACCTTTTTGCATGTCTCTGAGGGATTGCAGGTTGCTTGAGATTTCTTCTCGGTCATTGAAAATATTTTTCAAATGCAGGTTTGGAATTTGATTGGTAAAACCGTTGGGGGATTTTTCGGCTTGGCTTTTGACGGATGCTAAATATTTCTGGACGTAGTCTTCTTTGACGAAGGACTTGCCCGTCGAAAATTGTCGAAACTGAAGTTTGAGTCCTTCAGAGCTTCGACACAGATACTCAGCCTCGGACAGGATCCGGCTCAACGATCGGCTCAATCTGCTCAACGATTTCAAATGCATCGCTCGACAAACGGAAAACAAAAATTTCCTCCTTATTCAAATCCTCCGAAACATTTTCCCTCCAAATTACATAAAAATCATCCGTCGCCGAGTTAAAAGAGGGTTTCTTTTATCAGTTTAACTCTCCATGCTGTTATTTTGAACATGCGGCCTTCTGGAGACCTCGGTCAGTGTTAATTCTGTTTCAGTCACAGACAATGCAAATGGTGAATTGCGTGTAATTTTGCTTTTATTACACTCCAGTTATTGTAATTCTTTACATACTAGGTGATTGAAGGATAATAGTTGATTAATTCCTGATGGCTGAAAAGTACACGGAGCTGCACAAAAGAAACGGAACTGGTTTGTGACTGAAATCACTAACCAGTTACTTATTCATTAGTGCTTTGGATCCACAGACGAAGCAACTCAAAACAGATCGAAATCACTAATTTTTTCAGTGAAATCATGGAAGGAACATCATCCCCGTTTTTGTTCTTTGAATAACCTGAATCTCCATATGTTATGGATGAAAAAACGCAATTCCATTGTTATCTGCCTAGCTTTCGACCTATTTTAAGATCATCATCAGGTCCTATATTGAATACACACTGTGAATACATATTTGCAAAGTTAATTCAACAATCACTATAACTATTTGGTCGTTGATAGTGATGATTCAAGCGATGAAACTGTCGTACTAACCATTTCGAAATCACTAATTTTTCAGTGAAATCATGGAAGGAACATCATCCCCGTTTTTGTTCTTTGAATAACCTCAATCTCGATATGTTTTGGATGAAAAAACGCAATTCCATTGTTATCTGCCTAGCTTTCGACCTATTTTAAGGTCATCATCAGGCCCTATATTGAATACACATTATGAATACATATTTGCAAAGTTAATTCAACAATCACTATAACTATTTGGTCGTTGATAGTGATGATTCAAGCGATGAAACTGTCGCCAAGTCCACAATGGGAGATACTCAAAAGAAAAGAACCTGTTTTGTGACTGAAATCACTAACCAGTTACTTATTCATTAGTGCCATGGATCCACAGACGAAGCAACTCAAAACAGACAGAAATCACTAATTATTTCAGTGAAATCATGGAAGGAACATCATCCCCGTTTTTGTTCTTTGAATAATCTTAATCTCGATATGTTATGGATGAAAAAACGCAGTTCCATTGTTATCTACCTAGTTTTCGACTTATTGGAAGGTCATCATCAGGACCTGTATTAATTACATATTTGTACAGTTAATTCGACAATCAATATAACTTTATATGTGTAACTATTTGTTTCTTGATAGAGATGATTCTAGTGATGATTCAAGCGATGAAGCTGTCATTCTGCTTACAACACATGAAACTACGCAAAAGAAACTTATGTTACAACGCGCAATAAGTCCTTTCCTAGGTAATTGAATGGGATACCGCAGACGTCTGTACTGATTAATGGCGCGGTACTAAAATACTAATCAGTTCCAGCTCCAGGCAACTCGACTACCGATTCACGAGTGACTGACGTTGCTCAGTTTCGAATGATTTTTAAATGGACGTTCAACAGGTGAACATTATTATCTATGAAGAAGTTGAAAACCATCCTGTTTAGTTTACGTTTTCTGTATATTAGAAGAAGACGACACCGAAAAGCCATGACATAAAGTTGAAAAAACGCAAAATTTCATTCGTATTCTTTCTCTTCTGTACCGATGATGGTACAGTAATAAGACAGATTCATCACTGGAATCATCACTGTAAACGAACAAGGACAGATGATATTCCTTCCATGATTTCACCGATGAAACGATTGACTTCGATCTTTTTTAGTAGCTTCGTTTGTGGACCACATCATGAGTGAGTAACCGGTTATAGATCCCAGTCACAAACCAGTTTCGTTTATTTTGAGTAGCTTCGTGTCAACAAACATCCATATGTAAGGAGAAAACTCATTCAAACTCTAAAACAATCAAAGTGGATAGGAACTAAACATTTGGGCATACAACAGCAATAAATAAAATCAGATACCTATTCGTAAAAATGGGGACTGACTACATGAGCACGGAAACATCATTTACAACCTTCTAAAAAGTTATAACATATTATAAAGGGGAAGAATAGCTTAGGAGAAAACCACATACACATGGCTCCAATACAAATGAAGGAACCGGATCTGGAATAATCTTTGCAAGCCCAAACGTGAGCAATTCCTTCTCCATGAATGCTGGATGCATGAATGCAAAAAACCCTAATAAAGTCAGACAGCCAAGCAGCCTTAAAAGTATTTGCTCGTAAATAAGTCACACTCAAAATCTTGAAATACTGGGAAAACATAACAACTTGATCATATATTAGGTATCAAGAAAATCTTACAAGAGGCTAGGCTGACAAAAAATCCTCCCAGGATCGGATATCCAAGTAGCCATTAAAGCATTAGCATGTACAAAAATCACATCAAAATTAACCAATGAATACAAAATCTCCAAAACCTGGGGTAACAGGGTGCCAGGACCCAAGGAAAATTTTGGGTAACGTAAAGGAAGACGGACTGGCCATAGGAAGATATGCAAGTTGACGATGCAAGCCTTGAACCTATTTTTGATAAAACAATAACAAAGATAGGGGGCGTCGGTGGCCGCAAGGTTTAGTCTTTGACACGGCGCTCATCACTGTAAGGTAAAGGTCCCGGGTTCGAATCCAGCGGCCCTGCATTCGAACCCGACATACTTACAAATGGGCTTTTTTTCAAAAACATCGGCACCCCGAGGGTTTATATGACCTCTGCTGTTGCGAACTCTCGTAAAAAAAAAAAAAAAAAAAAAATAACAAAGATAGAATCCTCTCTCTCAGAGTAGGTCCACAAAAATAAAAGGAGAAATAGACGAACTCCAGACATGCCAGGCACAGTGACATGATTAAAGAACCCTCACAAAACTGGCAAACAAATTGCTACAGTTAGGCAAGGTAAAACTCATAGGAGTGATAGGACTATATGTCAGGTCGGTGCATATTCAATGATGACATTTTACTGGTTGGCTCGGTTCGTCCTGAAAAGAGCCGTTCAAAATTGAAGTTCTAATACGATCATTGAGACATGATCACAGCTGAACGGAGGGTGAATTCAGACTGGAAACCTCTGAGTCGAAGCTTTCGTTTGCTCTGGAATGTAGAGTGGAGTCGCTGGAGCTGATAGTACCTAGTCCTTGGGTAACTATTGTCCTGACTTCAGACTTGGGCGGATTGCTGTCGGCTCTTACATACAAGAATCGCCTCGCTCCTATTAGCGGCCGAAAACAATTACGACCATTATTATCGGTATCTGTGTTCTGTCGTGGTTACCACAAAGGTCGGCGGTGTACTATGCCGAGAATGGTCACCACAACCTCATCTGTTATCCGATGAGGTGGAAGAAAGTAACGCATATTTTATTCGTTCGCGAACCTAGGACAGCACGAAGACAAGAAAAAAATAGCAGCAATGACAGTCAATGACCAATAGTATTCCTTAGGGGGAGGATCGAGTCGATTGAACTATGGAACTACAAAAGTACAATAAGCCAGAAGGTTGATAAAAAACCCCGACTTCCAGTATCAACATTCATCATCATCACCATCAAACCGTTTTTAACCCTTCCTTTGTACGAGGGGTGGGCAAGAATGAGGTCAATGAGAGCAGCAATTTTACATATCCAATGTGTTTACACAGCGTGTATTCTGAGCTAGCAATTCCTAGCTGCACGACGAACACTTCATAAAAGTAAAAACGTCATATGGACGAGTTTTGATAAGTAAACATAGACTCACTAGGGTACAAAATCTTATAAAATGTAGTAGATAAATAAAGTTTGTGGTCAAGAAATAAGTAATAAATGACTTGGTATAGCAAGTTTTGTAAAAGAATCACACAGCATCCAGACTTCGTAGTTCTCTTACCATACCAATTATCAATTGCTGCCTTTAATATTGTGACACATCATTTTATCATATGAACGACAAACATAACAGCATAAAAGGAATTTTACTCAAAAATGTAACATATCTATATAAATTTTATTTACATTGACCTTATACAGAAGGCGAGTAGTACATAAATCGATAAAAAAGAATATTAAATAACATTCAAAACCTAATGAAATAAATATAAAGCTTATATATATATATACTTTTTTATAACATAATAAATAATATAATGTGTAAGGCAACTGCACGTGAAGCTTCAATACTGAATTTCTATCAATTTATGTTAAATTAGCTCCATCAGGTTTTGTGAAACAGTTTAAATTTTATCTTGTCTTTAAAAAATTATGATCATAACTGATATAAAGTAAAAAAGAAAATATAAAATAAAGCATATTCTGTCAAATAAGGTAGTCAACAGGACCCAGTCTTGATTCGGCTTTCTATTCGTTGCAGTAATCAATCCACTCTCGTCATTCTCAGCCTCGTTCTCCTAAAATAAAATGAAAATATTTCAAAAAATGTTCGTGAAAGATCATTGTGACTTAAAAGTTCAACGCGTGTGTCTAGAAAGTCTGTTTACAGTTATAACAAACAAGAAAACGTTGAAAACACAGCTTATGGGCCTAAATCCTGTGAGTGTGTCCAACATGTCTAAAGGTTTATCGTACGGTGACAATCCTTGGCTCCTACAGACTGTATTTAATCTTAATCATAGAAACTAGTTGTTTTTGTGTGAAACATCTCGTGAGATTGGCGTGAGTGTATAGTGTCATAGAGCTTGCTGGGATTAGTTTTATAATTCGTGTACTTCTTTTTGGATAAACTGTATGTATTTATAGGAAAGAATGTATTTAACAACGACTGACTGATGACCAGCATAATGTATGGCACCTTTGGTATAGAACTGAAGTTTCTCTGGGTACCTGTTCGAAATAACGACCTCTTTCTTAACCAATAGAATTTAAAAACAAATTTAGGTACCAAAAGAGAATGGAAAAGAGGGAAAATACCCTTCGTTGAGAACAGCACCATCTGCTGGTACACTGAGGGATCTAGAACGCGGGATGTACCCAGTTCAAGTTGAACAAAGCGTAAAAAAACAAGAATATAGCCAAGCAGCTAGCTCTAATCCTCTAGGTTCCTTTCACCTTTCACAACATTTCTCAAAATCCTAAAAACTAAGTGCTATTGTTTGCAGATCACACCATTGTACACACTCAGTCTTAGAGGAAAACTACAAATTACAAACCTTACCATGATTTAATCTGCGCTGTCTCAGTACGAGAATACCTTAAGGGTGGCGGCAACGGTAAATACTTGATTTAGTAACCGGATTCGTGTAATGGCATTGAAAAGGCGGTGTCTTTGAATCAGGCATCTGTCAGCCATGTCGGCTGCCGAGTGAACGATGAGTGCGAGCTGTTCAGAGGGCCCTGTTACTTGTTTATGCTCACTGCTTACTCTATTAGTGATGGCAACTCGTCAACGGCCTGTCTATGCCGGCTGAGCCTCTGCTTAAATAGAGTTCTGCTGCATGTTTATTAGGCGCTGTTTGTAAGGCGGAAGCATTGTCAAAATAGTGGTTCTGTCTGGTCGAAACTTTAGTAAGGCACAATACTAAATGCGGTGGAAAAATTTTCACGTTAAGGATTCTCAAAGCATACCATGGAATCTGACGGTGCAGCGTGTTATCCGGTTAACCTGGAACACACGTATCTACAACAAATGCTCTGAGGGTAGGACCTAAACCTCATTATTAACAGAAAATCCCACTTAACGCAGAATTTTACTATACTGAACCATTTGTCAATACTAAGAGCCCCACCCACAATTTGATCTCAATTTCATAGAGGTGCCTAGGTGACCAAAACTACCAAAATCCAGGATTTCTAGACTTAAGACTTGTAATAAACGTGGCGTTCGCAAAGGATCTGCTGGTACCAACAACAGTTGATTTTATTAAACAGAAATTCAAAAGATTCCATGGAGAGATAACTCACACTGGACAACCCACTTACAATAAAAGGCTGCTACCAAGATTAAAGCAAGGTATACTGTTATAAGGCCGAATTCTGGACGTTTTTTACTTTATGGGTAACAACACTACACAACCTGTGAAGCGTCTACCAAAAGGCGAGATACTAATTTTATTTTGTCACCCATGGTACACCATTTTCACATCATCAATGTATCAACAGCAAGACACAACTGTGGAGAAACTGGCTGGCATCACACGCTCACTTCATTCTTCTGATTCTGGATTCAGGGTTTCTTGCCCTTTACATAAAAGTGACGACGGAGTCAAGTTTGGGCCGAACAACGGTGCTCGCAAAAAAGCACTTACAAGTTTGAATTTCATAATAGGTTTGTTTACGGAATGCGAGGATCTGCAAACCTGTTCCATCGCAGGAAGCTGAAGATCGGCTGAAAAAAGGCCAGCTTCTGCTTCAAAAATTCTAGTTAAAGGCCTTTTTCTTTTCTTACTCAACTTAATATTTCATCATTAATAATGAAATAATCTAACACTTGTTTTATATTGTTATGAGTAGACGGTATCGTGAGGATTTTTAGCATTTTCTGATAACTGAAAGAATACTGACAAGAGTCTTCTTTTAGTTTAAAAAACTGTATTATATGAACGATCAGAGAGATCATCGTACACACATATAAATTGCAAAATAAAATGTATGTTAAACAGGCAATATTTCATAATTAAATGAAGGTGCGATACCTGCGGCAGTAGCAAGAAATGCATGCTGTTTTTACTCTTGACCATATTGTATGTTCTCATAAGCCATGGCGGTGTGTCTTTTAATTGCATCATTGTTCTTGATATAGTTAAGAGAAGCATAGCCAAACCACACATTGCGACAGAGTTGCGCAAATACGAGACTAAAAAGAAATTATTAAAGTGTGTTTAAATTCAAATCGATTAAATGATGAAAATGAACTTACTAATGTGTACATCAGAGCCTCCATTGGCAGGCAAGGATTTTCCCAGTATTTGCAAATATAGAACATGAACAATGAAGGATGTCAAAAGAAGGACGTATCGAAACCCGTCCATAGGTTTAAGCCAAAAAGAAACAAATATTAAGATGACGGCAACTGTAAAAAAATGTACAAAATTAAAATGTTTAATACATAATAATGCTACAAATGGTTTTCAAGCTTCAATGACAAAGTAAAATGAATGACGGGTGTATGCGAAGCAATTTTTTTTTTTTTTTGACCATTGAAAATCAAATTGAGGCAAGTCACCTGCTATAGGAACTGTAGTCGTTGAGGCTAGGATGCTGGAGTGTCTAGTCATTCGAAACGTACAAAGGAGAAATTGTGCAGTACTATCACCACTAGGATCTTTGGCTAATGCTTTAACTTCAAAAGTGACTTGTCCCAAATCCCAGGCCTTATTTTTATTGAAGTGCCTCATATCGACGCTCTAGTTACATGTGAGAAGAAATTTGATGAAAAATAGGTTAAAAGCACGTAGAAGTTTCCTAATCCTGGGATACTTTTGTTATTATTTTATGTATCGGGTTGTCCGGAAAATAATGCAGGATTTTAAGTTTTCATTAAAAAAAATCTATATAAAATATTCTGTTTACGTTTACAGGATTACTCATTTGTATGAATGTCAACACTTATTAATCCTCTTCCAAATGATATTGTTTGTTTACCTCTGTAGCATTCCGCTACNCTCTCTCTCTCTCTCTCTCTCTCTCTCTCTCTCTCTCTCTCTCTCTCTCTCTCTCTCTCTCTCTCTCTCTCTCTCTCTCTCTCTCTCTCTCTCTCTCTCTCTCTCTCTCTCTCTCTCTCTCTCTCTCTCTCTCTCTCTCTCTCTCTCTCTCTCTCTCTCTCTCTCTCTCTCTCTCTCTCTCTCTCTCTCTCTCTCTCTCTCTCTCTCTCTCTCTCTCTCTCTCTCTCTCTCTCTCTCTCTCTCTCTCTCTCTCTCTCTCTCTCTCTCTCTCTCTCTCTCTCTCTCTCTCTCTCTCTCTCTCTCTCTCTCTCTCTCTCTCTCTCTCTCTCTCTCTCTCTCTCTCTCTCTCTCTCTACACATACACACACATTATGTACATCTATAGAGTTTCTCAGATTTAATGAATTTCAAGTTTGTTACCGAGTTTTTATGCAATCTCAATAAAGTTTGATTTCCTGTGGCGTATTCCGAAAAAAATGCCAAGTGACAAACGTGACTGTCGTGAGGCCACCGGAGTAAATTCATGGCACAATGGACGGTAAGTTGGGTATCTAAGAATACAGACACTTCACCTCTATTTGTGACCGTGGCAGTAGTGTATCTACTGGCTAGATGCGAATCAGTAAATTTACTGAAACTAAACCGTTAGCATATACATATATATTTAAAAATATTGCTTATAACTAGCCTAAACAATATTGACAGCAAACACGTACCTGTTTAATAGTACAATCTTTGGAGTCCAAATTAAATTTGCTGGAATTGAGATCTTAGTTTGTCCATTGTACTTCTTGGGATCCCATGTCAAAAATTCGTTCTCGTAAAACTGAAATAAATAATCAATATGCAAGATACCACTTTGTATTTATGTCTACGCTTCCACCAAAAAAGGTCAACGTATTACGTGTAATAAATTTACAATACATTAACGGTAGCCCTCGACAATCACCCCGGGTGTTGACAGTCTGGGATCAAACCTCGGTCTTATCCGTCCTGCCACCGAGGTTGAGCTCCGAGTGATGTCAACAGCTAGGTCAGCATCAAGTCAGCAACGACGCATGCAGTTCCTACATCCATTCAACCTCTCACTCATTCTTAAATACATTCTTTCCTATTTACATACGATTCACTCAACTAGGGTGGTGAAGTAAGCGACATAATCCGTCATTAGCCCTCTTACACTACGGTAAATTGGGCGGTACACATTCACGCTAATAAATACATTCACTCTAAATACTCATTAGATACACTTAAATATCACTGATATACAATAAAGCAACCCTGTATCTTAAAAAAATCGGAACAGTGGCCCCAGATATTCACTGCTTTGCTCGACCACAACATTTCTCATATTGGGTGGCATTCCTACTCACCCCTTATAGAAGCCAAGTAATGACACCTTCAATTATTGATCAACCTTTCTCTGCATGCCGGACAAATAAGCGGGCTTTTGCGCAAAACTAAGTACGTGTGTCAACTAAGTCGTCATTTTTTAGTAAATTATTTTCTTTAATTTATTATAAAGTCCTTGAAACAATACTATACATCATTTGAATGTACAATGTAATTATAATGATACTTATTATTACTTTTACAATGCAATTGTAATGTATCCAAATCAATGTTAGAAAATGGCGAGTTATCTGTACCAGCAGACAAATATTACAGATATATTGGCACTTGGTGCAGGCTTTACACATTACTACTAACTAGTTAAACACCCAGAAAACATTAAAGAAGAAGTAAAATTTTTGGAAGCATACTTACTACGGTTAACCATGCGTGAATTGACATCACATCGTCTGTGACCTAAGTTCAAATTAATCGTTAGCCCATACATTTTTTTACTGCAGCGCAGAATAAGGTTATTTTCAAAGCATAGAGTTGTTTTTACCACATATAGATCTCTGAAAGCCAGGTAAACATCTACGACAATCGAAGAACTGCTGTTTTTTACTGGTCGTATATCTTTGTTGTAACCACAGAGCAAATTGTATTGCAATTTTTCTCCGGTACTCATTGAATTATTTGCACAAGGAACCACTGCACTTACACCTAAAAGAATGATTATTATTGAACGAATATTTCTAGTCTTAACATACAAAAATGACCAAAACACTGTTTTGAAGACTTTTCCCTTCCATCCATCAGCCCTGGCAAATTTGTTTTTAACTGACATAAAAATGTACTTTGCACGAGGGCCATGACAAAAGAAAAAAAGTTTAAGGTACTTTACCTAAAAGCGACCCAAAAATTAGGTGTACAATTGAAATCTTGCAGATTACCATCTCGTCAAAAGGCTGTTTCTTCCTGCAATGCTCCGAACAGACAATCTTATCATACTATTAGCCGTCCCTCCCCCGAAGAGTTAACAATATCAGACATATCATGAAATTGCACAAACACTAAACAGACACCACTTATTTTTTTTTTTTTAATTTCTGCATTCCCAGAACCAATTACCATAAGCAGTCTGATATGTTCTTCTGATACGAATAGAATATATGTGAACATTAGACTAATTGAAACCGTCCGTAAACGAAGGAGGCGAGACAATTGATTGATAGAATAAAGCTTTTCACGGTCAAATTTCGTCAAAAAATAAGGTTAAAATAATTAGATCTGAAAACCAGACAATACAAATGGATACTCCATTTAGATTCTTCAAAAACATAACCTTAATATAAATACTTGTTGATGATGAATGTTGGCCTGCGATTCAGTGAACTTATGCTGAACCGGCATAAGGTTACTTATTAGGCCGGGTTGGGTTCCTCACTGAAGATGGCTCAATGCCGAAACGCACCTGAGTTCAACAAACCCGCGAGTGAAGATGGACCCAATAAGTGACACTATGCGGTTCAGTGTAAATATATGTTGTGAGATTTCCACCTGATGTCTGCGGTATGATAGACCTATTGTTTGAGTGTTACCTACTATCACGGTCTGCCTATTCTCGAAATCACTGAAACACTATCAAAATGCCGAAACGCTTCCTAACCAACAAAAACTACTACAGGAACTTTCAAAAAATATAAATTTATGTGGTTAAGAATACGTTCAGGGGGATCGCGGTAGGCGAGTTTCTAGGCTCATCCAACTCGCGACCGTGGGTTCAATTCCCACCGTCGACCCTGGAATTTTCTTTCATGCCCCCCTTAAAAAAAAAAAAAAAAATAAATAAATAAATAAAAAAATATAAAAAAAATATAAAAAAAATAATACAAGTCTAACTAATATTGAAAAGCACAAGAAAAATATTGTCCATAATATTGGACATAATTACGAAAGAAACTTATTTTTGTGTTGTTTCTGAATTCTGGTCAAACGCGTTTGTCCCTTCAGCAAAGGGATTGTGTATATATTCGAATTCCCTACCAAAATCAGTAATGGGAGAGTTCGGTAACATCCTTATAATGCAACACAACTTTGAACTACCATATGGACTCTGGCCATTATTTAGTATAAATGTGTGCTAGCCCGATTAATTATTGAAAGGGTTTCTCGCTCTCTTTCTCTCCCTGTCCGTTCTTATGAAGCACGCATCCCGTTTCTTAGTTTCTATTTGTTTCATAATAGAATTATGTAGGAACCGTTAATAAACAGGTATTTAGGATAACTGCAATGCCTTTTTCGCATAGATGTGCGCATAGATTCGAACACAGCAACTTAATTTTAACGTAATTACTAACTGGAATACTTTAAGAACATTTTTTTTTTATTTAACAATTTATACAGTTAAAATTATAATATCAATCTCTTTCAGAGCCTGTTGCTACATTTGGAACCAAGTTGATATTCGCACCACGAAAAACCCCTGAATACAACTTTTGAGAAAATTAAAAAATATTTTCTTTACCTTAAATTGTTTGCCTTATATGTCTCTAATATTTTTTTTAATTAAAAATATATTGATAACTTTGAAACGACTACACCAATCTAATGAAAATTTTACAGAAGCTTAGCACCCAATAAACTACACGTAACAGCATAAGCTCAGCCTCCATGAATAAAGTAGAACCGCAGATATAAAACAAAAGTTTTGAGGATTTTTTTATTGAAATCATCTTCAGGGCCTGGGATTTATAAACATAGTTTAAATTATACAAATACTTGTAGGGTGTAAAAAAAGGGAATTTATACAATGCTAGAAATTTTAGACTCAATCAAAGTATTTGTACGACACCCCATGATACATCTATACAGAAAACAAAACTTTGAGTGAGTACAAGTCGAACGTTGGCACGATAAAGAAAATGTTTTTCTAACATTTACGTCACACCAGACCGCATCTCACGATTTCCAAATAATCATTAACTAACGGTCACTAAACACCACAAATCACAGATAATAGATTTTCCCATGTGTGTGATAAATAACTGGCAGACTTCAAGCTATATGTTAAAAAAAATTGGTGCATATCAGAGGCTCAAGACAAAGAGCCTGTTGATAGAACTAGGCTTTCAGTCGTTCCTTCCTCCCTCGTCCTTACAATTTGACACCATGGGTACTTACAGTCCCTTTTTCGTTTAATTGAAATAGATTATTTTTATTTCGTATGTATGTAGATAGATGATAGATAGATAGATATACTTTATTTCAAAATGAAAGAAATTTAGAATTCAAAATAAAAAACAGTATTATTATGGCATGATATTAAGACCGTCAGCCAGAGTTCGGAGTGCATTACTATTCCAAGAACATGCATAATTATAAGAAAAGGAGAATTTACAATATCAACTTCAGAGGTTACAATTATTTACAGGATTTTCAAATTACAAGATGGAAATGCGATAAACTTTGAAAATAATAAAAATGACACTTCAAAGAACAAAAGTAAGGATTCCAACTCACAAAGGGTCCCCCACCGGCAAACAGGATTCGCATTTAGAAGCCCACAAAGTAAAAATTATATGTATTACCTGCGAGAGCAAAAAACGAAACAAAATAAGACGAACAGAATATTAATTCCCTACATTTCAATATATTCATATCTAGGCTTGCCGAGCAAAATCAACAAGACCCCGGCAATCCGAGCCGGTCAGAAGGGCTATAAGCTCTTCCCTCGTCAGAAAACCCTTACCCACATACAGATACCTCAATTCGTTAAGGACCGAGCAGCTAGCGAGAAAATGAAATGCATCCTCACGATCACCTGAGTTGCATAGAGAGCACACTGCAGTGGCAGGAGTACCCCCAACCCAAGGCCTGAAATCAGGAACAACAACTCCCCTCGAATTTTAAACCACCAGCAGAAAAAAAGAGAACGGAGCATCATTTGCTGGAGCAGAAAAAACATTGCAAGGAGTTAGGGAATGATCCAACTCCTTGTAGAGTTGGAATCTATTTGAATCCACGGCACGAGAAATACAACTCTCCCGATGACGAGTCCCTCATAATATGAAGAAGCTTGGAAAACATTTCAGACCACGCTGCAGAATTATCCAAAGAGAACCGAGCCACATTATTCCTCTCCGCAAGTATGTATGTATATATTTTTGTATGTAGATATTTTTGTATAGCCAAAAATCAAGGTTTCCGACCTTTTCTTTACTGCGACCCATATAGGTCTATTGTGGAACCCCTGTGATTCAGGCCATACCGTGGAAAGTGCACTTTTTCCTACAAAGCTATCACTTTCCTAGGTGCCTCTTCCCCTCACTTCTCTTGGTATGAGAATTGTTTTGCTGTTGCTGTAACGTAACCGGGCTAGTATTTCACATTCACTAAAGGAAATGTGCCCATGTTTTCTCCTGACAGAATCGATTTTGTTCATGCTTATCCATTTCTTTAAGTGGTAGTTACGAGGACAGTGGCTGGTATAGAGAGAGAGAGGAGTTCCTTCGTCTTCCTCTTTAAGAGATTAATAAATCTCTTAGCTTGCCTTCTGCCGGGTCTTTTGTCCAGCTCTAATTTCGTTATTTCCAGACTAGTTTGGAGCTAAAAGCATACGCAATTAGTCCCTTAATAGCTGCCTAACTGTCCGAAAGTGTGTAAATCTGTGTTTCTATATAGAGTTGGTTTTCCTAGAGGCATTAGGCACTCCTAGACAACTTTGGAGTTCGGTCGATTCTTCGATCACTCGATTTGATATCAAGAAACCTATATGTTGATTTTTAATTTTAGGTCTCTAGTGGTTGCATTTGTTTATCGCACCGCAATGAAATTTTGCAGGGTGGTAAAGAATACTATAAGGATAGTTGGGATGGTTTTTCATCCAAATCGCCTGGGGGTCGCAGAATTATAGGAGATGAAAAGTAAAAAAATCCAATTAAAATTTTTGCCATTTTTGCGTTTTCTCCCGGACACAACCAGCTCGGTTTGTTTAACTTCACTCTCTGCTAGCTACGCCCCTCACTATTGGATTTTCACATTTTACCGTTTTTATGCGGGATTCATCCTGTAACTTTTAAGCCCGGTTTGGCCCAAATCCAAGCAGTATTTTAAAAGTTATCATAATTTCAAAAAATCCCATTTTTAAACAAGATTTTTTCTCAAATACGGTACTTTCAAACCTAATTTCTTTCGTTTAATAGCTCAAATTAATTTCTTTTTTATAATAAAATGAAACTAGGAGTTTCTTAATTTTTTGTTACCAAATATGCCAAAATTTCTTTTAAATTAACAGAGATGGTAAAAAGCAAAGTCCTTAAAATTGTGTATACTATTAAAGAAATATGGCACGGCCATCACACTTCTTTTTCCGCAAATCTCACATTGTAACCAAAAAGTAATAGTGAAGTAACGCGGGAAAATAATTAATCAAATAGCTTAAATAAAATTTCAAATTAGGTAGTTAACTAGTAAACCATTATTTTATTTTCATTATTTTCAGTGGTCTAGGAAAAAATTACCCGAATCTAATTTAATTTAACGCCAGCTGTTAACAGGAAACAAAAACATTTGATTAATTTTTTTATCCTAGTGCAATATGTTTATGATGTCACGTTTTGTATAACATAAATAATAATATACACCCATCGTTTTCAAATTATTTTATAATTTTTAAAGTAGCAAATTTTTAGCACCGCTGGATTTATTCCTCAAAAGATAGAAATCTACCTCACCCTCCTTACTGCCGTGAGGTTTCTTTTTTTTGTTCGTTTATGTTTTGTGCTAAAAAATTACATTGCAGACCATGATTTTTCGTGATTAAACTTGACCCTCTGATGTTTTACTTATTTCTGTCTCTAATCTTCTTATTCGATTTCTCGATGTGCTAACCTCTAATTTGGTGATTAATTAATTATTCGTTAATGTTGGTGACTTAAAACGTTTCATTGCAGACCATGACGGAAAAACATTTTGGAAACTTATGAAAATTATATTCCTTTTTGAAATTAGACAATTGAAACTTTTAAATCGAGTGATTTTTTTTCTTTCAGTTTTTCCCTTTGAAGGAGAAAGTATTGCGTTGGGACTAAACACGATGTGTAGAGTTTTCTCTCGATCTGCACTTTTTAGATCCCCTGTACCTTAAAAAAATGCATAAAGTCGAAAGTTTTTACCCCCCCGCCATGATGACCAACCTGGATCCGCCCTTGTTAAGAGCTTAATTCGCCCTTTTACCCTCAAACCTACTCTCCAACCTTTGATCCATCTGTGTATCATATTAAAGTGGGCCCAGATGGTCGATCATTTTGATCAACCGGTCGAGTCAAGTCAATCGACTGAGACGCACTTCAATCAACCATCAATCTTTTGTTCAAAATTCATTTTGCCCTGGTACGCAGTGCTGTTCTTTTCTGTGCGAGACTTCAGTTGAGAGATACATTAAAATTTTCGCGGCTGAAACAATGTTTTCAAATACAGTTATTGGCTTCCTCGGCTTGACTTTATCAGTCGTGCTGAAGAAGCAGAACAAGAAGATGAAACGACGGTGGTCAAAGGAGTGGTATAAATTGAGAAACTGCTTCACTCACGAACATTTAATCAACTTTCTACGCGAAACGGAACCAAAAGACTACAGAAACGTTCTCAAAATGAGCCAAGAAAATTGTGACTGATGGAAAGATTGACCAAAAGACGGTCAAGCGCCCTCTTCAAGCACTCTCGTCAATCAAAAATTCCTTCAATCACCGTCAATGCTTGAATCAATCGTCAACAAGGTTCCTACACGCTTCAGGTCAATCACGCTTGATTCAATCGTTCAGCTCCAGCTTTTGATCAATCAGCTTGATTGTCTAGGGGCACTTTAAGGCTCCTTCTTTAAACCTGTGTTTGCTTTTCTTCAAACAATCTTTGTTATCTGCAACCACTTGGAAGCTTGGAAGGGTCTGTCGAAGAAGTATTCCTCTCATTTTTTCAGACACCGTTATAGTCATAAATTTTGTGATAGTTTCTCCTTAAATCTAGCGTTTATTTCTTTGTATTTCAGTAGACTGTTGGCACTCTCAAAAGCTTCCTTCCATAAATATGTGTAAAAGGGTGATAGATTTTGGGCAATGAATTTTGCCCCTGTCTTATCAGGCTTGAATGTTTGTAAATGCATTCCAGGGTTCTTTCAGTTCTAGAATAAAGTTTAAATTATAAGTTTAATGATTATTTGGAGACCGTGAGATGCGTTCTGGTGTGAAATAGGTTTTAGAAAAACATTTTCTTTCTCGTGCCACCGTTTCGATCTTTATTGAGATCATCTTCAGGGCATGGGATTTATAAACATTGTTTAAATTATACAAACGTAGGTTGCGAAAAAAAAATGAATTTATACAATGCTAGAAATTGTTGGTGTTCAAAATGGTGGGTAGCAAGTGGTGTAGGATTTTGTTTGGGTTGTTTGCTATATGTCGGTTTACTCTCTTATCCACATATGGGGATGTAATACCGATGATGTTGCCGGACAACTTAAATAAGTTTAATAAAGATTAAACTTCATTTCGTCAATATTTCAATAAAACGTGTACAACGGCTTTTTCAAACAGCTTGGTAGTTGAACTTGGAGAGAGGAGTGTAAATGGTGGTTTTGATATGAACTATTCATAATTTAAGTTTGTCCCTGATGAAGTGGAGTTTACTCAAGCTTTTCAAGTGTACTTACTTAAAAAAAAGTGGATTAAAGCATGAAATGTCATTCTCTGTCCTTCTCTGATTTGAAAGTTCGAAAGTCAAAAACGGTCGTTAGAGGGAGGTTATTTCCGTTGACCCATCCCGAATAGCAAAACCGGGGCCGATGATTGAAATTCAAAACAAATTCTGCCGCAGTCCTGGGGAAAAAATGGTAAAACGAAATTTCAACCTCGCGTCCCTAAACCCCGTTCGAAATTTATTTTGTATACCGGCCAAATTTGGGACCTCGATGAGAAAGTCGAGATCGGATTCTGCGGTGGCCGTGAATCGAACTGTAGACATCGACTTGCGGACTTGGACGTTATTCAATATCCAGTGTCTGTTTGAGGGTGAACCTCTGTAGATTTACGGTGTACGGTGACAGCAATACAACAAATAAAACAATAATTAAATTATTGTTATACATTTTTATTTGTCTGCTGAACATAATTCTGCACCGTGCATTTTCTCCTCACGGGTCTGATTCAGTTTTAAAGTTCCTAATTTGTTCTAAGTCCTAGTCATAAACAATGATCGCAGCGAATAACGAAGTAAAGTGAGTACTCTTTTTCTCTTAAGTTTCTCTTTCTCATATTGTACTTTTTTATTTTTTATTTTAAAAAGTTTCATTTTAAAATAAGAATGAACAGCAAATAGTTTTAGATAGTATACGCCAACGGTATTTGTCTGGCTTAGGGTTAACTCCTTACCTGGCGGACAAGTTATCCGTCGAGTTTAGGCCTGCATAAAAATCTTCACTCCAATTCTTTTTTATACATTTTTTATAATTTTTTTATTTATTTCTTCTTTTTTATTTTTTTTATTTTTTATTAACGTAAAATAAATTTTGTTTGTAAAATTTAAAATTAACCGTTAGTGATAACAAAATTTACTCGGTTAGGCCTGCACTAGGGATGCTAGAAGTCGTGTGTCATTTGTGTCAGGCTTCTTTTAACACTTGCTTCGATTTTCGTTGGACGGTCGAAAGACGGAAGACTCGCTGATAGTTGCTCGTGTACCGGGATAAATCTCCACAAAAGATCGAAATACCATCATTTGGCGTTTTGGTAAATCGTTTTTACCCGAGGGAAAGATGAATTGGTATGTTGCAGAGAAAGGTTTTTTTTTTCCATGTTGAGCTTTTATGAATTGATCTTTCTTACAGAATCATTTGAATTCCTTTGATTTTTGTGTATTATGAGATAATATTTGTCAGTGTTGTTTCAAACCTAACGATTAATCAATCCTTTTAAAAAGATAGTTCCTACTCACAGTAATAATTACTAGTAATACTACTTATTAGTAATTACTGTTAGTAGGAACTATCTTCTTAAAAGGATTGATCACCGCACTCACTCCACCATACATCATTTCTATTAACGACTAATCTGTAGTTGTGTCCATATGGAATCTTTAAATCATATTCCGAAACCTAGTGAAGTAGAGTGGAATCGATAAAAAAAATATTGACCTTCTAAACAAGCATTTTTCAGATTTTCTTACTCTTTGATGGACAGATTAAACTGTTGTGCTTAATTCATTACGAAAGAATAAAATGATTCATTACAAACAAATAAGAAGCCTTGTAACATGTAAACCTTTAGTTTGGTCGTTTTCAATCATTTTGGTCAAAGTTAAGCTGACCCAAATGATTGGGAACGTCCAAATTAAAGGTTCCTTACACGGCAGACCACAAGAGGAAATTTCACAATAATCATTGATGCTGCTTGAAAGCTTTGTAATGATTGTATTTACTCGCATGTTTTTTAGGATTTCTCATTGTAGTAATGAATCATTTTGCTACGGTCTGCCAGGTGAGGTACTTTTAGTTTGGTCGTTTCCGATCATTTTGGTCAGTCTAACCTTGCTGTGACCAAAACAACAAAGTTCCTTACACAGCAGACCACAAGAGGAAATTTCACAATAATCATTTGTACCACTTGAACACTTTCTAATGATTCTATTTACTCCATGTTACAAGATTTTTCATTTGTTGTAATGAATCATTTTTCAATGGTCTGCCAGGTTAGGAACCTGTAGTTTGGTCGTTTCCGACCATTTTGGTCAATCTATCCTTGACGTGACCAAAACAACAAAGTTCCTTACACGACAGACAAGAGGAAATCTCACAATAATCGTTTATCTGCTTGAAAACTTTCTAATGATAGTATTTACTCGTTTTTTAAGATTTTCCATTTGTTTAATGAATCATTATACTACTTTCTGCCAGGTGAGGAACCTGCAATTTGTTCGTTTTCGATCATTTTGGTCCTAACTACATAAATATTCATTATTCTTTCTTTTTGTCTATGGAATGCTGACGGTTTTGTATTGTGGTGCTCGCTTAGAAGCCTTACCTGACCTTAAAGACCTGTCCTGTGTTTACATCTTATATGAAAAAGAGCTGGCTTCGTCAGCTGTACGTGAACATGGCAACAGGGAGGTGGTCGGTACGAGAAATTTTCAGAAATTCTTCCTTACAGTAATAAAAAGTTAGAAAAGTGCTGTTCAACATAGGCTTCTATCGAGGCTTATGGGTGTTTATGAGAATAATTCATACTTGGATATAATCATCTTAATAAGCCTAAATATTAGACCTAATCTAAACATGAAATTAGACCCAGGGAATAGGTGTAAAGCTTGCCAGCACAGCATAATCCTATAAGTTTATGCATTTGAGTTAGTAAAATTATTCATAATCACCTGGGTTTGGACATACACTCAGTTTTACTATTACCGCTGCTTTTATGTAATCTGTAATAATTTTTAGCTAAGTGTAATTTTTGCTTTTATTATGTAAAGAGCTAGGAAATGCTCATTTGTGGTTTTCATGTGAATATGTTATTAATTAATCTCAGTGTATCTGGCCGTTTTTCTTTCATTCAGTCTCAAAAAAGAAAATGTTATCTTAACTTGTCAAATTATAAGTAACGTCACGTTATTTTACTATAATTGTAGATTTTAGCATGGAAGTTGATAGAAAAACATTTAACAAATAAAACAGTATGGGCCAGCTCCCCGTCTGCCGATAAAACCCTGTGAATGTACAGTGACATTATAAGCTATGGTTAATGGAAAATATCCTTTAACAAATTAAAATATTTCTGGTTATTTCCAACCATCTATTCGCACTGTACCTTTTGGTTAGATTTGGTACAGTTCAGTAGACTCACGTTATATGCGGGTGATACATACCAATCATCACTGCAGATAATAGGAAACATCTCGAATTTCAAGCTTTGAAGCATTTTCTTCTACCTACATACCAATCAGACACTATATCACGGGTTCCTATCGTAACAATGTTATGTTATATATTTCAGGGTTTTGTTTCATCCATTATATTTAGTGGTATTGACCAAATTACATCTTTCAATTAATTATTCTTTATATGTTAGGTCTTGGTTGAAATGAAAAAGTTAGTGTCACAAGCGGGATTCGACACGGGAAAACAATATGTATATGCATATTGTATACATCAATAGGTTACTCCTATGCACGACGTTGAAACAAATGAGAAAAAATTATTAGGGACCTAAAAAAGATAAAATTTATAAAAAAGATAAATTAAATTAATTTAATTAAATGGGATCGTCCTCACCTGATTGAGGATTGGCCATATAATGGCGGTTGGCACACGGGCACCTAGTTTTGGGCCGAAGTCCACACAAGTGCCCCTTATGCAGATAAAAGTTGCTCGATGTGTCCCACATAATAGAGGCGTGTCATGCCTTGGCTCCATACAGAGAGCGTGTAAGCACGTCGCCGGATTTAAGAATGGTTCTCAGACACAGTAGTGAGTTTTGGGGTACCCTGTTCTACTTTTTAGGGGAATTAGGAATTTTTTATTGTACATAGCCATCAAAATATGTGTTTTATATGAGTAAGTGTATTTATTAGAGTAAATGGGGAGGGGCTGATAGTGAAGTAGCATCCCCATCACCCTTCAAGCTGTGTACATGACTTGGGTCAATGGCGGAATATTTATAAAAGTACCCCATTGACCCCAATTAGATTAGTTTGTTATTGTATGCAGGTCAATGGAGGAATATTGAGTACTCCATCTACCAAATAGAATGAGTGCAGTGTATATAGGTATGAATGTATTTTTGTGTGAAAGCATATTAAATCACATTTTGTCTATCAACTTTTGGGCTAATCGAAACATTTCTCCAAATTTTTCTGTTCTTCATTCCTGTTTTTCTTCTATTTTATCCTATTCTTCATTAGCAAATTCTCAACCGCAGTTAATGAGAGTCTACTGTATTTCATATAATTCACTTCTGTGAATGTCTAGGTGAAAACATAGTATGAATAAGCAGATCGAACTGCAGAGTAAAATTGCATTTATAAAAGAAATTTCAGGGAACACAAATGTTTTGCAAACCAAGCACAATCATATAATCAAATTTGTTTCTTATCTTTTGGATTGAGTTTCAAAAAGATTTGGTTTACAATGAAACGATTCAATTGTTTATTTTATGCTTTCCTTTCTTAATCGCCAACTTGGATTGTGAATCAGTGAATGAAATAAGCTTAATAGAAATCTAAAGCGAAAAACATTTTTTCTCACATTTTTATCCTCTTCCAATTCTTGATTACTTGGCAAAAATTAGTTTCAATATATTTAAATTATTAAATAAAGTTCTGTGAATCATGATGCATGGGTTTTATGTTAATTAAGTCATAATAAATAAAAATAATTGGTATTTAATTTAACATTTTTTTACTTTTGATTTGAATTTTTTCAATCTCCAGTGACTCACTCTGTTGCACAGTTTCTGTTAATAAGTTTTTTTTTTGGGGGGGGGGGACACAACATGTGAAATGACTGGAAAAATTACAAAAGCACTTAAAAATATCCTGGCAACCATACAATTTTGTATTTAAAAAAATAAAAATAAAAATAAAAAAGGAACTATCTTTTTGTCTAAACATTTACTTATTTTAACTGAAGAAGCACTCAATTTCATTTGATCTAAAAAGTTGGTTTTCCATGAATTTGGTGATGTACATAACATTATTTACTGTTTATAGTTATTTAAAAAAATATTTTTTATTTTTTGCTAATTCATTTGGGGTAAGCTAGATATAAAGTTTCAATTTTAAGTGCCATTTTTGCATATTATTATGTGTTATGTTTCTGTTTTGTTGTTGACTTTCAGTATCCTGTATGCAATCTTCATATACCAGGTAACCAGAAAAGTTCATGTAGTTTTTCATTTTTTTCATTATCATTTTAATATCGTTAATCAAAATTTCTATTTATGCAGGAGGTTTAGATGTTTACAGTACGTAATAACAAGAGGATGATGTGTCAGTTCATCTTTATGTACTGTCTTGACAGTACTTTCTCGTGGCTTAAAACCCATTATCCACGCATGCTTATTGTATGAATTTTAGCACGGTGCTAGGGTGGCTGAGGCAGCTTGTAAAATTTACACGGCATTTGATGATAATAAATGAACGCTCTGTCCAAAGTGATTTAAAACGTTTACTTCAAGTAATGAGGGAATTGAACATGAACCACAATTTGGTAGACTTTCTGTTTTGAACGATGACAAACTGAGGGAAGCTATCGAACTTCATTCGAGTCAAATATGTCAGGAGCTTGCCAAAGTGTTCAGCATAAGGGATGAAACAATTCACTCTAGCTTCTATATATTTGGGAAGACATGGAAGTTGAGCAAATGGATTACTTATAAATTGATTGACAATAACAGTCTTCGTCTAAACGTTTGCACTGCACAAAGTAAAGAAGTTTTATGACTGGATTGTCCCATTCGTCAAAAATGGATCCTTACAGGAGGTAACACCAGGAAGTCGTACCATGTGCTGTCGCCAAGTAACCCTCTCCCATTGATGAAAAAATCAAATATTCACCAACAAATATTGGGTGGGTTGGGGTAAACGTTTTGAACCACTTTTGAGAAATGTGCTCATTTATTGTTTCATCACCGAACACTGCAAATTTTAAGAGCTACCTCGGTTGCCCTATTACTGAGGTAAAGTTCATACAATAAGCACACATGAATTATGGGTTTTGAAGCCATCACAAAGAAAATGTTTTATAATTTATAGTGAACTGTTCAAGACACTTTTTCTTTATGAAATGACGCATTATCCTCTTGATAATACCTGATATAAACATCTAATCCTCCTATGTAACTAGAAATGTTGATTAACGGTATTAAAAATGTAACAAAATGAAAACCGCACAAACTTTTATGGTAATATGTCATGTGCTTTAGTGTTACTAGTCTGTTCCAATAATATCAAATCAACATTTTTGCAGATGTGGGTGTTTCATAAAATGCAAGCTAAAGTTGAATCAGTTGTTTATTTAAAAGATATTGGATAATTTCCAATAGTTAGTTGTTTTCTGTTTCCATAGTGATAGTTATTTTAGTGGAATAGTGACTTTTTCTAATGCACATTTGTTCATCATAAAGTTTTTGTTGTGGTCTTCAATTATAGGTATGTTAGCAACTTATTCTATTAAGTGAGATGCCTGTTAACCATAGTATCATGGATGTTTGGTTGTTTCAAAATGTTTTAATAACAATCGCAAAATATGACTGATGTTGGTCCATTTCTCGGCAATTTTAATTATTTAGTAATTAATCAAAATAAAGCATATGATTTTGTCATTAACGATCATCCTGGCCTGCCAGTCCTCGGGGCGTTGGTCTCTCAAACAGGAAAGGAAGGGTGGAATGGGGGGGGACAGTTTAGTGCCAGCAGTTCCTCGCATATATTAGCTGGTTATACAAACATTATATTTTTGTTATGTACATCAATCATTTGTTGCCAACATTAAATGTAATAAATTTAATCTAATAAAATATGGCTTTATTTCAGTTTACGTGCCGAAATGAATGAATGTGAAATGAACAATGTATACGCTAGAAGATTAATGTATCAACAACAAAAGGGAAAATCCTTTGTAATTCACAAATACATGAACACATCTCAAAATGATGAAGAAAAAGTGGATCCTCCCACTCCAGCCCCAGATGCTGAAAATGAAGTGGAGAATGCTGGGACCATTAAGAAATTGTCTTATTCAACGTTTGATCAAGGAAATTATGTAGACTTTTACTTGAAAACTTTATCTGATAATGTTAATACAGCCCAACCGTCAACATCTGCAGAGGTTGAAAACCTGGAGGCCAATTCTGAAGTACTTGAAAATCCTGTGAGGAGTCCAGCACCACCTTCTGTAAGTGTCCAATTGATTTATTGCCCTTTAGAAAAATATTGCAAGATTTGGATAGTTCATATATCATATTAATAATATAATGTATGTGTTCAGGAATGCCTGTCAACCACAACTAAATATCTTGAAGGATTCACACCTCCTCAGCTCTCAGATAGATACATACCCTCTCGATTAAGTTCAAGTTGGCAAACGAGATTTGCCATGTTGCCTGTTAGTATCAATTAAATGCTACTGTATGCATTGTAATAAAAACAAATTCCATAAAATTTTTAACATTTTAGGACAATAAATGTACCAGTACAAAAATACGGAAAAACAAAGACAATTGTGGGAATTCATCTGGAGGTGAAAATTGTAAAGATGGAGTGGCTTACTCGAGTCTCCTGCGAAATGAAATTCTTGGTGCTAACATTGACGGTTTTAAACCTCAGCATGAAGAAAAACGGGTTGTTTTACAAGCTGAGAAAAATAATCTGTTTCAAGTATGTATTACTTTAAATTATTAATAATTCTAATTGTAATAATTTTTTTATTATTCTACACTGCCACTAAATTTTGTTTCAGTTCACTACACCGCCCATTCCAGAAGTAAATATAGAATCAACAGCTCCATATTCATTATCACCAGTAAGCCCTAGCAGCCAGAAATTGTTACGCTCTCCAAGGAAACCAACTAGAAAAATTTCTAGAATCCCGTTTAAAGTAAGACGATTTTTAACTATTTATTCTCTTTTTTATCAAAACAAAAATTATATATAAATTATATATTATAAAGGCAATACTCTTAACTCACCGAGTCGAGTTTGTTTTTTGTTTGATAGTATGTCTTGATTTTAATGTTGCAAATGATGCTTATGAATCACAATTTATTTGTGCATTAATGAGATTTCTGTTCATTAAAAATCCCTTTACTTCACAAAAACCACTTTTTGTTCTACTTGCAGGTTTTAGATGCACCAGAACTTCAGGATGATTTTTATCTGAATTTAGTTGATTGGTCATCACAAAACGTTCTGAGCGTTGGGTTAGGGAGTTGTGTTTATTTATGGTCAGCTTGTACAAGCCAGGTAACAAGACTTTGTGACCTATCTACAGATGCAAATTCAATCACATCGGTCTCATGGAATGACAGAGTATGAAGTAGATTATAATACTTTCCAAACAAGAACCAATTTTTATGCTACCATTACAGGGAAGTCTTGTTGCTGTTGGTACACATCATGGATATGTTCAAATTTGGGATGTTGCTGTAAGCAAATTGATAACTAAGTTCGTTGGACACTCAGCCCGTGTTGGTGCTTTGGCATGGAATGGAGAAATGTTGTCTTCCGGCAGTCGTGATAGAATGATTCTGCAACGAGATATAAGAATGTTTGGAAATAATCCAGAAAGAAGACTGCCAGGACATAGACAAGAGGTTGATAAAACAATTATTATTTTAATTATTTAAATAATGGAATCAATTGATTGCTTATTAACTTGTTTTGACATTTAAAGATCGACTCAGCAAGGCTCTCTGGTACATAGCTATTTTCAAATTAGCATCTGTTTTTTCCCCCTGCCATCTTTATGTGTATTCAATTACAACAGTACAAACAGTAAAATTCAATAAAATAATTGCAACGTATTTATATAAAGAAAATAAAAATCATGCCTTAATACAAAATAAAAATGAGAATATAGGTACCCTAGAGAAATATCTGTTTAATGGCTTGCATCAAAATCTGAATAAAAATCTATTAAAGGGGATGGTTGAGGGGAGTTCACTATAAATTTAGCCTTTAGATATGTAATAAATTGTTATATAAAATGAAAAATTACAAAAAATGTGTTAGTTTATAAGCACACAAGTGGGGGAAGGTTAATTGAATAATTAAATGATTAAATTAATTTACGTTAAAACAGACTCACCTATGACGCTAAAGAAGCAAGATTTGATTTTAAAAGCATTTTTTTTCTTAATTTACTTTGTAATACAGTAGAAATAAGTCATTTGGGGCCAATGTATAGAAAAGGATTTAACATAATTTAGGCTGTGGATACTTTTCCTATTCCTAAATTTATCAATGTAATAACCCCCTGTATGGAAAAATTCATGAAGCGTCCTGTAAATAAAAAGGTTATGCAATGGCAAGAGTTTATGGTAAAAAAACAATAAAGGTAGGAGGGTTCCTCTTTACATACATCAGTGAAACATGGTTTTCAAAACTTTTTAAAAGAGTTTTTATACAGTTAGTTGTATTTTTCTATTGGGACTATGTCAATGCACTTGATACAATTGGTTACATCATTTGTATAACTTATTTTAAGTTTTACCTTTTCAATTGGATTATAGTGAAGCACATAAATTTTCACTTTGCACTTAACGATAGATAGTTATAATGAAAACTAGTCTAAAAATACTTATATCATGGATTATTTCTTCTAGGTCCATTCAATTATTACCCGAATATTTGGCGGATATGCCATCAGCAAAAGCTGTTAGGGAACCCTGGTATTTTCTACCCTTCATAAAAAATATTGAATCATGGATAAATAATGTAATGCGTCCGGTGGGGGACCACAGTATTTGAGTGGTTAACCTGATAGACTGTCTGCTTGTAGAACTCACGGTCATAGGTTCGATTCCCACCATTGCCCCAGGCCTGTTTTTCAAGCACCCTCCCCTCCCCCCACCAAAAAAAAATACACAGCATCTTACATCCGCTAATATGCAAGTTCATAAGGCAATTAAAAAAGTCTCTTATTCTACCTAATTTAACCCAACCCCCATGCACATCTGAACCGTGGTTTTTACTCGTTCTATTGTTCTATTTATTAACTATTGTTATTACTTCTTCCTCAGGTGTGTGGTCTTAAATGGTCACCTGATAATCAACATTTGGCTTCAGGAGGAAATGACAACAGATTGTATGTTTGGAATATGCATTCATTAGTTCCAGTACAAACTTACACTGAGCATGTAGCCGCTGTCAAAGGTACTTTTTGATTATTACAATTCAATAGAATCTGTGTTATATAATATAAAAAATATATCATATTTTTTTGTCAACTTGATTTCATATAATTCTAAAACTACATTTGTATTTTGCTTTATTATGTGATGTATTATTTATATACAAATTACCCAATTGAGTTGAAATTTTTAGCTATTGCATGGTCTCCACATCATCATGGTTTACTTGCTAGTGGAGGTGGTACTGCAGATCGTTGTATAAGATTTTGGAATACTCTGACAGGGCAACCAATGCAATGTGTAGATACTGGTTCACAAGTTTGCAATTTAGCATGGTCAAAACATTCCTCTGAATTGGTAAATTGACATCAATTTAGTTTTGGTTAAGTTCATAATTTAGATTTAATTCACTTGACGCTGGTGATTTTTTTCTCAGGTGAGCACTCACGGCTACTCACAGAACCAAATTTTAGTTTGGAAATATCCGACATTGTCACAAGTCGCAAAGTTAACTGGCCACTCCTACAGAGTTTTGTATCTTGCTATGTCACCAGACGGGGAAGCTATAGTGACTGGAGCAGGGGATGAGACTTTGCGTTTTTGGAATGTGTTTTCTAAAGTTCGTTCCCAAAGGGTAAGTCTAACGCAATATTATGTAAATATCACGTCTTTATAATGCTATTTTCTTATTTTCAGGAGTGCAAGTCAGTATTAAATCTTTTTGGCAATATTCGATAAAATTATACTGTGAATATAATTCAAATATATATTTTTGTATCAAATTTTATTTATTGTTTAGAAATTATTATTTCTTCATACATTTAGGTTACCATTATCAGTTTTAGTAAACAGCTTTAATATTATTTATGTTATGAATAGAAGATCATATGGTTTTTTTATTAAGAATGCAGACCGTTTTGTATGAAGATTTAAATATACAAAGAATATCATTAAATGAATAATCTACATATATATTTAATTTATATATTAGATAAAATTCTGTTTTTTACCTCGTTTAGTATTGATACATTAATTTTGGTTTTTCTCACTTTTATAGATTTTTTTTTTAAACAAAATTCTAATTTAAATTTGTGTAGTTCAAAACTATCATCTCATTTAATGTAATATATTTTGCAAATGTGTAATGTATACTGTTAAAAAGTAACTGGTGTTTGCATTATCTTTTTGATAATGGATGTTTTTGGTGTGATTAAAAATAAAATTATTTCTGTTTTATAAAATTGTTTTATTATGATAATAATATTAAATCCTACATATTGTTAATATATATAAAATTTACAGTTATGTAGTTCTGTGTTTACTACTATATATTGTTTTTCTTATAAAAAGTTTAAAAAATTCAATTTGAAGCAACACAAAAAACAATCAATTGGATATTCCTCTTCAAAAATAAATGATATTCGATGAAACTGATTCGTTAAAACTTATTTAAATATGTACATTCCGGGGGGTGTTGCTGCAACATTGAGGCATTGACACGGCACTTATCATTGTAAGGGGAAGTTCCCAGGTACAAATGCAAAGCTGTATTTTTTAAAAATTGTTCTTGCTCATTTGGGGTTTTGGTTAATAATAATATATGTTTACTTGTAGAAATTTTATATTGTTACAATTTTTTTAGTAGTTTTTTTTTTTAAAGATAGCCAGAGTTTAGAATGTTGGATGAAGTCAGAATTGGGAGAAACAAAATGTTTCCATCCAGCTCAAACTTAAACTTTTACTCCTTGGGGTAGTTGCTAGTTGGGATTGGACCCAACAACACTCAGCGGTGGGGTTCTAACGACTCGGCCACACTGGTTCCTCAGTATTTTGTTATTTGTTTGATTATAACATCCTTACCAAGAGCAACACCAAAATTGATTTTTAATAAAGGTGGTGTTAAATGTGGGATAAATGTCTGCAATGATTTAGGCATTCCACAGTGCTCGTTGTAATCTAAAGGTCCTGGGTTCGAATTCAGTGGCCCTGATTATGAACCGGACAACAGGCCACCCTTAATATTTTTAACTATCTATTAGACAATCCTTTATTAATTAACTTACAATATTTTGTCTGTTTTAAAGGATTAGAGGTAAATAAAACAGATAAAATCTCCCACTTGTGTTTACAATTGGATTTTGTAAATAAACCTTTGAATAGTCAGTCTCTTTGTTGGTTTTTATTATTATTATTTTTTTATTATTACGCATGACAACGCAAGGTTCCACACAGCTCGTTGGTGATTACTTGGAATGGGCTTCAATTCTATGTTTGGAGTGGCCATCCTGTCATACTGACTTAAACCCTATCAAACACCTTTATAATAAGTTGTCGAAGGGGGTAAAAAGTTGCCCAGTGATGCCAGAGAATAAGGTTTAATGTGATTTTCAAAGTATTATGTTTACACATCCCCCCTAGTTACCTGTACTAAGAGTAGTTCTACCTCATATAGAACTTTTAGAGGTTATCATGTGGTCTGAAGAGTGACGAACCTGTAATTTGGTCATTATCATTTTATTCCACTTACCCTTGTTCATTTGATAATGCAGTTTCAGCATTTCGCTCTTTGGTGTTGCGCCTCGAGTTTAATTTTTCACAAAAAAAAAAAAAAAAAAAAAAAAAATCCACAAACTGTACAAGTTGAGGGTTGAGTAACTGCTGTTACAAACCATCGTAGTTTAAAAAAAAATATCTGTGAAAGGGTTGAGAGTCAGGCCATGGACATACGAGTAGTGAATCACCCTGTATATATTTAATGAATAATCTAATGTTTCAAAAATTAAAATTATACAAGACTTTAAGTCCTGGTATAAAATCACTGTTAATTACAAATATATCGGAAAACAATTAAATATGAATGTAATTGAGAGGAGCCATAAGAATATACCAATTGATGACAAAAAATTTTTATTATTATTTTTATTTATTTTTGAATTAGTGAGGAGTGGTCAGGTTAGATGTGTGTCAGAAAAACAACTTTTTCATTCAATTACGACATTTTGACCTTTATTCGCGCCATCTTCAAGGCCTGGCGAAACATACAAACATGTATTAATTGATTAATAAAAAGAAAGTAGATGACTTTTTTTTTTTTTTTTTTTTTTTTAATGTTCTCAACAAAGATTGTGTGAATGGCATAGTCAGATTATTTGGAGAAGACACTCCTTCCCAACTGGTTGAGGTTTAATATAAATATATGATGTTGTTTTTCATTCAATTACAGACATTTTGACCTTTATTCGCGCCATCTTCAAGGCCTGGCGAAACATACAAACATGTATTAATTGATTAATAAAAAGAAAGTAGATGACTTTTTTTTTTTTTTTTTTTTTTTAATGTTCTCAACAAAGATTGTGTGAATGGCATAGTCAGATTATTTGGAGAAGACACTCCTTCCCAACTGGTTGAGGTTTAATATAAATATATGATGTTGACCCCTGTTGTTGTTTAATTTTTTATTTTTATATTATTTATTCCTTCTGTGGTGTAATTCTTATGGCAATGCAGCGATGGAAAATTTTTAATTTATAAACAAATAACATGTCTTTTTGATCAATCTTCCACACTTTATGATTCAAACACTGGAACAAACATTGACTCTTTAATAGCAATCAAATGCTTGCTATTTGCTGCCTTGATAAACATTTTTCTCAATCATTTTTAAGTAACATCGATTCCTTTCCATTATTTTAGGTCTTTTTTTTCAATTGTTACTATTATATCAAATGGAATATCAATTTATGCACAAAGAAGCAGTTAAATTATTTTAAGAGGTGTTTTGTACTCAAAATAAGACTTTTTCATTTAAGCTTCACCATTTTCAAGCTTTTCATTCTTTTAGAAAATTTTAAGGCAATTATTTCTACACATAAATAATCTCGGTATGCTCTGGGTGACAAAACCAATTCAATTATTATCTGCCAGCTTTCGACCTATTTAAGGTCTATCAGAGCAAAACAATCGTAAATATGTCTACAGATTGACATAATTAAGTTTTTAATAGATGGTTTAACATTTCGTTGAAGGGTCCCAACATTGTCAATTATTTTTAAACCTTTTCTTAGGAGTGCTTAACGTCCAACTACCCGTTTTGTGTCTTACTGTCTTGGACGAGGGGTCAAACCATTTACAATACCTTTTACATTAATATTACCAATTAAAACTACTAACTAGAATTTAAACCGCTAGTGTGGTAAATATGAGCCGGGTGCTCTAACCATTCAGCCATCACGGTACCCACCTTTCTCATTGCATAAATATATATTATATATATATTACACAGGGTGGGTGACCAAGACCCGGATGGTTAAATGCCTGGGAAGACTCGTACCCCATCCCGGTCGGCTCACGTGTCCTGCATAAACCTCTTGGACCTGTTCACAAACCCCAAGATTTTGGACCATTTTATTTCGGGCAGTTATTTGGTGATGTCCGCTCCTTCAAAGATTTCAAATTGAGACCTAGCATACCTATAACACTGCAAGGTAGTGCCTTGCTGTTTCTTCTTTTATTTTGCAAAAACAGCAAAAAGGATCTGGTAGAATACCCATCAGCCTCCTAATTCCCTTCCTTGTGATAGAGAATAGCCGTTTTGATTCTGTTGGTTTGATCACCTTAACAAACTCTTTCGATTGCCTGTGTCTGGGGTCATTGCATAAATAAATAAGAACCAGTAACAAATGTAAACTGGGGATTAAACCCTAAAATGACCGTATGGCTAAACACCAACTTCTTAAGACCTATGCTGAAATATGGGTCGGTGGTTTGGTGGATCATGACTTTATAGGCCAAAGCAATTAGGCTATGGGGACCGCGGTAGCCGAGTGGTTAGCATGAGAGACTCTCACGCCGCGGTCGTGGGTTCGATTCCCGCCGCGGTCGTGGGTTCGATTCCCACCGTTGCCCCTGGCCCTTTTTTCCCAATAACCCCCCAAATTTGAANAAAAAAAAAAAAAAAAAAAAAAAAAAAAAAAAAAAAAAAAAAAAAAAAAAAAAAAAAAAAAAAAAAAAAAAATTAGGCTATCAAATGGCACCCCAAATGCCTTAGTGTCACTGACATGAGTACAACGCCAACTGTGTCCTTGGAGGTGTTGTTGAACTTTCCACCACTCCATTTTAATCCAAGAAGGCATAGTACCAGCTTATAGGCTCATAAATGGACAACCATCTGCAAGGATAGGCCACATAGAAATAATGGAAACTGAGAGAGGAGAAACAGGCAGATGCCATATTAGGCATGCCAATCAATGCCATTACTCCGAAGTATAACTTTACCAAAAAGTACATGGTACTAATACCCGAACTGGAAGAGTGGGTCAAAAGAACACTTCTAAAGGCAAATTCCTTCCTACTGGCACACTGACGGCTCAAAAAACCGATTAGGTCAAGGGAGCTGGAGCCTTCAGGATGAATATGAAGACTGAACTGACTTTAAACTTAGGTAAATACGCTTAGCAATTGAACACTGCACCAAACAAATTAAAAAAGGGCTAGGACGTGAAGAGATTCATGTAAGGGCTATCCTCAAGACTTACAAACGAATTACTGGAAAGTAACCACAGCAGAACAAAGATTCTTGTTGGATCTGAAGGCCTATCCCCTACCTCCTGTTCAGCTTTTTAGAGGACGTGGTTTGTTTTTATTGCTTATAGATCTGTTTTGTTTTGTCTGAGTGTATTTATTAATGGAGCGGTGAGGAGCTGTTGGTGAAATATAGCATCACCATCGCCCCTCCAGCAGTGAGAGTTTAGGGCCGATGGTGGAATATTTATAAAAGAATCTCATCAACTCTAATTTAGATCAATTGATTTATATTTAGAACGATGGAAGAATATCAAGTACTCCACCGACTAATCAGAATGAGTGCAATGTACATAGATCTGAATGTATTTATTTGTGCAGCTGTATTATAAAACTTAGTTAGTTTTTGGCTAGATTATATTTTTCATTCGTCGAGGCTTAAATGACCTAGTTTTCGAAAGCTTCTGTTGGAGTCGAACCCTGTTGGTTAGGAAGCGATGATTGCCTTGGCATCTGGCTTAAGGAGAAACTAACTACCTAAGAACTCCCCTGAGGTATAGTACAGTCAGCACCTCGGAAAACCCTTCTGAGAGAAAGTATAATAGAAATAATTGGTAACTGGTGTTAAACACAATCAGCTTTAAACTCCACTTTGACCTGTGCAGTTTTAGTTTTAAAATATTTTAGTGTTAGATGTATTGACCACTGTTTCACTCACGAATAAGCTGGATCTTGGTATTATCTGGACGAAGAAACAAATTCAATTGTTACTCCCTAAACTTCTGACCTATTTTAAGGTCAACATCAGGGCAATACAGTCTTAAATACGGTCTTCAACGAAATTTGAAACCATCCATTAAAAACTTAACTATGTCAATGTGTAGACATGTTTATCCCAGATTATCTTAAGAAGGGTTGAAAGCTTGTCGGTACAGTATAAAGTGTTTTTTCGACCAAAATTCAAAATATTTGTGTTTAATATATTTTTTCATACCACAAGAAAAATCTTTGTTGTTTTTATTACAGATAATTACATCAACAATTGGTATGCAAGGAATTCATTTCAGACCTTCAAAACGTATTTGAAAGAGCGTAACTTTTCTCCTAATAGTTGAGAAAACAATTTTTTTTTTTAATTCACTTACTATTGAATAGTAGTCAAAGGAAATACAGTTTGATAAAATCTATTGTTTTCAGTCTACATTTTATCAGCAGCAATATAATTTAAAATGGTTGATCTGAAATATAATTCTAATCTAATTTATTTCAATTTTTGTACTATTAGTCAAAAAATAAAACTTTTAAAACGCTTATACAGTAAACTAATAGTAAAAGTAATGCAACAGGCGGCAAAAATGAAAAACCTAAGCTTTTGGCAAAAATTCTGTGCCCAGGTATGACAGAAAAATATTTTAGGGTAAAAAAACCCAATTTTTAAAGTTAGGTATGAACGAGTAGTAAAATTGTAGAAACAAATTAAGATCAAGGGTAAACGCAAAGAAAACTAAGACATAATTAACATCATTTTATTTATAACAGACCTCTTTTTAAAATTGTTTATCATATTTTCTTTGCAAGTGAAACAATTTCATTCTGATGGAATCAGATTAATTTCAGTATAAAAAAAAAATTAAAACAAGAATAGAAAAGAATACTTCAGGCATATTACTAGTTTCAATTTCTAAACAGGAAAATAATACTCTTGTTTTTTTCTTAATAACATTTCAAACAATTTTTCTTTTCTCTTAAATTATGAATGGGAATGTAATTTTTTTCGGCTTTTTATCTTTTTCCAACCTTTACTCTTTTTTTCTTAATTATATTATATACATATCACACACTCTTTTTTTTAACTTTACCTTAGTAATAAATTATTTATATAACAAAACATTGAACCCCTAGCAATTTCAAAAATATCTGTTTAGCTATTTTCTAATTGGTTCTTCGTATCAGTTTATAGTAAAATAATGAATTGAAATGTGAGTAAACCAAACATTTGACACTATTGATGTACATAAATCAACTTAACATTAGAAAAACTACCTTTTTTAAAAATCAAATGTCAAATTTGAATTATGCGCTTTTTTTTTTATTACAACGCTAATTCTTTTATATGATAGTTTACACAGAAACATTGCATGTACATTAGTTGTGATTTCTGTTTCTACAATATGCTTTTAAATGTCCTGAATTTATGTTTAAAAAAACACTGAACCTAAATGCACATTTTTAAACATAAATTAGAAGTCAATAATATGTATACCTTCGTCAATTGTTACATTAGACATAAAAAATTTAATAAATAAATTCAAGATTGTAAAAAAAAAAAAAAAAAAGAAAGAAAGAAAGAAAAAGACTTGTGACTAAAATATATTTTATTCCCCTATGTATCGCATCACACCCTCACATACACAGTATTACACTCACATGTATAAAAAACCTAGTTGGAAGCGTGGTTATTAATTATCTGTACAAAAAGATTGTTAATTATCTATATTCGCCCCCTTGACCGTCATCTATGGCAATAAATAAACCATTTGCCCCTTAATTCATGAATTAATCCAGACGTGCCTGGACTATTCTAAATACTACACACTATTTTTTTTTTGCTTTTTTAAATTTTTTTTAAAATAATATTTTTAAACGGGTCGATTAAATTCTTCTGAATTTTAATGCATCAGTTTCTGAAATAAAAAGAAAAAGAAAATAAATAATGATTGTTAACGTTTCATTAAAAAGAAAAATGTAATGTAATATATACGTATGTGATATATACAGACTACAGAATGTCTATTAACACAACTGGGAGGATAACATTAAAAAAAAATCTTAGCCTACAGATTTTTTTTTAACTACTATTGCTTTATTTTTTTAACGATTATTTTTTTAATAAAAAAATATATATTTATTTTCATTTTTCGTTTATAAAATGTATAAATGCAAAAAACCTAGCCTAAAATGAATAATGTTGAATCATAATTTGTCGTTCATTCTGAATGTTGGTGTGACATTAAGCATAATTTCTGTACTATTATTACAGTGCTCCTATGAACATGAAAAAATACAGTACGCGTTTATATATATTATATAGAAAGAAATTAGTCAAATGAAATGGTCTTCTATTAATCTTGTTAAAAAAAAAAAAATTGCAAATTTGTCCCAATCTATTAACAACTTCTAATGCTAAGAATTTTGGGGAATGCAGGGTTACAAAAATATCATGAGCCAAGGAAAACAAGATAAATATACCTTTTGTATTTTTATTCATATAAAAAAACCAACAACATTAAGGCTGTGATTAATATTAAACTGTCGTTCAAATTAATCGATGATAATGAACGAAAACTGCACCAAGGTAGAACATTTTATTAGCATTTCAGTTGTGTATAGCATGGTGATAATGTAACATATATTTATATATAACATATATTATTATATATACATGTATATACACAACGCACATAATATATGATATATATAATATACTAACGAGAGGTTTTGATTAAATCAAATCAAATTTAGAAATTAAAAAGTACAAATAATATAATTGTATTTATTATTTGTGTAATAAAAAAAGACAACCAATAAAAGAAACACTTTTGAACTTAGGTCACTTTTAGTGGAAAGCTTAATTGAGATTTGGATATTGTCAATGTTGAGCTGAAAAAAAAGAAAAACAAAAAAGAAAAACAAAATCAAATCTGAAAGAAAATTCAAAGAATTATTTCTACAGTCTATTTTGGCTATCAGGCTTTTACTTTACGGTTTTACATATATTGTTATTATTACGATAAAAGAGGGGGGAGGGAGAAATGTATTAGAATTGATTAACAGAAAAATAACTTACATTATATTTACAATATTGAAATATGTCACTGTGTTTGAAACTGTTGCATCGAATAGGGCATCATCGTGTTGGCCGGTTGCATAGCTGAAGACTGCGGCATTTGTTGAGAATTGGGCTGTGCGCTGCCGGATGGGGCTGCCATCCCGGGCCACGAGCCGGCTGGCATTTGCATCCCCATCCTACCTACATAATTCTGTTGGTAACCGAACTGACCGTACGGATATCCTTGCATACCCTGGAGGTATTGCTGTTGCATGTGGGTTCCGGGGGCAGCCGAGTACCCCTGCGGATACCAATATCCCATGTTACCGTACATGTAAGGCCATTGCGCTGCGCTGACCTGGTTGGCGTTGGTCGTGTTATTCATGTTTGCGGCGTTGTTCGGATCCGATGTCTCTTTCCCCCAGAAACACTTGACGATCTGTCCACTGATTTCGGTATTGTGAATCGTTTCGATAGCATGCGTAGCGGCCTCTTTAGTCATGAACTTGATGAAGGCGTAACCCTTGTCTTTGAAGCATCTAATATCCTTAATAGTACCGAATTGGGAGAATACCTTTTCCATAAGGTCGTCGTTGATGCCGTTGACGAATCCACCGCAGTAGACCGTGCAGTTGGTCGGGCTCGACTGGTTGTAGACTTCGTCGAAAGTCGGCGCCTTCGCATTGTTCTGCCTGTTCCTCGTGTCCCTTGGAGGCGGAGGTTTCCTCGTCGACCAATTGGTCCTTATGCTACGGCTCCCCAACCATTGGCCGTTCATGGCCAATATCGCGTTTTCCGCTTCGGCTTTCTTGACGAAAGACACGAACGCGTACCCTTTCGACTTGAGGGTCTGTGGATCGCGGACGATGCGACAATTGGATATCTCGCCGAATGGGGCGAACGCGTCCCTTAGGGCTTGGGTCTCGATTTCGGGACTCAAATCCCCGACGAATATATGATGGTGATTGCTCGTGTCCAGTTTCGGTGTGTTGCCGGGGGACGTTGCCCAATTAACCTTCATTTCTTTCTCCAAAAAAAGCCTTTTGTTCATCGCCGCCAAAGCCGTCGCAGCACCCGGGTGGCTGATAAAATCCACAAAAGCATAAGGATCGTTACCCGGCTCCCTTATGACTTTGCATCCTTTGACTGGGCCGATCTGTGAAAATAACGCACACAGCAATTCTTCCGAGACGCTGTGATCCAAGTTCCCAACGTATAGAGTAGTTGGGTTACTCTCTTCGCTCATCCTTCACACTTTTATTTCAACGAACGTCTATGCGAAAAATCTATTTTCCACGAATATTCCACACAAGACAAAAATTAACACGGCCTTACAACTAAACCAAAACCACAACTCACACAAGTATTGTGAAGAAGCTTTAAGCCAATGTCGACATGAATCGCAGACGGCGACGCTGTCTGCGATTCATACTCCTTTTTTTACGTTCCGTCCCACCCGATTTTATTTAAGACGGAATTTAAACAATTTATTGAATCCGTTCCATTTAAATTAATTGGCCTTTTTTTTAAATGTATTAGACTTTTCTCTCCGCCTTTGCTCTTCCCACTTTGTGATCCGGCACCCCTGCATACATTTGGAAACAAAAAATTCAATTTTATCGCAATTGAAACCCCGGTAAAGCGAATTTAATTAAAATCCCATCGTCGATTCTCCATTCTTTTCACTTTTTATCATCTAACTTGGGTTTTTTTTCCCTTTCAAATTTAGCGTTTTAATAATGTAACCTTATTTTCGTGTAAACCCACGATTCTTACGGGAGTCGAGTGTCGTCCAGCAGTTTTCCTCCGGTCGACACTCGAGCACGTTGCTGGGGGCGTTTTAGTTTTAATTTTCTTTTCCGGCTCTCGTTTGTTTTCCCCCGACGTGGGACCACTTTCGATCTTGCGTCTGCAGCTCCGAAAGGCCCTCAACTCCAGCGCGTTTATGTCCAAAATGCAGAACAAAGTCACAGTCGTTCTGGGCGCTCAGTGGGGCGACGAAGGCAAGGGCAAAGTCGTCGACATGCTCGCCACTTCCGCTGATCTCGTCTGCAGATGTCAGGTATTCAATGAAATAAATTAAACAAACCGATGACCTATGTCAGTCGTTTTGTCGAAGCATGATTTTTTTTGTCTTTTTCTTTCGACAGGGCGGGAACAACGCTGGCCATACGGTCGTCGTCGAAAAACAGGAGTTCGACTTCCACCTTTTGCCCAGTGGCATCATCAACCCCAAATGCATTTCAATCATTGGTAAGCTGTGAGATACATTTTTAAATGCACTCTTCATTTCTTTCACCTTCCAATACTTATCCACTTTATGGCTCAAATCAATTTTCAATCAATGTACGACTATCCAACACGCTACATGACTATAAAATAAAAAAAAAACGTGCATATGGCCTGGTTAGACTATTAAGGGGTCATAAGCAAGGCCCATCATGGCTCATCCATGTTACTGCCTCAAAAGTGTTTAAGGCTTGAGGTGGGAAAATTGATTTTAGCCAGGATTGTCTCCCATGGCAGCCCTGATTTGATTCAGTCTTAAGTAATAAAGCAAGAATGAAGTTATAACGATGACTATATCATTATAATTTCATTCTTGGTGGAGCTGTATAAAGGTGGCTCTCACGTGTCCTGCATAAACCTCTTGGACTTGTTCACAAACCCCAAGATTTTGGACCATTTTATCTCGGGGAGTGATTTGGTGATGTCCTCTCCTTCAAAGATTTCAAATCTAGACCTAGCATACCTATCACACTCTGCGAGGTAGTGCCTTGCCGTTTCTTCTTTTATTTCACAGAAGCGGCAAAAGGGATCTGGTAGGAGACCCATTACGAAGAGGTGTCTTCTCAGTGGGCAGTGGTCCGTCAGAATACCTATCAGCCTCCTAATTCCCTTCCTTGAGATAGAGAATAGCCATTTCGATTCTGGTGGTTTGATCACCTTAACAAACTCTTTCGATTGGCTGTGTCCGGGGGATAAATTCCACTCCCTAAAGAATTGTTTCATGCCCCAGTTATTGATACTCTCTTTCGCTGTGCTCTTAGAGTGAGGTAATACCAGTTGTGGCCCGACAAACGCAATATTAGAACCTTCTTTGGCTAGGCCATCCACCTTTTCATTGCAAAAGTGTCCTTTATGTGCTGGGTCACCTTATTCCCAAACCTGAAAGAGATCCTATTGATAAGATCTATAGTTTCCTCCACCAATCATGAGGTTGACAAATCTTTTTGTAATGTCCTAAGACTAGCCTGACTGTCAGAAAAGATTTTAATATCTTTTCCCTTAATTTTATTTTCCATAAGTGTTCTACAACTCACATTGATGGCCCAGATTTCCGCCTGAAAAACGGACGTGTTATTGCCAAGAGGGGAGGAGATGCTGGTTCCTAATTTTGGTATGTAGATTCCTGCACCACTCCCTCTTCCTTTGATAAGTGATCCATCTGTGTAGCAGTCTATGTTATGTCATGTTATGGTCATCATCCAGACTGTAATTATAATCACAAGGGGTGACTACCTGAAAGTGCTTTTTCCCTGAAGGGGTTTTAATCTTTTTATCACTAACGCTTAGTAATTGACCGTTAACCTTACTCAATAGTTGTGAGGTATGTAAAGTTGCAGTTGATTACTGAATGTGTGGATGCTTTGAGTGCGGTTTCTTCACAAATATTCATGCACTTCGAAGCGGACAAGAAAACCGACAATAGCCAAGCACAGCAAACTCTGACTATTGTAGCTCAGCAAATGTCAAAGCACCCATCCGTACTAGTCTGTACCTTTGCTTGACATTCGGCGAATCCCGTGTCTCGAGCCACCTTAAAACTATCGATTCTTATGGTACAAGTTTATTACTGCGTCGATTGCGAAGCGGCGGACACCAAAATGTTTCTTGGGCCTGAATTATTGGGGTAGTCTTTAAAATGCAAAGGAAGTTACACAAATGAACGGGCTCGCCTCACAAGTTACCATCGGAGTACTCAGACGTGTGGATGTTCTGCAGCCAATGAGTTATATAAGCTCCATGTGCTTTGGTGTATATTTACCCTTAAAGACAAAAAAAAAAAAATGTAATGAATTCTACCTTTGTTGTTGGTCAACCACCATGCTTTTAAGGGGAAAAAAATACTCAAATTTGTTTCCTCAAAGAAAACAATTTTAAAGACCACTCGACAAGTTGGCTCTAGAGAGGAAGAAATTGAACCAATTTCCTTATTTTTAAACTGAAGAGTGTAAAAGGATTTCTATTTCTTTCTTTTTCCTCCCTTCCACTTTCAGTGTATATGTACTTACAACACAGTTGAAAAAAAAAATGCATTAACTGTTTATTGTCTATCATGTTAAAAGTGTGCTCTGAATTTTTAATTATACAAAATTATTTGATTGGAGAAATTGTTATCAAACTCTCTAGAATTTTCGAGATGTCGTCATGATTTGTTTTTTAAAACACTGCGTGTTTCTTAAAATGACCAAGTTGCATATAACTTGCCAAAGAAGCAATATTGATTCTAGTTTCAGGAGAAAAAAAAAATCCCAGAAAACGATGAAATAATCTGAAATCCTTGATATATGAAACTATAAACAGTTTTTTCTTTTGTCTCTTTTAACAGTAGAGAAGCAAGAAATGCTTACACAACCGCCCTAACCCCTTTTGAACTAGACAGTCTTCCTTGGGACTTGACCCCATCCTCCNAAGTTGATGGGTAGGAAATAAATTGCCTTTTCCAAAAATTGTTCTTCCTGACATCTGCTGGCCGGTTGGGTTATAGGTGATTACAGGAGGTCAGTGCAGTATCCAAAAATACCTGCTGTTAATACCTTAGTTGTAAATATTAAATATCAAAGCTAGCTTGATAGACTCGGCTCATAGTCCTGTGGTCGTGGGTTTGATTCCCATCATCGCCCCTGTAATTTTCTAACATGCTCCCCTTCCCCGATATAAATCAACCAGCACAAGTACCATCCTCAGGCTAATATGTAAAACAGAAGACAAAAAAAAATTCAAAGTTTGTAGTTTACAGCTTTTAAAAATATTTTGAAGCATGTCATCGAATGGAATGGAGTGGTTTGTAATAGTTTTACTACCATATTCTCTCTCTCTCTCTCTCTCTCTCTCTCTCTCTCTCTCTCTCTCTCTCTCTCTCTCTCTCTCTCTCTCTCTTCTTTTCTCTTCTTCTTCTCTCTCTTCTCTTTCTTTCTTTCTTTCTCTCTTGTTCATTAATAAATAAGAATAATGTTTAAAGAAAAAAAATTGAAATTTTTTGTTTTGAGGTCAGAGTGATAAAGTGATAACCATAATCTAGGTTAAAAAGAAGGGATGTGATAATGGAAGCACATTTTAATTATTCTAACTTGATCACTCTTATTTAGTTGAATGTAATATCAGCCTTCTTGATAAATATTGAATAAAGGGATCGGGGATGAAGCCTTGTAGGTGACAAAAAACCACTTCTTTTTCTTCTATCGAGCTTTCGACTATATTTAATGCCTTCCTCAGGACACTATTTCAGTACAATCAATGTTACGCTCCAATATACATATATAAATTATAATGATAAATCAACAACTTACTTGAAATTTTTTTTTTATTATTTTGGCATCAAAAAATTATACAGCCATGGTACAAAGAATATATACAATTTAAACAGTTCATATTATATTTTCACAGACACATCATTTAAAAATTTTATTATCAAGTTATACACACTGGGATTCTTGAATAGAGCTCTACTTTCCGTAGTTGGGTGTTCTACTCCCTCTTTCTCCAGATCCTGGTAGAATTTATTTCTGGCTGACAAATGCTGGCTGCAGTGAATTGTTATGTGCGTTAGGTCCTCCTTTAACTCCGCATTTGTCACAATTAGGGTGTTGTTTTAAGTGGAAAAGTTGTTAAGTCTTTTTTATGTCAGCTACAATATAATTTTTGATGTTAGTAAATGTGTTTTGCAAGCACTGAATTGCACTGAGGCTGTCTGGGCAAATTATAATGTGATTCGCTGTAGGAAGGTTGAGATTAACTGTAAAGAAAGTTAACGCTGCCTTAATTGCTAATAATTCCGCCGAATAAATTGATATCTCTGCTGGCAGAGGAATTGATTCCCCTTTATTGATGCTAGGGCAGAACCAGGAGCATCCAACCTTACCAGACATGAGGGATCCATCGGTGTAAACAGTTAAGTGGTCATTAGGGAAAAGTTCCTGAAAATCAGCAAGCACTTGTTATTTAAAAAACTTGAAAGTCAATTAAGACATGTGGTCCGAATAGAAGGGGCCGGATAACTCAACCCATGACCAGACTAGTGGTTTATAAAGTGCAAGCTTATTTGAGCATTTTATTTTCAACGTTTAGAATTGCAGTAGAAACTCTACAATGCTATGGTTTTATTGTAGTTTAATGTTTATGTTATAATGTATAAACGGGACACATCTGTTGGACTTGAACCCTTTTGTGGCATACCAAACTGCCCAAAACATGGATCAGACAGTGGATTAGTCTTCCATTCATTGGGAATGTAGCCCAAGACAGAAGGCCCGCAAAATGGTTCATCAAAGGGCCATCACAGAAACTTGACAGAACTACTAAATCTAGGATGAGTAAGGATTGGTATCATTGTTGGACTGCTAACTGGGCACTGCAGACTTCAGAGGCATATAGACTTGGGGTAGCAGAAACAAGCCTGCGCAATATTGCTAGGAAGAAGAAGAGACAGCGAAACACATATTCTGTTGGGTGTGAAGGCTTATGTAGGCTATGATCCCTACTTCTGCGTGAGGAAAAACCCCTTCCTAAAGGATACACACTGGACTCCTTGATAAAGTTTTAGGTTCTGGTAAAAAGCGTTAATTTTAATGAGGAGCTCTAAACAACAATGGAGATATACAATAGACCAATACTGGTCGTGGTGCGCAAGTCATTAAGAGGCTAACTTTTTTTCTAATTTTAATCTTAATCTTTCGGCTCATTAGTAACTAATTGGCATCACAAATGATATAGATTACCATAGTAACTCTCCTCATGAATGCAACTTGTCAATTTTTCACAGCACTACTAACAATAGAGTTATTATCTGATGACATAATACAAAGTTTCTTTCTCCAGCTCCTGTTGGCTTATTGCTATTCATAAATCATCAACTCGCAGTGGTTAAGTGCAATTCTCATAACGGGTGGCATACTTGCCCAGTATGGCACCACCTGTTTTGTGATGCATTAAGCAGCCTTTCTTTACATGCTGAACACTTACATGGGCCTTGGCTCAAAAGAACGTGTCTTTGTGCAAACTGCTATAAATTTTATTTTGAAAAACTCAGAACATTTTTAAAAATATCCTTAATATAATTAATCCATAGTTTTTATTATTCCATTCTATTGGGCAGATTTTTAGCATCGATATGTTTTTGAACTGAAATCAAAAATTTCTTTTGTATGACCATTTTTGTGTCATTGATTTCGCATTCCTGGGAAGTGGGCTTGGGTTGGGTTAGATTAGGAAGGGTTCAGTTGCATATCCGTGATTCAATGCTTTTCAGTGAACCGGCAAAAATATGTGAAACACGTATTTGCTTTATTCGACACTCCAAGATATGAAAAACGACCTTTCAAGTGGCACTTTTATATTTTATTTTGTTGAACATTTCAAGGTTCTACCCCCGTTCTCAAACTGCTACTCAACTTCATAATGAATAGGTTTACTTATACACGATGTGAATTGCATTTTCGTTAGTTCCAAATATTACAAATGTGGCTGACTAAGTGGTATTTCACAGCTATACATTGTTGATTACCAGCTGTACATTGAATGCAACTTGTTAATTTGTTTTTCATACTTTGCATAATGTACGTAATCAATAAACTTAATACCCGGCATAATATACATAATCACTACACTTAAATTATAAAAAAGAAATTATATAATAATTTGTATTATATGAGATTATGCTTTGCATATGCATTAAGAAATTCTTCAAAAGTTAAAGGGAGTAATTCCTTGGCTCTATACAGAGAGCAAGCAGGAAAACACCTGATTTGAGAATTGTGCTTGAGCATGGCAGCTGGTATTTGGGTCTGCTGTTTCAATTCTTGGAGGGAACGGGGTAGTTCTATCGAATATAGTAATAATAGTTGTGTTTACCTAGTAATGTGAGGGTAGATGGCAGAATATCGAGTACCCATCAACCCTCAATTATTTTAGTTGTATAATGTATGTAAAAGTTGTGTTGAGAGTGAATGCAATGGGGGAATATTGAGTACTCCACAACCCTAATTGAGTGAATGGGGTGTAAATAGGAAATGTATTTAAGAATGAGTGAGAGTGTGAATTGGTTTGGATTTAGGAACTACATGCATTCGGTGTTGAAATGGCCTAGCTGTTGACAGCACCGGAGGCCAACCTATGTGGCTAGATGGGCAAGACTGAGGTTTGACCCTGAACTGCCAACACCCAGGTGATTCTTGAGGCCTGCCAGCAGTTTACTGTAAACAGCAAAAGCTGAAATTGCAGGCGAATTACGAGAAGGGAAGAGGCTCAACTCAGCACATGTCTGTATGTACCTGTGCAGATTTGAGCCTGTATAAATTCAAAAATCTTCAAAAGATACCTTGGACAAATATAACAGTTCCAAGTTGCCCAGTTGAATGTTAATTGTGGCTACAGATTTTTCTTAATTAAAAAAACAAAACCAGTTGTTACAACTTAAGATAATTCTAGTATGATCAAATAATATTTTAAAAAATGTTTTAATTTAAAAAAAGAATGGAGCATGATTTACATGCTGATGATGGTTCCCTTCAGCCTTTTGTAAACTCTGATAGTGGGGAGAACACCCTAAATAAGTAGTCAATAAAAATAAATTTCAAGAAGTCCATGGATGATATAATTTAAAATAATTGTTCGTGCAAAAAAAAGAGGTTTAATGCTGACAAAAGCTGAACTAAACTGATTTCAACTTTGAGATAAAGTGTGATAACGTTGAAATTTTATTGTTAACTTTTTTTTAATAATATATCTATTTATTGGGTTGTCCGGAAAATAATGCAGGATTTTAAGTTTTCATTAAAAAAAATCTATATAAAATATTCTGTTTACGTTTACAGGATTANGGAAATTATTTTGATTAAAGAACATTGCTTTAAAGTAACTAGTTTCTTTTTTTTTGTTTAATACCAAAATCCTGCATTATTTTCCGGACAACCCAATATATCAACAATTTAGCCTATACACTCTAATAACTAGGAGCTAGTTTTATATGTGAAATAAAATATGTACAAATGTATATATTTATTTTTAACAAATACACAAGTAAAAAAGAAAAATATGTAAAATAAAAAACATTTAATTATGCATTTTTTTAAAAGAATTTTATAATTTGCACATATTAGTTGAATAATGTGTAAAAAGGAGGAGTAAAAGGAAGAACATACAAGTTAAAGAAAAAAAAAAAACTTAAATTAAATGTGTATTGTTTAGCAAACTGGTAGTTAATAAAAGGTTGAAGTAGTGAGGAGGGGTCAGGTTAGATGTATTTCAAAAAATCACCTTTTTTTTATTTTATTGCCGATGTTTTGACCTTTGTTCAAGTCATCTTCAAGGCCTGGGTAAATTAAAAACATGCTGTTTAAAAAAAAAAATTATACAGTTTTTTATAAAAACAGCAGGATACCAATTCACCATGTATACACTAAACAAACATGACACTACAAGAATAACACTACACTTTATGTGAGTATGAATTACCTGTATCAATCTTTATATTAACATAATTATTTACATTGTATAATTTAAATTAAAAATTCCAATCAACATATGTTTGTATTTTTCTGAGGCGGGAGATGAGCAGAACAAAGGTCGAAACATCGGAAATAAAATGAAAAAGATATTTTTCTGAAATACGTCAAACCTGACCACTCTTCACTACTTCAACCATTCATTTATTAAGGAAATTTACAATTTAATTATATTATTATTTGTTGAATTTGATTTTTTTAAATTAAATCTTTAATCTTTAAAATTATTAAAATAATGTACATTATTAAATTCTTGAAATTTTTTGGGTACACCTTGAAATCTTTAATTCTCTGAAACCCTTCTTACATTTTCTTGCTCTTTTTTTAAATTTTCAACATTTTATTGCTTGTTTTATTAAATATGGACAAAAATATGTAAATTAAGTTAAAATGTGTAATTATATGTAAAATCCTCCAAATATTTACAAATACATGAAATAAAAGAAAAGTTTACAAAACGGTGTATGAGGCTCAGAAAAAAATGTGAATATGTGAATACATATAAATCCTGTCCCTACTAACAACCCATAACATCACTAGATAAAATTATTTAGGGAACCAATTCATGATTGCAAGTGTACATTTGAAGAAAAAATTAAGGAATCTTTTAGTTGAATGAAATGAGAGACATAACACACATGTGAGGGACATTCCTCCAGTGTCTTCCAAAGTACTTGTACACATTTTGGCAAATTTATGTGAGGATTGTAGTAATATGATTCCGATTTGATTTCACATAAAATTACACACTAAATTATCAATTATTTTAAATTAATTAATCTTTAATCAGACCACAAAACCTAATCCTTTTTTTTTTTTACTTGCACTCATTCCATCATTCATCATTTCCACAAAACCTAATGGACTAAATTATCAATTTTTCCCCCCTGTTAATTCTTTAATGGCTATTTTATTTGTTTAAAGGAAATGGGGTGGTGGTTCACATGCCAGGACTATTTGAAGAGCTTCACCAAAATGAAACAAAAGGACTAGTCGGTTGGAAGGATAGGTTATTAATTTCCGATAGGGCACATATGGTTTTTGACTTCCATCAGGTGAGTTTATGTTTTGTTTTAAATAATTTAATGGAGTTTATTATATTATTAAAGCGTATAAAAACATTTGTTTGTATAGCAAGTCGATGGATTGCAAGAGCTGGAAAAGGGGAAGATGTCAATCGGTACTACTAAAAAAGGTATCGGTCCGGCTTATTCATCGAAAGCTACAAGAAATGGGATACGAATAGCAGATTTAATCGGTGATTTTAACACATTTTCCGAAAAGTAAATTTTTCTCTAAATGTAAATTTCATAACCTTTAGTTTTCGTAAATTAACATTTAATGTTTGTGTTTAGATTTATCTCTCTGGCAAACATGTACAAAAAGATATTCCCAGATCTTGAGGTGAATGTTAAGGAGGAGCTTGAGAGATACCGTGACTATGCCGAGAAAATTCGTCCACTAGTTGTAGAAACCGTTTCATACATACACTCTGCACTTAAAAGTGGGAAAAATATTCTGGTGGAAGGGGCTAACGCCGCAATGTTGGATATAGATTTTGGTATTATATTTGTACATTTTCATATATGAAAAAAAAGAAATGTATCTAGCCATGCAGTTTTTTTATAGAAAATTTCTTTATTAGGTACTTACCCTTATGTAACATCATCTAACTGTAGTATTGGAGGTGTATGCACTGGTTTGGGCCTTCCACCTTCAACAATTGGTGATGTTGTCGGAGTTGTAAAAGCTTACACAACCAGAGTTGGAGATGGACCTTTTCCCACAGAACTAACTGATGTAACTATTTGTTAATAATTACGTAAATGCAATATGTTTGTGTGTGTGTGTTGATTTGTGTAGTTTCAAATTGCATTCAATCTTTCTCGTTTACTATAAACAAATTATTAATCTAATCCTATTAATAAAGTTGTAAATAACAAATTATTTAATGTGTATTAATACTTTGTGTACCAGGGAGTTTTACGATTGTGAGTCTTAATTGATACTAATAGCCTCACTGCAGTCAGTTTAATTTAATCCTTGAATTTTGGTTTGATAATAGACAAAAGCCAGCCCCATTAACATCATTAAATTTTGTATATTATCTTAACTTTATTTATCATTAGTTTCATACTACTGCCTATTGTTGATTTATTCAGACCATTCAAATCACATTTGAGTTGAATTTTATTTGGGGGGGGGGGTACCGACAACCCCCACGTGTTTCATGTCTTGATTGAGCAGAAATAAAATGTATCTTCAAAAAGTTCAGTTAAACATTTAAATGATATTCCTTTGTAGTATTGTTTGTATATTATTAACATGTGTGTGCATTTTGTTTATAATAGGAAGTTGGGGAAATGTTGGTTGTTCGGGGTGGAGAATATGGTGTTACTACAAAACGGAGAAGGCGTTGTGGATGGCTCGATATTCCTGTTTTGCAATATACTTCAATGGTCAACGGTTATACGAGGTGGGAGAATTTGGTTTTTAATTACAATGTTTTGTGTATAAAGGCGGGTCCAGACGGGTGTAACGTGTAATGTGGATTATGTGTAATTTAGAGTGAACAGTGTGGACGGCAAACGAACTCAACGCGAATCATGTAACGCGAATCTTGAAGAGGGGGCTGTTCCACTCAGTTGCTACGAACATGGTATAAACCAATAAGTTCAAGCGACTGTTCGTCACTCCACATCATGAACGTCCACACTACACAACTGCCACGAACGCCGTCCAAACGAGAACTGCGAGCGCCTTTGTGTTCACACAAAAAACCGACACCCCGATGGATCCGGTCGAACGGTTGGGCGAGCGTTACATGTAATGCTCGTAGTAGCGTCCACACAAAGAATTCGCCTTGCATTACGCGTTACGTTACGTGTTACATTACACTCGTCTGGACCCGGCTTTACTTGTAAAAAGTTTATAAACTAATTTAGTGTTAATACAAGCAGAGTTAAGTTGAATAAAAGCAATTCATTTTTCTACTGTATTATAATTGTATGTAAATAAATTGTCATATTTTGAGTTGAAAGTTATAGGTAACATAAAATAGGGAGATTTTGCATAACGTTAGCTTGAACAGTAGTGCTAAATCGATTGAAGTGCGCATATGCGGATTTAACGGAATGCTGTCTGAAATATCGTCCTACATTATTTGTCTTAGAATAGCGTGTTTGTTAGCAGGTGACAGTAAAATCAACAAAGTAGTTTTTCGTTGGAGATATAGTCCAAATAAAAAAAATATATATTACATATGTAAAAATATAATAAAATTGTTTATTTTATAATTAACATTTTACAATTCGTACAAGTCTTCATGAATCCTGCCTCCTAAGATTGTTCGTATATGTGGTGTTCCAACATTAAACTATTTAGCTGTTTTATTTATACAATTAAGAATGACAGTCAGCTAGAAATACATATAGCAACCTTATACATTTTCCCTTCAATAAAGCCACAGCATTTTTGTAAAATAGTCTCTTTGAATCACCTAAATACAATTTAAAGGCTAAAATTCTAAGAGACAGGTATAGAATGTGGCTATAATGAGTATGTATATGGTTAACTGTGCATTGTACTATTTTACTTTTCCTAAAATTGCTAAGCTAAGCTCTTTGTTCTCAATGTCATTTAAACTCAACTTGCCCTGAATTGCCTGGTAATTAAGGTTTACTTTATATGTTAGAGCTTCTACAACCATCAGGTTCTCAGCATTTGCACACCTGTCGTCAGAATTCACAAGAAAATTCGTAACAACGGTTCCTTTCTTTACAAACTTGCAAGATACGACTGTAACCTGAACTACTACAAACTCCCCAGGAAACTTAGTGTCAGCAGCAAAATCTGGCAAAAAGTCTTCAAATAGCATTTACCTTATTGGAAAGACATTAAATTTAACGGTGACCTGAAATAGCAGAAATGTTGTGCAGAGTCTCTAATACAATCAACACAACAAAATGTTTTGATGAGGTTTTGTGTGATAGAAACCTGAGCTTGATTGTCTGCTGTCATACTGATCTGTCGATCTCACTCGTTTGATATTTTAGACAAGTTTCGGCATATTGTTAAAGGCACACTCTATGCAGACTATCGACAGAAGATGTTGAAACATGTCTCAGTCATCCAGTGTGAATAAGCAAATAGGGATGATCAGAGACGATCAGGCTACACCACAATAATTGTTTCATATTTCATCACAATTTGCTAACTTTCAACTTAGGGATGGTTATTATTATTATTGTTCAAACTGTCAATTAAGTTGTAACTACTTGTTTTTGTTGTTACAACTACTAACTACATGTATTTGTTTGTTATATATATATATATTTTTTTTTAATTATTTAAAAGACAGAAGTAAGTTTGCTAAAGCGTAGCCATAATATAATCGATTTAAATGTCAATAAGGGACCAAAATTGGTCTATATTATCATTTTTATTGTTTATTTCAGATTGTGCATTACAAAGCTTGATATACTTGATGAATTAGATTGCATCAAACTTGGTGTCTTTTATAAGAAAAATAACCAAAAAATAAATTACTTCCCATCATGTGCAGCCGAACTCAGTACAGTTGAGGTAATATTTATTTTGCATTAGCTTAAGAAATTTGAGTTGTAGCAGTTGTTAGGTTTATGGGCTGTGAGACTACTACGGTCATCACTGCCCCTTTATTTTTCCCATTTTTCCTTATTTGCTAACATTTTGTTCTATTAGAAATACATTAATTAAAATTATCAATATCAGAAATTATCTGCTAGTATTTTTTTAATATAACATGTATACTATTTATTTACTATTGGAGATCGTGAGGTGCGGTCGTGTGACGCAGATCTCAAAAAAGTTAACCTAATCAGCTGAAACTAAAACGTATAAAAAAAATTTAGTGTAAAAGTTGAATAAAGTAAATAATAATAAAGTTTTTAAAAAAGTTTCTTTATATTAAATTAATTAAGTTTTTAGTTGGGCTAAGGTTGTGGATTCAAATCCCGCTCGTGACACTGACTTTTTTATCTCAACTAAAAACCTTAATTAACGAAATATAAAAAACTTATATTAAATTTTTATTTGCATGGCATTTTAAAGAAAATCTATAAAAAATAATATTTTGTGTTTAGGTTGAATTCTTAGAGATGAAAGGCTGGAAATCAAATATTGAAGGTGTTAGAGAATTCGCAGATTTACCACAAGAAGCAAAGGATTACATATTAAAAATTCAGGAATTGGTTGGAGTTCCAGGTAGTTATAGACTTTCAGTTTATCTATATTGATGCACAATTATAGAACAAATATATAATACATTAAATTTATATAATCAATCTACCACTCATTATTGATTTTGGTTTGTTGACTGGTTTTCTAAAAAATGAATTGATTAATGTAATTTTATAGAGGTAGACAGTCCATTTATCAGAACAGATATATTATTCGCATTATTACATATACAAATTACAAACACCTAACACTTGGTAAGGTAAAAACCTAGCTTTGTCCTGAAAAAAACTTCACAGTAGCACCCTTTCAGTACGACCAGGCATTGCTAGTGTCGAATATGCTTTTAGTTACACTTAGTGGTAAATTGTGGTAATGTTTCTTCATATAACATCAATTAACAGTATGCTCTGAATATAACTCATTAAAGCAGTGCGATTCAGTGTCGTGCAAATTTTGGTCGACTTTTCCCAACAGTAGACTCTCTCCACTTTTTCTTGTAATGTACAAGACATTTTTATGATTTGAACAGAAATTTGATTAACATAAAAACTAAACTTTAGTGTGATGAGTTTTAAGACAGTGTTATCTACTATTAAAAACCCTAAAAGGTCAACAAATCAATTTTTATTTACGCTTTGCTTGTCAAACATTAAGTTCTTTAAGTTCATAATTGTGGGGGAACAGAAGTTTATAGTAAAGTAGACCAAAAAATATTTTTGTTCCTAAAATATATATACATATTCATATTTGCACCCTTTAAAATCATTAAATACGAAATACGGACCAGATTTTTATAGTAAACAAAAAATATACATTTTTGCATCAGTAAGGACCAATTCCCCTCCGATGTACGGTGTGTAGCACCACTCGATTGTATCTAAATTCAATGTTGTTAGATCATTAGAAAATATTCAATTTCTTTTCTTTATACCTTTGCGAACAAGGTTTAGATTGTGATAAATTGTTTGATTTTCCCAAAAAATTCGTGTTTGGGGTATTTTTGGGTGCACAATAATTGGGGGTTAAATGAGTGGCTGGTATATTTATTTAATTTGCATATTAACTCATTCACTTCATGATTATATTTTAATTTAATTTTATCTTATTTATTTCAGTTAAATGGATTGGTGTTGGCAAAGGAAGAGAATGTATTATAGAAGTGAACTAATAAAAGTGGACCAGCTACTGCTGCTTAGAAGGCTATAACTAATGCTATAGAAGGCATTAAGCAGATAATAAAATAAAAAAATTGCAGGATGGAAAATTTTTTATTACAATTAAACTTACTTTGAACACCAAACTGGCTTAAGTATCATATTTGTATACATATCAAGAAATACATTTTATTTTTATTTTATTTTTGTTTTAAATAGTTATAGCTTGTTAACATTGCAAGTTTTATTTTTGGCAAAGGCAATTTAAAAAACAAAAAATTCATTATGATTTGCTGATTTCCCATTTTTTAGTTGTATTGAGAATGGACTATGATCATTATTAAATATAATAATATTGGAGTGAATTGAAAGTATTTATGAGCTGCTTCAGTTCTTATTTAGTGGCATTTGTCCGATTTTTGTTCTTTTATTTATATTACACCATATAGTTCACTACATCTAGAATTAGGTGACTATTGTTTAATTTAGTGTTATTTGATAGTAATTTACCAACTTTGTGGGTTTGGATGGTGTCATTTGTTCTCCATCATTCTCCTCTTTGAAATGTAAACTGGGCATTAATTATTATTCCATTATATTGATATAATTATGAAATAGCCATCTTTGTTGAAATTATTGCATAGTTCATAATTTCATTTTTTTAAAAATAATATGCAATAATTACTCAATCAGTATTTGAAAGAGTAAACATAATTTTCCTCCACTTGTGGGGCTTAGGTCCTAAACTTAATTGCTAAAATCAGACCACACTGTGGCTGTTTGTTATAAAAATAAATTAATAATTTTAGTTTGTCTTAGTACCTGGAATGTTATTTCCTACACATGGTTGATATTTTCTATAACAATTTTAAATTTATTTAGAAATTAAAAATGTTAAATTTCATTAATTTTTATTAACTTTAATTATGACATGGTAATATGCAACAGTTATTTGAAACCTTGTTGGTTACCACTTTCAAGTCCAACTTTCACTAAATTCCAGTAAAAACAACAGTCAGAAATATAACTTGGGGGAAAAAAATCAAAAGAAAAGGAATAAACTACCTACTGGAATGAACACTAGATTGCACCAATAAAAACTTTAATTCAGAAGTTATTAAAATAAATATATTAAAGAGGAATAGGTTTAAAATGACCTTCCTGTTGATGTCTCAAACAAGCTTTCTTTACAGTCAAGCAAATTACTTAGCAGAGGCTTTCTCTTTGAGGTTATGGAAGCTTTAAAGTGAATGTCCTTACAAAACAAGACAATTTTAATTTGGACTGTCCTAAACCTAGGAAAGTTCTCTGTGGTTACTATAAAAAGTAAAAATCATGTTTTTAATCCTGTCGAACCAATTCAAGCAATCTTGTCATTACCATTTCCTAAATGGTTCTTTCTTTGAGATCAAAAATTGATCAGCTTTCACTTTGCTGTTTGCCATCACTTATCATCAATCACAGCGGTAATTTTAACATTCATTGTGTTTGGTGCAGCTGGGTACAATAAAATTAAAAGTAGACTCACTCCCTACTTATTTATTATCTTCGGCGTAATTTCTAAAAGACATTTTACTATTTGCTTGAACTTTTTCTGCATTGACAGTTCATTGCCTGTTCTCTTGTTTTCTGGTCCTCGCGTTCTTTTCATCTCATCTATTGATATGAAAAACCGTAGGGCGGAGCAATCTTTCAAGCGGGATTATAAGTATAGTTTTTTTGTCATTTAAAAAGATGGAACCTTTGTGAGAGTTCATGGCCTGGAGCAACTTAAATTTTTTTCCCTAAAAATCTACCCTACACTTCATTGCTAGTATCTGGCATACAAGTATATCTTAAAAACAATAACACAATAGAAAAGAAAGTTTTTTTTTATCCTCACTGATTAAATAAATAACAATTTTAATGATAATTGTGTGTCTTTTTAGATAAAAAAATTAAAATTTTATGTTAAACAAGGAATAAAACGGTGTTTCCTAAGTTGTTAATTCCCTTGTTTCTGGTTTAGTAGCACATTGTAATTTTGAAATTGTATTGATAAAGTTATAATTTTATGTTTAACCTTGTTAAATATTTATTTATTAATAAATGGTTAATAGATAATTAATTTTAAAAAATTGTAGATTGAAAAGGATAATAATATATTAAAACCAATCCTTAAGAGCCTCTGCCATTAGCTTTCCATTATTTTTGACCAATTTAAAATTAGAATTTTATAAACAGTATTGTTATGACAATATATTACCTTATAAACTTTTAATTTTTAAAATTACAAGTGATGATTATTTACAACAGTGTATTACTTAAAGAAGTATTATATATTGTAATTGTGGTTGTGAATTAGCTGCTGCAAAACAATTTTACTTGTAGTCCCTTATTTTTATTTTTGTTCTGTTGCAATAGATTTTTGTTTATATTCTCAAGTGAAATTCTCATTAAAATTGATCACATCAGATAGAACGACAATGTCAAAAAAATAAAACTAATTAAATTTTCTTTCCAACTGAAAGTGTACTTAAAACGCTTGCTTAATTCGTGTTATCATGCTCAATTATTAAAATTTGTTCTTCAATCTTTTGTAAATATAGTTGATAAAAAACGTAAAAATAAAAAATACAAATAAAAAATGTGTGCCTTTAAAAATACCATATCTACCAAGGAGTCTAAGACTGGTATGATGGTAAACTCAGTGCATTATATTATTTACCCAGTTTAAAAAATAATTATTGCATTAAACACTAGGTTATTATTATTTATTAAACTGTGTAAAATTAACAATCTGTCATTAGTTTATTGATTAGAGTTTATTTCTTACAAATAGGTGCACATTTTAATTTATATCAAAGAGTATAATTTAAATGTGTTACCACATATTTTGATTTGTATTCAAGCGTACATTATAAACATTCTTCTGTTATATATTACAAAAGACGGCCTTTTTTACCAGGATTTTGAATTATTACAATTTGAATGAACAATGGAAATTTATTCACTAAAATGAGTGTTTGAAGTTGGTGTGTTTCCATTATTTTGTACTACTAATATAGAAACGTTACCAATAATGGTGCTATGCAATTAGTCATTCACTTCTTTAAGAATTTGAGGATATAAATTGAATATTTTTATAATTTTGAGTAATCTTCATAATAATACGTGTGAAATTCATTTATTGAATATTAAGGCAGACGTTGTTTTTATTTAACTTTTACATTTCATTCATTTGTACCGCTCTATTATGTTCAATTTGTTGTATTTGTTATTACAATCTTTAGTTCATGAAAAGTCAATTTAGCAGTATTATTTTGCCTAGTTTTAACACAAATTTGTTAAAAGGGCGGTACTTGTTGATGTCAATTGGAGATATGTGTTATAAATTGCTTTATATTCAAAACATTTATCGCTTCATTTAAAAAAACACTAATTATTGTTAATTTAGCCTGTGCTTAAATAATAAATTACAGAATATAACGGTTTACTTTGCAAATTGTAAATTGAATTTTGGTTACCATAAATAAATACTATTGGATGAAATGTGATATTTGAACATTTTTTATTATTACTTATTTGTATTAGTACTTATGCATTGTCAACAAATAATGCACATGCTTGTAGAAAAAATACTCCTGTTTTGAAACTAGTTTCATTTTTATAACTTGTCTCTTCCTAAATTTAACGAACTTTTGTTTGAATTCATAATTATGATTTCGTCTTAAACTATGACTAAGAGCAGATAAATGCCAAATTTTTGTAAACAAAAAAGATAGTTATTGCGGTTATTTGCTCAAATATATTTTAATTTCTCCTCTTACGATTCAAAAATAATATGCTTCAGTTATTTTGTGTAATATTAATATCCTACTTATAACAAAAAAAAAATCTAAACAAGCTTTTATAAAGATGTGCATTATATTGTCAAATTATGGCTTTTATATTTATATTGAAATTACAGTATTGTGATCACAATCAATTACCTAAATATTTTGTTTCCCGGAATTGTGATAAATTATTGCAAAGTTATGGTTTATTTCTAGTCCGTTTAAAATTTGGGTTAAGATCAATTTGAAAACAGAAACTTTGTATTACAATAAGGCTATGCCTCACTTGGATCAGATTTGAAATAGTTTACTAATATTTTTCTTTAAATAAAAATTCTGTTCAAATGTTGAATTCCAAATGTAAACGGCACATTATTGTACATATTTTTGTTCGTTTCATTTAGCCTGTAAGTTTAAATGTTGTAAAATAAAATAAAAACTAGTTAACCATTTTGCGTATATTTATAGCATCTTAAATATGTTTACCATGTAAAATCCTATATTAATTGAAATATATATACTTTAATTATTATTTAGAACGTACGTCCAACTTAAATAAAATTTCAACTACTTGTGTAACACTCATTTGTGCCAACACATCATAAACATAATTTCTTTTAATACATAAGACATTTTAGTGTTTTTAATTATTAAAATAATTACTAAATAAACAAATTGTAAATGGATGACACTAACACTTTAACATCTGACTTTAAAACAAACACAGCGGCATTTTCATAAAATGTACACCAGTTAACGATCAACATTATTTTTTGACAATAAGTGTATATAATGTAAATGTCAATGTTATTCTTTGTAAAGTGTATATAATATACATTGGATTATATTTATGGGATGTTAAAGACAGTTTGTACGAATTGTACAAAAATTATCTTCTCTTTGTTTTTGAGCTCATCTTAATATAAAAATTGTTGGAATTATATGTTTATATTTAGAATTAATTTGTTATTTAATTCCTTAATTCATTCACTGAGATTACTCAGTTAAATAAGTGCCAATTACAAAAAAAAAAGGAAAAAATGGATTTTTTTCCGGTAATGCCCACTGGGTTTATTTATGGTTTTGTTTTAGCAAATATGATATGGTTTTTATTCATACTCAACTACCGAAGCGTTATATTTCAGAAGAATTCTCAGTGTTAAGAGCGACAAGGAAATATTTTTAAAATAAAATTTATATATTGTTCGTGTATGTTTGTATATTTTGGTGCCTTGTAAGGCTAAAACAAACAGTTCCTTCTCCTTCTCCTAAAAACAGGACTCAATGAGAGACTTCATAAATTTCTTTTCAAATTCCACCAGAAAAGTAGTAAAAAAGTTGTAGGGCATGGAAGCAATGAAGCAGCGTATTCGCTTAAACAGAGTATATTTGGTGTTAAAGTGAAATCAAAAAGTGTGTAGTTGTCAACCAGCAGTTGTAATTCTAGATGTACATCAAAAATGTGGTCCAATGAATAAAACTTATAAGTTTGCCAAGCTTTCGGCATGTATTTTGCCTTCCACAGGGCAAATTTATTTAAATAAATATCTATAAAATCTAGAGTCTCACAGTTAAAAGTCCTTAATTGTGAAAACTGTATAACCATTATAATAAAATAATATAACAATTAGTAATAAAAAACCATTTAGAACTTTAACAATTAAAAAAATACTAATAAAAAAAAATCAACCAAAAACAATAATGAATNTTCACAACTAAGGACTTTTAACAGCTACTCTATGTGGACTCCAGAGTTTTTATTTTTTTCATAAATTTGCCCTGAGGATATAAAAGTTTTGTTTATTTTGACCACCTCTCAAAAAGAGTGTATCCTGCCTAAAAAAGTCCTTGTTAAAGAAAATCATGAAATTTATGAATGTCCGTCTGCGGTGCAATTTATTTTGTGAATGGAGAATTTATTGATGATGATCAAAAACACTGAAGTGTGAATTTGAGTGATTTTTTGTCTATTAGAAGATACATAGATAGACTTTATGTAATATAAGATAAATAGGTGTATGTATAATATAATTCAGAGCGTAATTCGATGCGGGTCTATAGGCAGACCAAAATAATCTGAAATTATCAAGTTTGTCGATCTCAAAAACCCCATAAAAATATAATTGACTAAAAGTATTAATTTGTAACTCATGTTCTGCTATCGTTATGACCTTTCGATCTCCGTTGTTAAAAAATTAAAAATAGCCTGGAAAAGAAAATCAATCGGGAAAAATGTATTGAGGCATTTCTGAATCGTTAAAGAAATGTTAAACTATTTATAAAGGTTAACATATTTGCCCTTTGCATGTATACATCCGACACTCATCATTCTATCTTTCTGGCCACTGTTTCATTGTTGCTTTGTTGGCTTTACTGCTTCAGAAATGTCTTCACTCAAAACAATTTTTGTAGTGGCTTTATTCCTAATGATATGTGGTATGTATTTGTGTATAAATGTATTTTATTCAACAATTATATTTATACGTTAGGTCGTGAAATAACGGTCAAGGTATGGAAATGGATTGCTTTGAAATGTCCTGAAAATAAATTCATTATATTAATTGCTGCTATGATTTCTTTTGGAGAAAGATGAGCTGCTACTGATTATAAATATTTGATGGCTGTGGTATATCTCTTGTCTGTACTTAAACATTGCAGAAAAAAGTACAAAAACATTCAACCTGGGTTAAAACCCAGTCAAGATGCAATTTAATAAATTGTTTTCTTTGAAAAAAGTAAATAAAACAAAATCTTTGTAAATGTTTTTACATTTATGGCAATGTTAATGTGATGATCAAAAGGAATATTTGTGGAAAAAATACTAAATTCACTAAATATCCTTTTCAAAAAATACATTTTTCAAAGTAAAGCATTAATAGTTCAAGAAAGACACACATCTAAATTATACAAATGTAAAAAAAAGACATGGGTCCCTGGCCTGCAGAGGCTGGGTCAAGAAAGGAAAAGGTCATGCTTACCAGGTTGTGCATAGGTCATAACAAGATTACACATGGACACCTTTTAATGGGGTGAGACCATGTAGGTGTCCATTGTGTGGAGAGCTTATCACTGTAGAGCACATTATGAAAGACTGGAAAGAAGCAAGTTTGCAAAGAAAGAAATATGACTTCTCACATAACCTATGCGCTACCTTAAGGCATGGCAGCAGAGGCTCGGGTCGCAAATCCAATATCTTAGTGCCATAAATATTTTTAATTGAATACAGATCTTTGTATTGTATGTTATGTGTTATTTATTGGAATGAATGCATATATTTGTGTGAATGGAGTGGCTTATATTCCAATTACCTCGAGGAATATCAAATACTCTGGGATAGTGAGAATTTATTAGTGTGAATGGAAGAGCCAGCCCCAATTACCCCCAGGAATATTAGATACTCTGGGGTAATGTGAATGCTCACCAGACTATTATGTTTTTACCTTGTTTCCTTATATTTGTGTTATTTTATTCACAATTGACAAGGCCCTGAGGTACAGAAAGGCTAGCAATAGGATAAAGAAAATATAGTTTGTCACTGTTATATCATAAAACACAATTTGGCTGGAGAAACAGTAAAAGAAATTAGTAGGTTTAAAAAGCGAGAAAGTTAAGAAAAGAAATACAAAGCTAAGAAAGAAGGCTGGCAATGACCAACGTAGTTTGCCTGCTCTAAAACAGTAGTATATTCTACAAAAGTGCTGAAAAGTGAGAACAAAGAATATTCTCATGAATTTCTTGAGGGCAGGCATGACCAACATTATCTATTTGGAGGAAAAAACCCTCCATATATGTGCACTTTTATAAAAAATCATTCAATTAATTTTATTAAAATTTTAAATGCATTTTTGTAAATATGTGACAAATAGTAATAGGCCAAGTATGCAAAGAAACTCGACTACCAAATTCAAAAATCGTTTGTACAACAAATTATACAAATTGAACAGTGTATATTTACAAAAATAATGGACTATGATGCTGTATATTACTATATTATATGCTTTTCATTTAATCTACAAAATCTGAACTGAAACAGGAAATTCCTTAATTTAACCATCAAGTGTTAATTTATGACAACCTAATTTGTAGATGTACTTTTTTCCAATATAAAAATTTATTGAATATATTGCAGAGAGCAAGACTGCGCATAAGAACCTCATGTTAATTAAATGCATCAAGGACATGGCAGCAGCTTTACCTACAAAAGAACTGTCTCTTGTATTTGATTATGACTATGGTAAGATCCAATACATTTCATAAAAATATATTTACATATTACCATCAATGGTCATTATAAATTTCAATACAGACAGATATTTTGCCATTTTAGATGAAGATTTTATTAATGATTTTATTATATCTTTGTTCAATTCTGGATTGAAAGCTGTTGTTTATCAATTAGATAATCCAAAACAAGAAGCCTCATATTTAAACAAGGTATGTTGAATTTATTGGACTGAATTACTTACTGTTTATTACAATGATTGAAAGAGAAAGATGGATTTATATAAGCTCAACTTTGCACATACACATATGTACAGAATTGAGCTTATGACTTCTCGTAGTAAGGGCAGTCTTGGTATTGGTAGTTTTATCCGGCCTGCCATTGAGTTAGGCTGTGAGAAGGAGCTGTCAAAAAATAAATCATTTTGACCCCCCAAAGAATGCAGTTTTTAAATCTAGACACTCTCACTCATTAATCCTATTTGTATATCATTCACTCAAATAGGGTGGTATAATAGTCGATATTATTCCATCACCCTTTACGCATGTTATAATACAACTAACCTAAGGGTTGATGGGGTACTCAATATTTCTTCCATTATACATTCACGCCAATAAATACATTCACTTTATACTTAGTTGAAATACTCACTCTATCTTAACTATTGCTATTAATGATCTAAGATGTAGATGTAACTAGAACTCACTGGTGTGCTTTAAGTACAGCACACCAGTGAGTTCTAGTTCATCAAGGAACTTGATTTGTAGGCCCAGTTTCACTGGTTGAATTTCTTCTACGGTTGCACATACCAAAACACTTCCTCCTGCAGGCAAATGTGTCACCACAGTTTGTTAGTAAGTATGTTGGTGTCTACTCTGCTTCTTTGCAGAATCTGTACATACCGTGTCGAGTTATACAATCTTCTTCAGATGCCCATTCAATCTGTGGTGTCCTGTCAAGAATCCTGACAGAACTCAGTTTTTTCTTGCCTCCTTAGATGCATTCTTTGTTTCTTTCCTTCCAAAATTTTAATGATCCAAATATTCATGGCAGTTCTCAAGCACGATTCTCATATCAGGTGGCATTCCTACGCTCTTTCTCTATATGTAACTAAGTAATGACATCTTTAAATTAAGTGGTACCCATCAAGCACCTTTTCTCCCTCTGCCAGAAAGCGTTTGGCCCAAAAGTAAGTCTGTATGTCAATAATTGAGTAAGGTTGATCCCTGTAGGGAATCTATAAAGACATCTATTGACTGCTCTTGATATGTACAAAGAAAGATGAGGTACAAATTATACCTACAGGTATAAGGTAGGTACATAATTAAGAAAGAAAAAAAGAATAATTAAGAGAGAGACAGTCAGAGACATTAAGTATTACTGATTTGTTTATTATTTCAATCCTACAATTTTTAAAATTGACTTCAATTTGTTACAAAATATTCTATTCATTTTAGCTCTTAGATGACATGAAAATGAGAATGGATGGTTATACGAGTGCAGAGTATTTCATATTTGCAAAAAAATCAGTCGCAGAAGATATTTTACAGATGGTTAGTAGAACTGTATATCTCTTTTAGATCTTTACTATTTCGCCTGGATTTATGTGCAAAAAATACTCAAATGTGCCATATAATATGCATTAAAAAACAAAAAGCATGCAATATTTTATGCACTAAAAAATAATTTAACTAATTTTTTAAACTAGATATTTTATTTTGAAAGTTCAGTCACACAAAAATCCTAAAATTTAAAATATTATACAAAATTAATAATTAACTTTAATTAATTTCATGATCTGAATTAAAATTTACAATGATAAACATTTCGAAGTAGTATAGTTAAAGTACAGTGTTAATGGCATGAAAAATTGTATATATGTTTCCAATTTCAACAGAGGTGAAGCATACTTGTAAGCATACTTGTAGGAACTTAAAATAACTAGATTGTCGGTTCCCTTTATATCAACTTAATCGTTTCCATTTAAGATTTCATTAATTTACCCCAATTCAATCTGGTATTTTTATCAAGGAGTTTTTTAATTTCCTATGTAAAATAATTACTGCATTGTTGGGATTTAACTAAATTATATTTTATTTTGAAAAGAAACATCCAGTCTCTTATTTTAGAAGTTGGAGATCCCACATTCATTCGACAGTTTTTTACGTTTATTAGGTTGAAAATATGAAAGAGGACTTGACACTGTCTATTTTTGTGATTCGAATCGATTACTTCAGAAAAATTACTTTTTTCAGGAGAGGCAAAAAAACTGCACCGAGAAGTTTTTGAAAGAAATTCTATTGTGGGGTTTGTTTTAAGTTTTGTTCCTGGAAAGTTTTCTTGATCTTAATCAAATTTTAGGCTCTTGTTTTTTTCTTTTCATGTTCTTAGCAGCCTAGTTTATTTTTTATTTTTCTTAGTAATGTTGAGTAGATGACCGTTGAAGAATGAACTTCACCACAGAGGTATGATTCACGTATCATCCATGGTCGTAAGTGTTAGCAAAAACAACACTGCATACAAATCCGGGCTCTACTTATTATTATGCTCATAACTTTTTTATTATTATCAATTTTTTTAAACAGATATCATCTGAAAATCTAGCAAGACGCAATGTTATATTTCTATTCTTTTGGAAAGGTAAAAAAATAAGCTATAAATTTTCTATTAACATACAAGAAGCAATGCGCATTTGTGTCATTACAAGTCCTAGATATGGGCTGTAAGTATAATTAAAAAATGAGTATATTTTTTAATAATTAAAAATAATACTACTTGAATATTTTAGATTTAAGTTAGGTTATAGCCAAGCACGGCCAGATGGTAAAAACACTCTGGACTTGGTAAATTGGTGGACAGAAAATTATGGTTTATTCCAACAACCTCTTCTACCAAAAGCTTCAAAAGTGTATAAAAACTTCAAAGGAAGAGTATTCAATATTCCTGTTTTACACGTGAGTTAAAAAAAAAAAAATCTGTAACCTCTAAACATTAATCCAAATTCACTAATTTCGTGGTCCGCTTGACCAATTAATATATCACAATTAATTAAGGTTTTTAGTTGAGATAAAAAAGTCAATGGCACGAGTGGGATTCGAACCCACGATCTTCAGCTAGATACGCCGCTGCTCTACCACTTGAGCTATCGTGACCTCGATCCACTCGGACACCAACTTCCCATCTCAACCCCACCTTTTGAGTTTTCCCACCTTTTTGCCATTTTTCAAATGTCGTGTAATCGGATTGGATTCTCGGCGACAAATGAAATGGCCACGGAGAGCTTTAGTGAAGTATACATCATTTTAATCCATGGCAAAAAGGAGGGAAAACTCAAAAGGTGGGGTTGAGATGGGAAGTTGGTGTCCGAGTGGATCGAGGTCACAATAGCTCAAGTGGTAGAGCAGCGGCGTATCTAGCCGAAGATCGTGGGTTTGAATCCCGCTCGTGCCATTGACTTTTTATCTCAACTAAAAACCTTAATTAATTGTGATATATTAAGCCAAATGTAAAAAGTAGTTTGATGATGGATCAGCTTTGTAAAATTTGTTTATTTTAGGTGACTTTCTAATAAAGAACCTTATGTCAAATTAATTATATAAATTGATTGAATTTTATTGTAATTTAAATTAAATTTATCATGTTTATCTGTTGATATGCCAATAATATATTTTTTTCTTATTTGTGTAGAAGCCGCCTTGGAACTTTGTTACTTATAACAATGACACTATTGAAGTAATAGGTGGAAGAGATGACAAACTGTTAAGACTACTCTCGTCTAAACTGAACTTTGAGTAAGTACACTACGTTTGACTTATAAAGTTGGATGCAAATAAATTTCTAGTCAGTTCAGTGCCTTTAACCTTTTTAAAATGTAATTTATTTATTTATTTAATATTATAGTTCTACAGACATTTGTCCATGTATTTATACAGTCAAAACTACAATAAATACATACGAAAATAGATAAACTATATGTAAGGATAAGGCAAAATAAAAGTGCAAAGTATAAAAACAAGATAGAGAAAACAACAATCGAAAAAATGGCTTTATACTCTTTGATCCAGGGCTGCAAGATTTAAAAATGGCAATGGGATCATTGAAGGGATAAGCAATATTTCTTGTTTTATTCAGCAGCTCCAGCATACGAAATATGGTCCCTGATAATGCACAATTAGTCCTGTACAAACAATGTCCTGTGGTATAAAACTTTTATATCAATGACATCTGAAAAATTGGAGGTCTATTATCAGATCTAAATACGTTTTGTGTGCTTAAATTTCTATTGCTTAGCTGATTACTTGGGGGGGGTCTTACTAAAAAAAACTTTGAAGTTGAAATGCCCACGTTAAAAAAAAAAAAAATCAGCTTGCCTCAAACCTGGTGCTTTGCCCAGTGCTTGAGTTTTTCTTTCTCAAGCCATTCTAGTTCCAACTTAAGCACACACTCTGAAGTACCTAACTGTGGTTCTGGCCCCATCGGTGAGAGGGCTGCACCTATTTTGGGTAGTTGGTCAGCAAGTTCATTTCCTTCTTTACCTTCATGTCGGGGAATCTACATTTTAATTATTATTATTATTTTCTTTTTAGATATGATTATTTTGATCCGCCTGATAGAAGTCAAGGTTCTGCCATCATTAATGGTACAATGCAAGGTGTGCTTGGCCTAATTTGGCAAAAAGTGGGTAGTTTTAAATCTAAAATTAAATAGATCATTGGGTGATTGTTTCCATGAGTAAGCCTTGTTATATTTCAGGAAGTAGAAATGTTCATCGGTGATTTAACAGTTACATACGAAAGAAGCCAAGTGGTTGAATTTTCTTTTCTAACCTTAGCTGATAATGAAGCTTTTTTAACGCATGCACCTGGTAGATTAAACGAAGCTTTGGCCTTGATAAGACCATTCCAATGGCAGGTACATATTTACATTTATTATGAATTACTGACTTTTTATTTTATAATAAATTTGTTTTAAAAAAATAAAATAATAATGTATGTATACAAAGGTATGGCCTGCAGTCATTGTTACTATTTTTATTTCTGGACCCTTTCTATACATGCTGATTTTGGCATCCACAGAATGGAAAATAACCAGTATAAGTAAGCTATGGGATTGTATATGGATAACAACATCGATTTTCCTCCGACAAAGTGTGTTTCTCCAACGATGTAACTTTTATTTATCTATTACTAAATGTACATTGTATTTAGGTATCACTGATTGTTTCAAAGTAGACCGAGTCAGAATTTTAATTGCCACAATGTATTTGGTATCAACTTATGTAATTGGTGACATGTATTCAGCTAATTTAACCTCGATGTTCGCTCGACCTGCTAGGGGTAAGTAAACATTACAATGTGGATTTTTAAAAAATAAAAACATGAGGAAATTGTGAAACATTGTGATGTTTGTGAGATGATTTTAACTTTTAACCTGATCAGGTTCCTCAGGTCTCACTTCTTTCTCTCTCACTCTCTCTCTCGTCTAATGCATTTTCTTATCTTCAGTGGTTTGCGTGTTTTGCTTACCTCTTTTCCCTTCTGTTATTAGAAGGAGTTTATTTTGTTAGAGAAAGAGACAGGAAATGGGGACGATCCAACAAGAATAGGTAAACCAGCATGATCAGGTACAATAAAGTTATACAAGAGAATTATAGAGTTTAACAAAAAAATGTTCTTAAACATTAATATTTCATGGATTTGTTCGTGCAATTAAAAGTCATTACTGCTTCTCATCTTTAAAGCATTGAACTCTATGAGCTTTGACAAACATATAAAATAAATCTATGATTTTTGGGCTTGTTGAAATAAAATATGATAGCTGTTGAGTGCTTAGAGTTAATAAATAAATTGCTGGAGGCTACTTATTCTTCAACCTGACTATAAGTACTATCGTAATAAGCATTTTTCTTCAAATATTTACTGTAGTTTGATTTTACTCGATTATGCTAGCCTCCTTGCTTATTCTTGCTGCTCTTCTTTCAATCTTTCCATCTATCAAACTGGAAAAAATAGACAGACCAGGATGATCAGGAATGATGATATCGTTTCACAACACAAATATTTCACTACTTTAATAGTAAAGTTTTTCTTTTTAATTGAAATAAAGAGCCATTGTAATTTTCCATGATTCTTTTCTTGTAGAAAAGCCAATTACCACTTTGGAACAACTAGATAAAGCTATGGCATTTAAGGGATACCAACTTTTAGCGGAAAGACACAGCGCTTCACATGCAATTTTAGAAGTAAGTTATATCAAACAAGATATAAAAGAAGTAGGGGTAAAATGTAAGGGCAAAAAGAATAGGGCTCAATAAGCAACCTTGTCTCACACAACTTTGTACTTTAAACTATTCGCCCTATATACTTCTATACGCTCCCTGACACATGTTGCTGCTTCTCAAAATAGAGATTTTAAAATGTTGTAATATTTGACGAAAAACCCAAGTTACTTAAGTCAAATGCAATATTTTGTTGACTCATCAGATTTTATTGACTATCATATCATTATATTATTATTACTAATATATAACAGATCAAATATTTAACACAATGTTTCTTACTTCCAATTTTAAATTCTGATCCCTTTCTATTGACTTGAAGTGATTACACAAATGAGATTATATTTTGAGATTCTCGGGGTGATGATGAATAGTCAGAAACGACCAAACTACAAAATGATATTATTGTTTATAAAAGAAGGGAAACTGCCTATCTTGTTATTTGTCGTAAATAATCTCAATCTTGGTATTGTCAAGTTGATGATTTTTTTTTTTAAATTGTTATCACCCAAGCTTTCTTCCTATTTTAAGGTCTTTAAGGGCAAAATTATCTTAAATACGTCTACAAATTGACATAATTAAGTTTAGGAGACAGACATTGGCAATGTCGCAACTCAGTCTGTGCTCAAAAAAATTTGAAACCATTTATTAAAAAATTACTTAACATTTTGTACACATCTTTAAGATTGTTTTGCCCAGATGATGGACCTTAAAATAGGTCAAAAGCTTTTCAGACATATTTTTTTAAATTTACTTGGCAATACTGAATCTAGATTATTCGTAAGAATATTTTCGATATTTTTAGCACTTTATATAGAAACTTTATTCCTCGACAAATTTTCTGAACTTAAAACTAAAAAGCAGCATTATATTACAACTGGGTCTAGCAAATATTTTCGCACATAATTTATAAAATTTAGCATTTCAAATATGGCTGAACTTCAAATTTCAGAATGGCACAGGGCTTTACAAAAGTATATGGGACAAAATGAAAGGACAGTTGGAATATCTTCTAGATTCAACAGAGGACGGAATGAAAATTGTCAAAAAGGAAAAGAATTTCGCATTAATAGGTGGCAGAGAAACATTCTTTTATGATACAAGGCGATTTGGTACATTTAATTTCTGTTAATAAAGAAGAAAGAAAAAAAATTATATTTTGTCCAAAATTTATCCAGTAATTTATTCCACTGTTTATTTATTATTTTCAATTATATTTAGAAGTAATAAAATATGTTAGAAATTAACACAAACGAAATAATGGCAATACATTAAATTATGTATGATGTTCATATAATTCATATTGTAATTAGAAATGATTTTATTTTTGTTTTTTAGGCGTTCATTATTTCCACCTGAGTGAGAAACTTTTTACCAGATATTCAGCTATTGCTCTCCAGATCGGATGCCCTTTTATACATAATTTTAATGAAATGTAAATTATTTTGACGTATAAATTTTTTTTTTTCTAAGTGTTGTTTGACTCAGTTTCTGTCGTATTTGCCACCAGCCTCATGAGATTATTTGAAGCAGGAGTCCTTACAAAAATAACCGAGGACGAGTATCAAAAGCTGAAAGAGAAACAGCCAAGCAAAGCTCCAAAAAAACAGACCGAAGTCGGTGAAGGTAAAGTGCAAAAGGAAAACGATACAAGATTAAAAGCAATGAGTATGAAAACACTTCAGGGTGCATTTTATGTCCTGATAGTCGGCTATATAATGGCGGGTATGTTATCATCAACATTTCATTACAGAATTATGAATATGTCATTGGTAATGAACAAACTATTTCAGGTGCTGCATTGTTGGGAGAAAACATAATGAAGCATCAAATGGAAAAACCAAAAAGAACTAAACGAACTTCCAATGCAAAAGATTGATAATGATGCTTTATAAATGATACGCACAAGTTCTATATGAAAGTTCAGCACAAAAACACTGTAACAGTAATAAAATATTTAATAAATAATTACAACTATAAATATTTTAAACGTTTTATTATTACATGGAAAATTTTAAATTATAGTATTACAAAGTTAAATAATATTGCATTTGAGAATTAGGTTCAGGTGTTGGGACAGTCGGATATATCTGAATAGGTAAATCCCAAACCATTGTTTCAATATTGAGAGAATCAGGTGCTTGCCATGTTTGTTTATCCAAATGAATAGAGGTTTCCCCAGGATGGCCGGTGACAAATTCAAAATGCAACTTCCACGTAAGTTCCACTAAAAAAGTTGTAAAGTACAAGAAAATGTCTTATATACAGATGAATAAAGGGCAAAGCGTACATACACAAGTCAGTAGCAAAAGCAGGTGTGGCGTGTAGTGGTATTGGCAAATTTAGAAGGCAATGAGTTAAATGTAGGCAGATCTCGTGGTGTTTACTATAGGAAGTCGTAGCTATTTCAGGTCCAGTTACAGATTTGGCTTCACCCACTATATGCTCTTCACACTGTAAGGTGACAGTAAGCTGAAAATACACGATACAATAAATAATTAGCACAAGGAATCACCTTATGAATTCGCAACATACCTGCAAACATGGCACTGTGGATTTTGTGAAATCAAACGTCCCGACAATATCTTCTCCTAGTCTGTACGCCTGTTTGAAAAGGCAAAACCTTCCTACTTTACCTTTGGTATTAGTGATATTATAAAAATTTGGATTTCTTCTTGCCGTTATATTCTGCAATAAATGGCAATACAATTATTTATCGCTTAAAAATTCGTGCAAAAATGTTTTACCTCCACAAGCTGGAGTACTGGAATTAGTTCATATTCTTTATTGTAAGTTTCTAGAAAAGGATTATTCGGGGATAAATCTTCACTATCTTCACATATGCTGTAGTCGGGAAGACCTGGTAAAAATAAATAATTGTGAATTTCCAACACAAAAACAAACCTACCTTTCGTCTTACCTGCTATTGCCAAAACTCTTAACGGTAGTCGTAATAATTTTGTCGGGGAATTAACTCGCTGTGCACCAATACTGATCTTGTAAGAATACTTAACTAACTTTCCACGGTAAGATGGGGGTGCTTCTGGTGGTAAAACTTCAGTGTATACGACTAGAATTTACATTGATTTCATAATATGTTGTAAAAGGTTTTAAAAATAAATAAAGGGAGATTTAATTGTGAAATCAATTGCTGTTGTTATCAATGAAATCTATATTTGTACTAATCAAGTTGTATGTATGAAAAATCTGAAATTCATTAGCGAAATGACAACAGCTAAACAATCACTTACATGATTTACTTAATCCAGGCATCAACTGAAGATCACAAAACAAAATTTTAGGCTTGGTCGATAATACAATTTGACCATGGACATCTCCTTTATACGGAATGAAGCATGTATCTAAAAAACAAAATCAAATTTAACGAGCATAAGGTTAGTATATACATGTTTTTTTTTTCTTTGACTAGCGTATCAACTTTTAAATACTTAAATTATGTCCTATTGTACAGGTTAGAATGATTCAAAGGATCTGGAGTTGTTTAAATTACATGCATCGATAGATCTTCAAGTTTTTCATTTGCTTTTCGCATTAGAACTGTTGTTTGTTTATTCTTTAAGGTTACATTTTAAGTTTATTTTGAAATCGCTTCAAGCTCCTGATTCTCGCCTGACAAAAATCACATCACTTGAAGTTATTAAGGGTAACATATCCTGGTTCAAATCCTGGAATTCTCTTGCGGAGAGCTATAATGTGGCTCGGTTCTCTTTGGATAATTCTGCAGCGTGGTCTGAAATGTTTTCCAATCTTTTTCATATTATGGGGGCTCGTCATTGGGAGAGTTGTATTTCTCGTGCCGTGGATTCAAATAGATTCCAACTCTACAAGGAGTTGGATCATTCCCTAACTCCTTGCAATGGTTTTTCTGCTCCAGTAAATGGTGCTCCGTTCTCTTTTTTCCGCTGGTGGTTTAAAATTCGAGGGGAGTTGTTGTTCCTGAATTTCAGGCCTTGGGTTGGGGGTACTCCTGCTTTCTATGCAACTTAGGTGATCGTGAGGCTGCATTTCATTTTCTCGCTAGATGCTCGGTCCTTAACGAATTGAGGTTTCTGTATGTGGGTAAGGGTTTTCTGACAAGGGAAGAGCTTATAGCCCTTCTGAATGGCTCGGATTGCCGGGGTCTTGTTGATTTTGCTTGGAAAGCTTGGTTTTACAGATATGAACTTATTGGAATGTAAGGAATTAATTTTCGGTTCGACTTATTTTGTTTCCTTTTTTGCTCTCGCAGGTAATACACATAATTTCTATTTAGGGCTTCTAAATGCGAATTCTGTTTGCCAGTGGGGGACCCTTTGTAAGTTGGAATCCTTGCTTTGGTTCTTTGAAGTGTCATTTTTATTATTTTCACAGTTTATCACATTTCTATCTTGAAATTTGAAAATCCTGTAAATAATTGTAACCTCTTAAGTTGATATTGTAAATTCTCCTTTTCTTATAATTACATAATTATGTATATTCTTAGAATAGTAATGTAGTCCGAACTCTGGCTGACGGTCTTCATACCATGCCATAGTAATACTGTGTTTTTAATTTTTAACTTTCTTTCATTTTGTAAATAAAGTATATCTATCTATCAAAATTTTCATGCTTTTTAGCAATTGCATCTAATGTGTTGAGTGTTGCAATTCTAAGATTGATATTCAATTCAGCTTCTGGATGTCTATTTGCTGAAACCTGTACCAGATCGTGCTCATTTATTTAATCTCGACATAATTCCATACAAATTTTGCTATATGTAAACACCGTGATTCAACGTATAATGCAAAATGAATTATGCCAAAGTAACATTTTCTAAATCTTCTGATCTTTTTTCATATTTATTGAACCAATTTTCTGTCCAGATGTCCGTTAAGTCATCACTACAGTTCGTATTGTTGAATTCTTTCAATGTTTTTTTCCCTTTGCTTTTCAAGTGGCCATACGGTTGGAATGTACACTATAGCGGAAGAGCTTTTCAACATTAGTTCACGTAACAAATACCAAGCAGCCTCTTGACTTGAAATTTCAATGGTATTTAACATATCAACACTCATTTTTGTAGTGATTTCAAAGTCAAAATCAGGATGTTCATTCACAATTGTCACTATTGGCCGTTGTAAATTGCTGATACCTTTGTTAATTTTATTAATATATTCAACGGCATAAGTTTCACAAGAACTCTCTTCTGTGATCAGCTGAATATCGGTATTAGATTTTAAAACATACAAAACGAACGAATTGAAAGGTTGTCATTTAAGAAAAACTCCCAGGCTATTAATTACAGCACAACGAATATCTACATAATGCTCATCTGATATTATTTCATGTTTTCTGTAGAATGCAACAATATCTGGGTAATCATTTTCTTCCCAATCGAGTCTCGTATTCCTATACATGTTCAATGATGACCCCATCATAGGTTATGCATTGAGGAGGAAGAAACAGCCACCCATATCTTCAAATGCAGAGCAACTGCTCAATGGAGACATAACTGGAGATATGAAGAAACAGGAAACATAAATATAGCAATGACAGTCAATGACAAGTACTCCTTAGAAGTGTCGACCTGCAATTCTTTCTTACTGGGGCAAAGTTTTAATCAGAATTCCCTGCTGTTGCCTCTTTCTATCACCCGAAACATCCAAGTTCATCCAACAAATCTGACACGGTTATATTTTCATCTTCTGATTTTTGTTTTGCCAATTTTGACGATTATGCTTGGGCCCCAACAAACTTCTCTACAGCCAGTTTGATACTGTTGCCGAAAAAGTGGACACATCATCATTAGATGTTTCATGTTTTAGAAACTCGTGTTTTTTAATATAATGGCTGAAATAATAACACGATGTTTTTCTAGGACTAACTATGCAAAAAAAAATTCCTGAACAAAAGAATAGTTTTGCCATGTGAACTTCTCCAAGTTTAGTGCACCTTATGCAAAATTGCATTGGAACTCACTCGAACATTTACGTAAATCTATGATTAGGCAACAGATAGGACAGTTAGGATGACTCATGATCAGACCGTTGTCTTAGAGCCGCTCAAACGCACTTGTATCAGTAATCATGATATGGTACAATTAAAAATATTTTCAACACGCCATGCATATAAGTTGAACTGACTAATTACAACAGTATAATCGTGAGTGACGGCTTATACTAAAAAACACATAAGAAAGGTATATTACCCGATAGAGTTGAAGCTGTCTCCAGGCCAGAGGTAGTTTTTGAAGTGACGTTGAGTTTCGAATTGGTGGAGCAGAGGCAGTGGATCTGGACGCTGGCCCACGCCAAAGTCTCGACTGAACTGCAAACCAAGCACATGCATAAATCGCCAGAAAATGTAAATAAGACAAGCGGCTGGCAAACCTTGAGTCGGATGGGTCTTTGTTATTCCGGAAGGAAATGCAACATACTATGTTTTCACCCGGAATGCAGACGGAACCGTTTATTAAATTGGCTCGAATGTCGATCATATTTATTTCCGGTTTTATCCACGCATGCCTTCTTCCATCCGCATTACGGCTCGTCCCATTTTCATCTTGGTTGACTCCAGCTGGATGCTTACAACTGTCAGTCTGTCGGTGAAGAAGTTCGGTTAAAGGAGGTTTCACTTTTGACGTGACATGAACATGTGCATGTCGATACATAACAACATTTATAATCGGAACACATCCGATAAATTTCGATCGATTTGTATTTAAAGAAATGTATTCATTTTTATTTATTTTAAAGCTTAAAGCCCCCTTAAATGTACATATCTTAAAAATAAATTTACTTTATAAACATAGTAATATAATAATAATATATTTTATGGAATTAATAAAGTTTACAAAAAATGTTTGAATATAGACATATGCAATATAAAAATAAAACAATATAAAAGATGAAAGTATTTTGTAATAGAAAAGGAATATCACAAAGGACTCACGATGTAAACCTGAAGTAGGCTTTTATTAACTTTGAAAACATGATACAGTTACACGATTAACTTTACATAATACTCTTTTGTATAAACAATTGCTTATGTCCTTTAGGAGGTTATCGGTATTAGAAAAAGCGGGCTATTTAAATCACCACATATTTATTTGTGTGAGTGCGTATTGAGTGTGTGTTAAAAAAACGTTTCATATAAATATACATAAAAAAATCACATTTATCATAATTATTTTAAATTTTTAAATTGTCATTGTACAATAGTATAACATATCTTAAAATATTATATAAATAATATTAAAAAACAATTATATAAAAATATGTTGATTAAATAAGTAAAAATAAGAGTATTTTGTGCATATTTAGGTGAATTATATTCAGTAAAAATTTTAATTAGAAATACTGTAAGTTTAATATGGAAATATACATATGCACGTACAGAAAAAAAATTACATTTATCATAATTATTTTAAATTTTTAAATTGTCATTGTACAATAGTATAACATATCTTAACATATTATATAAATAATATTAGAAATTAATTACATAAAAACATGTTGATTAAGTAAGTAAAAATAAGAGTATTTTGTGCATATTTAGATGAATTATATTTAGTAAAAATTTTAATTAGAAATACTATAAGTTCAATGTAGAAATATATACATACACAGAGTCAAGAATGAGGTAGTTTAGAACAACCAATATGATGTACTACAAGAATAGTACCACACTTTATGCCCTGAAGATGGTCCGAATAAAGGTCGAAACGCAGCAAAAAAAATGAAAAAGGTGTTTTTCTAAACTACTCCATTCTTGAACGCTCCTCATGACTTCGCATATTAAGTATTTATTAGCGTGATTGTGCAATGTGAGAGAGTCGATGGCGGAATATTGAGTACCCTATAGTTAGATTAGTTAAATAATATTATGTGTAGAGGGTGATGGAGGAATATCGAATATTCCGTAAATAAAACTGGGAGGCGCGCCCCATTGAATACAGCTCGTCGGATATGAGGCGCCCCTCCCGTAAAAAGTCGGCTGAGCCGTAAAACTTTTACTTTTGTTGACATCTTAAATCTTTACAAAAATTTGCATTTTTAGATTAATAGTGTGTTATTTGGTTTGTAACATTCACCGTGCTTTTTTGAACTTTTACGAGAAAGTGTCAGGGAGGAGGTCAACGGGATTTTTCTCAACGGGTTTGTGCAATTTAGTCGTTCGGACAATTATTACAGTTATTAAGAATTATTTCGTAAGAAATCGTGGAAAGTGGAAATGATTCTAGGATTAAGGGGTTTGTGGGAGGAAACTCGAGGGGAAGATCCCTGACGCGCGTAACCCTGGGCAGACTTCGTTGTCCTCTTTACCTTTTAAGGTATTCGCTTGCCTCCGTTCTACTCAGGCCGTCCTACGTAATTTCGTAAAAGATCGTTCCGGTGGGACAGAATTATTCGCCATTCCAAACAAGTGTCCGAGGGGGTGAGTGGTCCGTACCGTTCCGTCAAGTCCTGTGCCGCGTTCAAATTTGGACGAAGCTCCGACCAGGCAGTTATGTCATCCGTGGAAAACGTCCGCCTAGGATAGGTCGTCGTGACACGGATTAATATGTGAACGGTTGTTTATTCGGGGAGATTCGGTGGCCAGGTAATCCAGCTGAAATCGTCTTCCTTAAACAAAAGAGGCCCGGTTTTCGAGAAGAACATGTCGAACAATCTCTGGGACGGATCATGGAATTTGAGGATCTCCGTCACCGACCTCGGGATGGAGAGGACCCTCCGTGTCAAAGGCGACAGTCACATCGGAGGTGTCATGCTCAGCCTCGTTGAAAATTTAGGTACCGTTTTACATCAGGCTTATTTTATTTTTTAATTTTTTTAATATATTTTATTGCAACTGTGAAGAGGACTGGAACCTTATCAGTTCCAAACTCGAGATAGCAGATAATTGGGACATTTTCAGTTTTTCTACTTTTCTCTTATTTACACAAATTCACCCCGAGAATTTCATCTGCCAATCGCTCAGAATTTTGTGATCTTACTTTTGTTTACCACGTTTTGGAAATTAATCGGAACCCTTTGACGATAAATCGTTCCGTTGTCAATCGGCTCAGCCTTCATTCATTCTCATCTGTCAATTGAGCCCCTCCACCGATTCTAACCTTGATCCTCGCTCGTTTCTGTCTCACATTTTTCATAAATTATGCCCTAGAGTATTTTTAGAATGCATAATCTCTTCCCTTGGGCGTATTCGTATTTCGACGAATAAAGCTCTGTTCCAATTTGCAATTCGTTTTTCGAAACTCGGGCGACTCACGTCTAAATATATTTTTTATTTTTTTTGTTTCAAATTGCGATTTGTTTATTTTTGTTTTATTTTCAACCTAATGCTAAATTTTTTTCGTATCCACCAGCCTTGTTTACTCGTGTCATTTTTTTTAGATACACTCCTGACAACCGTTCCCAGCTCATTTTTGCACCATTTCTTAAAAAGTTGCAAAATTTTATTGAAGAACCCCTGCTTTTACTGACTAGTGTTATTTCTAACTACTCTTTTTTTTTCCTTTCATTGATTGATCCGGAAAAACAAACTGCTTCAACCATTTTCTGTGTATCTACACCGTAAAGATTGTGATATCTTTCCCTGTGGTGTACAGGGTGATGAACCCTTAATTTGGTTGCTGTCAATCCACTTTGGTCTGTCAACCCAACAAGGGGTTACGACAAACTTACTGCAAATGTTGAAAGAAACTTTATGAAACTTTCAGTTTGTCCACAATGTCTTAAGTTCTTCTTTAGTCTATGACCAACTGAACTGAAAACTTAAAAGACATAATAATTTTATTTTTTTTTTAATCCACAAAGGATGTGAAAATTTTGAAACAGGATCACGTTTGTGAGATTTCCTCCTGTGGTCTGTGGAAGTTTCATATTTACCTGTCATCCTGCTCTGATTATCCTCGCTGATTTTTGTGAATTCGTGAATAAATAATCAGCGAGGATGGACAGACCAGGATGATAGGTAAATATCAAAAAACAGGATCGCATTTGCCAGAACTGGAAGAGGAAAAAATATAATTTAAATGACCCTGATCACTATTATCTTCATGCTCTCTTGAAAGAAGAATAGTCTTTAAACATCACCAAAGCGGTGGCAAAACGATTGACTGTCGCCAAAAGCGATTTTGACATATGAAAGTAAACATAAAATCAAAAGAGTGTGAACACAAAAGATTAATATTATAAGACCGGTTCACACATCAAAGTAGGGGGGAAAAACACTTTGAGCAAAACAATGACATATTAATGCCATGGTCCTCTTGACCTTAATTGAGAACTGTTATTGCAGCTAAGCAGATGAAGGGGGTTTACTACAAATTATGACCTCAATATTTACTTGTATTCTAATCAAATATGGGGGGCACGCAAATACAACGAGCCTTTTTAAATCAGCCTAGACTGTTTTGGAAAATAATCAGGATGTCACGTAATATTAAATAAAATTTATGTAATTTTTGTCATACAAGAGGGCTTAATGTTTAACTACCCATCGGGTGTCGCGGATGAGAGGTCAAACCATTATACAGTAACATAACAACAAATAAAGTAAAATCTATGAACTTTCGATAATTTATGATCCTGATATGCCTTTTCTCGCTTGACAACCCAACCAACGCATCAGAGTTAAAACAACCTGAGGTGGATTATAATTTTATCGCAGTCAAGTTTTGCCTTCTTAACTGTATCACTCACTAATTGATTTTAGGATGTATTAAATAAATTGTAATAAAATTGTACACGGAGGTCTGAACTTGTCGAATGTTCTACATGGTTCACTCAATTTCTAAAAGTAGAAATAACACTTCATTTGATTGATCAAACAAATAATGAACTGCTCCAACCATTACGACCAATAATAACAATACGACAATCCAAATCAAAGAAATGCATATAAAATTAACCAAAAAGTATTGGCATATCCCACTTTTTTCTGAAATCTCAAAAATGAAAGGTTAATGGTTTGTTGCTAAATTTATTTAAAAACTAACATCCAACTGTTAATTTTCAGTGGTAATAAATTGAGCAAATTGAAAAGAAGATTAAAATAATAAATAAGAGTAAGCATTTGAAAGGTGAAAAAATATTGGCACAGTTGTTTCTTGCTTAATTATCTATGTAAAACTAAATTTTATTCTTTTCAATCTGAAATCTGTTGTTCTAAACTATTTTCTGACCAGTTCAATAGTAATAATAATGGCTCAAATAAGAGATCATCGTCATTGTGCATTTGTGTCATTAAATTGTCTTCTCGTAGATTGAGTTATCACGAAATTGCATGCTAGATGCGTTTTGACGATTGTTATGTCAAGCGAGAAAAGGCAGATCAGGACATACAAGTTCACAGATTTTACTTTAATTTATGCGACTGTACTTTGACTCGACGGGTAGTTAAAAATTAAGCACTCCTGTATGACAAGAACTACTTTACTTTTATTTAATATTCACTGCACCCTGATTACTCCCCAAAACAGTTTGGGCAGATTTAAAAAGATTCATTGTATTTGTTTTATTTATCCCCCCAAACTATTGGAGATAAGGAAGCCTTGTATTCATGCAGGAAGTCGGAACAAGTTTTCTTCTACACAATTAAAATTTCCCATTTTGCATTTCAGAACATTCTGACACAACAACAACTTTATTAACACAGTTTTATTATTCCTACATTGTCCTTCACTAATGTGTACTCCTCCAAAATAGATTTCCACTCGGATTTTGAGTTTCAGACCATTCTGAACATTTTTTTTTTTTTTTTTCGGATCTGTCTGTGGTCTATTTCTTGTATCCGGCAAAACTCCGATACCAAATTTTATGCTATTTTCAGGGATTGTGCAGGTTGCTTTCTAGATGATCCCCTATGAATTAACATATATGCATGCACATGCACATAAATATTGTCAGATTCTTATGAATTTTTCAGGGATTATGTGGATTGCTTTCTAGATGATCCCCTATGAATTTTTTTTCCAAATGGATTGACATATGCGCATGTGCATTCACAAAATATGAAGAAGCTATACTGCCCACCCACTTGGCAGACTTTTTTCCTACCATTTGGTTACGTACAATAAAAAGTTTGAGCCAACAATTGTACCAAACTGTCTTCTTCTGCTTAGCACCAAACAGATTAAGGTCAAGAGGACCATGGCATTAAGATATCATTATTTTTCTCAGTGTTTTTTTTTACCCTACTTTGATTTGTGAACTGGTCTTATAATATTAATTTTATGTTCAATCTGTGTTCACACTGTTAATTTAGTATTTAATTTCACACGCCGAATTAACTTTTGGCGACAGTAGATCCTTGTTTTAAGACTATTCCTCTTCCTGAAAAAACTGGGGAAGGGGTATATTTTTGTCACAAAGTTAATTTTAAAAATTTGTCTTTCGGCATAAAAAGCTTGTTTTTTCATTCCGTGCAATTAGTACACTTCTTTCTAATTGTGTGCCCTTGTGCGCAAAATATCTCTCTTAATGCATACCCATTTATTATGACTACCCATTGTAAAAGAGAGTGAAAAACTTAGTTGTTTTTTTTTTTTCATTTTTTATAGTGTGAAATGTTTATTAGAAAAATCTGGAGTGGAGTAATTCTTACTGTTTTGGACTGGATAAATGGAGAAAACCAAAAATTTAACACTACATTTAAAATAAATTTGTTTGAGCGAGTAAGGCTGCAACAACAAAGACTGCTGACATAAATTAGAAAAATAGGATGTATAAAATATATCATTGTCTATATACATAATGTATCAATATTGGTGAAATTAGAAATTCAGTTTTGAACATAATAATGACATAAAAGTTAAAGTTGGAAGCGGTGGCTGACCTAGCGAAGTTAAAATTCTTATAGTCACCAAACATTAATCCGGTAGATAACGTTTAGGGTCAAAAGGGATCAGCTATCCATAAGCAACGGATATGTTCAAGAAATGAGTTCAAAATGGCCTAGGTACAAAAAAATAATTTTTCCCCTACAATTTAAAGGGATCGGTTTGATGAGCCAGATCAGCGAGGTCCAAAATGATAGGTGTAAATTAAAAAAAAAAAATGATGTGGAGATAGTATAGGACGAATGGGGGAATGTAGAAATTAACAAATGGGAAAATAATAATGATCATTTATTGAAAATTGATTTATTATTTTTATGCAAAGTGTGGCAAGATGAAAAAATTGTGTCATAAGCAACTAAAACATATATTTAATATAAGTACTGAAGGACCTGTATTTCACTAACAGATCCCAGTGGTTATTCATATCTCGCTGAGAATCCATATGATAGCATGATATTTGAATATTGGTGAAAAAGAGGAAAAAATGTGAAATTGTAGGTTGATGATCACTATGTTGTGAGTTCGAGTCCTGTTCATGACTCTTATTTTTGATCTCAGCTCACACTTTGCATAAAAGTAATAAATCAATTAAAAATAATTACTTTGGTTAAGAGGACCAATTAAAATGTATTTATTAATATTATTTATTGAGGCTTTTATTTTTAAATTGTGGTAAATACCATGAACTGGAAGAGTGAGCACTGCAGCTGTATACAGCTGATTCCTTCCTTGTTCTCTTTTTGGGATCTCGCAACACATATGTGAATTGAGCCCTAGTGTGCCAATGTTTTTCCATCAAAGAAACTAATTTTTGAAGGGGGTTGGTCCCAAATTCAGGAGCTCAGATCGGATCCTGCCCCAGACCTTCTATTGATGAGTGCTATGTCAATTTTCATTGCAGCCACTGGTCTCTCACCAGTGCCTTTAGATATCAGAAAAGAAGTCCAAAGGCGACGGTAAGAATCAAACCTACATCGACGAGAGTCTAATGCCTTAACTTAAACTAAACTTAACTAAACTTTCAGAACATTTTCCTACTATTTCCTATTTCATTTACGACAAAATTACAGGTTCATCATTTTATCGTGAAGAAATCTCACAATTTAATACAGATAAGTCGAAAGCCCTGGCGCAGAAGCAATTTAGAAGTAACGTCACGTAGATTCTGAGTGTCGAGAATTCCTAAATCAAATTTATAATACATTCCAGGAGGGCACTAATTGGTAAGGAGTTCCGGTTTAGGTTTTTGTTTATAAACTGTTATTTTTAAGACACACTTTTAAGGAGCAAAAGACGTATAATCCAAATCGACGTCCCACAATCCCACAAGCAAAGAAGCTTTCGATATCTGTTAATTATTTTTTCTCTTCTTAAAATTCTACCTATCCCATTTTGCTATCTGAAAATTACCGACTGAAGGAAAAGGCAAGGGCACAACTGCTAGATCTGAGATAGCTTGATTGCAGAGTTGATCATTTTACTTATTTGATTAGGTGTTGGCTGATCAGCATATTTAAGCAAAAAATATGCTGAACATGCTCGAATAGTATTTCAACCAATAGTAAATATAGGAAAAAATGTTAAGGTGTCACTATGAAGGTGAGCGTGTTAGTCACAGCCGAGGTTGTGGATTTAAATTCCTTTTTTTAGAAATGATTATTATAACTTCATTAAAAGTGTGAAAAGCCTATTTTTAAAAAGTCATTAAACATGAAAAAATAATTTATAAAAACTTTTTTATGGTGTCTTTTTTTTTTTTTTTTTTTTTTTTTTTAAATATATATATTTCCACTCTATCATCTTTAGAAACAATATTTAGCTTTTTATGCCACCAACAGTTGCTTCTACAAAATCCTAGGTCACACTATTGTTCACCCGTTGTTAACTCAGTTCCATGAAAATATGAAGTTTACATTGTTAGTAAATAATTTATTTGGCATTGTTTTGATGGATTTATTTATATTTTAGACATTGCTATGGACTGGTCTGATCATGCTTTGTGGTGGCCTTCACGGAACATGTGGTTAGCCAGGACGAGGTCAACATTGGATCAGTATGGTGTACAAGCAGACGCCTCTTTGCAGTTCACTCCTATGCATAAAACGCTTAGGGTTCAACTGCCTGATCTGAGATACCTTGATTGCAGAGTCGATTTCTCAATCAAAACTTTCAACGCTGTCATACAACTCTGCAAAGAGTTAGGTAGGTTTATCCTTTTGTATTAATTAAATAATCTTTGTTTAAATTTGATTTTAACGATGGTTCTATATATCTAGGTATTCGTCATCCAGAAGAACTTTCATTCTGTAAGCCTTTAGAACAGAGCCATTTGAAGCAAAATTTACAAGACCTTTTGACTCACAAGAAAATCAAAGATGTCAATGGCAAAATTCCTGCTGACACAAACACTTTTGTCGCTAATTATTCTGGCTCTAATGGCTCATTGGATCAAGCCGTTCCTCCGATGTGTTCTCCTGGAGTTTCCAAAAACTTTAAATCTTCACCAATCAGCAAACCTGCCGTAACAGTAAGTCCTGAAGTGTTATTGATAAATAAATTCAGGGTGCTTTTAAATGTATCAAATGTGATAATTTGTCAACGACATGTCACGTTGACTGTAAAATGTTGTATCTTAAACGTAAGTTAGTATGTATTACCTAATTTAAAAATAGGTGTCATGTACAACATCAACATTGGTTGAAACAATTTGTCAATAACAATTTTAGAAAGAAGGCCAATCATTGAATTCTCTTCCTCAAAATTTGCCGATAATTTATGTATTTTTATATATTTATGTTAAGGGGCAACAGAGAAAAGCAGAAATAAGATTTATTAATATAGCATTTTTCAGACAAATGAAACTTTTTTCAATCAAATGAAACCTTTTTCCAAGCAAATGAAACCTTTTTTCAAGCAAAGGAAACAAAACTTAATGATAATAATTATGTAGAAGAATAAATAAATGGCATTATAGTACTAACAATAATTTTTATGATGATTGAATATTAATATCACAATAATTGAATCGTAAGGCTTAGGAACAGAACGTTTCTTGTGAAGATCCGTTTTCGCATTGGCGAGGGTTCACTTTTGCAATTCATGTCGAGAGACGTGTTTGTAGAAACCCTTCAACCTGATGATGAACTAAAGGGCTCGAATTCCGGATTATTAAACAACTTATTGTGATTATTAGGAACTATCTTTTTAAAAAGGATTGAACTCCACACTCCCTTCATCATTCATAATTTCTATCACAGAAAGTTGTTGCTCGCTCAAAAACACTTTTCAATCCCACTTAATTAAACTTCGACAGGGTAGATGTAGAAAAGTTTGATGAATACAGAACTTCACAAGAAACATTCTTGTACCTAAGCCCTTACGATTCAATTATTGTAATATTAATATTCAATCATCATAAAAATTATTTTAGTACTATAATGTCATTTATTTATTCCTCTACATAATTATTATCATTAGGTTTTAGGTTTCATTTGCTTGAAAAAAGGTTCCATTTGCTTGAAAAATGGTTTCATTTGCTTGGAAAAAGGTTTCATTTGATTGAAAAAGTTTCATTTGGTTGAAAAAAGGTTTCATTTGCTTGGAAAAAAGTTTCATTTGATTGAAAAAAGGTTTCATTTGATTGAAAAATGCTATAACTTTAATGCACATCAACGTTACAAATTACATACATACACTTAAAGACTGGACACACACTAATTCACTTGTCATAACCATTCCAAACAATGGAGAGAAAATTGTATCAGCTGGTGTAACGTAACCAACTTCAACAATTTATAGTTCTTAAGACAATTTATTCCACTTATAGAGATAATAATTGAATCAATCATTTCAAAAACTTGTCACGTTACTTAATATTCTTATTAATAAAACTGTTGATCGTTTTCAAAATAATAAGCTCATTTCATTTTTCCAGCCTGATTATACATGGAAAAGGAACAACTTGAATTCAAGCTTTACTTCGAATGGAAATCGTTCTCCGACATTTCAGTTTAACGAATCTCATAACATGACTCTTTCACAGAGTCCGATTACTCCAAACAATGAAGCCAGAAGCAGCCTCGTTAGGCCAACAACACTTGTCGAAAAAGCAAGAATGAATGTAGCGTAAGTTTTAGAATTATTTTAACGTTTTATTTTTTTAAATTTAATTTAATCAGATGTAATACATTGAATTAATTTTGTCAGTTGGCTCGATTCATCTTTATCAATTATGGAACAAGGTGTGAGAGAATTTGATACACTCCGTCTCCGTTTTAAATTCTATTCATTCTATGATTTGAACCCTAAAATTGACGCTGTCCGTATTAATCAGATTTACGAACAAGCAAAGTGGCAACTGCTGAATGATGAACTTGATTGTACAGAAGAAGAAGCACTAATGTTTGCAGCGTTACAGGTATGCAATTTTTTATAACACAAATGCATAATGCTTTAATCTTAATTTTTTAAACAGTTCATTTCATTTAGACGCAAGTTTATCTTTTAAAAAAATATATATACTTTACTAAATAAGAAAACAAATACCATTTTAACAAAACTTCCTTCTACTTGGAAACATGGTTTTAAATTAAAATTGTCTGAAATCATAAAGTAAGACAATTACAAGACTCTCCATAAACTGTGAGTCAACTTTGACATTATTAATGAATTATGTGTAGATTGTTTTCAAAAAATTTTTATACAAGACTGAAAGAGTTGTGTGATAATAATTTTTATTTTATGCTTATTTTATTTCTTATTTAATGTATATATCCATCCATTCCAATCCAATTTTAGGTGCAAATATCTTTAGAAGCAAATTCACCACAACCGACATTGGATAACACAGCTAACATGTCCGGAGCGGATGATGACATTGATGCTGCTCTCAGTGAGCTGCAAGTGACCCTCGAAGGTTCTCATATAAACAACATGAGCGTCGATATTACACAAGTCCCTGAACTTTATGATTCCTTGCGATTTTTAAAGTAAGTGTTGTACACGACATGTAAACTATATTTGTTACAAATTTATTGATATATTTTATTTAATCAAATGTAATATATTGAATTAATTTGTTTAGGCCAAAACGTTTTACTCTAAAAGCTTACAAAAGATATTGGTTCACTTGCAAAGACTTAAGGCTGAGATTGTACAAATCTCGTGCCGATTCACAGACAGGGACGCCAATTCACGATATAAGCCTTCGTGGGTGTGAGGTTACTCCTGATGTCTGCCTTACACAGCAGAAATACGGAATAAAATTAGAAGTGTCTACTAGTGACGGAATGTCTGAAATGTACATCCGGTGTGACACTGTAAGCTATAACTTGTCACTTTTTACAACGACAAAAGTGATTATATTTCATTTGAGAATATTTCTAGGAAGAACAGTACGCCAAATGGATGGCGGCCTGTAGGCTAGCCGCGAAAGGTCGTTCGTTGGCCGATAGTTCGTACGAAGCTGAAGTCGCTTCAATTGTTGCTTTCCTCCAAATGCAACGTCCTGCCCCTGCCCCAGTGATCAATCCATCAGAATCAGAAATCGTACCTGAAGAATACATACCTCCAAAATATGTAAAGAAAATGAAAGGAAAGGTTCGTTATTTTGATCTTGTCAACCGTGTTGTTTGATTTTTTGTTAGATTGTTTTTATATTAGATTTTGACTTTTTAATTTTTTTTTATTATAGATGCACAGAATCTTAGAAGCACATGCTAATGTGAAAAATCTCTCTCTGATCGAGGCAAAAATGAAGTACATTAAAGCCTGGCAGTCACTTCCTGATTTTGGTATATCACTTTTTGTAGTAAAATTTGCTGACCAAAAGAAGGAAGAGCTTCTAGGAGTCGCCAACAACAGGCTGATGAGAATGGATATAAACACAGGAGGCCATATCAAAACTTGGAGATACAGTTCAATGAAAGTAAGGCTTTCATTATTTAAGACCCGACTACTAATTCTCACACTTTATTCTTACTTTGACTCAGGCTTGGAATGTGAATTGGACTGCAAAGATGATGATGATCCAAGTCGAAAAGGATAACGTGAGGTTTGCCTGTCTTACTGCGGATTGTAAAGTAGTTCATGAATTCATCGGGGGCTACATTTTCTTATCGACCCGGTCCAAAGAGTCCAACCAAATGCTAAATGAAGAGCTGTTTCACAAACTGACTGGCGGTTGGGCATAAAATTTCAAATTTCCAAAACCAGGTTGGCAAGTGCAATCTGACGGTGCAATCACAAATTTATCTTCAAAATTAATTTCTATATTTAAAATTTATAATCACATTAACTTAATTAATTAAACTAAGTATATTTTTTAATATCGCTTTATTATGCCAAGATTAATTTTAATGTACAAATTTGTATTTTAGTATTTCCCACATCATTATTTATTAACATTCGTTGATTTGGAAATGTTTGGGGAAAAAGTTAATTCCATGTAAAAAAGAAAAGGAAAAGAGAAAAAATGTACAGGCTTACATGAAGTTAATATTTTTGTTTTGTAATGTTCATTAATAATATAATAATAATGAAACCATGTGCCTTAAATTAATGTTTTGATTTAATTTTTTAATATATATGTATGTAGATGACAATATTATACCAAAACTAAAATTTGCAGCATATTTCTAGAAAATTGTTTTAATTAATAACAAGAAATATGCTGAATGGTTAACAAATTTATGTTACATTTATTTATTTGTTACTAAAATTTTTGAACATATAACATATATATAAAAAGTTTCTAACCATGTTAAATACTATTAGAATTTAATTTAAAAAAAACAACACTTAAGTCAGTATGCCTTAATTGTAAATTATTATGTGCCTTGTTAATTGTATATCTTATAGTTAGTTCGTAAGCAGTTCAGAATTAAAGTTTAAAAAGTTAGTCTTCTACTCATTTTCTAATTAAACTTTCTGGTTCATGCCTACATTGAAAGAAAATAACCAATTTCTTACCATTAGAGTTTGAAAATAGTTCATAAAGTGAAATTCACATTTTTTTAAGAAAGTAGTACTGCTAAAGGCACTTCAGATGATGTGAGGTCTTTTGAACTTACAGTATTTTACATATGGAACCAGCCTCGGTATAAAAATAATTGTAGGCAGCTACCAAACAAATTTGCACAATTTAAAGATATTCTGTTTGTCTTTTTATTTTTAAATTGAAATTGATTTGTTATCTTATTTGATTAGATAAATGTACATTGCAATAATGAAACTGCATCAAAAGAAAAATTATGCGTAACATTTAAAAAGTGAAATTAATAGCCTCACTTAATAATTGTTTTAATAGGGTTCACAAACAAGCTTCTTTACAATAAAGTTTAACAAAAATTAAGATATTTATAACTAGAATATTTAAAAAGAGAATTTTCCAACGTACGTAAAACAGTTTTACATAACTGTACATTGGTATGACGTGTGTTCCATTGTTTTACGATTATTTAAAATCTAATTGTTACATTCGTTTACTTCCAAATATTACATTTATGAATCACGTTGAAAAATGCCAATTTTACTCTAACTTATTTACATTTTTATTTAACGTGATTTACAATTGTATTAATTCCTATTAAACTTTAGGTTTTAACGGCTAAACCTTTTTACCTACTAGTAGTTTGTAGAAACATTCCATACTAACCTCGACATCGGCCAAATTTTCTCTTACTGTCCATTGTGTATCATACATATTATATGTATATATTTAGATTTCGTTTAATAACAATGTAAACTGCCAACTAAAACTAATATATTAATATTTTGAATTTTTCATTAAGGTTTTAAGTTAATTGTTTATATCATATAATAACATACGCTTTAATTGTTTTGAGATGAACTAAAGTGTCCTTCAAAATTTTGTAAAAAACTGATACTATTTAATTTCTTAGTAATAATAAGATAACTATTGACACACTGACATAAATAATTTATTTGTTGTTGATTATTGCTAAGGAATATGTTAAGAAGTAGCCTTTCTTCTTGTGTCAAAAAAAAGTGTTAATTGTTCATTACATATTTATATTTTTCAAATTTTCTTTCAGATTAGACAATCCATATCTCAAGTTATTCCTATTGAAAATTTATAGAAAAATATTTTTATGAGTACATATATATTTTGTTGACTACATGAAACATATCTAAAGGGGAAAAAGTAGTATTTATTAGTATTAGTAAGTAATATCTAAAAATTATTTTTACAGTTATTGGCCATTTTAAGACCATTATTCATTAAGCACTTTGGCAGAACTTAAATGGATTGAAGCAAGATTAATAATTTGTTCCTGTAAAACAAAACAAAAAATCATTTTCCAATGAAATGGAATGTTTCAGTATTACATTAATGATTCAGCATATAAGCTTTTGGATTTCATACTTAATTGTTAAAAAGTATTCAAATAATTTTCCTAGCTTGTGAAATTTAATTTTAAAATGCAAGTGCCTTTATAAAAAGTGTTCTTACTATTTTTACACGTTTACTTTTTAGTGAGCCCAATCTAAACTTGTTAATTAACAATAAAAAAAAATTAAAGAATATTTACAAATTTATTGTTAAGAATAGTAATGTATAGTAGAAATGTTTATTTTATGTATTTTCTAGTTGATGAATTAACATTATGTACCAATTATGCTTTATTTCATATAAGAACAAATATTTACCATATTGTACATGGTTAAATCATTCGTCATTTTATTCATTTATTATGTATTATTATTTATTATTCATCATTTCTATTGTATATGGTATTACCATGTACTTTAGTACATATTAACCACGATAATAATGCTGTATATTATGTTATAAGCCTTATTGACTCTACTATAATTACACGTATAACTTAGTCAACTTGCTACATTATAACTATTTAGCTCAGTTATATTTAATCACATTTTACTTATATTCTTAAAACCTTAAGTAGAAAGTTAATTAGTTGCAAACTAGCTGTTCGTTTCTTTTTTTTTATTATTATTATTATCTCACTAGTAATAACAATAACCAGAGGTAATTTTTGTTACTAAAAATCTTCAGTAATATATATATTGAAACCAGTCTAATTTGTTGTATTTTAATGTAAAAATAAAATATTGAAAGTTAATATGTCATGATTAATTATCCCTCATTAAAAGAAGAAAAATTCCAAAATGAAGCTATCTTGATTCATTTTCCGTTAACTACACTTGAAGTAATGCAGTAAAGTTCGTTCAGGTGGGCTTAACACCTAACGTGTTGCAGATGAGAGGGTCAAACCAAGTTACAATACTTCTGACAAACTATTTTCAATTGAAAAACCATTGGGTATGCCAGATTTCGAACCCAGGACCACCACTAGTGTCGCAAATACAAGTCTGATGTTGGCATGTAGAGAAAGGTTATTTGATCTGTCCTACTTAATTGAATGATGCCATTCCTTAGCTGCTTATATAGAGCCTGTACAAATGCCACCTGATAAGACAATTTTGCTTCAACATGGCAAGAACAATTTGTTAATCTTTGAGCAGCTACTGTGTATTCGAAAAGCGAATTTTTCAATGGAAATGTTGTTTTCTTGTGGAAAATTTACTGTAGTTTGTGAAATAAAGGTCAGATTTGAATTTTAATGCCGCTAAGTTGAGAAATTAAAATTTTTTGTGAAAAAATCTAATTTTAGACTAAAACCACAAAAAAGTTAATATCTCGAGAAAGAGTCGAGATAGAAATCTCGTTCAGGTGGCAATTTTTTTTTTTTTTTTTTTTTACGAGGGTTCGCAACAGCAGAAGTTATGTCAACCCTCGAGGTGCCGGTGTTTTTGAAAAAAAGGCCATTTGTAAGTATGTCGGGTTTGAATGCAGGGCCGCTGGATTCGAACCCGGGACCTTTACCTTACAGTGATGCGCGCCGTGTCAACACCTAAACTGTTGCGGCCACCGACGCCATGAACTATGTTTTATTTAGTGAATGCACCATGGTACTATTGACATTAATGCTGTAACTGAATCCCTGGTGTATGTTGAGAGTGAATGTGTAGAGTGAGAGCGTTGATGATGGGATTTCAAGTACCCCATCTCAATTAGGTTAGTTGTATAATATGTATAGAGGGTGATGGAGGAATATCAAGTACTCCACCACCCTAACCTAGTCAATGGTAAGAAAGAATGTATTTAAGAGTGTGAATGGATTTTATGAACTGATTGCATTGAAGGCTGAAATGACAAGAGGGGTGGTATTCTCGAGGTCTCTTGGTAATTTGCACACAATTTTACAATCAATATTGAATTAAGAACGTTTTGTTTATTTTTTTATATTTATATTTCATTTTTATTTATTTATTTAAATGGGCAGATGCCCAAAATATACAATACAGTTTGCAGTTCAAAAACAAATTTGTCCATATGAAAAAAAAAAAACTTAAATTACACAATTAATTAAGGTTTTTAGTTGAGATAAAAAGTCAATGGCACGAGCGGGATTCAAACCCACGATCTTCAGCTAGATACGCCGCTGCTCTACCACTTGAGCTATCGTGATCTCGATCCACTCGGACACTAACTTCCCATCTCAACCCCACCTTTTGAATTTTCCCTTCTTTTTTGACATTTTTGCCAAGCGAACCAAATTAGTGAATTTATTAAATTACACATTTTAATCATCTATACACTACAGAAAAGAAATTAGTTGAGAAAGTAAATTGCACAATTGAAAGGGATTAAACGAAAAATAATTATTAAAAACCTATTTATAGAACCTAAAAATAAACAATAAACATTAATTTATTATAATTATATACTAAGTGACCAAAAAATGCTTATATTCTCAATAGTAAAAATCTAATTATTTTCAATAGCGATATGAGAGAGAAATAAAGGTATGATCTAATGATTTGTAAAGAATCATTGAATTTTTGAATAATATTATTAACTATTTTCTTGTGTTGTTTGATGCCAGAATGAAGAATATAAACATGAGGAATGTGAGGAAGAAGAACATGGAAGAAAGTCTGATTATAAAGTGAAGCTCGGAAATTTAAGTGAGAAAGTAATAATGGAAAATTGATTCTATTATTTATAAATTTACAAATAAATACAAATTTAAAATAAACATGATGAGATTCTAATGAAGATAAGTGGGTAGTAGATTGGAGATAAGAAATATTTGTCAACTATAAGGATATTTGAAGGAGATGAATTTAAATAATTTATTTTGAACTTGTTCTAAAGAATTTTTCTGACAGGGAAGATAACGAGACAAGATAGGACAAGAGAATCAAGATTAGAATGGAAACAGTAGAATTGTTTAAAGGCTACAATATTATTAAAATTATGGATATTGCGAGATATGAAGCCTTGCAATTTAAAATATTTTTTCAGCTCAAGGGGTGATAAGGATGCTATTTCATCAATCCCTCCCCATTCACTCTAATAAATATACTCACTCATACAAAACACAAAATGCATATTTTGATGGCTATGTACAATAAAAAAAAAAACAATTACCCTAAAAAGCAGAACGGGGGACCATTTATTTACTATTGATGAACTATGTAGTGAAAAGGACATATTTGATTGAAATTTTTTTATTACAATTGATATTTAAAATAATATTATAAGGAGCGCAGAATTTTTTAGAGCATTGGTAGAAAGACACATAGATTTTGAGGCGTTTATTTTCAAACCATTTCTATCAAACCAACGAATTACTTTTTGAAAACACTAAAAAAACATTTTAAAGCTTCTGTGAGTAGAATTATCTTTTCCAAAAAGTGAACTGCCATACCCCACCTCAAATCATTTCTACCAAAGAATTATTCCTATTGAACACTCAAAAGTTCACGATAAAATTTAAGATAATTTGCAAAAAGTAGAAAATTAACAGAAGAAATGGAAGCCTCTATATCATTAATAAATAAAAGAAACAAAAAGGAGATGCCACAATAAGCTTGAAATTCAAAAGAAAAGGAAGAACGAATTTTAGCAATTTGTATCCTATCTTTATGATAAATTCGATACCATGCAGTATTTTATTTATTTATATATGTAAATAAATTTCTTTCTTCATATGATTTTTCCTTCTTGAAGGTGGGATAATAGGTCATCTAGGATCAAAGATAATCTATTATCCCACCTTCAAGAAGGAAAAATCATAAGATTTCTTTCTTTATTCATATCTGTTAACATAAATAAATAAATTATTATTATTATCACAGAAATGAAAGTAAGTGAACACTAGTCTGGATGAATCTGCGGATTGCAGTAATTTTTTTGAGGGTCTTACAAATTAGAATTGAAATACAATGAAAATATACCTAACGAAAAGAGTATAGATAAAATTTTACCCTTAAGTTCCTTGACCTTAAAGTGTCCTTTTTAAGGTCATCATAGAGACAAAACAATCTTAAAGATGTCTACAAATTGACATAATTAAGTTTTTAATAGATTGAGATAGATTGGCAATAGTGGGACTGAGTCAGACTTTTTTGTTAATGATATTTGTCAGAAGGCAGACAGCTGACAGACCAGTTCAGCATGAGTTCACCAACACATAGACCAACACCCAACATCAACTTTAAGGAGTGTTGCCTCTGGGCAACTTCTACAAGTGACTCAAATGACACAATAAGCTTAAATTGAAAATATTTACTAAACACTTTGACTGTGGCTGTCGAACGCACCCCTTACACCAGTATTTTGACGTGTCAAATTTATTGACATTCTCATGGCGGGCTAGGGGTAGAAAGGCAACACTTCAGATTCTATTCAAGTTATACAAAATGATTAAAATTATCATATTCACACTTACTACTAATTGAGCATTTTACTCAACCTAACACATTTAAGTTTGAAGGTTGAAACCTGTTCAGCCATAACTCTGCTTTATTTCTTATGTACTAGACGATTGAAGTAGATATTATTAATAATCATGGGCATATAAATATTCCTAATAATTATTTTAAAAATAGAAAAAATAAATTTTAATTTAAATATTTTTTCTGGGTTTCAACGATTTTACATATTTACATCTGTATTGTATTTTTTCCAATGAAAATATGTATTGTAATTCATCCCAGGCCCTAAAGATGGCTGGCGAAAAGAAATGAAGGTCAAAACGTCGGCAAAAATAAAAAAAAAAATTTCATTCCTGACCGCTCCTCACTACTTCAACAAAATATTGAACAAATGGTTACTAAAAAACACACAACTGAGCCACTTTTTTTTTCTTTTTTTTACATCTAAAATTCTTTTTACTCATTAAAATATAATATATTTATATAATATAAATAATAAAAAATCTGTTTTTGACAAGGGATATATTTTATAGGATATTTTTAGGTTTAATATTCCCCCAAATGTAATTTACTTGTTTTATGTTATCTTAAAAAAAAGTTTCACATAAATAAATTTTAGAGAAAAAAATAGGCAATAATGGGCCAACAAGCAACAGTTGGCAGTCTGTTTGGTGTTTGACGATTCCCGCATGGACATAGGCCTAAGGTGGTGCATCTGTTGAAAGCAAATGAACCGCAGGCCAAATAGAGAGGTACGCCCCCATTTAAGATATATTTTTGCCCCGGTAAAAAGAAAATACAACGAAAAATATAAAGTAACAAATTTAAAATGCATTTTAACTATGCAGTCGTGTTTGACGATTAAAAATGTTATTGTCGACTATGTTTCGACATCAGCATCACAGAAAGAACGTGTCTGGTCAGGTGGATGTTGATAACGTGTCACACGTTGTTCTTTTTCAATTTAAATTGATAAAAGACCAGGGGAAATAATCATGCTATGAAGAAATTAAAAATACAAATATTAAAATGGAAAAAATATCACCACACCAAAAGACAAATGACGACTTACTCAACACAGGGACGTGTTAATACAGATTTGTAGTTGTAAGTAAATTAATATAATATTAAAAAAAGAAATAAAAAAATTTTCTTACTTTAGAATTGAAATGTTATTAAACTGTGGTGGAGTTTTGAAACGATTCGGTTTGAATTCGTTTGTCCCGTTTTGAATCCAAGCGGGAACACAACTTGATCATAGCCCGTCATCAGCAATACAACATTTGATTTTTCTTTAAACAAAATCTATTGAGAATTTATATAATATTTTAATGTCGGAATTTTATTTGTTCGTTTAACGCAATTTGTCGGGTATAAGGGCGCAGAACGAATAAATCGCCGTTCATGGGCATCTGTCTGTAAGTATTAAGTTTTTTAAAATAATTCATTGTAGTTTTGAATATAGTCATTATATTGGGTTTTATTAGTGAGAATGTAATTATTTTTAATGAAAATCAGTGCAGATCATTAAATTTTTATAAGTGTTTAATGTAGAGTGGTTGATCAATGAGTCGGTGAAATCGGCTCGGCCACATTTCTCACTCTCTCACTCGGCAGATACGGTTCTATTCTTTTCCGTCTCGCACTCGTGACCTAACCGCAACCATGCCTGTAAGTATTGAGTGAAAAACATGTTCAAATTTGTCCACAGACGGTTCTCCCGGGCTGGTTTGGAATCGCATTCGGCCCACTTGAACCATCATATCGCGGCTACAACAGGCCGAGCGCGAATTTCTAGATCGCCGAGTCGCATGGCGAGGAGCCACATGGACGATGCCCGACACAAATTTTCGTTCCGACACCTTTCCACTATGTCAATAAGGAATCGGTTTCGGCCCGTTTTTCGATTTTCCGTCCGTCTCCTTTCGTCCCTTTCGACTTGATGTTTCCGTCTGACCCCGGACACCACGCCGGGACGGTTAACCCGACCCAGAAATCAAATCCTACCCCAGACGTCATTTCAAAAAATCTAAAACCCCACGTTTTTTATGTTTGCAGTTAGCTAAAGATTTGCTGAACCCCAGCCCTCTAGAAGAAAAGAGGAAACACAAATTGAAGAGATTGGTTCAACACCCTAATTCTTATTTCATGGATGTAAAGTGCCCAGGTAAGTTCATATTATTTTTAAAACTCTAACGAGGTATTTTTTCTTCTTGATTTCAATTTAAAAAAACCTGGCGATTCCTCGTTTTTAAGGCGTTCAACGTGGTTTAACTTTCCAAAACATGCGCCATTATTTTTGTTTGTTTTTAATTTCATTCGTTTTAACTCAACCTCTTGTGTTCTTTTGTTATAACCTCCTGTTAAAAACGAAAATCAATTCTTTTATGTGCAAGAATAAATAAATTAAAATTTAAAATAGTCAATAGAATATAAATCCAGAAGTGTTGAAACATGTTGCAATTTAGAAATATTGAAAAAGTAGGCGCTAAGCGTTGATAAATAAAAATTTGTCGTATTGTCATTTATACAGTTAAATCCCGATATATCGTATCATCAGTGGGTTCAAAGAATAAGTGCGATTTATTGACATTCACTCTATTGAGATTATGGTATATCAATGGTAAAAAAATGTAAATTGTGTTATATCGAAAGTTTTTATTTTTTTAGTGTATTGTTTATGTATATGTAAGGAAAGTTTTTAATTTTTACATGTACAAATACATTATTTTTGTAAACACATGTATTGGGCTGGTGCAAAAATATTGCAGGTTTTGAAAAGGCAGTCAAAACTATTTTTAATTTTTATAAAATAAAGAAAATTTATATTTTCCGTCACAATCTATACATTTTTGCCAATGTGTAATAAGCACACAAATAATGTCTTGGAAAGCATTATCGGCTTCACCGCGTTCTGGAAACATTTTATCCCTCGAGAAATGATTAAAATGCAAATCAAAAAGTGGAAGTCTATGTCAAACGAAAACAAAAATTTTCTACTTCTTAGAAGACCCATGATGGCTGTGCGAGTATTAAATGTTGATGTAAAGGGCATCCACTCCATACCTGAACACAAGACTTGAACGTAATCGATGTTTGAGTAAAAAAAAACTGTAAATGCACTCAAAACAAGATTTACTTCATTTGTTATTTTATTAACCTATTGTCTTAACAGCTCATCTTCGTGAATTTGTAAACACTGCATGTATAGAATAAAATGGTGGTATGTGCATCTTTTTTTTTTATTGGTACAACATTTATTTAGAAATCGTGAGATGCGGTCTGGTGTGATGTAGGTTTCAGAAAACATTTTCTTTATCGTGCCAACGTTTTGATCTTTATTGAGATCATCTTCAGGGCTCAAAGTGTTTGTCTTCTGTGTAATTGTGCCATTCTTGAGTGTCGTGTCGAGAGTGCCCACAAAATTGGTACAACTATGGAACTTAATGTTGACATCCCTTCTTCAACTTCCTTGGTGAAGTGTGCTAACTTTTTGGGGCTCCCGTCGTAGTCCGGGATGCTGTCGGGGAAGACATTTCAGTCAACAGCACCATATTTTTATGATTAAATTTTCAGTTGGTTAACGATATACTGTTTAATTGTCTAATTAGGTGTTAAATTTTTGTTGTCTAACTTAAAATGCTCTTGCTATGCTAGTTTACATAATCTTCACATTCTCATCCGTTTTTAGACCTCAAACATGTGCTTTGTTTTGGGGAATTTATGTCCATTGCGACTGCACCAGTTATAAGTTGGTTTTGAACACAATTGTTAAAACAAATTAACATTAAATAATTGCATCCAGTATTTGGAAACTTGACTTAATATAGACGCTAATGACTCTAGAGGGTGGATCATTTGTTGTCGAGTGGGGAATGATTTTACTCTATATTTGCTGTGCCATTAGAATTTTGTTGGTGGTTGCTGAAGACATGGAAGTAACTTGTATATATACACTCAATGACAAAGGGGGAGGAGTGGACACTTGTATTTTGTTGATTATTTTAAACAAAATGTATTTTTATTGTTAGATTGATTACAATATATAATACATTTATGTTTACTGGTCTAATTGACCAAATTACTTGTTTCAATTAATTATTCTTTTTTATGTAATGTCTTAGTTGAGATGAAAAATCCCCCTAGTATCACGAGGGGGATTCGAACGCACGACCTTCGGCTGGGTGGGTTCGAATCCCTCTTGTGACATTAGCTTTTTCATCTCAACCAAGACATTACATAAAAAATAATAATTAATTAAAATATTATTTTAATGTAGACCAAATGAACAAAACAAGAAAATCATGAGTTCAATAAAAATTATTTAATTATGTTGGTACTCTCTTGGGGGGGGGGATTATAAGCTCTCATTAGTCATTGAAATTTCACCTCAATACAAATGGTCAAATCAAAATATATCAATAACCAAAGAATTTCTTTAAAATGAAATATTTTTCAAGTAAACTAGGTCATAATTTTTTTTTCCGTGAAATAATATGAAATTTTGTCTTATTCTGTCACTTCTTGAGACTCCTAAATATAAATTTTTGTTTGAATTTAAATGTATTGATTGTTTGACCTCATGACATTTTTCCGACTTTTGAGCTCATTATCAGAACGTCTTATTGAAACGGCTATAATTCAAAACTGCTAAAAGCATTTTAATGTCAAACAGCAGACCATTTGAAAGAAAAGGAACGTAGCTTTTTAACAACATAATAACATCACAATATTTCATAAGAAAATATACAAAAAGCAAAATCATTTATCAAAAATTAACCCTTTTTAATGGATATAAAGTCGGATTTTAATGCTTTATACAGTTATAAAATGCACTTGACAATTCCTTTAAAACAAATTATCATCCATGAAAATTGGTCCACTAGCTTTTGAGAAAAATTATGTTAGGGCTTGCACTAGGAATGTCAGTCAGGTAGTAGTCGAAATTGTCAGTTTAAAAAATAATTTATGCCGATTTCCACAAAAGATGGTATCTAAGTGTTTTATTATGCTAGAATCACGACAATGAGGTTAAATCCAAGTTTTGACCATTTTCTGACCTTTACTTACAGAATGAATATGCAAAAAAAAGCAGTATTTTGTTGAATCTTTTTAAATCATACCAAATTAGAATATTCTGCGTCGTAGAACTTTTTTTTTAACCAACAATGAAATTAATACTCCAAAAAATAATATTTTTTAATCTCTAAGTAACGATTTATGCTGCTTTAACATTGCTTAATTTAATATTTTTAATTTTAATTATAACATTTTACATTTTGTTCATTTGCTTTTTAAGAAGTCACGGATGTGTCCGATATTTTGGACTGTAGAATCACCGAAAGTTTGGTCCAAATCTGTGACCCACCAACCTGGTCATCACCTTGTTAGACCTAGCCCACGCTGCTGGGACTCTTTGAATCGGGTGAATCCTTCATGTTTCCAGCAGCCAACCCCCCCCCCATTTTCTGCTTCTTGGGTCTCGACCAAAATGGTTGGTTCTTGGGTCTCGACCAAAATGGAATTGCGGCCATGAATCTAGGGTAGAGGCAAATGCCCCTTCGTTTCTTCAGTGAACTTTTAATTTAAGTGGTATAATGCTGTGGGGACTACCCATGAAACATTGAAATTTGTTGAGGAAATACATTCCCGTTGTTGTTTATGAGATGTAAATTCTAGGGAGTTTAGAATCTGTGATTTAAATATAAAGTGCTAAAAAAAATTGGTGTAGTTCCATAATGTTGCAAATTTTATTACTAACTTCTGATAAGAGTTTTGAAATTGATGGAGACATCCTCAGAAAGTTGTGAAATCTCATACCATCTTCCAGTTTTAGAGTGTCCAAAAGATTATTCCCGCACTGGTGATCCTTGACGTAGTTTTCTTACCCACCATCTTTTTTAAATTTTTTATTACTATTTTTATTTATTAAGCAAAATAGGGCAAGCGCCCCTTGAGGGAGCAACTTTGCCCATCATTTTCCGCATTAGAATTGAATCGCAGTATGAATCTTGTGGTAGACCTGTTTTTCCCCCAGAGCAGCATCAGGGCTGAGTCTGAACATTGCATCTATTTAGCGTAGATTCTGATTTGCAACATGAATAGACACATTGAGCCCCAGTCCCAAGGTGTAATAGGCTTTACAGATTTTTATAGAAAATTTATAATTGTAATACTGCTATTATTAGTACATGATTTTCTGTTCAAATTTAATGTAAATGTTTTTTAGGTTGCTATAAAATTACAACAGTCTTCTCGCATGCACAGAGTGTAGTTGTTTGCACAGGATGTTCTACTATTTTATGTCAACCAACAGGTGGTAGGGCAAAGCTAACGGAAGGTAATTTATTTTGTAAATTTTAATTTTGCTCTCAACTTTTTTCCTTTTATATATTAAAACTGGTCTTACTAGACACCAACCAATAAATTTTGCAATGATATCTGATAAATTTATCTTTGTACTTATAAACTTTTTTTTTGTTCCAGGTTGTTCTTTTAGGAGAAAACAACATTAATGAAATGTCCTAAGATATGTTTGTATTAAAAAACAAATAAAAACAAAAAATTATAAAATACTATAACATCTATTTTGCAACCTATTTATAATAAATTTTGCACACGATCCCTGTTTATTACTGGTTTTTTACATTTCAATTTTTTAAAATCAGGTTACAAAGTAGAACCTAGTAATTTTTGTATGCTACATCTTGGTTTTGTTGGTTATCCTTTTATGAATAAAGAGCGATAAGATAAACTAAATGTTCAATGTGTACCAATCACCTTGGAATCTAAAAGGTTTTTTCTAAGTAGTACATAGAAAAGTGAATAGGCAAACAAAAGACCTTTTCTGTGCATCACTTATAGGTTCTGTATGCCTGCTAGGAAACCCACTTTTTGATTTAAAAAACAACTGAAAGAGTTGAGCTTGATTAAAATAATCAGTTAAAAAATAGATATGACATGATGTATCTGCTGCACAGTACTTCCTGATACAATCATCACATCTTTTTTTAGATAAACCACATATCCTTTTACAGACCCACCTTACCATCCTAGTCCTCTTTCTTCTATATCCAAAATCCTTCAAAGACTCATTTTAAAGCTCTTAATACCCATCCTAGACACTTATAAATTTACGGTCACTGAACACCACATAGTATTGCTTATGTGCGTTTCTAGATGTAGCACAGGGTTTTGATAGGGTCTGTCACCTGGGCATACTTTATTACCTTATTTTGAGATTCTGAGAGGCATAGCTGACCTTGACACCCCAGTACTGTCATTACTACCTACGTGGACAGTACCGCAACTTTGCCTTCTAACTTGAATCTTATCCGAGCTACCTCCAACATCTCAATAGACCTTGAGCTTATCGAAGATTGGTGTCAAAAGGGAATGAAGAAAAATGTACTCAGTGTATATTCATATTGAAAAAACATTCACTGTACATTGTACAACAAAGAGATAACCGACTTCTGTTTAAATCAAGTACTTAGGACTATATCTAGACAGCAGACTGATGTGGAATCCCCACACAAGACTTACGAGACGACAACTTTACAACTAATTGTACTACGAAGACTTCTAGGACTGAAATTAGTCATCACTGTCAACAGTAAACTAACCTTATAAAAGACTTTACTGCGACCATTTTGGACATCAGAAACGGAGTAGAACTGTGTGGTTCTGCCATCCAACATCTTATCATTCCAATCAAAAGTCCTCAGACAAATTGTCAAAGCCTCCTTACTATGTTACGAACCTCACCACACCTACCTCTCTATACATCCTAACCTTATTTTTTGTTGAATTGAACAATTTTTGTTCTGACTAAATACAGAAAATAACATTACACTCAGGATCGGATATAGATGAATGGAATGATTTTTAATTGTTTTTGTTGTCATGAATTTATCCTATATATAAATACCCGTTTGGGGACCGTGGTAGCAGAGTGGTTAGCGTGTTGTTACAGCTCATAGACCCAGCGGTCTTGGGTTCAATTCCCATAACCGCAGGCCTTTTTTCGCATACCTCTCCCGCCCCCTTAAGCAAATGGTGATATACAAGAAATGTTAATATGTGCATCATGAAATGATTAAAAAAAACGATAATTCTTAATTTTGGATGGTTTAACTAATCCAATATTAACAGTTTAGTAAGAGTCAAGCAAACATCTATTAAAAAAAAGCACAATTATCGAAAAAATATTTTAAGTAGCATACATTAGTGGTTTGATATTAAGGTAGCAAGGAGAATAAATACAAACCCTGAATTTATTTAATTAAACATTGTAAGGCATGTAAATATGCCTTCGTCTAAAGGTGTTCACTCTTAAGCAAATCTCAGCCAGTGAACTTTGGTCGCCAACGCATTGGCCATCAATGACACATCCTCGTCAAATCAAGGAGTTGGGGGTCAAGGGATTTGGCCATATGGAATCGCAGTCAGCGTCAACCCTTTTGATGTTACCGCCAGAAGTCTGAACCTTGGCCGAGGCTGACTAATTTGTTGGCTCTGATTTCCCTCCTGTGCACAATCAGCAAACCACAGCCAACGAAGAGGTTGGTTGTCTTTCATTGACCAAGATTTGCTTAGTGCGTACATAAGGGATAAGCTAGAGTCACAGTTCATAGGCTAATACCTCTAATAATTATTGCCAATTATCAGGGATAATAATAATGATATTTTATTTGCCTTCAAATACATAAAATTGTAACAACATTATAAGAAGGAGAAAGAAATTTTAATTTACAAATATATACTTAAATACAGTGGTTTAGCGGAGTTTCTGTCTAGCAACACCTCTTGCTGGTTAATTTATAACTAAATTATTGTTAATTACATGACATTTTTTACTAGGGGAAAAAGATTAAAATCTCAGCCATCATGGCCAAGTTATTGGAGTGTGCATACGCTTGTACAAACAATAATTACCTATTTGACAGCAGATCGTACTAGAAATAGGTCCGCATTGCTTAAAAAAATTTAATGATTACATCTATGATGTATTCCAGCAACATTGTTTGTTGCATTGTGCTGTCCTGATATGCATGGGTTGAGTCTGTTGCAAGTGTCAGAAACTTGTTCTACACCACAGCCTGGCGACAGTCCTGTTCCTGCATGAGAGACTCCAGGAGGGTCATGTATACATAAGCATCTGCTTGACCACCTGGACTGGCAATAACGCAGAGGGAAAAGTACATGGATAGCCGCTTTGCCATTACTCACTTTATAATTAAGAGTAGGGGAGTAAAAGTGAGTTTAGGGCCCATCACCCATATTTGACTGACCTAGACCACTTTACAGTTACACCTTCAATTCGGTTCTTTTTATACAGCAACAGTCTACACTTGCTGAAAACTATTGCCAACAATCCTAGCAACATTACATTATCCAGCCTGTTCAATATTGTATCTATCCTCCAAGAGGAAGAGTAGAGAGCAGTATTGTCATTGGAGAGCCATTTTTACATTCTTAAGGCAAGGTATTTTGTTGAAATATATAAAAGGACAGGATGGGTCCAAGGATAGAGCCTTGAGCAACTCCAGCAACAATATCTCTCAGGTGGGAAAGGGATGATAGAAAGGAAATTGTCTGGATAAGAGAGAGGATTAGATTATTTTTATTATGTAATTTCATCCTATATTCTATCATCCTGCTGACTACCATCATACCTGTGTCAAAGGACTTTTGGATATCTATCAAAATGATGCCAGTATGATTTCTTACAATATAATATACTATATAAAAATTGAAATAAGATTGTACAGCCTATTTAAGATTTAAATTCGGTGACCAAACTCGTACCTATATTGCCATGCATGTTTACAATATTTTATAGGAGGGATCTGTCAGAGTTTAGCTAGATGACTAATTTGCTCCTAGACAAGAAACTGCAGCTTATGTGGAGCGGATTTCTTTTATTGTGAAGCCTTCTGCGAGGAAGTGAAACATCCTCTTTGACATTAGCATTTCTGGCACAAGCGAGCGGTTCCTTCCATACGGGAGGTGTAATTTAACCACTTTAGTTCACACCACATTATGAACCACCATCACCATCTCAAGGTCTCTATTCAGGATAATGTAAATTATAGTTTTGCTCAAACTTTTAAAAGCTCGGACTCAATTGAGATTTTAAAAAAAATATAAATATAAAATCTAGCTGATTAGAGATAAAGTGCGGTCTTCCTCAAGGATCAATACTTAGACCAATAATTTTTATTCTTCATGTTAACTATATTTACCATTTTATAAAATAATTTATTAATATTTCAGTTGGCTGACAACTAAAGCTTTTGTGTAAATATGAAATGTCCAGTTTTAAAAATATATTAGTGTTTTTGATTATTTCTATGCAAATCTGTCGGTTTTGAATGAAAAAATCATATTATTAGCTTTGCATCAACAAAAACAGAAAAATGTAAATTTTCTTGGTTTTACACTTGATGGCTCCTCTACACTATGGCATGGTTAAAATGAAATGGTACAAATTCATTTACAAAATATATAGCTTATAGTAGCCTTCTGCATAGTTTTTAGACTATAAATTTGACAAAAACAGCTTGTTGAAAATTGAATGTACTATTATTTACTGTATTGACTGGTGAGACACGTGCTCATGTGTCAGTATAATAATTAAGTTTTACTTCCAATAAATTCACTATTTTTCGTGATCCGCTTGACCAATTAATATCATCCAATTAAGGTTTTAAGTTGAAAAATGGCAAAAAGGAGGGAAAATTCAAAAGGTGCAGTTGAGATGAGAATTTAGAGCCCGAGGGGATCGAAGTCACGATAGCTCAAGTGGTAGAGTAGCGGCATAACAAGCCGAAGGTCGTGGGTTTGAAACCCATTCGTGACCCTGACTTTTTTATCTCAACTTAAAACCTTAATTAATTAAATTTTTACTTTTTTCTCAGCAAGTGCAATCTTTTAAAACAGGATTTCACTTTCTGCCCTTTTTTCAATTGTTTTATTTTATTTTTTGATATTTGGCCTGGAATTTAATTAGCTTTTACACCATTTAAAAAGGGACGTTCCTTGAAAGATGTTCATCAAACATCTGTCTAAAGAATTGTTTTAATACAATTATGGAAAAATTCTATTAAATCGATTACAGTTTGTTTTAAATTTTACATTTCATTTTTATATTTGATTATATTTTTATGTGATATTTTCTTAGCAATTAAATAAAACTGTTGATAAAATAATATCAATTATCAATTGTACACTTTTTTAGGTAAATATTACATCTTATTATCTCATAAATTTAACTTGTAGCTTGTATATTTGGTATCTTTAGATTTTATTTGACATTAGGCTGTACCTATGTTTAGGGATGGTTTTAGTGAAAAAATCCACTTTCCCGCTCCCAAAGCCAATGTTGAACCTACGTCTGTTTGCTAAAAAGAAAGGAATTGAATTACATTCACATTATTTTTTAATGACTTATTGTGAATCTTTGTGACTCTGCACAATAAATTAATGAAAAAGTACAATCCATTGAACAAATCCAATGAAAAATGTAAAAAAAAAATCCATAAAGAACAACTTTTGGGTGATAGGTAGATATTGTGGTTGAAATAATGTTACAAACATACACGTCTATATATTTTTTCTTGATATCAATTTATTAAAGATTGATTTTATTTAATATAAAAAAGTAAACTGAAATATTAATGGAATTTAGGCATTGAAGAAAAAATATCATTCAATAAATTATAATTTTTCTTAAAAACAAAACAAAAATATAATAATACAATTATACAAAAATAGTAGTTTCAGCAAAAATTAAATATACAGCTCAAGTGTATATAAAATATATTCAGAGGATTTTTTTTTTTTTTCAAAAATCGGTTATCTGTGAAAATTTAATGAACTTTGGTTGCATTATTCATTGATGGAGGATTGGTCGATGCTGCAGCTGCTGCGGCCGCAGCAGCACTCTCTCTTTCTCTCCTCCTTAACTTCTTCCGTCGCCTGTCAATCATTGCTAATTCGGATTTAACATCTGTATATGCTTTTCGTATATCGCCGAGAGTTTGAAGCAATATCGCAATTTTTTGAGCATAACCAATGTCCGAACCTGAAATTACATTTATTTATAAACAACCATGTAAGTTTATGGGCCTATTTCATTCTTATGACTAGAGTACTAGTTTCTTGTGGTAAAGGAAAAATGTTTGCCTATTTATATTTAAATTTTGAACAAGGATAATCCCAAACTAGTGCTGAAAAAGAATGAAATTACCACTGAACTCTTTATTCAAGAGTGAAGTGTACAAAGAGTGCAATTTATTTTATTTGCAAATAAATTTTAATTTATTTTAAGTGCAAATTATTTTCAAAATACTGAGTTACATTACAGTAGAATCTTGTTATTCACGATTCGCCCCAGTTAGAGGAGAGTGGGAATGAATCAAATCGACCACACAAGGGAATGAAGAAGAGGATAAAATAGAAGAAAAACAGGAATGGACAACAGAAACATTTTGAGGAGAAATCTTTCGATTAGGTCAAAAGATGAAAAACAAAATCATAGAATATGGTTCAATAGTGGAACGAAGCATCCACATAACACAATTGCTAACTCAAGCAATGGACCCTCTCCAACAAAATTTTCAACAGTTGACCAGACAAAACAGCCTCCTATAACAATGTTCTTTTTTTGGTGGACCAAAGCTCAGAAAAAACAAGCTACCCAACGTAAGGCAGCATACAGAGACTGGCAAACCAGTGTATCACAGGGGCAATGAAAACAACCCCGTCAATTGCTAAACCTGCATAGCAAATATTTATATAACAAGTAAGGAAAAGTTCATTTAGACTCCAGAAACAAACAAACTAAACACTTCGGGTGCACAGCAATAATTAATAAAATCAGACACCCAATCTTAGAAATGGAGACTGACTATATGATCCCAAAACACTCTTTACAACATACTAAAAAGTCTCAACAGATAACAAAGGAGAAGAAGAATTCAGGACATCAAATGCAATGATATGGTATACAGATGGCTCCAAAATACATGAAGGAACTGAATCAGGCGATTTTTGACAAGTCCAAAACATAAGCCATCATACTCATTAGGAAAGTACACCTTGGTCTTTCAAGCTGAAATATGTGCTGTCAATGCTTGCGCCTTGTTAAATCTTAAAAGAGGTTACACTGGCAAAAAAAATCCTCATAAGATCAGATAGCCAAACAGCTACTATTAAAGCGATAGCAAGTAAAAAAAATCACATAAAAATTAGTGAATGGATCCCAGGGCATAAGGGAATTTTGGGTAATGAAAAAACAGACACTCGCCAAAACACAGAAACCTCCTATTGGAGAATATATCCAAAAAGGTCAAAAGGAGAAATGGAGAAACTCCAGAGGTGCTAGACACAGTAAGCTTAAACTAAAAGAAACCAAGACTGGCAAACTTACTGCCACTGTTAGAGAGGAACTCATAAGTGTGACCGGACTATTTATTCGGTCACTATCATTTAACAAAACATCTATATAACATGGGCATATTCGATGATGACCCAATTTCTAGATTATGCAATGGAGGAGGAAAAACCAGCCACCAATATCTTCAAATATGAAGCAACCGCACAATGGATACGAGGAAAAGCTAGGGAAAGGATCTGTAGCAACGACCATCAATGACTTAGTACTTATTAGGAGAAGGATTGAATCTTCAGACTGAACTAAGAAACTAAAAAAGTACAATAAGCCAGAAGGCTTTTTTGGGAACAAAGCCCCCACTTCCTAGTATCCACCACCATCACACCCTCTGCCCTGAATGTCCTAATACCCTAACAAGGGCAATTTTTTGTTTTTCCCGATATCTGACAAGGTCTTGTAATCCCAAACAGCGCTGGACTTTACTATTAACGAGGTAGTTGCCTTTAATGCCTTCTGGCTTTTAATCATGATCGACTTTGTGCTGACATTTTAAACGGTTTAACAAGATTCCAAATTGCCTAACATTACACTTGTGACAGTGTCCTAATATTCAGAACATCACACAAGTCGGTTAAAGCATTATTCACAAAACTAAAAAATTACCATAGATACTCAGTTAACGTTGTTTCGGTATTACAATTATTTCAATTAATTATACTTTCATCTCAACCAAGACCTTAGATAAAAAGTATAATTAATTGAAATAATTAATATGGTCAATTATGGACTGCTAAACATGTATGGATTACAATTATTACTACTTTTAGGGCACAATTTTTGATTAACATCGAGTTGTTTCGTTACAGTGTCGAGTCGGTCCTATTTTCTCTTCATTTTTATAATTACTTTAGTGTCAAAAATTCCATTATAATGGTTGCTTTTGTCCTTTTTCTTTAGATATTCCCAGATAATTCTCTTGTAATGTTCTTTCACTTAATGTCACTGTTTCTACGTCCCTAACACGACATTAATAGATGACTTACTGTAGTTGTTAAATAAAATTTAACAACTATTTACTCAAGACGATATCTCTCATGTATATACATATTTTCACAATGTTGGAGATAAAAGTTAATTGAACAATGAAATGCATTAACTTCTTACCTAATGACAATGAAAAATTATATTTTCCTGGCCGAGGTGATCTATTTTCTCGGCGTGAATTACTACCAGCTTGATCGGGTACCTCATCGCTATCACTTCCAACTACAACAAAAGTAAACATCAGTTAAAATATTTTCTACTGCCTTAATTCATGAATTGTCGACACAAGTAAACCATCATAAATATATATATATAGGTTAAAGTGAAAATATTAGCTGGAATTTATGTGATACGCTCAATCTATTGCAGCATATAAATTAATATACTATTTACCAACTCCGTGATGACGAGTAGTGCGTGGATTCTTTCTCTTTCCTGTTTCTTCAGAGCGTTTTCTGGGTCTTCTTCCTTTCTTGCTAACAGACCTGTTAGCTTCAGCCTTTTTCGACCTAGTATCAGGAGCTGTTTCTAGAATAAGACAAGTTTCAAATCAAAAATGACAATGAACATTTAATTGAATATTTACTAGGAGGTGAAGGCATTTCTAGAGGTTCTGGCTTTACTGTGGTCAATGGCGCATGGAGGGTTTTGATGCTTTCATTTTCTAAATGTGGAGGCGATATTTCATGACCGCTAAAAAAATCAAAAGTTAATTAATTTCATGATTACATTACCATACATGACATAATTTACCGAGGAGAAGCTAATGACGACAAAGAACTTTCTGGTGTGTTTGGTGGTGTGTGATCTATTACTGGTTCTTTAGCTAATACTGCAGGTTCATTTATGATCGGACTCTCCTTATTTTGTTCTTCAATTTCAACAGTTTCAACGGTAACATCCACAGAAGAACCAGCTTCTTCTTCACCCTAGGTATAAAATCGATCAGATTAAGATTTGGCAACAACTCTAACAAATACTTTGACAAAGCATTAAAATTTAATCATGATGCCATTGTTCCAAAACCCGGAGAAACAAACAACCTTATGATATCTTGGGTACCAGGACAGAAAGAAAAGTTGGGTAATGAAAAGGCAGACACACTGGCAAGACCCTGAACCTATTCTTGGGATAACAAAAACTAACACAGAATGGATTGAATTGGAAAGGAATTGTAGCAACAAAGTCAATGACTTAGTACTTCTTAGGAGAAAGATTGAGTTGACAGACTGAACTAGGAAAGTTCAATGGACTAAAAGGCTGCAGTGCTTGGGGGAAACAAAAACCCCACTTACTAGAATCAACCATCACCACCATCATCATTATGCTATTAAAAATCCCTTGTTTTATTTTTATCTTAAGCACTTAACTGGATTGTCTAAAAACTATTCTAACGTGGATATAGTTTCAGACTGGATAACCCAAAGTTTTTTTGTGACCGTTTTCACATTACCAATTTCGTATTACCGGGGAATCTGCATGCGTTCGGTTAGGTTAGGTCCGGTCGGGTTAGGTACAATTAGGTTACATATCCATAATTCAAGGTTTTCAAGTAGAGAAAATATGCGATCAGGAAGTTAAGTTTTTCAAAAGCCTTTTTAGTCATCAAATTTTTGTTTAGGAAAGTAGATCAAACTCACATGTCCAATTATTTCTGTTTGTGGAGTTGGACTTCTTGGAATGGTTTCTTCGCAAATTAATGAGTCGAGGTTATTTTCTTCGGATTCGTCTTCATCATCTATTTCTTTGGAAGAAATCTGTATCAAAGTGTCGGGGACAGTCTCAGTTACAACACTTTCAGAAGGAACTTGAGTTGTAATTCTCTCTTGTATCACAACTTCTTGTGAGTCTTCTATAGTTTCTTCTTCAGCAACAACCAACATATCCTGTTCCTCTTCGACTTCAACTTCTAATTCCTCTCCTTCCTCCTCAACGATGATTTCTTCATCGCCATATGTCGTAACTTCTCTAATTTCCATTAAGTCATCCTAAATATAAAATATTTAATTAATTGGAAAGTATTAATTCAATTTGATGAATAATTATGAACTTGTGTAAACAACTTGTATAAAACATTAAGTGTGAAAAACTTTATGTTTTAGTAACTCATGTTTTGTTATGATTCTAGGAGCTTGTTGATAAGAAGGACTTTATTTATTATTTATTGACAATAAATTACCTGATATATGACTTCTTTTTTGTCCTCTTGTATTTCTCCTTGTTCCTCAATGTGTGTGATGTATGTCTTGACAGACTCAACATCTGTGCTCATGCCGATCGATTCCAAATGCGATGGAGAAGGTGGTTCACATTTCGGCCCTTGCAATTGCGGAAGTGTTTCAGTATCAAATGAACTTTCCACTGTTTGGGTTATGACTTTTGGTGTCAAATTTTTCCCCAAGAATTCTCCATCGTTTGTATCATCTGATGATTCCTGTATGGCTCTCTGTATGGCGACATTGATCGCTTCATCTTCCATATCTTCATCTTCATCATCTTTGGGAAAGTTTTCTTTAGTTTCCAACTCAATTTTTTTCTCAGGAGCAGCAACAACTGGAGGATTTTCCTGAGCATAACTGTCGCTTTCCTTATCATTGCTCATATTACTAAAGTTGTCACTGTCGCGTTCAGATATTACCAATCTGTCTTGACTGTCATCTTCAAAATCATCGTCCGAATTATCTTCTGGGACTCCGAATATTTGCAGATGTATATGACTTCGGTGTTCAGTGGCTGCTCTTAATGGAGACGCGCAGATTTTATCAAATGCTTCTTCACAAGTTTGAATGGTCGAGAGATTCTCGATACTTGAATCGTCTTTCCTCGGTGATTGGCTAGGGCTGGGCACCGGAGATTTGGCTTTTGCAGGAGAAGTGGAAAGTGACTTAGAAATTGATTTATCATCAAATAATCTACCTGTAATGTTCCTTCGGTTAAGTTTGTTCTTATCTTCTAAGCTTTTTCTAACTTCAAATTCAAAGGGTTCTGGCTCTTTAAATTCATAAACATCTTCTGCTTCAATCTCTTCTTTGACGAAAAATTCTTTATTCGATTCGCTGTTGGATGAACTCGGCCTACCGACAAGTGTTGTGGGATCTATGCCTTTTAGTTCTGATCGTATTTGTGTAAGATCGAAGTCTCTACCTTTAGGCAAATTTGGCACTTCCTCATAAGTAGTTTTCTCTTTTTGAATTCTCTGGCAAACTATGGGATACAAGTTTATTGATTTGTTTTCTGAATCTTCTACTTCATCCTTGGGCTCAGTTTTGGGCACGATCTCTTCGAATCCTTTTGACGGTGATTCATCAGTCAAGCTTTCGCATGAACTTTCTTTAGATTTGCTTAAATTTGTAGGTTCTAAGTCTTCATTTCCTTCTTCAGCAGATTTGCTATCAGTTTTACTCGATTCTTTCTCTTTATCAAAAGCTTTTTCCAATGAGTTTTTCCTAAGCCTTCGTGTTTTTACATGACTCATTTCTTCATCTTTTGGCTCTTGTTTGATCTTGATTTCCTTTGGGTTTATTTCATCGTCGACTTTTCTTTTCTTTCTTTTTTTCTCACTTGACGGTTCCTCAAATTTCTCAGTGGGTTTGGTCGTCTCAATTTCAGCATAATCACTTTCATATTCATGATCAGTTTCTGAGGCTGATAACTCTGCAAATAATAATAATTATTATGTATATAAAAAAAATCTAAGTGTGACTATTTTAAATGGATCATTTTGTTAACAGAAATTAATGCTTTACCTCTTTTGTTTGTTGATCTCGTGAATGCCCTTGTGTTAGTATATTTTCTGCTTGAAACAGACGTCACTGAAGATGGTGTGGTACAACGGCCGACAGAGCCTTGCCTGTTATTCTCTTTAGACGGCGTAACACTGAACGGCTGCTCTTTTGATGTTGAACTGGAGCTGCTATCTGTTTTTTGATTTTTCTTTTTGGTTGTTTTTGTCATGGAGGCCTGGAATAGTTTAAATTTTAAACGTGTATTGGAATAATTAGTACTTTTTAAAGAGATAGATCACCTGTAAAAATTTTTTAGGCGTACGTCCTCCAGTCCAGGAATAATTATGAGCAATCCGACTCATTTTAATCCACTCATCGTATCGAGAATTCCAGCCGTTGTAGTGAACAAGGTAAAGTTTCTCTCCATCCTCCTCTCTCACATTTAGAACCTGAAAAAAAAAAAAAAAATACATCGGTAAAGGGTTTAAATAATCTGAAACTGTTAAATAGAATGGAATGTACTTTTTGATGGATTGTATCTTGTTTTTGTTTTTTTAATGAAATTTCTTTTAAGATATTAGTTCTATTTTCTGTTATATATGTGCTAAACCAAAATGATTTTAGTTTATTAAAAAAAAAAAAAAAAATGATGTGAACCATGCTGAACCAAGCTGCAGAAAAGACAAGAACGAGGCAAAGCACTTTTTTCTTTTTTTATAAGAGCAAGCATATTAAATGAAAAATATTTTTTACTAACCTTAGCTTCATATGTAACTTTAGATTCATGAGAAAGGGTCGGCTCATAACATACTTGAAGCTTGTCTCCAATAGAAACCGCTTTCACCGAAGATGCAACCTCAAAATGACTAAAAATAAAACATTACAAAATTGAATAGAAATTATATTTATAACCATTAACTTACTCATCTACAGGATCTCCACGTTCTTTTCTTTTTCGTCCTTTTTTCTTGTCATCAATTGGAACGGCAATATCTTCTTTTTTAGCACCTTTTCCACTTGGGTTGGCATTAGGTTCCTCTTTGATCTTTGCTTTTGTATTCTAAACACAAATTGTACAAAAATATAGTCCAAACATGGAAATGAACATTAACGTGGAATGTTTGATGTATGTACACACCTTTTCGTTTTCAGCGGAGTTTAAATTGGATCCATATTTGATACCCTTAGTTTTGAATTGATCTACAAAAGCTTTTACTCGGTCTTTCATTGTCCTTTTTTGCCTAGTATTGGCCAAACCGGGTGTGGGAACTTTGGATTGTACCTGGGGCCTTGTCGATTTATTAGTGGAATCCTTTTTATTCCCTCCGGTCAGCCTGAGAAGAATTTTCTTCTTTCTATCTTTACTGGCATCTTTCATACTTTCAGGTTTACTCACGCCGATTTCAGGTTCACTGGGTTTGGCTTTAGTCTGCCTGGGCTTAACTTCTTTCTTGACTTCTTTTGGTTCAATTTTTATTTCTGGGTCTTTCTTTTCTTCTTTAATTTTTTGAATGGGAAAAGGCACCTCTACTGGTGCAACTGTTTTCTTTTGCAACAATTTCTCTTTTAATGTTGGGTATGTCTTAGGTGGTTCAGGAGGTGGTGGTTCAACAACAGGAACAGCATCCGGATCGGGTTTAATGTTAAAAATAAGAGGGAGTTGTGGCACAGCACTACTCGTACTTGGTTTATTTTTGTCCTAAAAAAAGTGTATATTAGTTTTATTGATTACTTTTATATTCAACTGTTAAAATTTTGAAATAATCACCTCTGTTTTGATAGGGGCGGAAGCTCTATCTCTATCTCTAATTAAACTCCTACCACTTCTACTTCGGTTGCGGCTCAAGCGTGGATGGTTTATCATTGTGCACCCCAGTTTTCTATAAAATTCTTCAAAGCTGTATAAGAATCTGAAAGGAAAATAAAAAATAAATATTACCAATACAACAATATATATAAATTTATTATTTTTTTATGAAAAGTATGGTTGAGTAGAAAAATTAGTATCACGAGCGGGACTCGAATCCACGACCTCCAGATCAGTACTCTGGCGCTTCTACTATTTGAGCTATCATGAATTCTGTCTCGAGATACCAACCATCTCAACCTACAACTTGGATACAACAGCTCTTAAAGGGCACAGTATATTACACTTTTTTGCATTTCCCTCTGTTTACGCCGGAGAGAATTTATTCATTTTTTTTTGTTTGTTTATTTGTTCAAATATCCATGGAGACGAAAAACAAAAAAAAGGTCTCGGGGTCCAGCTGATCAGTTAGTATTGGAGAGTGGACGAATGTGTTTGTTTAATTCTTTTCTTTGATCTCGATTTGTAATCGAAGTTACAATTTACGAGTACCCCGCCGGATTACGAAGTTATTTGTTTTCTCTTCGCCTGCTTATCGCTGTGGAATCACATCGCCTGCAATTCTTCGTCGCACATCATTTTGCTGTTCACAGGTCAGATCTTTCCTTTCGGTGCTCACGTCTTCTAATAAGACTTTAATTTGAAGTGTTTGTTCTCATAATTGTTAAGTACTGTGAAAAACATTTAAAACCAAGTTTTTTGTATAGTTTGATTACTTTTCTGTAATAAGACTGTCACTATTCTCTTTAATCTATTGACCCTGGCCAGGTCACTTTGTTGTTCAACTTATGTAAATTAAATTAACTTTATCGTCCAATGTATGTATATCATATAAATTTAATTTAGTTTAATTTAATCTATATTTCTTCATATCGCGTCCTGATTCTGTCAGGGAGTCAACGTGAAGGAACAGGTTCTGGCGAACTAGCAAAGGTAAGGAGCGTTGCTACCAATTAAGGAGAGCCCCTTCTTCCAACACATTTTGGTCCTCCAGGCCGGATATCTGATCTTCCTTGTCTCCTCACGCTTCTCAAGATATTTCTGCTTTTCTCCCGTTGGCTTTTACGCAAGCTAGCCTCAACATACGTTCTGATTTTCATTGATTTTGATGCTGTTTTACAACCAAGATGCGGATATCGAAAGCATGACGGATGAAATCTCCGAACTTGCCGAGGATATTCACAGAACATTGGTCAGCGGAAAGAGCTCGCAGGACTGCCATCTCGTCCTTGTATTCTGGCTTGTACTGTACCTAGAAGAACATCACTGCCTTCTCTTGTTGATGCGGACAAAACAGCCTGTTTAGACTCGATGTTGAAGACACTTCCAGGTCCTTGATCTGTTGTCGATGCTTTTGTAGGAGAGCGTTCTTGAATAGTTATTGTAGTATAGTTATTGTTGTTATTGGGAGCTGATCTCTTTGCTGACATTCTCTTGGGAGATGTCAGAAAGTTATCCGACGGACTCCCAAACGGACTTAAGACAGTGTTCGGCTGGGTCATGCTTGGAAGGGTCAACCTTCCATATTCTCTGAAACAGGCTTCATTACTTGTAACCCGATCCGAAAGTGATGATATGCAGACGATGATGTCCCGCATCTGGAGCGTAGAAGAAATTATGGATGTCCCTAGAGATGACCCGTCTGACGATCGCTGTGAGGAGCATTTTGTCAAAACGCATTTGCAACAGGAGAACGGCAGATACGTCGTCAGGCTACCTTTCCGATCCACGCCTGCTAGCCTGGTTGATTCCAAACAAAGTGCATGCAACCGATTTCATAAATTGGAAACGCCTTTTACAGGATGCAGATCTAAAGACCGAATACAATCGGGTGTTCCATGATTACATAAAACAAGGCTTTGTGTCTGCTGCATGCCGTGACGGACTTTACTTTCTTCCTCATCATGGCGTGTTAAAGGATGGTTCGACGACGAAACTACGCATCGTTTTCGACGCATCCTACGCGACATCCAACGGCTCACTAAACGACCAACTAATGACAGGGCCAAAATTGCAAAAAGAAATAAAGGACGTTCTGATGACATTTTGTATCCACAAATTTGCTATGACGTCAGACATCACCCAAATGTATTTACAAATCCTTATCGCAGACGAAGATCGGAGATTCCAGCACCTCTTTTATAGGTTCGATCCTGCTGAAGCCATTCAGGAATACGAATTTCATCGATTATCGTTACCCAATTCTGTGTTAAGCCGTCCTGTTCACCCTTCCTCGCTCTTCGCGTGTTAAAGCAACTAATAAAGGATGGTTGTTTTCCTTTGACAACAAAGGCATTACTGAAGCATACGTATGTCGATGACATATTAACAGGATCGGATGCGATTGAAGAAGCCCGAATGCTTCAGCAGGAACTGATCCTTTTGCTGCGAAGAGGAGGCTTCACCTTAAAGCAATGGTACAGCAACGCTCCTGATCTGCTGGGTGATGCAACGGCTCATTCATCTATGCCGTCTGTTCCATTATCCAACTTAGAAGGTACGACTGTTAAGGTTTTGGGAATGTAGTGGGAACCGAAGAACGATTGCCTGTCTTACCGAATCCAAACGAGAGAACCCGAACTGACGAAAAGAGGAATCATGTCGACCATCGCGAGGATGTACGATCCCCTTGGACTCACGGCACCAATAATATTCAAAGCAAAAAGGATATTACAGCACCTGTGGGAACAAGAGGTTGGTTGGGATGAGTAGGTTCCGGTGCAGGTTGGTATAGTGGACACAATTTTGTAAGGATCTGCCAACCTTGAGTTCCATAAATCTGCCACGATGCATAGTTCCAACGAATCGTACACATACCACCATTATCGGATTTGCTGACGCCTCGTCTTTGGGATATGCGGCAGTCTTGTACCTTCGTGTTGATGCCACCTTTAAGGACGCCACTACGAATCTGCTGTTTGCAAAAACCCGCCTGGCTCCGCTGAAGCCGCTTACCATCCCGCGACTGGAACTCTGCGCCGCATAGCTGCTGGTGAATGCCGTGAAATCCCTGACTGACTTCTTTGAAGACATAAAAGTAGACGAAATCATTCTACTCACTGATTCATCCACTGTTCTGGCATGGCTTCAGTATCCTCTGCATCGCTTAAAGACATTCATTGTCAATAGAGTCGCGAAGATATTGGAGAACTCATCGCTCGATTGGTGGTTTCACGTACGATCGGAGGACAACGCGGTAGATTTGGCGTTGCAGGAACAGATCCGGGTAATTTTACAAGTCAGATGTCGTGGTGGACAGGTCCAGATTGGATGAAGCAACCGAAAGAAGAGTGGCCTCTGAATACTTGGCTGGAAAGTGGACCTGACTTACCGGAAGTCAAGCCTCAAACCATTCTGTTGACCGCCAACGAGGTAGGCACGATTGAGACCTTACTGGAGCGATTTTCGTCGTACTTACGGATGCTTAGAGTCGCTGCCTACATGCGTCGTTTCATTGCGAATTTGCGAGCTGAAACAGAGCAACGGACCTCTGGCTTCTTGACTAAGAGAAATCAACGAAACCCTTCACGTATTGACGAGATCCATGCAGCAGTATCACTTTCGGAAAAATTCGACACAGTTAAAATCTCTAAATCCCTTTGTAGATTCTCTGGGTATTCTCAAGGTGGGCGGATGCTTAGCTAATGCCCCTGTGAGCGAAGAAATGAAGCATCCAATACTACTGCCCAACAAATCCCACCTCTCCACGCTGTTGATCGACCATCTCCATAGGGTCTACGCTCACGCTGGGCCTCAACTATTACTAGCGTTACTGCGGCAAAGATTCTGGGTTCCCAACGCGCAACGGCTTGTACGAATTCGTGTTCACCGCTGCCACTGTCTAAGAATTGGACCCAGTGCGCCTCTCATGGGGGATTTGCCCATCTCACGTTTTGAACAAGGTAGAGCATTTCTGAATACGGGAGTAGATTTCGCCGGTCCATTCCAGATACGGGAATCTCTACGACGCAAGGCTGCTCTGGGCAAAGCCTATATTTGCTTGTTTGTCTGTTTCGGAACTAAGGCCGTGCATATTGAGGTGGTCTTGCAGTTATCGACTCCGGCATTTCTTGCATGCTTGGACCGATTTGTTGCTAGAAGAGGGCTCCCAAGCAAGATGATGTCCGACAACGCAAAAAATTTTGTCGGAGCTAAACATGAGCTGTCCGAACTTTATATCTGGTGGGCCTCCGAGAATACGAGACAAGAAATCGACGTCCAGATGGTGAAGTGGAGCATCGAATGATACCGCCATCAGCCCCTCACTTTGGAGGATTATGGGAGGCGGCGGTAAAGTCACTGAAATATCACCTCACGCGGGTTTTGGACCATCAGCCATTAACTTTTGAAGAGTTGTGCACCGTGGCTATCAAGAATGAAGCAATTCTAAATTCACGCCCTCTCTACGAGATGTCATCCGATCCCGACGATTATTCTATGTTAACACCTGGACATTTTTTAGTCGGCGACGCCCTAGTATATCATTGCCTCAATATGATTGTACGGATCGCGCGCCACATATGCTCACTCGATGGCAATTCCTGCAAAAATGCGTGGCAGATATCTGGAAAAAATGGCGACTGGAGTATCTGATCACCCTACAGCAACGTACGAAATAGCAATGGCAGACCGACAACATGGCTCTTGAAACGCTTGTTGTTATGCGTGACGCACAAGTACATCCCTTATCATGGCCTGTCGGACGCATCATTGATCAGTACCCGGGTAAGGATGGGGTGGTATGAGTTGTGCGCATAAAAACACCCTCAGGAGAATATACACGTCCAGTTACCCGTCTATCTCCTCTGCTCCCTGAATCTTTCCAATCCTGTTCTTCCACTCTGCAATGTCTCTTTACTCTTAGTGAAATTTCTATTGAAATTTGGTGGGCGGTATGTTTACACCAGAGAGAATTTTATTCTTTTTTTTAAATTTTGTTTATTTGTTCAAATATCCATGGAGAAGAAAAACAAAAAAAAGGTCTCGGGTCCAGCTGGCCAGTTAGTATTGGAGAGTGGATGAACACGTTTGTTTAATTCTTTTCTTTGATCTCAATTTGTAATTGAAGTTTTTTTTATTTATTTATTTTTTATATTTTATTTTTTATATATTTTTTTTTATTGGCATCAAAAAATTATACAGCCATGCTACAAAGAATATGTACAATTTAAACACTTCACACTATATTCTCACTGACACATCATTCAAAAATTTTATTATCACGTTATAGACACTGGGATTCTTGAAGAGATCTCTGCTTTCTATAGTCGGGTGCTCTACTCCTTCCCTCTCCAGATCCTGGTAGAATCCACTTCTGGCTGACGAATACCGGCTGCAGCGAAATACCACGTGCGTAAGGTCTTCCTCCACTCCGCATGCGTCACAATTGGGGTGTTGTTTTATGCCGATCTTGTGAAGATACGCTGCGCAGATGCCATGGTTTGTTCTCAACCAATGTATGGTTGTTATGTCTTTTTTTGCCATGTCTAGTTTGTTAAACCACAGTATTGTTTTCACAAGTGGAAATAATGTTTTAGCCATTCCCTTATCCGAGGTAGAGCATTCAGTTTGCCATTCTATTTGGATTCTTGTTTCCAATATTTGAAAAAGGTCTGTATAAGGAATCCTTATGTTTCTAGGGGTGGGTAACTGTGTGGCATTTTTTGCAAGTTTGGCAGCTTTTTCGTTGCCGTAGATGCCTGTAGTCCTTTTATCCACACAAAGGAGACATTTTTTTTTAAAGTGGAAAAGTTGTTGAGTCTTTTTTATGTCAGCTACAATATAATTCTTAATGTTAGCAAATGTGTTTTGCAGGCTCTGGATTGCACTGAGGCTGTCTGTGCAAATTATAATATGGTTCATTGTAGGAAGGTTAAGTGTAAAGAAAGTTAGAGCTGCCTTAATTGCTAATAATTCCGCTGAATAAATTGATATTTCTGCCGGCAAAGGAATTGATTCCCCTTTATTGATGCTGTGGCAGAAAAAGGAGCATCCAACCTTACCGGACATGAGGGATCCGTCGGTGTAAACAGTTAAGTGGTCCTTAGGGAAAAGTTCCTGAAGATCAGCAAGCACTTGTTGATTAACTGCTACGGGATTTTGTCCGGAGTAGTCTTTTAGTACATAGCAATTAAGGGGGTTTCTAGTTATTTTTAGCTCTGTAGAGAAAATTGGAGGGGTATCTCTTTCTTCGATTTTTTCCTGATATTTTGCCAGAGTGATAAAAATCGTGATAATTGGTGGAGGTTTTTTCTTTTGCCAATATTTTTTTTGTTAGATTCATTATGGACAGATCACAGATGCGCTGAGCAAGAGATTTTTTTTTTCGCCATTTGGCGCAACACAAACCGTCCTGCCAGTTTTTCTCTTCTGTATGACAATGGCTGGTCGTTACATTCAGCTTTGATGGCATCATTGGGGGTGCTCCTAAGAGACCCCAAACAAGTTTTGAGAGATTTGTGCTGTATGGTGTCCAATTTCTTTAATTTTGATCTAGAAGCTTGTCCGTAATAAATTGATCCAAAGTCAATTATAGATCTAATTGTTGCTTTGTAGTAGAGTAGGCTGACTGTAGGGTTGGCATATCCTGAAATACATTTCAGTGGATTATAAAATTTCTCTGCTTTGGTCTCAATTGCCGCAATATGGCCATTCCATGATAACTTATGATCCAACATTAATCCAAGAAATTTGACTTCATTAACCACTGGAAATGATTTTTCAGCCAGGGTCAAAGTATCGGGAAGAGTAGATTTCCTGGATCTTGTAAAGTAACATATTTTTGATTTTTCTTCAGAAATATTTAGTCCGTTGGTGTACGTCCAGTTCAGTAATTTTATCACCACCGAATCCATGGCCTCTATTGCCGCTCCTGCAGATTTGTGAGTGGAGTAGACGCATATGTCATCTGCCAGTTGAATAATTTTAACATTTCTTGATATTACATTTTCTACATCAGCGACATATAGCAAATACAGCAGTGGGCTTAGTATTCCTCCTTAGGGCAATCCAATACTAGGTTTCCTTGGTCCAAGAGTGATGTCGTTTATTTGGACATATATGTTTCTCTCTGAGACAATAATTGAAGTTACAATTTACGAGTACCCCGCCGGATTACGAAGTTATTTGTTTTCTCTTCGCCTGCTTATCGCTGTGGAATCACATCGCCTGCAATTCTTCGCCGCACATCATTTTGCTGTTCACAGGTCAGATCTTTCCTTTTGGTGCTCACGTCTTCTAATAAGACTTTAATTTGAAGTGTTTGTTCTCATAATTGTTAAGTACTGTGAAAAACATTTAAAACCAAGTTTTTTGTATAGTTTGATTAATTTTCTGTAATAAGTCTGTCACTATTCTCTTTAATCTATTGACCCTGGCCAGGTCACTTTGTTGTTCAACTTATGTAAATTAAATTAACTTTATCGTCCAATGTATGTATATCATATAAATTTAATTTAGTTTAATTTAATTTATATTTCTTCATATCGCGTCCTGATTCTGTCAGGGGAGTCAACGTGAAGGAACAGGTACCGGCGAACTAGCAAAGGTAAGGAGCGTTGCTGCCAATTAAGGAGAGCCCCTTCTTCCAACACATTTTGGTTCTCCGGGCCGGATATCTGATCTTCCTTGTCTCCTCATGCTTCTCAAGATATTTCTACTTTTCTCCCGTTGGCTTTTACGCAAGCTAGCCTCAACATACGTTCTGATTTTCATTGATTTTGACGCTGTTTTACAACCAAGATGCGGATATCGAAAGCATGACGGATGAAATCTCCGAACTTGCCGAGGATATTCACAGAACATTGGACATCGGAAAGAGCTCGCAGGAAAACACCGATGAATTACCGATCTTCGAAGCCCGTGTTTCCCAACTGAATAGCGCATTTGAGAAGTTTGTTTCATTAATCGCTGAAATACGGAAACAGATGAGAAAGGATAAAATGCCTTATGACGAAATTGAAGGCTAAGGTGCAAACTGAGTACTAAGAAACCCTAGCCTTGTCAATAAAGAGAGATAGTTGTTAATTAAGGAGAGCCCCTTCTTCCAACACACCCTCTTTTTTGCCAATATTCAAACATTGTATAATTATATTAGATTCTCAGCGATATATATGTATTAGCTATGAGGTTAGTGAAGTATGTGTCCTTCATTAATTATATCAATATGTATGTTTTAGTTAGTCCTGTTAGCTAAAGAAATTATTTTAATTGATTTATAATTTTTTATGCAAAGTATGGTCAAGTTCAAAAATTAGTGTCATGTTTAGAAACATTAACATAAATGTGTTTTTGTGCTGGATCCAAATTATTTTGCTTGACCATTTTCACCTCATAAATTTAATGAGGTGGAGTGTGCATCATGGTACGGGTTATAGTTAGGGGGTTAGGTTAGATAGGGTTAGGGTTAGGTTAAATTAAATCAAAATTTAAAACCTTACTTTTTGTATGATTGTTTCACTAAACTGACTGTAACAGGGTTGTGACCGAATCCCATTTTATGCGATATGGTCTTCCAATTATTTGTATTGGTGACTCTATTATAACCACCTAGATTTTGAACAACCTGAAAAAAAAAAAAAAATCAAATGATTTTTCTCTAATGTTATTTAATTTGTTGTATTTGTATGTCTAACAATAAAGTGGCCAGATTACGTTAGTTTCCCAATTTTCTGGTCACTTTTGAGCTATTTGATCAACTAAACACCAATATAAGAAATAAAAAGTACACAATCGCTTTTGGCATGATAGCATCAAATAATAAACAAGAAGATGCTAAAATATGAAATTATTTTTTTAAGCTACTTTCTCGTCAATCGAGAGTAAAGCCAATATTTACCTTGAACAGGCGATATAAATCAACATCCTTGGCTCCGATTGTAGGCCCTTTATTAATAGGTGTTCCACTGTCATCCATAAATTTGTACAGTTGAGCCACAAAGTGGTCTTTTTCTTCTCGTGGTTCATCATCTGAACTCTGAAAGGTACAATTTCACATAAAACTAGTTTTCCTGATTAGTCAATAGTGTTTAAAAAAGAAAAATTATTTTCACCTCACAATCACCATGATCACTGTCAGATGCAGTATCATTAAGGCCATAAAGTAACAGCTCCCTATCCCAATGAGGGGGCAGTTCCGCTCTATCCAAAAACAATAGTGCCTTATCAACAGCTGCAACAATAGATTCAAATTAATTAATAATTTACTCTTTAAACCAGACACAAGGTAAAGTATAATAACATGGTTATTATGATAGAGTGTGTATATCAATCCAACAGTTGAAAAAGATAATATTCACAAACCGATTTTGGAGAGATCCAGATTTTGAGCAGTAAATGTTATCTTGTTAAGCAAGTTACCTACGAGCATGCTTTATGTTTCTCATGTTAGCCAGAGTACTATCTATGTATGAACAATATTTTTGGGAATTGTCGAAACTGAACCCAAGACAGCACACTACGACATGTACTCATAAGATAACGTGTTTAGTTTGATGATGAGCATTTACTGTACAAAATCCGGAACACTGCAAAATCAGTATATAAGTATCACCATCCTTTTCAAATATTGAACATGAATTATGGAAACAAGAAACAATACCTGCTTTAAGAGTTTGATTTTCAACTTTTGATCCAATTTCTCTAGTGAATTCGGTAGCTTCATTTTTTGGAACTGTATAACTGGAAACGATAACATATTAGTCAATAAACTTTATTATTATTTTCTCAATATCCAAGTGAACAGTTAAATCAAAGTTATAAATTTATTTAGATCTAATGAGCCTACATGCCTACACGTTTTCAAGTTATTGCTTTATTTAAACTTATTTATTAATATTTTTATTTGTATTATTGCTCATAAATACGTTGAATGGTAATATATATTTTCTTAATTGTAGTGATATTATTTCAAATTTTAATAAAGTAAATAATCATTTTATTAAAAAGGGTAATCAAGCCATCAAGCCCACATTGAAGATGGACTCAATAAGTGACCTAATGCCGGTTCAGCAAATGTATTGTTTTTTTTGTGGTTAATTTAGAGCAGCTATCAATTCAACACTTAGTATATTGATGTTTCAATTATTTATTTGAGTATTTTTAGTTATTTAAGAAGTTAGTTTTAGTTATAACCAACTACCAGTGCAATTATGTCGTTCTTTTAATTTTGAGGCTATAAAATGTACATATATAGGCTGTTTCACAAATTTTGTTTACATTCCCTTTTTCCTTTCACCCTCTTCCAAATTTTTGCTTTTTCCCAGCTCACTTCCAAACAATTTTCTTCTGAAATCCCCCTGCACTCGTTCTGTGGTTTATGACCCTGCATTTACCTCCATTACCTCTCCCCGACTTTAATCTATTTAATTTTGTTTTATCTCAACTGCATCTTGCTTTATGCATTCTCCTTGTCTCACTTTTCTTCTTTTTCTTGCCTTTTTCGGCAAGATGATGAACAAAGTAATGCGAATGGCGTATTAAGAGCCTTCAGTTCACATACTTTGTATCACGCAGGGCTTGGAGAGCCTTCCAGGTAGGCAAAGTTCAGCTAAATTTCAGTCGTTTCCTTTCGCCAAAGTTTAGGGCGAATTTCAGCTGGCCACAGTTCCCTGTCCCGGTCATTGGGAACGAGCAAGGAAAAAAGCCGCTCCAAAGGAAACCCCTTTTTTTTAATTGCTTGCGTGCCCAACCAACACATCAACAGTGGCAAATAAAAAAAATTACTACATAACTTTGCAGCTAGTATCATTTTTTTTCTAAAATGGAACATGTTAATTTACTTGAAAACACTTTTCTTAATTATTATTAAGTTTTGCAAAATGCTGCTATGCGTTTAATTATGTTTATATGTAACATATTATTATGTTTAATTATGTTACTTAAGAACAAAAAATCCAGTTTCAACATTTATTGCGTCTTTACAAATTATAATAATAGATGCCGGCACTTTAATCTAATTTAACAATATTTTTTATAACTAAATTTGATTTACATATGAATTTATTATCTTATAAATGGTCAAAAATTTAAGTCCAAAAAATATTTAAGTTAAATTCTTGCCGGAGAATTTAATTATCAGGCCTAATTCACGATGGCGTATTTTGTCTAAGGCAGATGATATGACGTAATTAACTGGTTACTGAAATTGAACACCGGGTAGACACTTTGCACAGTTGAGGGGGGGATTACGCTTGCACACTGGTAACATATTCTTTATACTAGAAAAGTTCTCTTGAGACTGTGGCTCAAAAGAACCCTATACCCATGGTATAAAAATAATTATTACTGTTGGCCACAACATTAAACAATATTATCGTTGTTACTTTTAATAATTTCAAAATATATAATTGTCTAAAGTAACAGTGCAGATTTATTGTCATGTATTGATTAAGGGAATTTGATTTTTCTTTTTTAGTAATTTATCATTCATAATTCATATGAAACCATTAATGTAGATATATATTATATATATAATTTCAATAAAATTGCTTTAATTGAGAATATAGTTTTACAATGTGTAAAAATCTCTTTTTCTCACTTTTAACCTCTTTGTTATAATATACCATGGTGGTTACTTTACCCCATACAGAGGTAAATTCAAAATATAAGAAAATGCACGACATTTACTCTATTAATAAAAAAAAATGTCTATATCCACTATTATCCATACAAAACTATACTAACTATCTGCCATCTTTGAAGGATCGAACGAGATATTCTTCTTTAACATGGATTTCAACTGTGTCTTGAGCTGTTGGCGCGACTACCAGGCCGGGGAACCAATTGTCCTTTTGTTTTCTTTTTTCAGAACCTTCGACGCACACGACCCGTCCGATATCCTCTTCTTTTTGAATGGTAAGCTCTGGGCCATGAGTTAGAGACTCTTCATCATCACTGCTCCCTTCACTGAAAGTGAATGAAAAACAATTATAACACATATTTCCTTACTATTTTTTGAATAAAGTTTGTAGTTACCAACTTGGTATCTGTCTATATTTGTATAGCCAGAGAAATGAGTATTATGTATATGTACTATATTTATTTTTTATTATTAATTTTTTTTAAGCCTCGGGACTTAACCTTTACAAGAAGTGCATAACTGAGCTAGTAACTCTAGGATAAGTTAACTAATTTTAATTGAGATATTATTACATATTTTAAACCTGCACAAATTTTTCCAATTACCTGGTAATAATAATTACTTAAAAATTACTCACAAGCCAGTCCTATTTCTTCTACCACGTCTACCACCGATTACAGGAGTTCCAAAATGTTCTGGATGCGTTAGGGGAAGCTGATCCAATGTTTCGCTTTCGGCGAAATGTCTTCCACTTTTCATGCACAGCGCACTTCGTCTCAAAGTTGTAATATCCCCGTCGTCGAATACTTTGTAGAAAATAAAGTGTTGACAATAATAGTTGTAAAATTTATTAAGGCTTAAACAAAAAACATACCAACAGTGTACTGGCTACAGTCTTGAATTTTTGTTATCGTAGCTTCTACGAATTCTTTATTCTCAGAATGTCTTACTTCGACTGTTGCGCCATTCTAAAAGAAGAATAAACATTTAAATGATAATATACTATTTTAAATTTCATAGAATATTTTCAAATCTGTTCAGTATTTGAACTTTACAAAATAAAATAAAAAACATGTTAATAATTGAAATATCTTCTTTGTAAACCAATTTTGAAAGAAATTGTTTCCAAAGCAATTTATGCTTAACACTTTATTAAGTATGTCTACTATCGTGGTAGACCAAGCACTACACTACCTTAAAATAAAACAATTTTTGTGTACAAATTTATCATACCCTTAACACTCCTTTAATTTGATCATCAGCAACTGTGGCACTGCCCAGTCCTTGTTTGAACAACACCTACAACAATTATGATAAAAGTCATGTCTATCAAAGTCTCAATTAAAGTAATATCAAAAGATCAGAAAATAATCTATACTTACTTTGCACTTCACACTTCTCACAACTTTACGAATCTTTGCTTCACAAAATGCACCTTTATATTTGGCACTTACTTCAGTCCCGACAGCCAGGTAAGGAGGTTCATCTCCCTAAAAATATTTTTATTTTAAATTATAAATAAAATATGATTTCAAATCAATAAAAAATAAGTGTGAAAAGTAAATTTTTATTTATAACTTGTGCCAATGTATAGCATATTTTCTCCTAAGTTTCCATTTTACCAGTTTAGGTTTTGTAATATATGTGGTATTTAGTGACCGTTAATGATTATTTCGAGATCATGAGATGTGGTCTGGCTAATTATACAAAATGAAATTTCTATCGTATAAATTCATTTTCACATCTTAGGTGTATTTGTATAATTTAAACAATGTTTATAAATCCCAGGTCCTGAAGATGATCTCAATAAAGACCGAAACGTTGGCACCATAAAGAACATGTTTTTCTAAACCAACATCACACCAGACTGCATGTCACGATCTCTAAATAATCATTTTTTTAATGTACAAAATTTGTAAGGTATCTGGTGTTCTAAATTGATGAATTAATATTCATCTGTTTCAGAAGATTGTATGAATGTAAGAAGACAGATACAGTGAACTAATTCTAAAATATTGACTGTTATTAATTCTTAATATACTAACTGAAGCTTTATCTAGAAATCCACGTTTTGAGAATGAGGATTGTTTAAAAGTAATGAATATGATCGATTTAAAAGAAACTATGATTAATCAAAATTCTAATAAAAATGAAATTGAAAATCGAACGACATTTTAAAAGATGGTGATATAATTTTTAAAATACTAAATAACCGAAAAGAATTTATCTTTCTACTAAGTTTGGTTTATACTTTTTTTAAAATTTGTTTATTAAACTGGTGTTATTAGACCAACCATTAAATTTACAATGATATGCATAAATAAATGTTTAAATTCTTATAAACCCATTGATACAATAAGATTTACACTTCACTATTCACAAAATTTTTAACTACACTATGGCTTTGCTCTTTTTAACCATCCGATGGTGTTTCAATTAGGTCTTTTCCTCATTCTCGTGCTGGCTTAGACATGTTTGGCAGCAATCTGTAAATCCATGACTAATTCCTTTTTCCTTTCGTACCAAGGTGCAGTGACCATGTTACGTAAGATTTTATTTTGGAGTGTTTTTATAATTTTGATATTGCTGCTGTACAATCCCATAGTTGATACCATACGACAACATAGGCTTTAGGACTTGTATGTATAATATTTTATTTTGTACAGTAAGGTTGGAGCCATGTCCTATCAGCTGGTATAGTTGTCTATACCTTAAACCTATTTCTGTCTCTTTTTCTTCACTCTCTCTTTCCATCTCATTCTACAAAATTCTAGCCCACTTGTATCCATTTTGCAACCGACAACTGTCACATTCAAAATCCAACTTCTAACTTGATCGCTGACTAGTGACTAACACTAAAATAAATTGTAACTCAACTACTGACTACTCAGTACTCATGTAAAACCACTGTTTGTCCAGTGACTGCCATTTGTGTAACACTGGCTATTTCAAACTTCCACAAAGAGTTCTACAGGGCTTTCTTCACCGTGGCAGCTATTACCCTCTGGCTTTACTATTTTGCATTTCTCGAGCTTTACTTTGGAGAGGATTCTCAAGTGTCCAAGGAAGACACAATTTGCTTAGATTTTTACATATCCTCACATTCTAACCGTTCAATACAGTTAATAAAATAATCTTTTCACAATTAATTATTAATAATCACACAACTAATTAGCTATACAAAAAATAGTCTTCTCGTGACTTTTTAAATAACCAAACAATTATTGAATCCTGTGTTTTTACTGATAGTTCTCAACATAAAACAAAGAATTACAATAAAAATTATTACCATTAATTATATCTCATTTTTTCTGATTAACAAATCTTGTAAAACAAGTTATTCTTCCTGAAAAGTTTTTCTTATTAAAAAATACTGTTCTCACAACATATCCATATTACTCTTTCACGTGTAACACAGAAATGATTTAAAGTGACATGGGGAGGCTGCAGACATAATGGAGATAGTTATATAGCATTTTTCAGTCAACTGAAACTTTTTTCAACCATATGAAACTTTTTTTCAACCAAATGAAACCTTTTTTCAATCAAATGCAACTTTTTTCAACCAAATGATACTTTTTTCAACCAAATGAAACTTTTTTCAACCAAATGAAACCTTTTTTCAATCAAATGAAACTTTGTTTCAACCAAATGAAACTTTTTTTCAATCAAATGAAACTTTTTTCGATCAAATAAAACCATTTTTCAAGCAAATGAAACCTTTTTTCAATCAAATGAAACCTTTTTTCAATCAAATGAAACCATTTTTCAAGCAAATGAAACTTTTTTTCTATCAAATGAAATTTTTTTTCAATCAGATGAAACCTTTTTTCAATCAAATGGAATTATTGTTATTATTATGTCACTTATTTATTCCTCTACATAATTATTATCATTAGGTTTTAGGTTTCATTTGGTTGAAAAATGGTTTCATTTGATTGAAAAAAGGTTTCATTTGATTGAAAAAAGTTTCATTTGGTTGAAAAAAGTTTCATTTGATTGAAAAAAAGTATGCTATAGCCAAATGTTTTATTCTGCTCATTCTTGTGCTAAAATGAGTAATAATTATTAGTAAATGTAAATGCACAAACTGGTAAAACAGGCACATCAAACCTTTTTTACCTTGATGAGTTATAATTAAATAAACCTTACAATCAAGAATATTTTACTTTTTGATTTAATTAATTGATTTTTTAATGGGGGTTTGCAACAGTAGAGGTCATATCAATCCCCTGGGAAGACAGTGTTTTTGGAAAAAAATTTGTAAGTATGTTGGATTTGAATGCAGGGCCGCTGAATTCGACCACAGACTTTTACCTAACAGTGATGAGTACCGCGTCAACATCTTAACCATTGCGGCCACCAACAACCAACTCCCTTTTTATTTATTTATTGTTTTTTCAGTTTTTACTTTGACAAATTCAAATATTTCATTTCCAAATTTTAAACGAACTAGATTAATAGTTGAGAAAACTCTGGTTGTCATTTGTTTGAGGGTTAATATTGATTTTAAACGAACTTACAAGCATGTCCCGCTTTCCAGTCCACCCACTCATGTTTAATGTTCTCTAATTAACTCTTTTTGACTAAATCCTGAAAAAAAATTAATTGATTAATAGTGTCATAAAACATAATTGTTAAATTAGCTGTTATTTGTTAATGAAGCTTGACGACCATTTAAACATTTGCAAAGTCCATCTTAAGTTAAAGTATATAATAGAGAAATAATTGTTAATAAAAGGCAAGAGTTGTAAAGAATTTTTTTTTTTTTTTTTAGATTAGGCTGTAAATTTGATGCCTCGCCAACTCTGTGGGAAACAAAGGAACCTTTCCAAAAACCTGGAGGGTGCAGAAATGCAACAATCGAAAATCCCCCCCCCAAACAAAAAAAAAACTGCAGTTAAGTTTTCATACATTGTGGACAGAGTTCATCTAGTTAGGGTCACCGTAAATTTGTAAGCGTGTCAACTGGACGGGCTTTTGAATCCCTTTAACAGAAAGCTATTGACAAACAGAACGGGGGCAGCGTAATGTAAGCTCCCAAGAATAACGAGTTCTTACATGGATGGCCAGGGGTCATGACCAACCTTCGCAAGAAGCCTTACCTTCCTCCTTCCACACAAAAGTAATCAAACGCATTCACTAATATGTCATCACCTCGCTTAGAGATAAGGATACAGAGCTTCCACATTGCTTACAGTTTTTGATCTGATCAATGTGTCAGAATAAACTGGACAAATAACTGGTGTGAGCCACGTTTTTTGTCCAGTACTGCATCTTATCATTCAGTAGTATCAGTTTTCCTTGATGTTAGAGCTATGGTGAGGCATGGATGACACAAAAGTAAACATTTTGCCTTTTTCTAACAGATTCACTTTGGATGAAAAACAATCACAAATAATCTGAATCACAGCATATCTTGATGAAAAAGCAAATTGTTATTGCCAAGATTTCAACCTATTTTCAATTCATCCACCATGGCAAAATTATCTTAAATAAGTATATAAATTGACATAATTAAATTTTTAATAGATGATTTCATATTTGTGAGTAAAAAAGTGGTCGATACATCTAATACTAAAAAAAAAATAGGAGAAAAAGAAATGAAGCAAACTGAAGAAGAGCATGGACCAAGGAGTGGTCGAAAGAAGCATAATCTGGTGATGCAATCTTGCTTGAAAAAATGCACAGCATATAAGTACAGTATATACAAGGTGGTACATTTTTCAAAGCAAAAACAATGGACCACCATTGAGTATCAAGTCTTAGAAGTGATGACTTCATACTGGTTAAGTTGTAATGTATATTAAATTGTCTGTGATATGGACATAGATATTGAGGTCCTGGGTATTCAAGGAAGAGGATCTCTTCACGGAAGAGCCGAGAGGTATAGCTTTTCCAACCACCAAGACCTGCTTCTTCAACAGAGCATTTCTCCTTAGTGTGACAATCTTTTTTTTAAAATGAAATTTAATGGTGAGGGTCATAAATTATCTAGACTGTATTTATTGTATGTGGCAAGAAGGCCAGTTGAGCCTGATGAGGCTAGATGGCTAAAAGAGGCGGTCAAAAGGCTTTCTGCACCTCGACCTGAGTAGATCTACTGTGCTCCCCTATTTTTATAACTCACTGGCAAGTTTCAGGTTGTTAATCAACCTCCCAGCCTTGCCAGCGGCTCGTAATTGTTCTTTTTTATGGTTTTTCCTGTCCTAGTTGCAAGAACCTGTACCTACATAGAGCTTCACAGAAACATAAAATATGTTCTTGTCTCCTCTTCTTCCTGTTACAGTGTTTCTTCTGTCTGTACTCCTAACCGGTGCATGAGTTTTCTTAAGTGGCAGTGCACTGTCAGGAATCCAACAGAATCCTGATTCGGTTGCGGTTGCCTTCCAGTAATTCCTTTGTAAGTTTTGCGGATTGCCCTTCTATGAATCTCTTTCCCTCATGCCTGTGGTATTGTTCCACCAAGTTTTGCACTCATTAAGGATCCATTTTAAGATGTATCTTCTTTTGTGGCAGGATGCTAAGCCACAGCAGGGTTCAGGGCCTAGAGAGTCCATCTTGGACCAATCTTTGGCCAACATGTCAACCTTTTCATTGCCTCTATGCCCCAAGTGCCCAGGAACCCTGGCACAGTTTTCAATTGTTATGATTTCAGAAAACTGTAGCATATCTACCTACGTTTACTGTCAGTTCAGTCTTTGGATTCATCCTAAAGAATCCAGCCCCCGTGCCCTTGTCAGTACTGGAGCCGTCAAATGCACTGGGCAACTGTCAACCCTTTTTGACACACTTTACAGACATTACTGAAGGATTTGCATGCCAGTACCATGATCGACATACTTCACTTGCCCAGGTTTTCTTCGTAAACCATTTTCGATCGTCGTACTCCACCAGTCCAACTGATCGCCCACTTGGGAACATGCCAGACGCCCCCCTCTCACAAATGAGTTAATTTATAGTTGATCTATAAGATTTGCAGCAACTAAGACGTCAAATACCATTTCCATTGGCCCATCGTCGAATGCCTTTTTCAAATAATTTACCAGATCAAAAGATTCCCTAAATGCCTTGTATAAAATAGTCTAAATATATCAATTCTCACAAAAACCCGTCTGTCGAGTCTTTCCAGATCGACGCTGAGAAGAGTAAACAGCAGGTGCCATCGTCGAGGAGTACCAGCAACTGTCAGCAGGAAACGGACCGTCGCGGCAGGAACCGAATACACCGTCAGCGACCTGGAGACGACGATGTGCCGCAACACAAATTCACTTTAGAATTTAAACAAAAACAGACGCTACACAGTTGAACAGTTCTCAACCTAAATAGATAGCCGAGCCATGATTTGTGACAATCCACCGATAAATAACTCGAAAGGGGCCGCTTTCGATAAGTTCACATCGAGACGATCCCGCTTTCACAACTCGTATCACTTTTCCGCTTAATTAGTCGCCTTTTAAACAATATCAACATCTATGGTCAAATTAAAAAAAGCGATTATCAATTAATCTTATAATAGTTTGAAGAAAAAAATAAAAATAAAATATGTTGGACAGAAACAGTGAGATCGATTCAGTTACGTCGTGGTCCCGTTGAGGAGGCTACGCATTTTTATCGTCGATCCGCCAATTTTCGTTTTTGGTTTTTTTATTTTATTAGTTATTTACGGAAGCCAAACCCATTTACAAATATATAGTAAATTTGAAATACTAAATGTTTATATATTTTCTGTTTTATGGTGGTGTAAATGAAGCAATACTCGTAATGCCATATGTTACCATATGCAACATGTTCTCTCAAGATTCTTTAACGTTATACCATATATGACTCAGCTAAAAATTGCAAGCCTAAACGGGAAACCATTCTCCAAGGAAGCTAAATATCGAGGGGTCACACTAGACCAGCGGCTCACCTGGAATAATTAAAACTATACAGGGAGCAAAAATTTGACACCAATGACCCTGGCATGGGTCCCTGGGCAATCAGGGCATAGAGGGATTGAGAAGGCTGACATGTTGTCCAAAGAAGGAGCCAACATGGATTCTAAGTCTCAAGCCCTTTCACCTGTTCCCTATAAAATTTCTGGATGATTTTTGTCATGCATTTCTAGCTAGTTAACTAACCGGGAACAAATTGTTGAACTAGGCAACTACCTGTCTCAAGTAATAAAAGTTTCTTTCTGGTGTTCCGTGAAGTGCTCATCTCTCTCTCTACTCTTATTTAATATTTGTTTATGCTGTATTTTAAATTGAGAATATCCATTAGAGGTAAAGATACTTAATCCTTAATCCAAAACAAGGATAAAGGATTTTTCAATGTTTACTTTTTATGGAATTTAAAATATTCAGTCTCATTTCAATTCTGAAGCAATAAACTTTTTAGTAGTTTTAATCTTTGTTTTCTTAATTTCAATTTTTAAACTGAAAAATGCCACTTAGTGCTATGGAAGTTGTGCATGGTGTGGCACTTATTGATGATGGACGTTCCATCAGGTATGTAGTTATTGCCATGGGAGTTACCTGAGATGTGAGATGCCGTTAGACATATTTGAGAATATATATAGAATTTGGTGGGTCCTACCATAGAAGGCCTGGTTCTGGATGCCCTAGAGCAACAGAACCACAGGATGACCATTTTTTTGACTGAGAATTTCGCGCAACCGGCACCTTACTGTTGTTCAAGCGATTCATCAGCTCCTGGGAGTTCAAGGAGTCCAAATTTCTGAACACACCGCTCAAATTAGATTAAATCAGTATGGACTGATGACTTTTTAACATCAGGGTCTTAGCCTGTTCTCAAGAACCCCTCGAACATTTATGGGATAACCTCAAAACACAAATAAGAGCACATCCATCATTTCCTGATACATTCCATGATCTTGAAAGGTCTCTTCATGAAGAATGGGCTAACGGCCAGCAAAGAAACATTTCCAGACTGGTAGAAAGCATGCCGAGGAATGAGAAAATTCACTGTGAAATCAATACTTTTGGAGATGACAAGTTATTTGCAAATCCCGTGATTAAATTCACTGAACTGTAAATGAGCAATGATAAGATTTCTGACTGGTCGCTACTTTGAGGCCTTAAACTCAACCCTAACAAGTGCTGTGTTCTCCATCTGGGCACAAAAAACTCTCATTTAACCTGCAAAATTTGGCCTCTACGTCCAAAAAGACTTGCGGATAAGAATACCAGAAGACTTAAAGTAGAATAAACATGTCCTGGACGTCGTCAAAAAAGGAAGCTTTCTTGCATACCAAGATAAATTCACATTTCTGTTACACTCCCCTAGAGTTTGCAAGTAGTATTGAAGTCCCTACTTTCAAATGTGTAATAACAATTACAGTTGTGTACAAAAATTTCAAAGAAAATTACTTTACATTCTGGAAAGACCTAGAGGAATTCATTAGAGGGTAGATTAAAAAATGTGTGAGGCAAATTAATAATTACTAATTTTGAACGCAGGATTCGAGATAAAAAAGTCAATGTCACAGATGGAATTCAAACCCAGGTCTTCGGAACTGTACCCTAATGCTCTAACCTCTTGAGCCACGGTGACTTCAATCCCAGAGACATACTTTTCTGTCTCAACACATAGTATTTATGAAATTCCTGTTTTTAATGACCAATAATAAATTAATAATGTTAACTTTTGGGATAGAAATATTACTTTCATTACAAGTACAATTTTCACAAATTTATTATATTTTTTAAAAAATATACAAACAGCAGTATAACAAATTTTCATATTTCCATATAAAGTGTACATACATCATGTATATATACATATATGAATCTTTTATATGTGTATGGAAACCTTTCATTATATTTTATTAATAACTTTAATTTCATAGTGTACAATGATAAAGGTGCTAAATTTCAAGCTTTAGGAAGTTATCAGGAAATTTGTCATGAACGATGTATCGATTTTCCCCTGGTTGTACTATGCCATCCAAGAATCCAAACCAATAAATGACAAGTCCTGGGCCAAAACTGAAAAGAAAATTGGAATGTAGATTATTTTTTGTTTGTTTTTAAACTAAACACAGCAATTTATTTTTATGCAATATATTTCAGCTGCTTTGTATTTCGAGCCACATCCCTGGTCCCTCTTCAGAGCTTGCTATTTTGCTAAAATGAACTCCTTACAATTTAATAATTGTTTACCACCAAATTAAGTTAAAATTAATACAAGAAAGTAAAACTTGAAAAGAAAACGTCCACCTTTTACTAATAATAACAAACTGTATGCAACATTAATTTAACAAAATCATAATAAATCAAATCTTTTGGCTGTACTCATGTTTTGATCATAATTAAGACAACCTAATTTATTTTACAGAAAATAAAGTTTTATCAACAGTTAAACAGTGTATAAAATATAATTTTATTATGATCCCAGTTCAACATTATGAATTTTAAACTGAATAATATTAATAGTACAACATAGTAATAATAAGAATAACAAACTTTTTATAATAGACTTTTTTTAATGAGTGTATTTCAACTGCGAGGTTATATGTCGGTGTGTTTGAGAAAAAAAAATTGTAAGCATGTCGGGTTCGAATCCAGCAGCCCTGCATTCGAACCCAGGACCTTTACCTCACAGTGATGAGCGCTGTGTCAACCCCTAAACTGTTTTGGCCACCAACACCCCTATATATAATGCCATTATTTGAAATAAATTATACAAAATATAATTATTACCTATCAAAATATGTAAAATACTGTTCTTGACAGTATTGCTTGTGGGTTGGTTCATCTGCAAATAAAGCCTTGCTCTCAATCCATCTTACAATTGAATTATTAACAGCAATTGGCACATCTAGCAGTATGTCAGGAGTTTTCATATATAATTGTTTTCGAAGATCATATTCTGTCCTAAAGCTTAGACCATGTTTCTTTAATTCAGTGTGAATTTTTACTTCATATTCATAGCCAGTTCTCCTTAAAAAAAGAAAAAGTAAATAAATAAGTAATTTAAAAAAATAATTATTATTAAATACATTGATTTTATTTTTTTCTTTCAAATTGGGAGGAAGGTGTACGTGGGGATTAGAGTGGAATTGGAGATTACAGTGAAATTTTTGATACTTGAATTTTATAGAAAATATAGAAGTCTTATGGAACATAATAAAGAGATGGTTTGACCTCCAACAAGTGTTGAACAGGTTCAAATTGCTCTTATTTAAGAATGGGATTCCGTTTCACAAGACAAAATCCGATTGCTTATTTACTAGATGCCTAGGAGACTTAAGGTCTTCTGTGAAGCCAGAGGAGGTAATACGCATTATTAAAAGCGAAAAGTTTGGCCATAAGTGGAGTTTTTCCATAGATCATGCTGAGTCACTAACTGATGACAAAGCCGACAATGGAAATGTATGTTTACTGTACCCCATTGAATAGTTACAGTCAATGACACATTCGGGTTTGCCTCCTGCAGAACTGCATTTAAAAGCAGGATGTTAGTTATGCTATTGAAAAATTTATGCTTACGAGACAGTTTGTATAACCGGACCAGTTTGCTAGTAAGAAAAAGTGATAGATATAAATTGATTGATACTACACTGCCAAATATTAACTGGTTATAAAAAGGGAGATTTTGTGCACATCCTCGAATATATGTAGACATATGAGGAGATACTGAAATACCCTTTTTTTTTCTTTTTTTTTTAAATGGTTGCAATTCCCAGTCAATCTAGCATTTCCTATTACTAAAGAGGTCACAAGGACAAACTTTTGAGAAAATAGGTTTGAAATTCAAAAAACACAATATTTACACATGGACAATTATATGAAGCACTGTTGAGGTGTACGACATAGATGGGCATTAAAATAGAATGCAAATTAAAAGAAAAATGTATAGAAAATATTGTTTTCAATGAAGCGTTGGAGTAGTGTACAAGTTATTTTTTGAACAAGCCTACCAAAAATCATGAGGCCTGGAAGTTTAGAGCTTATTTATTTTGAGTTGCTCTTTTTTATTTACCTGAGAAAATATGATATAAAAGTAGAGGGGGCTAAGCTCACCAACCTCCAGGCTGAACATGGCAGCTAGCGCCTGCTAGCCATTTTGCGTGGGGATGAGTGGGCAATGAAAAAAAGCGAGCATCGGTGGGGCCACCTAGCAGACATAAATAAATCTTTTCGTTGACTTGCAAGTGTAAGAATAGAATAGAAATATACTTTATTGAACAAAACTTGCCAAATAGAATGAAAATGAAAGTAACAAAAGTACCATTGTGGTTTTTCAAAACCCTAGTGTCTGGGAATCCCCACACAAATGAAAAAAAGAAACCGAACCGACACAATACTGATTACTTAAAAGACTACTAGACAACAGATCTAAACTAAACTCCTCCCAACAGCAAAATACTCATATACCAATCAACATCGAACCTATGAATATTGTGGAACTATGGAGTAGAATTTGTCTAAGGACTTTTGAACGGAAGTTGGATGGCTTGGCAAAACCCCACAGTTCCACTATTTATGTCCAAAGTGGTCACAGTAAAGCATGTATAAATTTAGTTTAAGGAGGTCTAAGGTCAAGAAGATTTTCAGTTCTAGAAGGCTTTTTAGTTGTCCAAGTCTTCTGCTGTTGTTGTCTCTTGTCTTGTATGGGGGATTTCATGTCAGTTTGCTGACTAGGTAAGCTCTAAGTATTTGACTTGAATGAAAGTCAGTATCTCTTTGTTGTTGATGTACAGTGGAGGGCAGATATTTTTTCAATGTTAATGTACAATTTTTCTTCAGTCAGCCTTGTCCTCCACTCTTGCACTAGTTTTGATAAGCTGAAAGTGTTCTTGGATGTTGGAGATAGCTTAGGATAGGATTCAAGTTAGAGGACAAAATTGTGGATAGAAATTATTACTTACTTTTTAATAACATTTCCAATAGGACTGTAACTGAAGTCGAGCAGAGTGCACTGAAAAATAATAATGCAGTGAACTAATAATTAAATAGTTCTTCAAAATAAACATTCCAAGAACTGTACTAAGTATACTGAAAGAAACATTAATAGCATGAAAGGTTGAGGTTAGTTTCACTAGAATTTTTAATTTTTATCTTTGGCCATCGTCTTTTTACTTGACAAGCAGGGTTGGAGGAAATTTGTTGGGATGAGAGTTTTTGTATTTGAGGATTTATTATGAAAAGTTGAGAGGTATGTTATGAAATTGGCGATAAAAGGAGTGGATTACATCTTAGACAGATATTATTTAGGTCTGTGTAGGTAGGTTTGAAGACACAAAAGCAGCAAGGATTTATCTGAAAATTATGTATTGGGCTCTTTGGAAGAACTCTGTAACGTTTCATAACTTCTAAGTTGTGTGTGTGAGGATTCCATTTCAGATAATCAGTTTGTCAATACAGTCCTAGGTACCACACGGCACACCTGGTCTGCAGATGAGAGGAGTATTTTATTGAAGTAGACCAGAGGAGGGATCTTTTTGTGGAAAGTGAAGATTATTTGAGTGGATTTTTCTGGGTTAAATTTTATTCTTTAGTAATATGAGGTGTTCCTGAAGGTATCTAATGGCATGAATGGATCAGAGTTACTTGAATTCTCTGCAAAGGTTAGGGTGGTGGTTTGAGGATAGAATGGAAGATCAACCGTATACACCTGGTACAGTACAGGGGACAAAACAATGTCCTGAGATACATCGACAAGAATAGGGTAGTTTGGGGAAACCCTGTTTTTTATTGTTTTAAATTTATTTATTAAAGTAATTTTGTTGTCTTCACTCGTGGTAACTGTATAATATTTATACATTTTGACTGAAATATTGATAATATAAAAACAAAAGTAAAATATATTTTTTGTACTTACTAAAAAGGTTTCATGTGCTAGATATTGATTATTGATTAGGGATGTGTCCTTTATCAAATGCCACATTTTTGTAGAACCACCTGGAGAAGAAAAAAAACTTAAATTTTTATCTTGAAAGTTAAATTTTGTTAAGGCTAATATACACTCGTAGACAAAATTGCATGACTGTCTATAGACAAATAACCAATTTTATCTGTAGAATGCTTAGAAAAAATCCATGATGATTTGTCACATGTGCACAGCTCAGATAAAGTAGTTTCCGCAATAACATGACGAGTGAGATAGGGACCTGCAGCTTTGCTGCTTGTGCAGTTTTAATTTTGGATCATAAAAATAAAATTAATTGTAAACATTGGTGGACAAGGAATGCTTTAGCAGACGGTACTACATTTGGTTTGATACTTCTGAAAAAATTAAATTCGTTTGAACTCTACTTAACATTTGGAAAAATTAAAATTAGAAGGTATTTCAGTTTTCAGAAATTGCACCTGGCTAATCACCATGGATTTTGAAAATTTGCTACTTATGATATATATAAAATGAACACAAAACATTGTCTGTAGACTTGAGCTGTGCAATTTTGTCTACAAGTGTGTACTAGCCTTTAAAAAACCATTTTTTTAAACTCAAGAACAATAGAATATATTGTAATAAAATTTGCAAAACAATTAATGTTTTCCTCAGCTTGACATAAATTTTTTATGACTGGCTATATCTAATTCAGGAGTAGGACACAATTGTATATTGTTTCTCTTAGAAAAATCCAAATTTTTTTTTTTTTTAATCCAGCTGTAAATTGGGGACAGTGACATTTAATACAGGAAGGATATCTTTTTGCAATTCCTGCTTTATTATATGCCTTGGAAGTAATATGTAATTGCACATATACAATCGACAGGTTTCACGCATTTCAAAAATACCTGAATCTTCGATTGAAATATCTTGATTGAGTATAAATTCCCATTATTGTAAAAGAAAGAATAAATTAAAAGGGTTCCCAATTTGTTTTAAAGGCCAAATAAATAATAAGAGAAAAAGGTTATAAATTCTTGTTATTTAAAATAATAATAAAAAAAGTATTAAATGTACATGTACATGAAAATAATATGTATACATAAATACACGTGAGCTCAACACAAATAACGCCAACCACAAAACACAATATATGATTTATCTTAAAAAATTAACCAATTAAATTTTTTTATATAAAAAATAAATAAATAAATAAAAAATATATGTACGTAATTTTGTATGCTATTTTAGAATTATATTTAGAATTTATGTATATTATTTAGAATTTAGAATTATATGGGATTAGAAATATAATTTTTATTTTATTATCTTATGATCATAATAATAAAAAAAATTTTAAATTTTTTAAAAAAAGAATTTGTGTTTATGTAATTATAATACATTGAGGAATATGTACATATTTTTTGTTATATGTGTGTGCTTATTCTTCTTGAATCAGTGGATTTTGTGTTCTTAGTATACTTAAATTAATTGTGACTATTTGATTGTATTATGTTGAATATGAACTGGAGGGTTTACTGCTATTACTGTTATTACCTTATTCATGCTCATACTTTATTATTATGTATAAAAAAATTGTAAAAAAATGTAAAAAAAATTAACAAATTTTATTGTTAATTGTTAATTTTTTTTCACCGTGATGGGAGGAGTGTAATATCCCTTATTCCAATTATTCCTAAATATTTTATTTTAATAGCTTTCCTCCTTGTACCGACTTCCCACAATAAGACTTTACCAACACCCTTCACTCCCACCATTGTTAAATCCTTCCTAGACCTCCCACCAAGGTATAGAATAGGACTGATTGTAATATTTGACGAGTCGGTTTCCCATAAGCCCTCCACTCCTGTAGCTATTAATTTTTTAATGCAGAAGTTAATTTTTCCTCTGCCTGTGTAAGTCTACTTCTACCCCAGTCTCCATAATCCTGACGTTGGTTATCACAACATGTAAGATGAGAAAAAATGAATTTATACAATGGTAGAAATTTTAGACAATCAAAGTATTTGTACTCACTCAAAGTGTTTGTTTCATGTGTCGATGTGTCATTCTTGAGTGTTGTGTTTAGAGTGCCAGTGAGATATTAGTTTCTTGTTTATATAAGTTGGGAAGGAAGTTGGGATAGAAAGACCTTTTTATATAAGGAGTCGGCTTCGTTGAGGTGAAAGGAGCCGACATGGGAAAAAATGGGTAATGGTTCGGCCTGATTAGCCTTTCAGGATTAAACAAATGGGGGATAATTACGGAAAGGAAAGACAAATTGTTCAAGAATTAGATTATGTAGAAATGTTTGATGTGTGGATGTAATGATTATTTTATGTTGTATTATATGTTTTGTGTGTTATATATAATGTTATTGATATTGAATTTGATTAATGATATTAGCATAGCTGCGACAGAGATCAAAACATTGCATGATAAAGACAATGTTTTTCTAAACCTAAGTCACACCAGACCACATCTCATGATCTATAAATGATCATTAATTAAGTCTAAGTCACTAAATACCACACACACAAACACACAATAATAATAAAACAAACGTTTTAGCCATACCGTTACATTTATTTTCTTCCTGCAATAAAACGTTCGCCACTGCCAAAGGTTCCACTCCATATTTCTTAGCCAATTTGGCGACAAAACCAACAGGAAAATTTGTACTCGTTGCCTCTAAAAACTGTGAGTACAACATTGTTGAATTTTTTTGACATTTCCACAGGTTCTTTTTATTATTTTGGCAGCTGCATTTGTTCATAATACTCTTAAGGGTTTCTGGTAAAATACTAAAAAATTAAAATATAAATAATACATAACACGCATTGAATGTTACATTAATATAATATTAAAAAGAGAAATGCCCTTACAATAAAATCATGAAAAATTATAATACCATCAAACTAACGCATTTTTTTAAGACTTTTAGATGTAACATGTATAACATAGATGTAGATGTATACATAAACAAATATAAAGGTTCAATTTTAGTACTGTAAGTTTATTGCACTGTGGAACCGTTTTTTACTACTAATATAAATTTATCCTGAAGAGGAATCAAGACACGGTTCGAAATGTATGATAAAAATTATATATTTAAAAAAGACTGATACTGGTTAATAAAATCACAATACAATAAAAAAATATATCCTGAAAACTTAATTCAACATTTCATTATTCATATCAACTCTATTAAAACATAAAACTGCTGTCATTGGGAAGACAACTGAAAGGAATATTAAATTTTGCCGAGTTTAGTTCACGAAATGTTTTAAAGACAACTGTGAAGTTAAGGCAATACCCAATTATATTTATATTTATACATTATACATACTACATCATATACATAAGATACACCCTAGTATACAGCAGACATATTACAAAAATGTCCAAAGACTCAGAAAAAAATGTCAGTCATTGAAGTACCCAGACACAGCATTAAAAAGGAAATGTAGAAGACTTGAAAAGATGGACGAGCCATAAAGCATCTGATATGGTGGTTAACGTGAAAGAGCTCAGTATGCCATAGGTTACATTTAGTAGGATCATTGCTAATAATTCAGGGGAGGATATGGCATTATTCAAAATTTTCCATCCACAAGTTATATACATATATAGGGTGTATCTGGAGTTTAGTTACTGCAGCCCAATAAGGTCTTTTCTAGAGAGGTCTATTTTGCCAATCACTACAGGAACCAGTACTGATTCTAACTTCCATGCTTCCACCTGATAAACCCAAGATTTTTAAACCTTCAAGCATATTTAATTAGTATGGTCATGGAAATAGCTATTTGAATTGAATGCAACTCTGAGATTCTCCAAACAATGGGCCTATAAATATAAAATTTAGCTCCGAATTGTAATGCTAATACGTATTTCTTATAAATTTAGCTTATAATTACATTTTGATGAAGTTTTAGAAGATTTTTGGGAAATATGCTGGGGACTTGTTAGATCAATGAGTTTTCCTTTGATTCAAGCATTTTTGCATCAGTAGTTTTTTTATTTGTTGTTTACAGGATGCCCCGCACTTTTCACCCGTCTGCCAGTGCCCACTTCCACCAACCTCATGAAGAATTCACTGTTTCAATTTACCCTGTATTGTAGGTAAAACCTAGGGTAAAACCTATAAAATTGCCCAAGGGATGGAGGAAAAAAAATCCAATTGCCCCACTTGACCCTACCCAATTAGTTGTAATCATGTGTGAATAACATTTTCTACTTTATTCTACTTGGCGAAATGCCGAAACGATAGACCAACTAGAGGAGAGGCACACCAAAATGATTAGTAGCTAAATTACAGGTTCAACTACACATGTTGTGGATGCTGGGTGTTGTCAATATTCCCAGAGCATAATTTCTATGGGTTTAACTATGCCAACAACACCAGAGTACGTGATTACTGATTTATATAAGCTTTAATCTGCACATGCATGTACATACGCACACATGTGTACAGAGTTGAGCCTATTACTTCCCCCAGTCCAGCAGCAATTATATAACTAACCTAATTGAAGATTGATGGAGTACTCAATATTCTGCCATCAGCCTTCTTACATTACACGTTCACACCAATAAATAAATTCACTCTCAACCAAGCTGGGGACACAAAAATATAGTACTAAATAAAATAAAACAACCCTGTTTCCTCCAAGAATCAGAATAGGGGACTCAGATATTCGCTGCCGTGCTCAAACACAATTCTCGTATCGAGTGGCATGCCTATATGCTCTCTATATAGAGCCAAGCGCCCTTCAATTAAGTGGGACACATCGAGCAACCTTTCTCTGCATGCCTGACACATACACATGCTTTGGCTCAAAAGTAAGTGTCCATGTGTCAGTCTTGGATAGACTATTCTTAATAATGTGAGATGACCCTTCAGCCACTCAGACAAGTCAGCTCCGAGGCCCACTGACGCTATCACTTTATTTTAATTATGTTTTATTGCATTTTTAGTGTTGGAGGGCCAGATCTTAAAATTTTGAACTCATAAAATTTCAGTTGGTGATGGGTGTTGGTCTGTGAGCCGGTGAACTCATGCTGGACCAGTGTTGGGTCCATCTTCACTCATGGATATGCTGAAATACTATAAACGCGTTTCGTTATTGTGTCAACTTCAGCAGAGGAACTCCTCACTCAAAGTTCCTCACTGAAGATGGTGCAACGCCGTAACGCTTCTGGGCAATTCAACAAGCCTGCGATTGAAGACAGACCCAACAAGCAACCCAGTGCCAGTTCAGCACGACTCATAAAATCGCCAAGATCAGCCTTGTGATGTATTACTTATACATTTCGGCCTGTTCCACCGGTTCCTTCAGGGCATTTTGGAACTAGAATCACAGTCTTTATTGAAAATTCTGTGAAACAGGTCATACACAGGCAAAAGTAATGAATAATTCGCAAGGTTGATCTTGACGTTTTTGGTTTTTTTTTATGAGCAACATTTTAACGCCCACCCTGGATATAAAACATGCCTGTATTTTTTTGAGACATTAGGTTAAAACGTTCAGAAATGCAACTTACTCCGGGTACAGTTTGCACAAGTTGTCAAAGCAATCCGAATAGTTTCCATCGAAATTGTTGACACAATTGGCAATCCCTTTGAATATTTCTGGCTTCATAATTTAGAAAAATACGGAAAACCGTGGATTTACATATCAAAAAGTTCGGTGTTTTTTTCCTAAATACCGTTGGAATTTTTCTCTTCTGGCTTTGTAGTTTTGTTTTTGTACTTCCCAGTGCCCGCCACCCGGCAAACTTTTGTTTTGTTATCTTTCGACTACAGAGCGCCTCATGTGAAACACACGTCAACATCAATACGTCAAAAAAGTTCTTTTTTTCTTTCTTATACAGATAAATATGTATATTTTAAACAATTGTAAAATTTTGTTGACAAGTGTGGAAAATTTGGAAATTGTTATACTAATGAGGAGAAAAATTCGCCTCAACATTAAAAAGTTCAACTAAGGAGCACTAAACATGGTGCTAAACCCCTCAAAAACTACAGTAATTGCATCTATCCTTCTTGGACATTGAAGGAGCATTGATAATATTCTTTTTGAAGCAATGTTCACATCACTGAGTCAGTGAGGAATTGACAAAACTTGCTATAAACTATTTAATGCATAAGTGAGTAATATAGAGAACAACTAGTTCTACGAGTGAGGTCTCAGATCTTCACATACATATATTAGTAACAAAATAAAAAGTGGTATATTTCCTCGCAAACACCTATGCCTAATCATGGAATAATAAACTTTGTGGTGGAGGCAAATAACACAAACACCACAGTTTACAGAGATACCAAGATGACTAACTGGCAGTTCTATCAAGTATACTCAGACTTGAGACACAAGGGCTGAATTCTACAGTTAAAAACATACAAGGCTGAAAGGTTGACTAAGGCAATCACTACAGCCATGAAGGACTAAAAGACACAAAGGCTCATTTAAATCTAAAGGGAAAGATAGAGTGTACCATGGTGGAATATTGAACTTAATGATCTACAGACTAAAACAACAAAACTTTTCAATAGAGCAAAAGTAACAGGTAAATGGGATTAATACAAAAATTCCCTAACTGAATACATACACATTTCCACTGCGGCCAAGACATAGAAAATTCTAATGTTTTTCTCTCTTTTTTTTTGCATGTTTTTCTCCAGGCACCTAAAATATTTGCTTAAAAATGAAGATCATGCACAACTGAGTGAAATCATCAAAAGAAAAACTCTTTGTTGTTATGATTTGCAGAACAAGTGCAACAATTGTAAAAGATAGGTTAGAAAATATGCCTTGCAGTTTACGATCATGGCACTACACACATCACAGTAGTGTAATGACTAAGTTTTCTATCAGTCATTACCAACGATTTCTCACTCGACACACTGACAGCAAAAGTTATCGCAAGATAGTTAAGTTTTTGTTGAACTCATCACTTACTGAGTATGTTTACCCACCTGGGTTTCAATGTCACTTTACCCTTTGTCACCACCTTTCACCTTTGTCTTCTTCAGAGTTGAACTATTGCCAGTTTAACATTAAAATAACTAGTTCCAGGTGATTAGAGTGCATCGAGTATTACACCCACTTCAAAAATGCCAAATTTACTTTAAATATCAACAGCTTAGAAGTAGAAGGTACTAAATAATGTAATTTAGACATATTAGAATGGGAAAAAATGCACAAGGACTCATTTTGATGTGACACTTCAATCAATGTTTTAATATTTTTATATGGCAAATTTCAAATTCATATATTACATCATATTACATTGAAGGAGTTTCTTACATTACAATTGCTATTAATTGTATTACAAAAATCCACTTTTTTAAATTATTACACTATTGTAATAATTTTAATTAACTTCAATACTTTTGAAGTTATCACTTTTTCTCTTTATCCCTCTTCTTCTGGAGTTTATTAGTGTAGTATAAAAGAGATAACTGATATTTTAATAAATTTAATTAAAAAACATATACAAATAAAACATCATACCATTTTTAATTGATCATTATTTCATCTTATAAATCATTTGTAAAAAACCCAATAAAATTCTATTTAATTTATAATTCAAACATTTCAGGATTTGAATTGAAACAAAACTTATCAATATTAAAAATACAATGTGCTTGACTACATAAGGAACTTTTCAATTTCATTTTTTAATCATACAATAATAAACCAATAACAGTGTTCTAACACTCATCATAATTATGTCAGTGGTGTTCATTTTCAAATTCTGGATCAATCACAATCTTCAAAATCATACGTTTTTATATTCTGTTCATTTTAAAGGTAATTATGACTTTTTAACTAAATATTAGTAACTAAATCTAAAAATTAGAATGAAATTTAATGGTGGAGGGCATCAGTGGCCTCAACGATTAAAACGCTGACACAGAAATGCATCTCTGTTGATCCTGGGTTCAACCTAATTACACATGGGCTAACAATACATTGATTAGGAGTAGAAGGTAACAAATAATGTAACTTAAGATGGATTAGAATTGAAAAAAAAAAATTAATGGCAATTGAAATTTAATATCATAATGAGTACTACTATTAAAATATATAACTACTACTTGTGACTATTTTTAGCTGTTCAAATGACCTTTCATACATAATAACAAAATTAAATTGTAACAATAATTTTGAAATAACTCATGTTCAAATCAAATAACACTCAAAATCAAGGCCAATGAATTGTAATGTTAATTTAATTTATTATTCAAACAAACTTGATATGTGGCTAATGCCGGCAGGCAAAGCAAAAAAAAAAAAAAAATAAAAAATAGATTAAGTGTATGTACAGTGTATATCTATAAATAAGTAGATACAATAATTTTGATGAAAATTTTATGAAGATATAAGAGTAATGAACTGAATTTACAACTTTACAAGAATGTGGCGATGTTGGCCTGTGGCTTACAACTTGCGTATTTATGTGAAAGTCAGGAGGAACTCTGCGAGCAGTGGACAAGCGCAGTAGGTGGCCAAGGGAGTATATTGTCCTTTAACAGGAAGTACGACTTTGCATCATCATCGTGGGGAAGATGTAATAATCACACCGTGTTTTGTATATTTTCTGCCCCCACGAAAAAAAAGATAAATAAATAAAAATAAATAAATAAATTCCAAGTTCAGGGCTAAGATTTGAGCATGAGTCCTTTCAGCCTGCATCAACGTCTCATCGATTGGGCCAATGGGTGCCCTCAAGTTCAATTATTAATTATTACAATATGACATGAAATTTAGTACACTATAGAATAAATAAGATTTTTTTCATATCACTAAATAAAATTATATAAAATGACAAAATAATGTTTGGACTTTATAATTATGTACAAAAGCAATTAATTGTATAAAAATAAAACAAATTCAAAAGCTTTAATTAATCACAATAATGCGGTGAATAAATATTCACAATAATTAAAAATAAAGATCATTGCTTTCTAGCTTATCCCCCTTACATTCATTTGCATCGTTTGAATGATTTACGCGTACATCTGCATCAATTTTGTTTCCTTCATTTATCAATCGCTGCCGCTCGCGAAACATGCTAGCCCTCATATTCATTATTTGATGTTGCTGGCACATTTTGAGTAGAGCGAACACGGAAAGGCCTACCCAGCACGCCATTGAAGCCCAAGCGCCAAACTTCAACAAATAATTAATTTTAACATTTAATTTCACAAAAAGACTTTTCTTTTTATTCAGAAAATAAAAAAATAATAACCTGTGCTGCTCCTAGTTCAAAATAGAAATTGGTTGTATCTATTCCATCTTGTCTGTCAATATCAGCACCAGATGCAAGTTCACACCTAAATACAACAGTCAGATTAGCATTTTCACAATTAAAAATTCTGATCTTACAATAACTCAATTACCATTCTTAACGATTATAATTTATAAACTTCAAAAGGAGTGAATATAGGCTTCAGGTAGCCTCTTATTTTAACATTTATTTAAAAAAAAAATTATGCATATTTTTTATATAATACTTACGAAGAAAACCTCATAGTCATGTCATTGCACCACACAATAAATCCAAATGTAATCATCAAGGCGGCGACAACTGACATACCACATAGAAAGAAACAGCCAATCACATCAAAAAATGCAGACAAAAAATTACTGAAAAAGAACTTTAGTTTACTATGAAATAATAAAACTTATCATTATTGTTAAGTATGTACTGAAAAGTTTTTAATGATTCTATGAGATCTGGATAGTTTTAACAAATTAAATTACTTATTTACTGTCCATATTATTGCTTTATTTTATTGATTCAGTTATGTGTCATTATGGGCTCATAAATATGTAATTCTGTCTATATCAACATGCAATATTTCTGCTATTTTTATTACTCAAATTGGCCTTGTAATTTCTAAAGAAACTTCGTATTTATTTTGTAAATACTTATGTAAAAAAGTAAAGTAATTCCTGTTAGGTGTCATGGACCATCAAACATGTTACAATACTTTCATAACGTAAGTTAAGTTTATGTGCTGGTCTCCCTCAGACAGTCTTGGAGGAATGTTTTTTTCTACTTTGTTATACATATTACCCAATTGTATATTAAAGAATAAAGGCATATATTAGTATATATTAATTATTAAAATTACCTGTCTGTTCCTTGGTACATGTAACGAGCCATTCTGTATATTTGAATTAATGATACTATTGCTAACACAACACCGACAAAAATAGTGTAATTACAATATGCCTGTGATGACCATTTAACCATGAACTGGCCATCTCTTTCCAACCAAACACCTGTTGAGAACAGTAAACAATGACCCCTAAAACAGATAAAATATTTATCATTTAATTTTTTTATATTAATGTTATTATATATGTATTATGTTATTCAATTGTCTTGATTGTCCCACGGTCTTGATACTTTATACATCTAGCCATTGTACAGCTATGCGAGCACAGCTCTAGACGCGTCTGGTAGCATGATATATGGGCATCCTACCAAAAACCGCTTTGAACATTGTATATACAGAGCAATTCCAATATAGAATGTACAGGTTCTAGATCTTTCCACTGTCAACCCATAAATGTTTGAACCCGTAAGTTTTAGTATTTTATTTTAACTACCAGCTTTGTGGTTTCGGCAGGTAGCAATTGTCTGTTGTCTTCTAGTACTCCTTGTCTTTTTAAATATGTTTTATTTCTGCCGTAGAGTTATATCATATGCTATACCGAATTCTTCACTTTTAGCTGCATTTTTGTGCGGCAGTCAGCTTCCTCATTGCCCGGTACTACAATGTGTACCTTTACCTACGTAATTGCTAATTTCCATCCTCTCGACATCATTTCTGTTGGAAGAGAGTTCATTTTTAACCCTGTTTTTGTTTGTAGCAATTGAATTGATATAGTGCTGTCAGTGTATATCAAAGCAGATTCTTCTCCCATCACATTTTCCTGTCCTCGAATCCATCCCTGGTTGGTAACTCATTAGTCAGTATACAAGCTGCATTGTGTGAGATAGTATTTTTATTAGCATGAAGCATTGTTACATCATTGAAGCATAGCTACATTTTTGCGTATTAGTTTTTTTCTTTTTTCCATAAAACCCCTTTTTGCCAACCTGGAGGAGCTGCATAGATAATGGCAAGATTGCTTCTTTATATAACATGAACAAACTTTCATTTGGTAGCCCCAGTTTACTCTAGCTGAACACAATATGGCATTATTTGAGCTTTTTTTTTTTTGCTTATGTATTCTATGTGTGCTCACCATGTCAGCCAATCATCAAATATTATTCCAAGGTATTTTATTTTTATTACTATTTGAATTCTTTCATACATCATACTAATTTTTATTTCTTTTAGTTTTTTCTTCTCGATATCTGAAGAGCTTTACATTTTTCATGATCTGATATTTGAAAGCCCATTGCTCCCACTGTCCCAGTTCTATGTTGGCTGATGTTTGTAGATCGAAGTCATCAGCGAAGGCGAAGGCCTCTATTCCATTTTCATATTGTCATAGATCAATTGTTCCAAAAACCTGAGCTTAACGAACTTGAGGACATACCATTTTTTGTTCCCTTGAAATCTTTGGAGAGTCTGATTTAAAGATTACAAATCTTTCTCAAAAATATGATCGAGTGAGTAAATACAAGCTCTTTGGGCAATGACCTGTTCTTAGTTGTTTCATGGTAGTGGGTCACCTGGCTGAATGAAAGGCACCTGGTGAATTGGATTAGTAAAACAAAGTTGACTGAGATTGACTGATATTGTTAGTAGATGTTATGTTAGTTAACCATGGTCTGGTAGACATATCTTTAATGGCGATGGATTGGGGAGGAGTCAAACATGTAAGGAGTTCGTATTCAACATAAGCGATAAAACCATTCACTCTAGCTTACATCGACTTGGGACGATGTGGAATGCCATAAAAAAAAAAGATGCATTACCAATTTTTAAGTGTCTTTGATCTGTAATGTCTCTCGCTAAACAACGCTAATTTAAAGGGAGAGCCTTAAAACTGAAGCCATTTTTCAATGTATGTACTTATGTCAAAACCTATGATAATCAAGTAAAACTACCGTCGGTAAAAAAAAGTCTCTGAACAATACTGGTTTGCCAAAAATATGAATTCCAAATTTCTTATCATAAGTAATTCGATAGAAAAACATTATTTCATATATGTTTAGCGGTCATAATTGACCATATTAAATTTTTTAAAAAAATCTAATATCTTGGTTGAGTTGAAAAAGTTAGTGTCATGAGCGGGATTCGAACCCATGACCTTCGGCTAAAAACATTATGCTTGTAAATATAAATATATTATTTAAAGGCTTTTGAACATTAAGAAATAAATGATTTAAGTTAAAGGTTGTTTTCATAATAAGTTTGAATGAGCTACTCGAGAGGAAAAAAAGTTTCCGAACCCCAGGCAAACTAGTTTCTTTTCCAAAGTTCACTGTCTTCAGCCTGATTCTTGGTGTTCTTCGTGCAATATTATTTTAATAGCAATCACGTTTTGCTTAGTTAGTACGATATTAGCGTTAAATATGGAAATACCTCGGTCCACTCGGGAAGTAGTTGTTAGATTGTATAATGAAGAAAAATCATTTTGTAAAATAGGAAATGTACATGATAAGTGCCCCTTGACAATTCATTACATCATCTCCCATTATAAGGAGTTCGATAATGCTGAAAAATTAAAACATCATCTAAAAGCGTGTCATTCTCAAAGAAGTGACCATTAATCAAGTGCCCCTGAAATTGCAAGTATTCGGACTATCACTAAAATTTAAATAAGCCTGATGCATTTTGGGAATTATTTTCATAGATGAGTGCAAATTTAATGTCTCAGGGTCCGATGGAAGAAAGAAAATGTGGTGTAAGGCAATGGAACAATTGAAATTAAGGAATACACTATTGACGGTTGGGGGCAGTGGGGTGCTTGTTTGGGGCTGCATGGGCTATAGACAAGATGGCATTTTACACATAACCGATGGGATCGTGTATCAATAACATCTATTTCAATGTTCTAAAACAGAATTTATAGGAAAGCACTATTAAATTTGGTAAAGAAAAGATGTTTCCAGCAAGAATGACCCCACACACGTGGCTCTGAAAACTCAAGAATGGCTAATATGTACAGTTGACTCTCATTATCCATGGAGGATATATACCAAGCATCACTGGGGATAATAGGAAGTACTTCGAATTTCGCTTTGAAGCTTTTTCTTTTATCTCCATACCAATCAGATACTTTCTGAATCTATCGCCAATGTTATGTACACATATTTCAGGGTTTTTCCAATAAGAAATAAGGTAACATAAATACATACATAATGATTCACAATGTGAATTTCCCACCTCCTCTAGAACTCAACTAGGGGAAAACCGCATATGAGTGAAAGAGCGGATAAAGAGAACTGCGGATAATAGTGTTTGAAGCATTTTCGTCTATATTGGAATGTAAAAAAAAGAAGATTAAAAACAAAAATCATCAAAAAGAAGAGCTTTTACAGGAGTTGATTAATTCATCCCCAGGTGTGACAAAAAAAAATCTGTCAATGAAAAACCAATGATGATGATGGTGATGATAAAAAGAGACTTAGGAAGTGGGTGTTTTTGTTCCTCAAGACTACAGCCTTTTTTTGTAAATGATGGTTCTAACACTAATCATCTGCTTGAAGTAGTTATGAGAGTTTAATGTTGAGATACTTTTGTAACGCCTTCAACCTGATGATGAGTATTTTAATGCTTGAAACCCGAAGAGTTGTAAACAACAAATCTATGAGTCGAGCCATAATTTACAAAAAATGAATCTACATACTCACCCCACCTTCTTTATTTCTACTGCAGCCTTTTGGCTTATTGTACTTTCCTAGTTCCCTAGTGCAATGCGATCAACCCAATCCTTATCAGAGTTATTAGGTCATTGACTGTCATTGCTACAATTTTTCCCCCTGGGTTTTCTTTGTATCCCATGTAATGTCTTCTTTGAGAGATTGGTTCGCATTGGAAGATGGGTGGCTGTTTCATCCTCATTGCATAATCTACAGATGGGATTATCATTGACGTTTTCTCAGAAGCCAATGACCGGAAATGAAAAACCGTTTATTAGGGTTAATAAAAAGTAAGAGTGGACCTACAAATTACTGAGATAAAATTTAGACGAGTGTCAGTGAATAAACAAAACAAATGAAAAATACTGCGTTGAGATTTTTTTTTTTTTTACTGAGTGCATATTCCATTTTTACTTTCACGTTTGTGTTTACAGCAAATGGCTGAATACGAAAAATGATCTATCAGAAACAATGCACAAATACAGTGAACAATTTTCGACACAAATTTTCAAATTATACTTGATAAATGAAACAAAAAATTGTTACTAACCGAAATTCATCTTGATGCAGTGTCATAGGAATGGCGATGCACAAAGAGCATAAGAAGGCGATGACATAGCCAGCAATCTGACTTAAAAGTATGTAATTCAAAGGCATTTTCTTCTTCTTTATGAAAAGCCCATTGAAAAATCATTAAAAGAATAATAATAACAAAACACTAACAGTAACTTGAATTCCTTGTTTATGGAAGTGCACCTCTGAAAGTTCCGTATTATGACAATCAAACTGATAAACAACGGATTTAATAATGTGTAAATTAATTTTAAAAAAAAGTTCACTTTTCAGTACACACTAGAGCCTTTACAAAGCCTGAAATCCTGAATGATAAAGATAATTCAACAAAACGGAGAAGTCTCAACCGATACCGTTCAAGAGATATGACATCATCAATGACAACGTCAACGTTTTCCCTCGAGGGGTTGACAGTTTATAACATAATCAAATATACATGCATACAGCATTAATCAAAAATGGAAATGCTTAATTAAAAAAAAAAGAATGAAAAAATACATTTATTTAGTTGTAATAACTGGCAAATAATGCCTATTTATTTATTTAAATGGCAGTTGCCCAAAATACAACATATAATACATTTTGCAATTAAAAATACAAATTTGTTAATATGACGATGATGGATAATAGGAAGTGGGTTTTTTGTATTCTAATCATTGCAGCCTTATGGATTATTGTATTTTACACCCCTCATAAAAAGGAAGAAAAAACTAGAATACTTTTTTAATAATTGCACAAGATTTGCATTAAGTTTATGAAGAAGAGAGCACATCTCAACACACCACAAGTTCATTCTGGGTATTAATTTATTTGATTACCTTAAACTCAAAACTCTTACTTACTTATCTAAAATTAAAAATAAGTTATGCCCATCATACTTATTCATTATTGTGCCTGAGGTACTCCTTGCCTTTTTTGAGCAGTTGGCATTTTGCTCGGTTCCTTCCAGGTCTCTTCATTGCTCAACTTCTCATCTGCCTTTAAAATGAAACCAGGATTGGCCGGGTTCCTTTCATTAGAATTTTCTGTCTTAGTCGCAATGGGAATGTGTATGTATTCAGTTAGGGACTTTGGTATTAATCCCATTTACCTGTTACTTTTGCTCTATTGAAAAGTTTTCTTGTCTTAGTCTGTCGACCATTGAGTTCAATTTACCTCCATGGGACATCTCTATTTGTCCCTTTAGTTTTAAATGAGCTACAGCCTTCATAGCTGTAGTGATTGCCTTAGTCAACCTTTCAGCCAGTTGATCTTGTTCTTGTATGTTTTTAACTACAAAATTCAGCCCTTCTGTCTCAAATTTAAGGTATATTTGATATAGCTGCTAGTTAGTCATCTTAGTATCTCTGTAAACTGTGGTGTTTTTCTTCTTTGCCTCCACCTCAAAGTTTTATGATTCTGTGATCCAACATATGTGTTTCTGAGGAAATATGCCTCTTTTTATTTTGGCACTAATATACGCATATATGTGTCGATCTAAGACCTCACTCGTAGAACTAGTTGGTCCCTATATTACCCACTACTGGATTATTTGGTAATAAGTAATTAATTAAAGAGAGACTTACCGTTTTTGTTCATACCGGTGCTGCCCCAGCTGATATGATCAGCATTTGCATCACACGCCAATATGAAGTGAATGTTGTTATTTTGGCAGAGCTGAAAAAGGTTTTTTACATGCTCTGGAGGTGCTTCTATGTCCTCGTGTGGGAAATAGACTAAAGCCCATATAGTTTTGCCCATTCCTGAGCAAGGAGGCTCTTCTACTTGCACTGCAACTAGGTCTCTGGTGGTGTAATCTGGAGCAGATAAAAACTTCACTTTCAGGTTCATTAATACAGTGGATCTACGTTTATCATGATCACAAAACACCAGGGGAACCTGCAAAGCTAGATCCTAAAAACCAACTTCTGGAAATTGAAGAGGGTTCCAAACCATCTTCAATTCCCATAAACCCAGAATTGGACAATCTTCTTGTGTCACCTTCTGCAGTTGTGGGAGACTTCAGGAAAAAACCAAACCAGAAGATGAAACCACTCATATAGAAATGACGGAGAAGAATGAAAACTACACCTCCAACTCAAAAAAATCTCAGGGGCTCAGAGGCGTAAAATGGCAATCGAACAAGCCAATCCTGAAAAGAATCAGGAAAGGGAAACAAAAGCCTAAGGTACACTTTTAGACTCCAGCACCGAGGCCGACCACTGGAAGCATTAGTACAAAAAAGCAGGGCCAATGCCAACCAAAAGTGGTAAAAGTGACAGGTCTACTGGGTAGCACCCATCATCAATTGCTCCTAAGACATGTCCCAAAAAAGCAAAATTAGGGAAGCAATGTGGAACAAACCATCCCCATCATAGTTGGATGGGATGACAATGAGACATATCAGCAAGCCCTCAAAGCGCTAAAAATGATCTTGGTGTTGGTGTGTTGGAGGAATACCTGGACAAAGAGTTAACAGCTGATCAGGGCAGGACAGTCCAGTGGGTCCATCTTATCTGAGGTTTGGAGCTGCAAAAACTCCAAAGGACCTCAGTTTAAGAATGTGTACATTGAAAAAAAAGGGGCTGCCCTGATAACCTGTGAGGACCAAAGTGCCAAGAAATGGCTCATGGAAACCCTATGGATTATCTACCCATGGGAAGGGGCAAACCTCAGGGTAGACCCCTATAGAGAAATTATAAACATTTGCCATAGATAAAAAAAATCTATACCACTGTGTCGTCCCATACAAAAGTAGGACTTAACCTTATCACAAGCAATGTCATCAAATAGATGATGATCATTGATAGAATTGGGAAGGTATACTCGTTTGGTTGGTGCACTTGGTCATTATTTTCAAACAAAAATAAACGAATTTCATTAAATGTGGAGAAAATGTTTTTCATTTCACATATTTTGGCTAATTAAAATAGATAGATAATAGATTTGCTAAAGAGATATATATCTTGAAATTTCAAACCATCTAAATTGAATATCAAATTTAGTTATAGTCGTGAGATGCGGTCTGGTGTGACGTAGGTTTTATAAAGATTTACAATATCATCATCACATCACACAAAACATAATACAAATATAAAACAATCATCACATTCTACACATCAAACATTTCTACATAGTCTAATTCTTCAACAATTTGGCTATCCTTTCCCTAATTATCCCCATTTATATCAGGCCGAACCATTCCCCATTTTTTTCTATTGTCGGCTCACTGACACTCTCAACACGACAGACAAGAATAACACATCTACATGGAAAACAAACACTGTGTGAGTACAAATACTTTGATTGAATCTGAAATTTTCAACCATTATATAAATTCAATTTTCTTTAATCTAAAATTTTCTAGCATTGTATAAATTCATCTTTTTTTAATCTAAATTTTTTTAGCATTGTATAAATTCATTTTTTTTTAATCTAAAATTTCTACCATTGTAGAAGTTCATTTTTTCACATCCTACATGTAGTTGTAAAATTTAAACAATGTTTATAAATCCCAAGCCCTGAAGATAATCTCAATAAAGATTGAAACGTTGGCATGACCAAGAAAATGTTTTTCTAAAATCTACATCACAGCAGACCGCATCTCATGATCTCCGAATAATCATTGACTAACAGTCACTAAACACCACACATCAAAATAGTATAAAATTTGTTTTTCCACAATTGGAAGTACCACAAATTAAACATCTAATGCTATTATTAACTTAATTCTAGCAGCAATCGAATCAACAGGGTCATTTACATTGAAACAGTCAAAATAATTTTTGTGGATTTTTTTTCGTTTATCTGTAAACTATGAGGTTATAGGTTTAATTCTGGCACCAGTTGACAAAGCAGGGTTGTTACCAATACGGCCAAGTGCAAATTCGTCAGAAAATTTTTGTTTTCTTTATCTCATAAACTATATCATCCAAATCAATCAAAATTTATAAATAAAAATGGGTTTGATTCAAAAGAAATACGTACAACATGTAAAAACTACATTTTTGTATTATTTTAATAATATTACACTGAGATGTACATATATGCATAGAACGATAAACAATTTACAACAAATGTTAAAAGTTTAATAATTAATAAATCGGTTTATAAGAATAAATAACAAAAGTCAACAACAAACAACAAACTTTGAGATCAAAATGTTACAAGTATTTAGATTGTTACAAAAATCAGTTCTGATTTATCTATGATATGTTTACACATTAATCATAATATATCACAATATTCAATGTCGAATTACAATTAATGACTAAAATGAAATGAACACAATAAACTGTCGAAGAAGAATTTAAAACATGTTTTTAAGTACGTTCATTAATTAAACTTTTTATTTCTTTATAAGGCACATTAATAATGACTCGAATATATACCTTGATAAAAATAAATATTTGCCCACTGAGTAATCATTGTACAATTTACTCATATCTCTACCTCCTAGTGTATAAACATATAAAATATTGTATGGCCACTATATGTTCATTGACATTTCTCTTGTGTTCCAAGCAATGCGAAGAGTTATTATAGTTAATAACTGATATAATAATTATAGTTATTATTATATTGCATTTGAAAGGTACACTGAATTATTATCACTTTCTAAACCATCAGTCAGAAAATTAATAGTTGAAATAAAAGAATGTTGCTTTATGCCTAAGCAATCTGTAACTACACAATACTATTTAACTCTTAATAAAAGAGAATATCGAACAAAATTATAGGGTGAAGACACTACAAATCCAATTAAAAACACAATTAGAAATGAATAGAAGTATCAGTGGAATCAATGGGCAGGCAGACAAGCATATCTAATTTTTATGATTCTTCTGACACCAATATAATCACTGATAGCTAAGCAATAAAGTCGTTTGTTTTAGGCCATCATGAACAATAAAAAAATTGTTTAAACAATTTTAAGACTAGCTATATCTATTTATTAAGAAAAATAAAAAGTCGTGTAATAACTTACAATAAAACTACTAATATTTATTAATAAAAAAGGCAAACAGGAAATTAATAAAAAAACTATATACCAAAATCTTAGATAATCAACAATGATAATGTATGATGTGACTCATTTTAAAAATTCAAATTCTAGCAAAAATATATTAAATTCATTAAACACACAAATACACTGAAATATCCAATTAATTATCAATCCCTTTTTGACTTTAAATTAACTTTTTTAAATTTTGAAATCAACTCAAATTAAGCCTTTTCGACTTAAAATTAACCCCTTTTTAACTTCTGATGTACGCTTTCTTTAAAACACTAAATTTTTTTTAAAAACCCTGCATTCTACATATTTGAATTTTTAAATATACATTTTTAAATTATTTTGTTAAATATAAAGTAATTGGTTAATTAGATTATTTGAAAATTAATTAAAATTAAAAGCTATACAAAAAGGAAAAACAAATAGAAGAAATCGTTCTTCTACTAATCAAAAAATTATACAAAATATATTCAGTAATTGGTCTAGAATATAATTATTTTACAAGTAACAAAACCTCATATTAATAGAAGAATCATTTGTTTTTATATTTAATTTTACATAATTTTTACTTTTAATTGTAATTAATGTTCACATGGCATTTTAGATAAGAACCCATTTTTTAAATGCTCAAATTAAAAGAAAAATTCTTTACTTTTATGTTTCATTTTGTATAACTTTCAATTTGAATTGTAAACAATATTCATGTAGTGTTTCATATAATAATCCATTTTATATTTTAAAAACATTTACAAATGAAGAGAAGAATGTTGTATTTTTATATTTACATTTATGTAAATTTTAATTGTAATAAATTATGAATTATAATAATTTGATACAATCTTCTGACAGTCCAATTATTTTTATTCATTTTTTTAAATTATAGAGGAATTTTAGTTATATTTCATACCATCTTCTAAGATGTTTTTTAATATTTTAAAGAAAGGGTTAATTTGAAATTAAAAAGGGTTAATTTGATGGAAAAAAAGTTGTAACTATTTGTTTGAAAATTAACACCCATAATTTGGTGTGCAAACATATTATTCTGACCATTCTGGATTATTTTCTATATGTTAACATATCCTAATATAAAATTTGAATAATTGAAAACTTAATTATGTTTATATTTGGTGAATCATTTGGTTTTAGGTAAGGCTTTGAGGTTTTTGCATAAAACCACTTTAAGAAGATATGTGTGCAAAAACATTCTTGTGTATCTACATACAAGTAATTGTACGTGTTTATTACAATTTTTAATTTGTGTTATTAGCATGCTAGTTATCTTCTCTTTACTTTGAAACGAGAATACACTAAATAACAAGTTCGACTCTCTGTCACATTTATAATCATTACCCATTAGTTAAGGAAGAAATAAGTTTTTAAATATTTAAAAAATATAGAAATTTTATTTTATAATTTTCATTTCATCCACGTGCTGTTTCCTAGAGAGTAATCCTATTCTCTTAACCAGGCAATTTCAATGTTTGTTGTATTGATTAAATTAAAACAAACCTTATCTACTTGCACAAATAGGACAATTAAAATTAGAACAGGCAAGGTGTAAACAAATCGTGTGATACACATGGCCACATTTAAATGCCCGTAATCCATTCTGTGCCAGATTTTTTGAATTCAACACAAGAGCACACCTTCCACAAACATCTACGTTGATGTCAACTTGGATTCCCCATGTATTTGAATATTTTGTCTGAATGACGCTAGGTGTACACTGGGGAGTATCTTCAAACAGCAGTAAATCGGTGTCCTGATACAAAAAAACAAAAATTAATTTTGAAGTTTACAAAATTATTTTTAGTATAATAAAATCTATTAGAATAGACCCTTATAAAGTATTTATTTGTATTAAAAAAGAAATATGTACAGGATATCACAATCTACATCCTACATGTCAAATTGACTTAAAAAGTCCTTGTCCAAAGTTTCTTTCTCAATTGTATTCCAGAAATTTCAGCTTTCCTTCAACCTTTTTTCACAACTTTATTCCATTTCAAGAACATTGAAAACCCTATGAGATACTTATTTTTATTTATTGTAACTTTAAGCAAACAAACTACAAAATCATACTGAAGATAAATTTTTACGAGTTTCCAAAATTCTTGTTTAAAGTTAAACAAAGATTTTCTTGGTTCTGTAAATACTGAAAGACATGGGCTGACAGAAAAGTTACCCCTATTAATGAGCTGTAAATATATATACTTAATTTCTCAAAGGTCAGCTATCACCAATAATTGACGTTTATTGCTAAAAATTTGTTCTTTTAAAATTTTTTTAATTTATTACAAACTGTTCAAGTAAGTTAGTCATTAAGATTTTGAAACATCTTAAAAAATATTAATACAAAGTAAACAAAACTCTCTTTGGTACAATATAAACATAAGGGAAAAAAAGATATACAAAATTAAATAAAATGTTCAATAAATTAATCTTGTTAAAGAATGCAAACCTCCATTTTTCCTACCAATTTCACCGCACTCAAACTTTTTGTTTCGTTCAATTTGGTACCAAAGTCATTTTTGTTTATTTTATATTACTTCCATTACTTTTTAATAATTGCGACATAAATCGTTAGGAACATGGTCCAGGTGTTTACTGGGCTGCACTGAAGTAGTTTATTTTATAATTTTCTTTGTGTGTCGTAGTTTCTTAGTTTTTTTTTCATTGTTTTCTTCTTTTGAACATGCATTTTTTGTTCCTAGAGGTGTGAAAACAGTGTGTGAATGTTAATTCGTAGATTTATATGTTTTCCACCATTTAATGCTATTTGTTTGTATTTTCTAAGTTATCAAGTAAGTTACATCCTTTTTATTCAATGCCATGGTGGTTTCTATTGTGTTTGTTTTGTACTGGTGATATATTAAGTTTAAGGTGTAACATTTGATTTCCAGTTGTTGATACTGAATCGATCTTTTGATTTTCTTCCAGTCTGTTCATGTGCCTCTGCTTAGACAAGTATGCTTTAAAAACCATTATTGTCTAGCGGTTGAGTATATTTTTCTTTTTAATAGTTTACTTATACTATTATTGTTCATCAGTGCTGTTAGTACAACAAGGACAAATCTCACAACTTGTGGTAAACATTTTTTAACATAAGATATAGTAATATAACTAATTATAATAAAACTAAAACATGTTTTATCAAAACAATAAAGAAATGAAAAAAAAAAATTACAACAATTGAAATTTGAAAGTTTTGACTCAGTTTGTCTTTTTAGATATGGAAAGTTTAGCCCAGACCAGTTTTATTAAGTAAATATATCAAAATCAATTGTGTTTTCATAACGCACCTCAGACACTTCTTTGGCAAGTGACGTAGAAACATCATAATAATAATTGTTGATTATCGATGCATGATTTTTGTATCCTCCTGAACCTAAAGCACTGCTTAAAATACAGGCACGATAAAATCTATAACAAAAAATATATATGTATGTAAGTTATAGTTGGTCAAATTGATGACACTTAAATATTTTGTAAAAACATTTTCAGGGATGCTGACTTGACAGTAAGTAGCATCCCCTCTGGACTCCTATAGCTGAGAAAGAGTCTTTTCCTCGGTTCCGTACATGTAACACCTCTTTCATGAATCTTTATAAAGTAGTGATTAATCAAGTTATAAAATAAAGAATTTTTTAACTTTTATCTTCAAACAGCCCATAATTGGTGCAGTCGGTAGGACTGGCAGAATTTCATGGGATATGAAATTTTATTTTAACGATTAATTTATAGACCCTGTTCTAGGTCCCCATTTAGCTATTACATGCACGGACTAAACATCAGGAACATAACATTAAATCCTAGAATACTACCCATGAAACTGGGAACAGCAAAGGTCCAAGAAAAATCTCAAAATTTAATTCATTATTATAATATTACAACCCTAGAATAGAATCTGGTAAACCAAATGTTAATTATTTACACATTTTAGGACTAGTAAAGAACAACAGAATAGGAAAAAATTAGATAACTATGTTAAAATTATCAATTATGAAGGTAATGGAATTAGTGAAAAATTAACTAATTTAATTGGAGAAAGGAAATTTAGCACGAAAAGAGGTTTACTAAATGGTGTTGGCTCTATTATAAAATATATTACAGGAAATTTAGACTCTATGATGGCGAAAATATTCTATTAATAATGTGTTAATAAAACATTATAAGCAAATTAACTTTAATAGTGAAGAATTAGAAATTCAAATTGTACGTTTAGGTAATATTGTACAAAATAATACTAATAAAATATGTACATTAGAATTAGAAAATATTTTAAGCCAATTTATTATATTATTTGAATTAATTTCTAATGTATTAAGGATTAAAATTTCATTTTTATTTTGTAACTTGAGTAAGTTTCATCCCGGCATAATAAAACCCTGAAATCTATCTAATGAATCATTCCAATAAATTACCATTTAAATTAAAATTAGAAAATATTTTGCGGTTTGAATCTGTTATTGAAACCGATTGTAAATTTTATAACAAACAAATTGTATATTATCTAACAATCTCAGATAAGCCATCATTTATATAGTAAATCAAATATACTTGTCAATCATGTCAAAACAAGAGAAAAAACAAAGTAAATATCCATAGAAAGTTGTTTAGGTTGTAATAATCTACTACTTAGATTAGTAGTGTTTTATATTTAGTAATTAAAATATTTAAGGGGGTTTGCAACGGCAGAGGAACAACCCCCAGGATTGTGATGTTATTCAGGACTGATGATTTTCAAACCAGAACCCTTAAAGTGATGAGTTGCGATGTCATGATGTAAACTGATGGCCCTAAAAACTTGGAAAAAACATTCAACATAAAAATTGGTAAAATGAAAAGGTAAAAAGCTGGCTCAAAGATGGGAAATGACATGGGTATGGACCTAAATGAGTCTATCTATGAGTACGACATGGCTCTCAGCCACACTACAACCATCTTTCAAACCGAAGTGGAAGCCATAAAATATGAAATAATAACAGACATCTCAAAGGTGTGACAATAATACTACTTTCAGATAACCAGGCAGTTAAGGTTCTCCAAATTTAAGAGATCAATTCAAAACTAGTCTGGAACTGCCAGCATACCTTTAATAAACGGGAATCTACAAATAGTCTAACAAAGGAAGGCCCCAGGTCAAGAGGGCATTTTACGCTACAAGGCAGCAAACATACTAGCCAAAAAGGGAGCTTCAGAACGCAGCCCCTGCCCTTTTTTGGTATAAATTACAGCCGCATAAAAAAGAACTGGAATCTTGGGTTACTAAAAAACACACCATGTACTGGGAACTTATGCCAGACTAAATACTTGCAAAAATAGTTCAATTGGTCGGAAAGGACTAAAAATTGTAACATTCGCCAATTCTACTAGTAAAACATCATTATCGTATCTGTTGCAGTAAAATACCATTTTACCAATGTTAACTATGTCTAGGAAAAGGTTATGGTACCTTGGAAATCCATTATTGTGGAACATAGACGTAGATACCATATCCTTATAATAATTTTGTATTGTATAAAAGAAACAAAAATCATCCAGGTACATATTATTACACATTAGACAAAATTTTATGTGCAGAAGGGTACATACAACTATAAAAGGAAAATGTTCTCTCTCGTCTTAAATTATGATTTAAATTTTGCAGTTACTTTGAGGCATCTGAGAGTTATGCATGTTTTGATTGGTACATTATTGCTGGACATCTTTGTCCACGGATTGTCATGTTTGTTTATACTATATTTTATAACATGTATCATAAATGTATTAAAATCGTGCAAACATGACATTTAAATCCATTTGCTAGGAGTTCGGTTACAGTGAGATAATGTATAAAAAAAAATAAACTAAAAATAAAGAAATACAATATAAAAAAGAAAAAACTACTTATTTTTATGCCTAGAGGAGAGGGAATGACAAAGGAACATATCTTATACAACTGCCATACTAAATTTAGGAAAAGGCTATACAAGAAAGACATTCTGTAAACTCTAGACTTACAATTAGTTATCTTGGGAAGAATTTTTTATTTCATTAAAGAAATGAAAATCTTCCCAGAAAACCATTAGTAGATATCGGACAAAATAGAGAAAAAGGGGCATTGGTGGTTACAATGGTTAAGGCATTGACACCTGGCTCATCACTGTAAGGTAAAGGTCCCGGGTTCGAATCTGCTTACATACATGGGCTTTTTTTCAAAAATGCTGACATTCAGACATTCATGACTCTAAATGGGGGGAAGTTAGTCACAAATAATTATTATATAGAAAACCAAATAATAACAGAATCACATATATTCAAATGCAAATAAAAATAAGCCAATAGGAATTATTCTGTATTCTTACCTTACATCTAAAGCTTCAGCACCAATATCCATTGAATAATTTTTGAGTAATGAAATAGTCTTACTGGCGAATAATGATTTGAGCATTGTTATTGCTATTGTATTCCAGTCCATTTCAATATGATGTGAAAAAGGAGTTGAACAGATACAACACATCCCTTTTGAAAATTTCACAGTCGAATCACACAGGAGTATCCACATTTTTTCATCCATTGGAACAGCTAAATAATTCAAATCATCCAAAGCGGCATATTGCACGATGAACGGGATTACATCGTTTATATTGTTTACTACACATTTCATCACTACACTAAATAGTTCTGGAAGAGCCTGAAGCATTTTCATTAATCTACCAAATTTATTATTATAAGAAAATTCATCTATATCCTCATGAGTAGGCTTTAGATTTTCCAGCTTTAAACTTTCATTGGGAATTATATTTTTATCTTTAATGTGAGTTCTGACCAACCTTTGAATTACGATATCTTCACTATCAGACGAGGAAATAAAAACTGGATATTCATTGTGCAAAATCCTGTGGTTGGGTGTTTTATAATTTATTAATTGCATGTAAAGAAGAAGCTTCCCGATGGTGCTAAAGGTAGAATCAGTTTCAATTTTCTCACAAATAGGATGACCACAAGCGCAAATAGGAAAAAATGGATAATTAAATTTAAGAAAAGCAGATTCTAAATGGTATGCGACTGTGAAATCGAACAAATAGTCAATCTTAAAACACTGGTTTTCTAACATTTTTGTAACATACTTTAACAAAAGTTCATTACATATTTTTTCCCTTTCTTCTTTCGTCATCCCCGTCGATTCAAAATAAAGTGAGAGTTTCAAAATTAAAAACGATATGTGGTAAAACTTAAGGGATGATTCTGTAGACATATAGTAGCTGGAATCAATTTGTTGTAAACGAAACATAAGAAAAATTGTGTTTAATAAAAGTGGCAATGGCCAACTCTTATATTCGAAGCCATTAGAATTATCAGTCGTTATGTAATTCAATGCACTTTCTTGAAATGTGTCCAAAATTATGCTCCAACTATGAAAAACACAAGGCACTTTACTAGTCTCAAGATTATACAATATAACAAAAGGATCAATTAGTTCCGAGAATACAAATAATATATTTCTCAAATAACAATCTAACTTTAATTGATAAGCTGTGTAAACTTCAGTGAGTAATTGTGGGTGTTCTGGAAAATCAAAATTTCCAATCAATGACTCATTGATGTTTTCTATATACGAGAACATTTTACCGTTCTTTATATAATTGTGTAATAGGTGTTTTATTAAATCGTTACATTCAGTTGGGAGGATTGTATTAAAAGGAAATACCGATTTTCCTTTTGAAGCAGTTCTTTTTGATTCTTGTGCACATATCATGTTGTAACAATACAAAATTGAATCGAACAATTTGAACACTAAATCTTTTTTAGGTTCTTCAGTCTTTGAAATTGAGTTAAATGCTTCTTTAATTTCTGATACGTCAATGTCTGATTTTGAAAGCTTTGATTTCTCCGAAGATGGTATTATGTCATCATCATCACCATCATCATTATCACAAGTACCATTCAAATTATTACAGGAGATAGGAGGCTCTTTCCATTTGATGGAATTACATTGTTCTGAATTAATAGGACTAGAATTAAGCATCAAGAATTTAAATTTTCCTTCTAAATATTGCCATTTGCTTCGCAATGTTTTTGTCCCAGATAACAATTTTCCTGAAACATTTTGATGCAATTCTGATATTGTAGAATGAAAAATTTCAGGAGATGCTATAGAAAGAAAAGGTATTTTTGGGATAATTCCACTTTTACTGGAATTTTCAAATAGAGCATCCAATGCAGTGCTGTTACTGTTTAATGGTTCTACAATTAGATGAAAATCTGGAAGTGAAAGAGTCTGCTGTAATCTATAACTGTTTGACCGTTGCCCAGAGCCCAGTATGTCATGAGGAAGACTGCGAGTTTTGTTATAATAAGGAATCTTGTTGAGTTTAAGTGCATTTCTATTTTCATTTACTTTCCATTTTTTCCAATGTCTATTCTCTACTAAAAAAATTCCAGAATCAAGTTTTGTACTGGATTGGATATTAGAATTATGTTTTTCTAATTTATTCACAAAATTGATCAATTCTTTCTTTTCATGTGGAATAAAATCTTTTAATCCTGCAAGTGGAGTTAGCTGATGAAAATCTTCAGGCTGAACAAAGTCATCCAAATACATTTCACACAAATCCATACACAAAGGAAAATTTTCTTTGAAATACAGTTCAATTAAGCACTGATTTACTTGCATAGCATCAATACAATGCAAGTTTCCAGATGAAGTCCAAATGTAAATAGTATTCGAAATACATTTAACGCTGGAAATATTACAATAAATATTAGTCCATACAACGACTTTTACAGCAATAGGATCTATTATGTATATGCCGTCATTTTTAAACGTTAGTAAAAACCTGTCTAAAAAGTTCAATAAATAACAAAAGTTAAATGGCTGATCGGGCCATGATTGTTGGATCTGAACGATGATCCTATTTTCTCTTAAAGAAATGATTGGTGTCGGTTGAATCGCTAAAACTTTCTTGAGTTGATGTGTACTAAGAACAGTTCCACTTAAATTCACTTCCCAAAGTCTTGATCCAGGACGAGCGCTGTATATTTTTATATCATTTGAGCTGGTGTAAAAACAAGCTCCATAAACTCCTTCACGAGGTTTACTTCCGATCTGCTTGTAATGTTCTTTTGCAGTATCACACACATAACACCATTTCTCTGTTGATATCAGAAGGTAGTTTTCAAAGCATGATATTTGTACAATTCCAGAATCGAGTTGCATAAATACAAAAGAAGGTAGGAGAAAAATATTTTTGCTCTGAAAAAACAAAACAAAAAAACATGAAATGAATTATGAATATGATGCATGATATATATACACAAAACTATAAAGTACTGTTAAAAATATATACAAAATAAGGAGTTAACAATACTACATTCTTATTAGAAAGGCATAGAATAGGTGACCTCACATAAAACCTATATTTTCAGAATAATAGATTGGGTATGCTTTTCAGAACTCTTGGTGAACAACAACTGGTTGTGTGAGTTCTAAAAAACAAACTTTTAAACGACAAACTCGAAAATTCCTACAATTTTCAGAATAATTTTATTAAACTCATTAACAAGGTATTATTAAAATACTTTGTAAATTAATATAAATTATATCAATAAATTATTAATATAACAGATTAATATCTTGTGTCAAAGAAATTCATATTTATTCTTGGCAAGACAATGAACTAGGGACATGACATTACAATGTAAATAGCTAGTGAGAGAACAAAATATTTCTTTGTACAACTAAATTACTGAAAAGGAGGCTAAGGAGGGAGGATCAACAATTTTAAGAAATTTTTTTTATTGATTCCAGGTCAAAAAATATTACACACATTTGTTTGGTGTTTAATGACCGTTAATTAATGATTATTTGGAAATCGTAATAAACCTACGTTACACCAGACCTCATCTCACGATCTCCAAAACATTACACACATTTCTGAGCATTCTTACTATAGGGCCCTATAGGAGCAGTTAAAAAAATATTTTAAGTAATTTATATAATTTTAAAATTTATTACAAATCATTGAAAAAGTGAGAAGAATTGAAAAATAAATCAAAAGAATAAAAACCTCGAGCTCTTCTATGATACACTAATGGTTCAAAAATGGGAGGGCCTACCTTTAAGTACCACAGCTCTCGGTCTCACTACTACTATTTTTAAAGCCAAATTGATAACTTGCTAGCCATAGAAACATGTACCCATGGAACTAATAACAAACAACTCAAGGGTGTGACAATAATACTATTATCTGATAGCCAGGCAGCTTTAAAGGCTTCTTTTCAATGCTACAAGACAAAATCAAACTAATCTGGAACTGTCTGAATGTCATTTAAAAAAAAGTAATAAAAATATCTCTAATACGAATAGCCCAACATTAAGGTGATCCCAGGACAGGGAATTTCTGAGGTTCTTTCCCGTATTCAGATAACAAGGGAAACCATATCTATAATTTATGCCACATTGAAAAAGAACTAGAATCATGGGTAACTAAAGAATACAATGAATACTGGGAACATATGTAGGTATGAAACAAGCAACTACTTGCAAAAATAACCCAATTAAAGGAAAGGACTAAAAATCCTAATGGGTATATTTACAGGACATGCTCCAGTAAAATACCACTAAAATGAGGCTATCGAACTATGCCTAGAAAAGACAGAACATATCCTACACAAGTGCCCTGCAAGACCTAGGGTAATGATGTGGTACCTAGGAAAAGCATTCCTATGCAATATAGACATAGGTAGCACACACTGAAAAAGGATTCTGTACTTCATCAAAGAAATGACATTAGCAGAGATCAATAATCACAGATGATCATAGATGAAAAGTTAATGGGCTAAAGGGGACATTTTCATTGTCGCAGAATAGGCTAAAAAAATTCAGATTTGTTTTAAACATCCCATAGACCTCAAATAAAAAAAAAATTTCTCCTCAAAACCAAGCAAACAAAAAATGGGAATTTTTGGATGGATTAGCCAATAGCAATTTTTTTTCTCTGATTTCTGGCATTCCACTTAAAAATTTACAATTTCTGTATGACAACCATTAGAAAGCTGTACATTTCTCATTAACAACATTTAGATTTTATGCCGTTATATATGAAATTATATATACATATGAAATTAGCAAAAATTCACTTATCATTTTATTATAAGGTTCTACTATTCGTACAGAAGCTAAGTTTATGCCATAACATGTAGTTTATCGGGTTCTAAACCTTTAAAGTTTCCTGTAGATCAGTTTAGTCATTTCAAAGTTATTGCACAGCCATTTTTGTGATTTGTTAATAGAATGAAAGCATCTGTTGGTGAAAAAAAATGTTCTTCAAAATTTGTATTCATTCATTCATGATTCTCGTAGTAGAGTTGGCATGTTTCCGTTTGTGCTTTGCTTGTGTTTTTTAGGTGGTAGTTAAGAGGGCAGTGGTCAGTGTATAGTGTATATATTTAATGCTTTTTATTACTGCCTGACTGTTTGAAAATAGGTAGACCCGTACAATAATGAATCAATTTTTTTCTTTATCAAACTGCTGTGCTCAAAGCTGGATGGACCACAAGGTATTTTGGTGAGGTCTAATTTTTTTTTTTTTTTTAGGTCTAATTAGGCCTCTTTACCCTTACACCTGTTCAATCTTTGATCCATCAGTGTATCATATTAAGGCCTCTTTCTGAAACCTGAGACTGCCTTTCTTCCAAAGATCTCTGTTAGCTATGAACTACTTGGAAATATCTGCCAAAATTGAGTTTTCCTCTCATTTTGACAGGTACCCAATAGTAGTACATAATTTGTTTATAGGCCAACAAATCTAAATAAAACTTTTTAATTTCTTGGTACAATAGAGGAGTAGAAAAAAAATCATTCTACTTACCACACATAATGATATATTAATCACAGACAATCTTCCCATGCTATCTCCAATATACAATTGATTTGTCTCAGCCCAAACCATCTCCGTAATTGAAGACCCATTGTGTTCAAAAGATCTATTAATTATTTTAGACTTGTCCTCTTCTTCGTCCCATTCTAAAATGCAAGCAGCTCCTTGAAGGGAAGATATTGCGATAAACCTTTCATCCTTTGAAATCGTAAGTTTTCCTATTGGCCCTTCCTGAGAGAGAGAAAAAAATAATAAGTACAACATTCTTATACAATTATGAACTGAAACATTTAAACTTTGATGTACACAGTACAAAATTGTATTAGTATGTTCATGCTGATAAAAAATAATAATAAATGCAAAAATTAGTTAATTTATTTGAAGAAGCTGATTAGTAGTCTATTATGGGTTTAGGGGTGTCTAAATAAATGAAAGAGTGCTTAATGATAACAGTGAAAGGGCTCAAATGTCAGTTGTTTCAATTAATATTCCTCAAAAATTATATAAATAACCAAATCTCATGGATTAACTGACCATCAAAATGTAGAGGGTCCATCGATTACAGACCAAAAAGGATTACCTTTTTTTGTATTATGCTAATGATTTTAAATGTTTTCAAGGGGAAGACTGACTACAATCTAAATGATAGGTACCATGAAAATCATTTTATGGTTTGAATGGTAAAAATATGCCATTACAATCTAAGTACCGTGGTATTATGAGAGGTTTAGTTGTAAATACAGAAGGATCTTTTGTACTCAATTGGACAGAACTTTTATTTTGGCAAATTGATAAGAAAAAGAAAACTACATGCATGTTATATGGCCATATTCCTCACTATATTAAACAAAGTAAATATTGTACTTATAGAATTTTATTTTACAAACACAAACAAAAATAAAATATAAATAAACACATTGTATTGAGTTTTTACCTTTGTTGCAATTAAATGGATAAACTGACAAGGTGATCTTCTGAAAACATATACACCTCCACTAGTAGCTCCAAACACTAAGTACTTTTGTGAGACCGCAAAACATGTGTACTGAAACAATGTAATTCAATGTATAATGCATTTAAAGAATATGACACACTACAATGTAGAAATCTTAATAATAATAATCTATCCAAAAGTTGAGGATATGCGCCTCAAGCAAGAAGACACATCGATGTTACTTCCACACTAGTGATGACCCACCAGATAGTCATGAACAAAGACAAGGAACTGACAGTTTTGAACATTTACATCCAAGAAAATCCTCTAGTCGTAAATAGGAGGGGGGGGAACGAATGGCAAGGGAAGGAGCGCCATAAAGGTGCATACACACTAATGGATATTGGTCGTAGTTTTTTACATTATTCCTCTCTCCATGTTTATACATGATAAACAATAAGATAAGATCGATATTAACCAACTAATATTTGAAGATTATATATTACAATCTTCTTCAGATTATTTCTTACAACTTACAATTCCGAAGGACAACAAGTTGATGTATCTGCATGCACTTTTCAAAAGCTTTTGATAATGTTGAGATTCTACCAAAGAAATTACAAAAATAAGCCATACATGGTAACATATTACGCTAGTTTGCATCCTATTTAAAAGGTCGAATGGTTAAAGTAAAATGTGTAGAGATTAGTGATTCACGATATCTGATTGGTTAAAGCAAAATAAAAATCGATACTGTCGCATAGTTTTCAAGCAATTTTTTCATATTAAAATCTATACAAATGATATCTCTGATTCTCATCCATCCATTATGATCCTACATTTTGCAGATGGTTTAAAAATATTCTTAAAAATTAATTTTGTTTCTGACTGCTTACAACTTCAACATGCCTTAGTAAAACTTAATAATTGATGTTCAACTAATAACATTCTTTTAAATTCTGACAAATGTTCATTTATGACTTTCCATAAAATAAAATATCCCATCAAATTTACCTATACTATATACGAACAAACGAACGAACGAACACACACACATTAATAAAACTATTGCTAAAGCAAATAAAACTTTAGTCTTTATTACATCCTACTACATACTTTGTGATCCAGATATACTTCAAATTTTATTCACTTCCACTGTAAGTCCAATATTAGATTACTGTTCACCCCTTTGGGCTCCCTTTCAATCCACCCATATCAGTCGCATAGAAGCAGTTCAAAAAAGATTTTTACATCTGATATGAAATTGAGGACTGTTCTGTGCAGAAGGAAATTTTTTGTTGTTCCATCATACCAAATTCAGTTTTATATCAAGAACAACCTGTTAAACTCATTCAAAAATATAGATATAATTTAATGTCAGTTTAAGAAAATTTAAGCAAATTTTATCATTACTAAAATACATATGGTATCATTAATATATTTAATTAATATTGATTTTGATCATAATTAATAATTGATAATTACATAGTTTTAATAAATATTTCAAATTGTTTCAATTCATTTAATTTTTTTTTATTATAAACAATTCTAAATTTATGTACAGTTATAACCTTTATACTTATTTCTATGAATTTGTAATTGGGAAACTGTAAAAAAATAAATAAATCAAAGTTGACTCGAAAGGTTGCTGTCAGGCCTCTTAGGGTACATTAATGTTGGAGCTGCAATAAACAAAAAGAGCAGTGATACTAGCGAAGCAAAGAAAAAGATGTCATTATTTTGTATAGTGTTTATATTGGAGTGATGTGTTGAGACACACTTGGCAGCTGAGGAACGATAAGAACGGTGATAATTGTTCTGTCTATTTTCTTTGCTTTCATCAGATGTGGTCGGCATGTATATGGACAGCTTAATTAGGGAAATATTTGTTAGATCCCCCTAGTGAGATCAAAAAATAAAAATCATCATAACAGATTTGTTCTTGACAAATTATGGGACGAAGTAAGTGAAAAATTGAAAGCAACATGTAGGCAGAAATTTTAATTAATATTAAACATTAGTAATTTCTTTAATTAAGTGTAAATAACAATAGGGAATTTAAATAGAAAAATGTATAATAATAGTTTTAAATGGGAGTGCAACAAAGTGAGTGGTGAGGGGTGATGGTGAAATATAGTGACCAACACCCCTCCAGCAATGTGTGTTTAGGGTTGATGGGGTACTTGATAATACGCCATCGACCCTCTCACATCACACATTTACGCAAATAAATACATTCACTCTCAACACAACCTTTACACATATTACACAACTAACCCAATTGAGGGTTGATGGGCTACTCAATATTCTGCCATCATCCCCTCACATCACACATTCATGCTAATAAAAATACATTCACTCTCAACACAGCTTTTACACATATTATATAACTAACCCAATTGAGGGTCGATGGGGTATTTGATATTCCGCCATCGACACTCTCAAGTCACACATTTATGCTAATAAATACATTCACCCTCAATACATCCTTTACACGTATTACACAACTAACCCAATTGAGGGTCGATGGGCTACTCGATATTCTGCCATCGACCTTCACTTCAAGTTGAAAGTATGTCTTCTTCAGAATCACTCATTTGTAAAGAAATATTTTCACTTAATTGGTTTGATCTAAATAATAAATAAAACATCACAAACAAAGCAGAGATCATCGCTATTGTCGAAAATCCACTATGAACTGCATATCATAGAAATGAATTTTGCGCTGCTCTTGTTGCGGCATTCATCGCTACTCTTGTCATTTATCGCAGATCCAACATAAACGTTCCCTTACTCAACAGACCCCAGGTTGAAATATCACATCATAAAATTTGCTATAAATCAATTTCTGATCAGCTGACAATNCTGTCCTACTGACAATTTTTCTGTTTGTCTATACAAATTTTTGTAAGCAAAATAGTTTTAACTGCTAGAAAGCTTAAGTATTTTTGAACGTTTTGTGCAAACGCCATTTTATGAAATTCGAAAAGAATTAGCGACGTACATCGCATAATCTACACATACGTACGGTGGGTCAATTTTTACAAATTTTAAAAAAGCTTCTTGCGTAATAACATTTAAATGCGGACTTTTTGTTGAAATGCCTTGATATTTGAGGTGAAGGAAATTTTAAAAATTTGGAAAAATCGTCAAATGAATGATCTGTCAAGGGTTGATGGAAGAAGACGAACACGTTTTCCTCTTCGGAACTGACGGAAACGTTAAAATCGCCGACGCCCGGCCGAGTTGCCGCCCACTCGCCGGGCCCCGGTCTCATTATCAGTAAATCAATGACAATTTTACACCACGGACCTGAACCGTGTATGAATGGGGAAGAAAAAGATTTTTTCGAGATGGACTCCGCCGCTGTGACCAGTCGCCGGTAAATAAATCACTCACCTTTATTCTATGTGTCGACCTGATGGGAATCTGGATATCAGTCAATTGGTCATGATTCAATATAACGTATTTACTATTTTCCTGAGACATCACGCAAATCTGCAACTTCCTTCGGCGACTAATTGACCTATTTCAGCGCTAACACAATCTAGAATTAATCCTATTATCGTATTTACAATGGTAACTAGTGGTGATAAAGAGGAGAGGTTCTATGTGCTGCTTTACTATAAACAAACCTTTCACTCAACGCTAAAATCGATTTGGCACTTTAGAACTTAAAACGACCTTTGCTCTACCGACAGATAACGTAACCTCTAAAGGTACGTTTATGTTGGAGCTGCGATAATTGATAAGAGCAGTGACGAGAGCAGCGCAAAATTCATTTCTACGATATGCAGTTTAGGGTACGTTTATGTTGGAGCTGCGATAATTGATAAGAGCAGTGATGAGAGCCGCGACAAGAGCAGCGCAAAATTCATTTCTATTAATTACTTGGAAATCGCGAAATGATGACTGGTGTGACGTAGGCTTAGATTATCTTTATTAAGATCATCTTCAGGGCCTGGGATTTATAAACATTGTTTAATTTTTGCAAATATATGTAGGATGTGAAGAAATGAATTTATATAATGCTAGAAATTTTAGACTCAATCAAAGTGTTTGTTTTCTGGGTAGATGTGTCATTATTGTGTGTTGTGTTGAGAGTGCCAGTGAGATATTGATGTTTTATGTTTATATACGTTGGATTTTGAAGGGGTGGGGAAGGAAGTAGGGATAGAAATTCATTTTCTATGAGGAGTTGGCTTCTTTGAGGTGAAAGGTGCCGACAATGGGAAAAAATGGGTAATGGTTCGGCCTGATTATCCTTTCAGGTTTATATAGAGTGGGATAATTAGGGAAAGGAAAGCTAGATTGTTGAAGAATTAGGCTATGTAGAAATGTTTCATGTGTGGAATGTAATGATTGTTTTACATGTTCTTTTGTTTTGTGTGATATATGTATGTTATTGATATTGAAGTTGATTAATGATGTAGCGTAGCTGCGACTGAGTTTAGATGTGTTTGTTCTGTAATTGATGTTGTGTTTATCTCTGTTGATGTAAACCACTTCTAAAAAGTTACATTTATGTTTGTTTAGTTCTGTGTGTAATATTTTTGGATTGTTGAAGTCGAAATTGTGTTGGTGTTCAAAATGGTGGGTAGCCAGTGCTGTAGAATTTGGTTTGGGTTATTTGCAGTCATAGATGGTTGCTTTACTCTCTTATCTAGATATTTGGATGTACTTCCGATGTAAATTGCCGGACAATTTAATCAATTGATTTTCTAATTACATCAGACTGATTTATTTCTGGTATGGGATCTTTAATTTTCCAAAAAAGCGTGTGAAAAGTTTTATAATTTTTGAAGGCTATTTTAAAGTTATCGGACGAGAGAAATGTGTTTAATTTATGTGATAGGCCGTGAATGAATGGCATGGAAATGTATGTTGGTTTGTCTGTATTTGATAGATTTGATGTCGTATTATTAGTATAGCAGATGGTCTTAGTGTTGATTTGAGTTGTTGATTATGTGTTTAGGGTAGTGATTGTTATCTGTTCGTATATCTTTATGTTCTTGGGGTGAAATGATTCATGGCTTAGGGTAATCATTCTGTGAAGTAACCCTTTGGCCGTGTTTATATAATGTATATGATGTAAAGTTGAGGTAGCGATCTGTCTTTCTCGGTTTTTGATACCAATCTGTGATTAATGTGCCATCTGGTTGTTTTATTACGAGTGTTTCTAAAAATGGTATTGTTTTGATGTTTTCGATTTTATGTATAATTGTAGGTGTGGGTGAAAGCTATTAAATGTATCTAATGTAATTTGAATTTGATCTGTAGGAACTGCTGTCAATATATCATCTACGTATTTAGTGTGGAAGGGTAACGTGAAAGGAAGTTGTGGTATAACTGTGTTTAATAGATGTGTCATAATTATGTCTGCAAGTATCGGGCCTAGATTACTACCCATGGCTATGCCAAATAGTTGTTTGTAAAAATGATTGTTATATATAATACAGTTTATGTTGTTGTTTGTTATACAGTTATACAGTTACAATATAATAATCCGTTAATACAGCAGTGCCGAATCATTGTTATAAACTTGTTTTTTGATAGACTTGTGTATGGTGTTATGTTGGGCCATTTATCTTTAATAGTGTTCAGTATTGTGTCTATTGGAATGTTGGTGAACTATGATGAGCATCATATCCCCATCTAGGGATATGAGAGAGTAGTGTGATGGGATGTGAATATTATTAATTTTGTTAATGAAATGAATCTTTTACGTTGAGGTTTTTGAGCTTTGATAGATCCGTATAGTTTCGGGGGCGTTGGAGAATTATTTTGAAATGATTTGTAGGTTTATATGTCAATTTATTTTTGTTTAAGTGTTTCTTGAAGGGTTTTGTTGGTCGGTTTGATGACCGGATGACCTTACGCTTTTCCAATAATCATTAATTAAAGGTCACTAAATAACACACAGTATTGGCACAGTTTAAATGTTTACTATTAGCTCTAGTCAAAGCAAATAAATCCATTTTCTTTCAATAGATCAGAACCGAGGATTGACAATAATACAATGACCACAAGAAAACTCAGTCATCGCTCTACCTTCGCAATAGCAATGTTGGTAAAACCGGTTACCGGTGAATATTGTGTTATTTTCAAAAATCAACTAATTAAATTACATTCTAAAGGGCTTAGCTACCGAAAAAAGCGAATATATTAGATATTAGTTTTACTACTGTTAGAAATATTGTAAGGAAGTTTCTTAGCTGAGATAAAAAAGTCAGTGTCGCGAGCGGGATTCGGACCCACGACCTTCGGCTAGATACGCCGCTACTCTACCACTTGAGCTATCGTGACTTCATCCACTCGGACACTAACTTCCCATCTCAACCCCACCTTTTGAATTTTCCCTCCTTTTTGCCATTTTTCAAATGCCGTGTAATCTATTTGATTCTCGGACAAATGAAATGGCCACGGAGAATTGAAAAATGGCGAAAAGGAGGGAAAATTCAAAAGGTGGGGTTGAGATGGGAAGTTGGTGCCCGAGTGGATCGAAGTCACGATAGCTCAAGTGGTAGAGCAGCGGCGTATCTAGCCGAAGGTCGTGGGTTCGAATCCCGCTGTGTCACTGACTTTTTTATCTCAACTAAAAACCTTAATTAATTGAAAGATATTAATAGGTCAAGCGGACCACGAAAACTAGTGAATTGTAAGAAAGTTTAAAGAGACGGGTTCGGTTTTAAACAATTAACAACAATTGACAAAATTTAAAGTTTAAAATAAGTTTTTTGTTTTTCCTGTAAAATTTGAAAAGTTGGAGATGGCCTCTTTTCAAAATGACCGATTCAATTATGTCGGGAGCGCACGGAGAAAACGTCGAAGTGAACGTGGTCACCGGGCAGCGTGGGTGTTTGCAACTTATTATAAATAACTTCAAATATCGCAAGCAGTTCACAATGGAATCAGGAGAGATCAAACAGGGGTGAGTTGTAATGTAGTTATGCAATTTATACTTGAAGTAGGCATTCACAATTAGAACACACAAAGCAAGTTATCATCAGGTCACAGTTATCAGTGTACGAGAATCACGAAATCAGCATCATTCAGCTCGTTGACAGGCTCAGCACTGTGTACAGTAAAGTTCACCCTTAATAACTGATTAATTATTTGTTTAAAATTGACTGATGTGTTTTTGACGACATTGCACCTACATAATGTACTTCTAATTCATGATTTGTTTAATTGACGGATGTGCTTTACATGGCATTACATCTACATTGTGACTCTTCCTTATGCCATCGGCTCATTTTACATCTCCTGGAACAGGTAGTAAAACCATAACCGGCTCATTTTACATACCTAGTTAATCTGTATCTACTTAGAACTCAATTTGAAACCGCCCAATATAAGTCTGCTAAAAGAGATGATGTCGCATTTAATGTTAGTGTCATACAGCTGTGGAAGTAGTTTGGACTGTAAATAAACGCAGTCAGATTCAGAATGGATTTTATGGAATATTTTGAGGTCATCTATGAATAGGAGAAAGTGAATGTCATTAGGGATAGAGATAGGGATGAAAGAAGCAACCCCAAGGCCTTCCGCACCTCGACTTGAGTAGTTCTATTGTGCTCCTCTAGTTACAACTCACTGGCCAGCTACAGGTTATTGATACCTCCATGGCCTTGCCAGCGGCTCCTTAGTGTAGGACCGTGCTTGCGGCTTTTACTTTCCTAGTTGCGAGAATATGCACCTACAAAGATCTTCACAAAAACATAAAATGTGTTCTGCGGTTGCCTCCTCTTCCTGGAAGTATCTGCGCAGTGTTTCTTCTGTCCGTATTCCTATCCGGTGCATGTGCCTTCTTGGAGGGGACTGGTCGCCCTGTCAGAGTCCAACCAGAATCCTGGTTCCGTTGCGGTTGCCTTCGGGTAATTCCTTTGTAAGTTTTGCGGATGGCCCTTCCTCGAATCTCTTCTCGTGGTATTATGGCACCAAACTTTGGACTCATTAAGGATCCATTTTAAGTTGTATTCTCTCTTTGAATGCTGAACTGTTTGATCAGTTGTTTAACAGGAAAAGTAATGATCTTCATTGAGCATAATCGATGAAAAAGGTGAATAATTCATTTTTGAAAGGCTGCCAGAGCATGGATACAACGAGGGCGGAAAAGTTGGAAATACTTCTCGGAGGTAGTTAATTATAGATATCGCTTTCAGAACTGAGATAGTGTTATCTAACGATTTGAAGAGAAACTTAGCTTGATTTATTGACAGGTCGGCGGAAAGGCGGTCGGTTATCGTGGGTTCTCGGTTCATCAGAGGGCATTTACTAAATCACACCTAATTACATGCATGCTCCAATAGATTCGGCTGAACAAATTAAAATCAAAGGACAAACTATTAGGCTATTGCCTAACTACTGAGAAAAAAAAGAGAAGTGTTTTAAATCAAAGTTCACATCTTTGCTTAGAAAATATCTTCTTTTAATAAACTGGGCCACTGGGGGAAATAAACAGAGTAAGGTGAGATTCACGAGCAGAGTGTGTGTTTAAGGTCGATGGGGTACTCGATATTCCGCCATCGACCCCCTCACATCACACATTCACGCTAATAAATACATTCACACTCAACACAACCTTTACACATATTATACAACTAACCAAATTGAGGGTCGATGGGGTATTCGATATTCCGTCA